CTTTTTTTATCGTCCCACCATCAACAAAAAAACAATGAAAGGAAGAGTTTGCAAAAAAAAAAAAATGAAATGAAAAATTAAAAGTGATTGTTACCGGTTGTCGTGTTGTATAAAAAATTTGCAGCTTCATCATCATCAGGTTTATCATTCTCACATATATATATATATGCTACAACGATGGAATTCGGGAAATTGTTCCGAAACAATGTTATTTTTTCCTTCTTTTTTTTTTAATAGTCTTCCATTTCCTCTCTCTGTGTCCTTGTTTTAAGTATATTTTTTTTTACCTCACACTTTCATATTTATTAATCCTCTTGAAAATTCATTCTCAATTGGAATAATTTTTTTTTCTCTTTTTCATTTTTCTATATATAAATATATATAAATTTTCGCAGCATGTGTGAATAATATCATTTTATTGTTCTTAAAAAATTCTGATAGTTTCCCTCTCTCTCTCTCTCTCTCTCTTCGTGCAAAAACCATCTGATGAAGCTCATCCTTTATTCATATTCCACGGGGATTCTATATCTGTGAGAAAAATAGTAAAATTAAATCAATACGAATAAAATCGGAATTTTTTGTTGTTTACATAGAAATAAAAATTCAAATCAAATGTGCATGTGTATATATGTAATTGCAACGATTTCAAAAGAAAAATGCAATGAAAGAAAGAAAGAAAGAAAGAAAGGACAAAAGTAGAAAAAAAGGAATATTAACAAAATAAAAAGGAAAGGGAATAAAAAAAAAGAAAAAAGTGTCTACGATGTGATTTTAAAAATTCTAGAGAGAAAAAAAAAAAAAAAAGAATTGAAGAAATAGGTTCTGTGGTGAAAAATAAAAATTTTTTTTCGTACGCAGATAGCAATCCTTCGAAAGTACCTTTGTTCTATTGTAAAATTGAAACTTGGCAATTAATAATTAACGCAGGATAAATGGAAATGTATTTCACACTCACACACATACACGATCTTCATACATTTAAAATGTAAAGTACGTATTCGCTTTTTGGGTAAAATATACGAATTAGAACATGATCGGTATACGATATATATATATATATATATATATATAAAAGTAGAAAATTCAACTGACAAATTGAAAAGTGCATTTTATATTACAAATTAAATTTTTAACTGAAATAGTAAATTTTCTTTTTACATTAAATTTTTTAAATGAATTTCTAATTGAACTTTTTTTTTTCTTTTAATTAAATTATAAATTAAATTTTTAACTAAGATTCTAATTTTTTTCAAATTAAATTTTTAACTAAATTTCTAATTTTTTGCCAAATTCAATTTTTAACTAAATTTTTCATTTTTTTTCCAAATTCAATTTTTAACTAAATTTTTCATTTTTTTCCAAATTCAATTTTTAACTAAATTTTTCAATTTTTAACTAAATTTTTCATTTTTCTCCAAATTGAATTTTTAACTAAATTTTTCATTTTTCTCCAAATTCAATTTTTAACTAAATTTTTCATTTTTCTTCAAATTCAATTTTTAACTAAATTTTTCATTTTTTCATTTTAAATAAATTTTTTTTTTTAAATAATAATACTTTTGGAAGGGTTAAAGTTGAAATTTTTAGAAATAATTGAATTTCAAAAGATTTTGTTAATTTTCAGACAATAATTAAATTTTACAGAACTAAAAATAATTTATCAAATAATTTTAGATAACATTTTTTAAATGTAATTGAATTTTCAAAGATTTACAATTGAGGAGCCGGATCGTAGAACCGATTCTTCGCTCTCTCCGGAGTCCCTCAAGTGAGCCAGCTTTCAGCTGCGCGGGGGACTTGCGCATTAGTGAAGAATCGGTTCTACGATCCGGCTCCTCAATTGAGATTTTTGAAATTAATTCAACTTCAAGTGATTTTTAATTAAAAATTTTTGATGATTTCACTAAAAAAAATTTATTAGAAATTGCGGACAAAAATAGAATAATTTGAAAACCATTTTTATGAAATTATATTAAATTAAATTAAAATTAATTAAATTTCAAAAAATTTTCGCTGTAAGATTTTAGAAATTTTTACATTCAAATTTTTGAAAATAATTGAATTATAATTGATATTTTGAATAATAATTCAATTTTAGTTGATTTTTGATTGAAAATTTTGATAATTATTAATTTTAAATTGAAATTTTAGATAATTATTGAATTTTAATTGATTTTGAACTGAAATTTTGGGAATTAATTGAATTTTATTTGATTTTAAATTGAAAATTTGGAAAATTATTTTGAATTGAAAATTTTGAAAATAATTGAATTTTCTTTGATTTTGAATTGAAATTTTCGATAATGTTTGAAAATAATTGAATTTTAATTGAAATTTTGAATAATAATTCAATTTTAGTTGATTTTTGATTGAAAATTTTGATAATAATTAATTTCGAATTGAAAATTTTGAAAATAATTCAATTTTCTTTGCTTTTGAATTGAAATTTTAGATAATAATTTAATTTTTATTGATTTTGAATTGAAATTTTTAAAATAATTGAATTTTATTTGATTTTGAATTGATTTATGATTTTGAATTAAAATTTTTTCGGTATTTTGATTTCATGTTTTTTAAAATTATAAACAAATTGTTAAATTTTATAAAAATTTTAATTAAAAAATAATTTTGAAATAATTAAATTTGTGATGAATATCATTAAAATTATTAAAAATAATTAATTTTGTGAAGAATTTTAGTTAAAAATTTGTTAAATAATTGAAATAAAGAAGATCTGAAGAAGGTCTGCATTTTATACTAAAAAAAATTTATATTTAAAAAAAAAAATTTCTTTTTTTTTAATGTAAAAAAAAGTCGAAATAGTCGTTTTTTATTAAAATAAGTCGAAAAAAGTCATAGTTTTGAAAAAAAGTCGGAAATAGTCGAAAAAGTCGTACAATCCGAGGCCTGTTAAAGATATTAGAAACAATTATTCCAACAAAAAATTTGAATCAAAATATTTAATAATAATTTAATTTTAGGAGATTTTGAATTAAAATTTTAGTAAATTATAATATTGCTGAAAATTATTAACAAAGTTTCAAATAGAAATTGAATTTTAGAGAATTTTTAATTAAAAAATGTTTTATTTAATTGCATTTTTTGAATAATTGAAATTATTAATTAATAAAAAATTTTAAGATACAAATTTTATAAATAATTGAATTTTGCAAGAATTCGAGTTAAGATTTTTGGAAATAATTGAATTTTTGGTGATTTTTAATTAAAATTATTGTTTTAAAATACTAAATATTTTATATAAGCTGATTCCAAGTTCTATGATTTAAAAATTCGAATTACTTAAAATTCTATACTAAATGAAAATTCTAATAAATTAAAAATTACATTAAATTAGTATTCTTTTCAAGAAACAGTTGGGTAAAGAGAAATTTTGTAAAATAAAAATTCTGTCAAATAAAAATTCGCTACTTTAAAAATTCCGTTGAGTAAACATTCGTTGAAAAAAAAATTCTCTATTAAATTCTATTTTGTAAAATAAAAATTTATGTAAAAAATCATTTTTATGGAATAATACACTCCTACCGCTGTGCCAAAAACAAAAAGTTAATCGAAATTTAACAATAGATGGTTTTTTTTTTAAATAATCAGGAGAAAAAATTATATTAATTTTATTCCTCGGAATTTTTTTTCCAATTTTTTTAGACTAGAAAATATTTACACTTTAACGTCAAACAGAAAACTAATTCTTCATTTTAAAGATGCCACTTTTTTGATAATTTTTTTTAATTTTGGAGATACTTTTTTTTTAAATTATACTATTTCATACTTTTCTAAGTCTCTTACTATGCTTCGAAGCCTACTATTTGAATAAATTTGAAAAAATTTGTCCTCACAAAAATAAAGAAAACAAAAGAAAATTATTAGTAATATTTTACATTTTAAAAAAAGAGTTGTAGATACCTATTTTTTTTTTTTTTTTTTGGGGAGAGAAAAAAAATAGAGAATCAATTGTTTCGCCTCTCCTTCCACTAGTTCTAATGATATAGTTTTGCGACCGAGTTTTTCCGCTATACTTTTTTTTTTTTTTTTCTATCAATATTTCCACTTTTGTTTTTAAGCATCCGCGACGAGAATCGTCTCTACATTAACTATTCCTCTCTCTCTCTCTCTCTACTCTCTCGGATGGTGTATATGGCCTCGTCAAGCCATTCTTCCCTTTGAAGCACTTTACTCATCCTTACTAATATATTTCACCTATAGAAAAAAATCTCTCTCTATATAATATATATATATACCTATAGATTAGAATAAAAACTTGGCGATTTTATTTTTGTCCCTCATTGTGAAAAATCGCGAAAATTAAAAATCGTTTTTTAATTTTTTTCGAAATAAAAACATGCATTTCTTTTAAATTTGAAAAAAAACATAAAAAAGTAAAATAAATAATAATAATAATAATAAAATAATAAAATAATAAAATTTATTTTCTCTAATTTAAAAATAGAAGTAAAAAAAAAATTCCAATCTTAACAAAATTTATAATAAATTAATAATTAAAAATAATACTGAGAAAATCAATTATTTTTTAGTGTGTGTGAATTTTTTTTCTACATGAATATTAATTGCCATCGGCTAATAAATTATTTAGAAATTAATTAATTAAAATTATCCAATTTTATTTGAAAAAAAATAACCTAATTAAAATTAATTAATATAAAATTAAATGACAAATAATTAAATGAAATAATAATAAATAAAAAAAAAAATCATAAATAATAATAAAATTAAATAATAATTAATAAATAAAATAAAAAAAAAAAAATTTTATTAATTTTTTTTTTTTTTAAATAATAGGAAACAATATTTTTTCAACTAAAATTAGTTCATTAAAATAAATGTCAAATATTCATATACACAAAGAGAAAAAGATAAAGAAGAGAGAGAGAGAGAGAGGAAAAGGGAAATTTTCATGGAAATTTCAGAGCTTGCGCGCGGTGTTAACCACAGGGGGGTTGAAAAGTCGCGAAAGACGAATCGCGGTGGGGGGTGAAAAGCACGCGGTTCTAGCAATGATCCGTTTCCCGACGACTCGTGACAAACGTCGAACTGTCAGGTAGCACGTTACCAACTTCCGTCTTTATTCTCGGACCCCAAATTTTTTCATATATAAAAATATATATATATAGTATAACTTCCGGCGCTTTTTTCTTTTTAGTATTAAAAAAAAAATTAATCTCCCGACGACATTGTATTTTCACCGTTTAAAAAATTCACGTTATGAAAATTGCTGATTTCTTCATGTAAGTTTTTCTTCTTTAATTTCATTTTTTTTTTCAACAATTTTTAATTATTCTTTTTATTATTTTTGCAAAAAAAACCAAAATTTTTTAAATAAATAAAATTAATTAATTAAATAAAAATAATAAATAGAATTACTGAACAATTGTTTTTTTTTATAATAATTTTATAAAAATAATTTAACTCACGAATTAATAATTTTAATTTTTTAACTAGAAAATTATTTATAATGTTAATTAAATTTTTAAATAAAAAAAATTTTAATTAAAAATTATTTATAATATTAATTAATAAATTTTTTGGTAATTACAATAAATAATAAAAGTTAGTTACTTTATCGAGATTTCCTTTAGCAATTTTGTAAACATTAAAATCGAAATTAAAAACTAATTTTTTTAAGTACAGTGAATTAGGAAAAATTTTTTCTCTAAAATTACTTTCGAAATTATATTTTTTTTTTCAATATAATTTAAAAAAAAATAATAAAATGGTAAATATTAAAAATTTTATTATAAAATAATTTTTTTTTGTTTTTGTTTTTTAATGTCTACAAATAAGTATACATAATAAATAAAAAAAAAAAATAATCGACACCATTCGGAAATATTATCCGTGACCTAATTTTTCACGTGTGTAAAGTGCGTCTCGTGACTATTCAAATAATTGTATTGCGAATAGAAATAAAAAAAAAAAAAAAATAGAATAGAATAATTCTCATTTTCAGTTTGCACTGTTAATTAATTTTTTTCTCTTTGCTTATTAAATAAAAAAAATTCCCAAGGGAAAATTATTTACTTAAAATAATTTTCTTATTATATCATTTTATCTTTTAGAAAATAAAATTTAAAAAGGGTTTATGAACCTCTTTTAAGTACATAAAGGAAAAAGTAAATGTTGTAAAAAATTTAAATTATAAAAAAAAATAATAAAAATTTTTTTTTTTTTTGGGGAAAAAATTGCCAAATTTCTAATTGTTTAAGAATTTTTTTTTACTACTAAAATTAACGAAGCTGAAGTACGCAACTTTTATATAAACGGTTTTTTAAAGAAATAATTTTTTAAAATGAAAAATGCCTATAATTTTTTGACTAAAAAATATTTCCTGTAGTTTTCATTAATCAAGAAATTATAAAAAAAATATTTTTTTGGCAAAAAATTATAGAATTTTTCATTTTAAAAAATTATTTCTTTAAAAAATCGTTTATATAAACGTTGCGTACTTCAGCTTCGTCTAAAATTATATAAAAAAAAAAAAAATTCCCAAATTTCAATATCCTCCACAAAAATTGTTCAAAAAATTTTTTTTTCTGCTAACAAAATTATAAAAAAAAAATTCCCAAACGGATTTAATGAAAAAAAAAGTTTCTAATTTTTTTTTTCGTGTCGTGTCTCTATTTCTCGTAAAAAAAATAAATGTTATCCTGTATAGGTATACGCAAGCATAACATTCACTCAAAACTAATTGCAGAGAGAGAGAGAGAGAGAGAGAGAGAGTTCAAATACTTGTAAGCGTTCAGCTAATGAGAAATCGAGTCGATTTAAATTAAATTTTTTTTCACTTCTCTTTATAAATTCATTAAAAAAGAAAAAAGGAAAACTATATACATTTATATAGAAAAAATAAATTTCATTGAAAATAATTATCGATACAAATTGAAGATTTTTTTTTTTTTTTTTTTTTAATCGATTGAAGATTGTATTTTCGCTAACAGATCAAGGAGAAGCATAAAAATACGTTTTAAAATAATTTTCCATTAAATTTGATAAAATAAAAATTTGGCTAAAAACTCGGCAAAAAAATTAAATTTTAGAAAATTTTCGAAGGGTTAAAGTTAAAATTTTTAAAAATAATTGAATTTCAAAAGATTTTGTTAATTTTCAGACAATAATTACATTTTACAGAACTAAAAATAATTTATAAAATAATTTTAGATAACATTTTTTAAATGTAATTGAATTTTCAAAGATTTACAATTGAGATTTTTGAAATTAATTCAACTTCATGTGATTTTAAATTAAAAATTTTTGATGATTTCACTAAAAAAATTTATTAGAAATTGCGGATAAAAATAGAATAATTTGAAAACCATTTATATGAAATTAAATTAAATTAAATTAAAATTAATTAAATTACAAAAAATATTCGCTTGAAAATTTTAGAAATAATTAAATTTTAGAAGCTTTTACATTCAAATTTTTGAAAATAATTGAATTAATTAATGAATTAATAATTCAATTTTAGTTGATTTTTTATTGAAAATTTTAATAATAATTAATTTTGAATTGAAATTTTGGATAATAATTGAATTTTAGTTGATTTTGAATTATAATTTTAGAAAATAATTGAATTTTATTTGATTTTCAATTGAAAATTTGGGAAATAATTGAATTTTAGTTGATTTTGAATTGAAAATTTTGAAAAGATAATTTTCGATAATTTTTGAAAATAATTGAATTTTAATTGAAATTTTGGATAATAATTCAATTTTAGTTGATTTTTTATTGAAAATTTTGATAATAATTAATTTTGAAATGAAAATTTGGAAAATAATTGAATTTTTATTGATTTTGAATTGAAATTTTTAAAATAATTGAATTTTATTTGATTTTGAATTGATTTATGATTTTGAATTAATTTGGCTAAAAAAACTCGGCAAAAAAATTAAATTTTAGAAAATTTTTTTTTTTATAGTAATTCAGTCAAATAAAAATTCCTAACGAATTAATTTATTTTTTAGATAAAAAGTATGAAAAATGGAAAATAAAAAAAATAATTCACGTTTTCTAAATTTTTTTCTCCCAAACAAGAAAATCATTGTTTTGGTTTTGAATTCATAATCGGAAAATATTTTTTAAGGACTAGGCTACACGTGTTCCTTTTTTTTTATTTTTTTTTTTCGTCACAGTGACCTGAGGCGAAAGCATTGTCTTCAGTGAACACGTTTCTCATATACTTTTATTTACGATTTACGAATGTTGAAAGCACGAAACCTTGTTCGCACCTCGACTCTTTTTTCTTCTTTAACTACTACCACTACTATTACTATTTCTATGGTTTTCAAGTGTAAATAACTCTCTCAATGATGTTTTATATGTGTGTTTATATATAAATATATATATATATCTATATATTCTTCGTCCTTCTTCTTCTTCTTCTCTCCGTTTAGTTGATTTTAACCTCAGAGTATATGTCTCTATTTTCTGAAGTTTACATCGTAAAATAGAGAGGAAATTGCTTTTAACCTCAGGAAGCTGTTCTGTGGTTAAGAGAATGCGAAGAAAGAAAAGAATAAAAAAAAAAAAAAAAGAGAGTGAAAACAGAAATGAAGAAAGCAAATGAGTTAGAGAAGATGAAAAATGACACGCGGAAGATATTTGTATTGAAAGAAAAATTGAACAAATATGTGAGTTGAGAATAAATTAGTCGGAACGTGAAGCAAAAAAAAAAATAGAAATAAGACAAAGAATATTTTTAATAATTTTTTCTTTTTTAATTTTCCACGATTCGATAATTAGATAATTTTGAATAATACGAATTTTTAATTCTTGAATTATTAAATTTTCACCACTTTCATAGCAATAATTGCTAAATTATTGTCTAAAAAAAAATTGAAAGAAAAATTCTGAGGAATAAAATTAACATAATTATTCTCCTGATTATTTAAAAAAAAAAAACTATTGTTAAATTTCGATTAACTTTTTGTTTTTGGCACAACGGTAGGAGTGTATTATTCCATAAAAATGATTTTTCACATAAATTTTTATTTTACAAAAGAGAATTTTTTTTTTTAATCGAATGTTTACTCAACGGAATTTTCAAAGTATCGAATTTTTATTTGACAGAATTTTTATTTTACAAAATTTCTCTTTACCCAAACTGTTTCTTGAAAAGAATTCTAATTTAATGTAATTTTTAATTTATTAGAATTTTCATTTTGTATAGAATTTTAAGTAATTCGAATTTTTAAATCATAGAACTTGGAATTAGCTTATATAAAATATTTAGTATTTTAAAACAATAATTTTAATTAAAAATCTCCAAAAAATTCAATTATTTCTAAAAATCTTAACTCAAACTCTTGCAAAATTCAATTATTTATAAAATTTGTATCTTAAAATTTTTGATTAATTAATAATTTCAATTATTCAAAAATGTAATTAAATAAAACATTTTTTAATTAAATATTCTCTAAAATTTCAATTTCTGTTTGAAACTTTGTTAATAATTTTCAGCAATATTCTAATTTACTAAAATTTTAATTCAAAATCTTCTAATATTCAATTGTTATTAAAAATTTTGATTCAAATTTTTTGTTGAAATAATTATTTCTAATAACTTTAACAGGCCTCGGATTATACGACTTTTTCGACTATTTCCGACTTTTTTTCAAAAATACGACTTTTTTCGACTTATTTTAATAATATACGACTATTTCGACTTTTTTTTACATTTAAAAAAAAAAAAAATTTTTTTTTTTTAAATATGAATTTTTTTAGTATAAAATGCAGACCTTTTTCAGATCTTCTTTATTTTAATTATTTAACAAATTTTTAACTAAAATTCTTCACTAAATTAATTATTTTTAATAATTTTAATGATATTCATCAGAAATTCAATTATTTCAAAATTATTTTTCAATTAAAATTTTTATAAAATTTAACAATTTGTTTATAATTTAAAAAAAATATCAAATAAAATTTCCAAAAAAATTTTAATTCAAAATCATAAATCAATTCAAAATCAAATAAAATTCAATTATTACCCAAAATTTCAATTCAAAATCAATGAAATTTGAATTATTTTCAAAATTTTCAATTCAAAATCAACTTAAATTCAATTATTTTCCAAATTTTCAATTTAAAAACAAATAAAATTCAATTCTTATACAAAATTTCAATTTAAAATCAATTAAAATTCAATTATTTTCCAAATTTTCAATTTAAAATCAAATAAAATTTAATTATTTTCAAAATTTTCAATTCAAAATCAAATAAAATTCAATTCTTACCCAAATTTTCAATTCGAAATTAATTATTATCAAAATTTTCAATCAAAAATCAACTAAAATTCAATTATTTTCCAAAATTTCAATTCAATATTAATTGAAATTCAAGTATTTTCCAAATTTTCAATTTAAAATCAAATAAAATTCAATTATTACCCAAAATTTCAATGCAAAATCAATTAAAATTCAATTATTATCCAAAATTTCAATTCAAAATTAATTATTATCAAAATTTTTAATCAAAAATCAACTAAAATTGAATTATTACCCAAAATTTCAATTATAATTCAATTATTTTCAAAAATTTGAATGTAAAAGCTTCTAAAATTTAATTATTTCTAAAATTATCCAGCGAAAATTTTTTGAAATTTAATTAATTTTAATTTCATTTCATTTCATTTCATAAAAATGGTTTTCAAATTATTCTATTTTTGTCCGCAATTTCTAATAAATTTTTTTAGTGAAATCATCAAAAAATTTTAATTAAAAATCACTTAAAGTTGAATTAATTTCAAAAATCTCAATTGTAAATCTTTGAAAATTCAATTACATTTCAAAAATGTTATCTAAAATTATTTGAGAAATTATTTTTAGTTCTGTAAAATTTAATTATTGTCTGAAAATTAATAAAATCTTTTGAAATTCAATTATTTCTAAAAATTTCAACTTTAACTAATCCAAAAGTATTATTATTTAAAAAAAAAATTTTATTTAAAAATCTGTAAAATATTTTTGTAAAAATAAAAAAAAATCGACTTTTTCGACTTTTTTTGTGCCTTTAAGTCGATCCGAGGCCTATTTAATCAAAATCTTGGCATTTGAATTATTTAAAACATTTCTCAATTCAAAATACTCTAAAATTCAATTATTGTCTGAATTTCGGTTAAATTAGATTAAAAAAAAAAAAAAAAAAAAAAAACAGTTGAGTAAAGAGAAATTTAGTCAAATAAAAATTTACCAAATTAAAAATTCTATTGAGTAAAAGATCGTTTAAAAAGAAATTATATTAAATTCTATTTTGAAATATGAAAATTCGTGTAAAAAATATTTATATAGAGCAATAGTTGACGCGGCCAATAATAAATCATCAACTTGGCAAGCTTTTAGAAATCAAAAAAATTCGCTAAAATTTAAAATTTTTGAATTCTGTAATTTTTAAAATTATTTTTCTGAAAAAAGTAGCATTTAGTGGCTTTTGGACAAAATTAGTAGTAAAAATGAAGTCTTGTTGAAAAATCAATTTTTTTTCTCATGGAAAATGGAGAAAAAATCATTTTTCTCTCGAACTTGAAAATAGTGGGGAAAAAATCATTTTTTTGTTGTCGAAAATTGAAAAAAAAAAAAAAATTGGAAAAAAAGAAATATAATTCTTTTTGACAATGGGAAAATAGAAAAAAAGAAAATTCCTTTTTCTTTTTGATGGTGAAAATTGTACGAAAAAAAATCCCAAGAAAATGGAGAAAAAAATCTTTTCTTTTTTGTGAAGGAAAATGGAAAATAAAGAGGGGAAAAAAAAATTCCCTGGTGCAGAAAATAGAGAAGTATAATTCTTTTTTCATGATGGAAAAGGGTATAGAAAAAATTTCCTTTTTTTTTTTTTGTTAAAAAGGTGAATTTTTTTTTTGAAAATTGAAAAAACAAAAAAGGAAATTTGTCAATTGAAGATAAAGAATGTGTGTCTCTTTGAAATATTGGAAATCAAATTTTGTGGATAATATAGTTATTTGTACCAATTCTTTTTATATATATAAGAATCAAATGCTGGATAAGACTAAAACAAAAAAAAAAAAAGAAAAAAAAAAGAATAAGAAGAAAGGGGGGAGTGAAAGACTGAAGGAGAAAGAGAAAAGGAGATTGCTCTCATCACATGCTGATGCAGCATGCTTGTCCTCAAAGCATCCCACGTCACGGCTTTCAAGTGAACATTGCGCCTCGTTATATCATATTTCCCGATTACATTATGTTACCTATATACACATATTTTCTTCTTATATATATTTTCTTTCTCTCTCTTTCTCTCTTTCTCTTTATCTACTTCCAGTCTTTAGAAAAAGCAAAAGAGGAAATTGCCCCCGCCCCCGTTTGCAAAATTGAGGATGACATTGTTACTTAGATTTTCTACTTTTTTTTCTTACTTTTAATTAACTTATTCTCCATTTTTTAATTTCTTTTTCCATTAATAAATAAATAATTACCTAATAATTAATAAATAATTTAGATAATAAATTCAAAAATCCTTTTGGTTTTTTGTCGTAAAAAATGGAAAATAGTGGTGAAAAAATTTTTTATGGTGGAAAATAAGAGAAAATTTTCTTTTTGTAGTGGAAAATGGAGAAAAATATTTTTTTCTTTGTCAGTGGAAAATAGAGAAAATAGTTTTCTTGTTTATGGTGGGAAAAATTTCCTTTTTGTAGTTGAAAATTGAAAATAGAGAAAAAATTCTTTTTAATGGTGGAAAATAGAGAAAAATTCTTTTTATTTTTCCTGATAGAAAATAATAAGGAAAAATTCTATTTTTGCCATGGAAAATAGTAAGAATAAAAAATTCTTTTTTGTTGTAGAAAATTGAGGAAAAATTCCTTTTCGATTGTAGAAAATTGAGGGAAAAAAATTCTTTGGTGAAAAACGGAATAAAAATTCCTTTTTTTTTTTTGTTAGTAAAAAATAGAAAATGGGAAAAAAATCAGTTTTTTTTTTTGGTGGTGAAAAATGCTTCTATATTCTTTCACACACACATACACACACAAAGCGAGCTTGAAAGTTCGCGCAGGATTGTCGATATGATGAGCGGTATTTCGAATAGTAGAAGTACTTTGGCCCACAGGCAGAGTATACATAATTCACATAACTTCGAAATGCTATCCCTTGCTAAGCAACCTGCAAATTTCAGATTAGGATGTATAATTAACTCTCTCTCTCACTCTCTTCTCACATACATATATAGATGGATATTTTCAAGTTTAACTTCTCGTGTGTGTGGAATTTCTAACGTGACACATGCTAATCAAAATTAGAGGTGAAAAAAAAAAAAATCCAATTTTTTTTTCCAAAATAAAAAAGAAAAAAGAGGAATAAATTATATTTTTAATTATTTACATTGAAATTTGAAAATAATTATTAAATGGAAATTAAAATTTTGAAAATAATTACTAAACGAAAATTAAAATTGAAAAAATAATTAATTATCAATGGAAATTAAAATTTGAAAATAATTACTAAATGAAAATTAAAATTGAAAAAATAATTAACAGGGTGTCTAACAAAGATTGAGAAAAAAATTCCCTGACTTTTCCCTGACTCCTCCCTGACATTTTTTGATTTTTCCCTGACTTTTTAATAACCTTATTTCTGCTTTTTTTTGGACAAAAATATAATTACTGACATATTTAACAATAAATTAATTTCTAATGGTAGTAAAAAATGGTAATAAAAACCATTCATGTTTTTTTAGATTTAAAAATTTTTAAATTCACAAAAAATTTAATTTTTTGTAGAAATTTACAGAAATTTCCCTGACTTTGAATGAAATTTTCTGAAATTCCCTGACATTTCCCTGACTTCCCTGACCGTTAGACACCCTGATTAATTATCAATGGAAATTAAAATTTGAAAATAATTACTAAACGAAAATTAAAATTGAAAATAATTAATTATCAATGGAAATTAAAATTGAAAATAATTAGGTACTAAACGAAAATTAAAATTGAAAATAATTAATTATCAATGGAAATTAAAATTGAAAATAATTAGGTACTAAACGAAAATTAAAATTGAAAATAATTAATTATCAATGGAAATTAAAATTGAAAATAATTAGGTACTAAACGAAAATTAAAATTGAAAATAATTAGGTACTAAACGAAAATGAAAATTGAAAATAATTAATTATCAATGGAAATTAAAATTGAAAATAATTAGGTACTAAACGAAAATGAAAATTGAAAATAATTAATTATCAATGGAAATTAAAATTGAAAATAAATATTTTATAAATAAAGGAATTTTTAATATTTCTCTTATTTTTAATTTTATAAATTTATTATATATAGATTCGCAGGACTTGTACCGTTATGTATTAGCGGCAATCGAAATTTATCATCTCTCAATGGAACGACAAATACAGAGATCATGTCAAAGTCAACAAGAATTTCAAGAGGTATTATCAATGATATCGTTTCAAGAAATATTACCATGGTTTTAGAAAATCTTTTAATGAATTATGAAAATAGCCAACTACCAACACATGGACAAGGTACGAACAAAAGAATATCTCAATATATATATATATATATATATATATATATATATATATATATATATATATATATATATTTTATATTAACGATTTTGTTTATTATAATTAAAAAATTTTAATTATTATTAAAAATTATAATTAAAATTTTTAATTATTATTAAAAATTATAATTAACATTTTTAATTATTATTAAAAATTATAATTATAATTTTTTTTTCAATTTATTTATTAATGGAAAAAGAAATTAAAAAAAAATGGAGAATAATAATATTTTTAGATGAAAAATAGAAGAAAACGAAAAATTTCAATGGTGAAAGATTTCAATTAGAAATTCAAAAAAATAATAATGTTTTTTTTCTCTCTGTGTATATTTATGTAATAAAAATTATTTTTTGCACACGTAACATATGTATACGTTTCTAATTACAACTTGGATTGCTAATTTTGAAATCAAAACTCAATATGCTTAAGAGAGAGAGAGATAGAGAGAGAGATAAGCTTCGTATAATCCAACTGGTAAATTATTTGATGAAATTGTTTGCGCGTTCAACGTTTGATGAAAATCGCGTTCCACCGCTTCACAGAATTCTAATGGCTTCTTTTTGATATATGGAAGGAGCAAAAAAAAAAAAATAATCTCTTTCAAAATTCGAATACTGCGAAACTCTTAATGAATTTTTGCGCGCCTATTGCAAAAAAAAAAAAATAAATTTTTATTTTCTGCCTATTAAAAAAAAAAAATTTATTTACTTATTTGTCCCGTCAATTTAATAAATAAATAAATTTGTACTAAAGGTTACAAATTTGAATTTTTATCGCCTATTTTCAAAAAAAATGTATTTTATTTCATTTTATTTGTACATACCAAAGAATGGAAATTAATTCCTAATTTGCCAAAAAAAAATATTTCTTATTTCGAATTTTTATTTTCTGCGCCTATTTAAAAAAAAAAAAAAAAAATTCGTTCCTAAATTTGAAATTTAGAAATTATTCAAATTTTCAGTTGGCAAAAACAAAAAATTGAAAAAGAAAATAATTGATAACGAAAAATTTAAGTAAATTGAGAAAACAAAATTAAATTCTCAAGGAGAAAGGATTTTTTATTTGAAAAAAAAAATTCATTCCTAAATTTGAAATTTAGAAATTATTCAAATTTTCAGTTGGCAAAAACAAAAAATTGAAAAAAAAATTAATTGATAACGAAAAATTTAAGTAAATTGAGAAAAAAAAAATTAAATTCTCAAGGAGAAAGGATTTTTTATTTGAAAAAAAAAAAAAATTTACTACTTCATAGAGAAAAATGCTTTTGTGTTTTTTTTTTTGTGCTATTATTCGAACATCGCCTTTTTTTCATTTATATATATAGAGAGAGAAAATGAATGGCTCAATACGAACGTTACAAGCAAAAGCCAAGTTGGCTAATGGCCAAAACCGCGAAGAAAACTATTGGTCGCTATCGAATCTCGTTTCATTTTCAAATGCCATACATTTTTTTTTTCCTTTTTTTTCTCGTCGATGATTTAAAAAAACCAAGAGTTTGCTAGTCTCTTTTGTCAAACACGCGCGTGGAACATTCCAAGTTTACTTGCATATATATTATTTTTTAATCTCGCAAAATTTTCTTTCTCTCTACATTTTTTTTTTTTTTTTTTTTTATTATTTTATTTTTTTATATATCAATGAATTATTTATTATTTAATTTATTATTTAATTAATTTAATTATTTATTAATTATTATCTAAAAAAATAGATGCAAATTAACAAATAATAGTACTTTTTTTCTAATAAATTTTATTTGTTTAAAAAAAAAATTTTTATTTTGCATAAAGAAAATAAATAGTAAATAGAACCCCCCCCCTCTTAAAAAAAATGAATCTGTCTTTAAATTGAGGCGCAATGCTTTCATTTACCACCTTGGTTTCGAATTATTTTTTAATTATTATTATAATACTGTACAAATTTCAATATAATGTAAATTTTTCATTTCATCGCGATCCCAATTAGCTTGGAAAAGTGTTTCATTTTTTTATTATTATTATTATTATTATATATAGAGTATTTTACGAGGCTTTTTAAGTTACTTGAATTAAGTCTCGGTTTTCGCTGCGTTTATTATATATTTACAACCGTATTTTTTAAAAAATAATTTTTTGCTCCTTTTTTTTCAGGAATTCCAACAGTTGTACGAACAAATATTCTCATAAGAAGTATGGGTCCAATCTCGGAACTTGATATGGTTAGATTGTCATTTGAATATTATTTCACTTATTTTGTGCAAAAAAAAAGAAAAAAAAAATTTAATTTTAATTTTAATTTTAATTTTGTTTTTCATTAAAAAGAAATTATTTCTAATTATTATTATTCTATTAATTTTGGTTTCTTATTATTATTAATTAATAATTATTAATATTCTATTAATTTTGGTTTCTAATTAATTATTAATTAATTATTAATTAATAATTATTATTATTCTATTAATTCTAGTTTCTAATTATTATTAATTAATAATTATTAATATTCTATTAATTTTGGTTTCTAATTAATTAATTATTAATATTCTATTAGTTCTAATTTCTAATCTTTTTTAGATTAGATTAGATTTTCTATTAATTCTAGTTTCTAATTATTATTAATTAATAATTATTAATATTCTATTAATTCTAATTTCTAATCTTTTTTTCTTTTCTCCTCTTTGTTTCTTTTTTTTTTCTTTTTTTTCTCTCTTTTTGTGTAAATAAAGGATTATTCCATGGACTGTTACTTTCGACAATATTGGCGGGACTCTCGCCTCAGCTTCCTTGGACCGATTAAATCTTTAAGTCTCAGCATTAAGATGCTGGAGAGGATTTGGCGTCCTGACACATACTTTTACAATGGAAAGCATTCTTATGTACACACAATCACAGTGCCAAACAAGTTGCTAAGAATTTCTCAGGATGGCGATATCCTTTATTCCATGAGGTTCGTTCTTTATACTTCTTTTTTTTTTACTATATCTAATATATTTTATAAGCTTTTTTCAATTCTCGGCGAAAAAAAAGCAACGAAAATTTTCAATTTATCCAAATATTCAATTTTTAATTATAATTATTAATTTTCTAATAATATTCTGAATTTAAAAAATAAAAATTCAATTTCTCGAAATATTTACTATAATTTCTTTTATTTAATTGCAATTATTAATATTTACTGATATCAAATATTCTGAGAATGTAAATTAATGAAAAAAGCGATCAAAATATTTAATTTTGATTTTTTTTTTAATTTATTTTAATTATTGTAATTATTAATTTTCTAATAACCAGACAAAAGAATAATAAATTCAATATTCTGAGAGTGTGAAAAAAAAAATTAAATTTATCGAAATATTTGATTTTTAATTTATTTAATTGAAATTATTAATTTTCTGATAACAATTATCAAAAGAATAATAATAATAATAATAATTCAATATTGTTGATTTCACGCGGAAGATATTCGAATATGATTTCAAATTTTCTCTCCTTTATATTATGATATTAAACAGAGGGATTAAATGAAAATTTATGTTATTATAATAATGAAATTAAAATTAATTTAATAGAAATTTGAAGAAAATTTTTCTTATATTCCGAAATTCTTTTTTTTTATTCCAAAATACAATGTTGAAGTTCACAACGTTTATGATCAATGAAATATTTTTTTTTTTTTTTACAAATAATTCTCTGAATTTTTATCTCAAAGATATTTTCTTGTAATTTTTATTGATAAATAATTTATAAAAATTATTTTTTAGATAATTTTATAAAAAATTATTTTTTAAATAATTTTATAAAAAATTATTTTTTACATAATTTTATAAAAAATTATTCTTTAGATAATTTTATAAAAAATTATTTTTTAATCGTTGATGAACTTCAGCACCGTTTTCGAAATAAATTTCTTTTAATTATGAAATGATTAAAATTTTTGAATTTTTCTCCTTCGCGTTCATTTTTTTTTTTCGAATTAAAATTGCTTTGTGTGAATTTTTTTGCCCCCCCCCCCTCCAATGAAGAACACAAATTAAATATACATTTATACACCTCGACTTATGTTTTGATATTACGTCGTACCGGCAATTCTGTAATCCACTTTTCAAGAGGAACGTCTCGCAATGCAGACTGACAATAAAGGCCAAATGTCCAATGGAGTTAAGAAACTTTCCAATGGATCGACAGTCATGCCCATTGATCTTAGGAAGCTGTACGTATAATTTTCTCATCTCTATTATTAGTTGTCAAATTTTCAATTTATTTATGAGAACGGAAAAAGTTTTATTAAAATATTTTTTTTTTTTTCAAAATTTAATTCTTTTTTTTTTTTTTTTTTAATGCAAACAATAATATTCCCACAAAAATAATAAAGTGGAATTTTCAATTTTTAAAGAATTTTATTAAATATCAAATTATTTTTTAGGCAAATTTATCCGAATTCTAAATTAATTGACGAAATTTTCTTTTTTACACGAATTTTTTTACAAAATTTCTAGCTACTGAATTTTTTATTTCACAGAATTTCTACACAAATTTTTGAATTTTTATTTTAAAGAATTTTATTAGAAATAATAATTTTTTTTTTTCACAATTTTCAAATAGGGTCAACCGGGGTAAATCCGAACGCTTTTAGTAAGTTTCAACAATAACATAAGTTTTTTCTTTAAAAAAAAAATACTTCCGGTATTCTGGTGCATGAAGTTGTTACTTTACTTCCATAGAACAATTTTATGGGGTAGAAAAAATTTTTGATAAATTACAATCGCAGGAAACTTAGCGTTCGGATTTACCCCCCGTTCGGATTTACCCCGACTGACCCTATTAAAATTAAAATTATTAATTTTATTAGAAATAATTATTTATTTTTTTTTTTTTAACGAATTTCACAATTTTCAAATTAAAATTTGATGGGTTTTCTTTTTTTTAATGAATTTTTATATAAAAAAATTTTTAGCGAATTTTGTGATTTGAATTGAATGGAGAATTCTATTAAAATTAAAATTCTCTTAAACAAAATTTCATGTAAATTAAATGATGATAAAATGAAAATTCTTGCAAAAATTCGTATATAAAAAGAAAATAATTGTATTAAGAAAACAATAAATTGAAAATTTACATCGAAAATTGAAAATTCGTTTAAAATATAAATTAATAAAATAAAATTCTAATTAATTATTATTGTGGCATAATTATGCGCTTCGTTTCTTTTTTTTAAATCCCCAAGAGATGGTAAAGTTTCTAAATCAACAGCTGTTCTTATTATAATCTTATGAAGGCAATTTACCCTTTTGACTAATTTCTTTGGCGAGAACAAATTTTCTCTCTCTCTCTTTCTCTCTTTCTGATTGTCCTCATTATGTCGAGATTTTAATGTCAAATTAAGATTTTGAAAATGTCATATTACGAATAATAATAAGAGGCTAAAGAAAGTTTCTTAAGCGCGCGAAACTTGTGATATATAATATTAGCATTTTGTCTACATTTGAACATATTTCATCTCATTTTGGATTATTCGTTATGTATGCAAACATCTACATTTCGTCAAGCTATACATATATAGAGGGCAAATATATATATGTCTCTGCAACATGAACAAACTTTATGTTTCATTTCATTTTACCTATTTTCCTACTTTCATCTCTCTTTGCCGCTCTCCATCAGAGATGAGGCTCAGAGAATTTAATTTTGTTTTATTTCAATATATACGTTTATACCATCTATTTGTATATTTAACATTGTAAAATTGAATTTTTTTTTTTTTTTTTTTACTGTCTCCGGTAATTTTTTTTCTCTCTCTCTTTTTTTTATGAAATGTGGAAAGAAATACAATTTTTAAATAAACAATTGAATTTTTTTGTATTCAAATAGCTGCGACATATGTTCACATAAAAATAGGTTTTATAATCCTCCAATTTTGAAATTTTATATCTGTCTTCGATATACGTATAATGAAACTTTAAATAAAAAAGACTGTAAAAAATGAAACTATTCATTGTAGATAAATATTTACAGTTCCATTTGTTCTGAGTCTTTTTTTATTTATTGAATTTTTTTTTTTCTAATTTCAATTTACGGCGAAAACAATTTTTCGACAAAATTGTTGAAATTTTCAAAAATTGTTCAAAAATTTCATTTTTCTAGATATTTTTGAAATAATTTTCAGTAATATGTAATTTTCTCCAAAATTTTTAATATCTAACAATATTATTTTTTCTATTCAATTTTTTTAAATTGTAAAATTTTTCCCCGACTTTTCCTATTACCCTCGGACTGATTTATATTCCAAAAAAAGTCAATTTTTTTTTGTATTTTAACAAAATTTAATTGCTCAATGAATATTTTACTTTAAATAACTAATATTTTATTAGTTATTAAATTCATTTTATTAATTCCGTAATGAGAATAATTCTATAAAAAAAAAAAATTAACAAGAAAATTTATTGCGAATATTTTAGAATCAAACTAATTTGTAAGACAAATTTTCACAAATTTTATTTAAGTAGAACATATTTCGCAAAAAAAAAAATTCTTAAACTTCCATTTTTATAATTTTTTCAAGTCTCCGATTAAAGCAATTTATTCGAATTACGAATTTTTTCATAGTTTTTAGTTTTGAAGGTCAAAAGAATTTTTAGGCAATACTTAATCAAATTTTACCGATTATTAAATAAAAAAATTTTTTTTTTAAATAATAATTTTGGAAGAGTTAAATTTGAAATTTCTGATAATAATTGAATTTCAATTAATATTGAATTGAAATTTTGGAAAATAATTGAATTTTAGTTGATTTTAAATTGAAAACTTTGAAAATAGGTTAAAATTCAATTGAAATTTGGTAAAATAATTAAATTTAGTTGATTTTGAATAAATAATTTTGAAAATAATTGTATTTCTATTTAATTTTTTGAAAATAATTGAATTTTATTTCCAATTGATTTCAAATTTAAATTTTTGAAAATAATTGAATTTGAATTGATATTCAATTGAAATTTTGGATAATAATTGAATTTTGGTTGATTTTAAATTGAAAACTTTGAAAATAAATGAAATTCAATTGAAATTTTGGAAAATAATTAAATTTTAGTTGATTTTGAATTGAAAATTTTGAAAATAATTGAATTTCAAAATATTGTGTTAAATTTCAAAACAATAATTAAGAGAAATTTTTAGTGACTTTTGTTGATGAAGAATTTATTAGAAATCACATAAAAAAAAATTGAATTCCAAAAGTTTGTAATTGAAAAATGCTTTCAGATAATTGAATTTTCGAAAAATATTATAAAAATCATTAAAAAATAATTTAAATTTTTGCAAATAATTCAATTTCAAGTGATTTTGAATTAAAAATTTTTGATAATTTTTTTTTTTTTTTTTTAATTTTAAACAATTATTACAAATACAATTTATTTCTTTGTATATCCAATAGGATTTTGTTTAAACAATTATTAAATTTCATGAAAATTTGAATTTATAAAGAATTTCATTAAAATTATTAAAAATAATTAATTTAGTGAAGAATTTTAGTTTTAAAATTTGTTTAATAATTGAAATAAAGAAAATCTGAAGAAGATCTGCATTTTATACAAAAAAAAAAAACGTTTTTTATTTGAAAATTTTGTAAAAAAAAAATTGATAAAGTCGCATTTTATTAAAATAATACGAAAAAAGTCGGAAAAAATTATATAATCCGAGGCCTGCTATTATATAGACGAGAGAGAGAGAGAAAAAAAAACTGTTTTTCCTTATTTTTCACGTACGATAATTGTGAAAAATTAAAATTGTATCAATATGAAAAAAAAAATCTTTAAATGAAATTTTTCGATTCTTACCTTTTTTTTTTGATATAAAAATATTCTGTTATCAGACGCCCACACATCTGGCCAATTGGTTTACGAATGGCAAGAAGGATTGTCGGTCAAATTTTCCCCCGGGATGACATTATCCCAATTCGATTTGATGGGATCTCCTTATCGAAATTTCACCTTTGTTCGTCGCGATGGTGAATTTTCAGTTCTACAAGTTTCCTTCAATCTTCAACGACACACTGGCTATTTTCTCATTCAGGTAAAGATGAAAAAAAATCTTTCTCCTCTCTCTCTCTAAAAAAGTGAATACAATGTATTTTTTCGATTTTTAATAATACGCTTAAAATTAAAATTAAAAAAAAAGTAAATATATATTTTTCAATTTTTAATTTAAAAGTAAAAAAAAATTAATTTTTCTTTTCACCAATAGAAAAGTATTTTCGATTTTGAATAATTAAAATTAAAATTATTATCGAAATTAATAGAACTTTTTATAACCAATATAATAAATAATAGAATTTTAAGTAAACAAAAAATTTATTTTTTTTAAAAAATTTGATCAGTTTTCTAAAAAAAAAATGACGAATTAAAATATTTTATTTAGGTGTACGTTCCTTGTGTTTTAATTGTCGTTCTAAGCTGGGTTTCATTTTGGATTCATCGAGAAGCCACCAGCGATCGAGTTGGCTTAGGTAATTAAAATTTGCCTCTGAGTAAAAAAAAAAAAAATATATAAAATTATTTAACGAGCAAAAAAAAGCCCCAACTGGCCTAGTTTTGTGCCAGTTAAAACTTTTTGAAACTTTTCTCTCTCACTCTCTCTAAATTAAAATAATCAATTAAGTCGCACTCTCCTTGGACTTGGAATTTTCCACCATATATAATTATATATTTTGTTTAATAAGGGGAAATTTATGTTAATTAAATACAGGAATTACAACGGTCCTCACACTTTCAACGATAAGTCTCGATTCAAGAACAGATCTTCCAAAAGTTAAATATGCCACCGCATTGGATTGGTTTCTTTTGATGAGTTTCTTTTACTGTATTGCAACACTTTTGGAATTTGCCGGTGTTCATTATTTTACAAAGGTAAATTTAATTTCAAAAAAAAAAAAATAAATTCTTTTCTAAATTGCAAATTTTTCTAAATTTTTTCTAAATTTTTGTCAATTTTTCAAAAGGTGAAAAATTTTTGATTCTAAAAAAAAAATGGAAGAAAAATTGTAAATAATAAATTAAAATAACAAAAAGATTTAGTTTTGTTGAGAATAAATTTTTTTTTCTATTTCCTGCATTTTTGATATCGTCTCTGATTTGGCAATTAATTTGTAATTAGAATATCTGGAGATTCAAATGAGATATTTGATTGCTGATTTAACTAATATTATATATATATAGTTTCTCATATATATATACGAAAGGAGAAGATTAATTAACTTTGTAAATAGGTTGGCAGTGGCGAATTTCCAGTAGATGAAGAAGAGTGGGAGGATTGGGAGAACGCAACCAATGGGGATTTCGAGGGTGATACATTTTGTACAATCTCAGCGTGCAGTCCACAAGCCGTTCATCCTGAAAGTAATGCAACGAGGAGACGAAATTCGTTACTCTGTACAATTTACAATGTAAGCATATAACACGCAACAAATTTGTTGTAAATTTAGCCCCTCCAGCAGAAAATTCGAAACAAAAAAATAAAAAAAAATTGTTCAAGCGCAATTTAATTTTTGTTGGCGAGTTCAATTTCTTGTGGACCATTAAGATTTATATCACGCATTTTTTTTTTTTTTTTCTTTTTTGCTGATTCAATTTAAGCAACATTAGTCGTGAATTTCGTTTGGTGAATTGATAAAATCTAAAATAATAGAAAATAAATTATTTAAATAAATAAAATACCTGAAACAATAAAATAAATTATAAATAAAATAGTTGAAAAAATAGAATAAATTGTAAATAAAATAGCTGGAAAAATAAAATAAATTAATAGAAAATAAATAGAAAATAATAGAAAATAAATTATTTAAATAAATAAAATACCTGAAACAATAAAATAAATTATAAATACATAAATAAAATAGTTGAAAAAATAAAATAAATTATAAATAAAATAGCTGGAAAAATAAAATAAATTAATAGAAAATAATAGAAAATAAATTATTTAAATAAATAAAATACCTGAAACAATAAAATAAATTATAAATAAATAAAATAGTTGAAAAAATAAAATAAATTATAAATAAAATAGTTGAAAAAATAAAATAAGTTATAAATAAAATAGATGGAAAAATAAAATAAATTATAAATAAATAAAATACCTAAAATACCTTAAATATACTTAAAATAAATAATAAAATAATAATAAAACTGTAATCATTATTAAAAACCGGAGAAAGTAAATTTTTTCCAAAATGGGACAATAATTTTAATTATAAATTATAAATTTGCATTTTTTTTTTTCTTAATTTTCAAAAACTTTGAAATTTTTCAAAATAATACAATTGAAAAATCCAAAAATAGGTTTTCTAATTCAAAAATACTATTTCTGAACAAAAATTTGTATTTACTTTAGAAATTATTATTTTTTAAAAACAAAATTTCATTCTTAATTGTGTTCGTTTTTATCATAGAAAGAATCAATTGTTACGATTTTCGAAAACTTGAAATATGTTTTAAAATAATTCCATTTTAAAAATTTTAAATAATTATTGTTTCAATTAAGAAATATTTTTTGGCAAAATTTGTTTTTCAATTAAACTATTTAAAATATTTTTCAAAATAATTCAATTTTAAAATTCCAAAAATAATTTTTTAACTCTTGAAATAATCAAAAATTAAAAAAAAAAAAATTCAAATACAATATATTGAAAGCGGATTTAAAAAAAATAAATTGTTGAATATTTTTTACGTATTAAAAAACCTTTTTTTTTATTCAAAAAAATATTTAAAAATTAAAAATAATTTTTCAAAAACAATTGAAAGCGGATTTTAAAAAGAAATAATTGTTGAATATATTTTTTTATTAAAAAACCTATTTTTGGAGTTTAAAATTGAAGTAAAAAAATTTGAATTACAGCAAAAATTAGTACAAAAATCATGGATTCTTTTTATCATTGCATTTTATTGGTTGTCCATATTATTCTCAAGAAAGAACTGCATATATTTGTCCACTTCACTAAATAATGAAAATAATTATAAAAACCCCTTTTCTGAATGTTTTAGAATTTCCACAAATTATTATTATTATTATTATTATAATTATTGTATTGGCTTATTAGCCACATAACAAATAAATATATATATATATATATATATATTAAAAAATAATAACAATAATTTAATACTCGTAATTATTTAATAATAATAATTTAATAATAATAATAATAAAAACGTAATTATCGAAAATTTGTTCACACAGGATTCTGCGACTTTTGGAATTCAATCGACTCCTGTTTATAGCAGTAAACCATCAACAATGGAAAGACAAACACAAACCGAAACACGTTTACCTAAATGGAAACAATTTCTCTATTGTCTTGCAGGGGATGATGCATTCAGGTATTGTATAAATATAAATTTATTTATACAACAATTTTATTATATATAATTATTATATACATACATATATATATATATATAAAATAATCAAGAGAAAAAGATAAATTTTTATTATAGATAGACAAATAAATATTTATTTCAAATAAATTTTACTTTTGTTTTCAAATAAAAAATTTTTATTTCCACTCAATAAAAATTTAATTTGCGCTAAAAATTAATTTTTTTTTTTATTTGACAATAAATTAAAAATAAATAAATTATTCAAAATTTCTACAAAAAATATATTTTAATTTTATTAAAAATAAATTTATAATTATTTATAATTATTTATATTATATTAATTATTTATTTTATTATTTTTTTTATAATTTATTTTATCTAAAAAATTTATAAAATTTAATTCCTCAATTATAAATTACTATACTATTAAGAAAAAAATATATTTGGCCGAATTTAAAGGGTCGACGGAAATCTCACACGTAATTTCCGATCATATACAAAAGTTAATTTTTTCCATAAAATTTGTATTTTAATTTAAAAAATTTTTTTTGTTTTTAATAATTAAATTAATATGTTAAGAATTTTGAATTTTTTTGTTTTTTTCGAATTTTAGACGTCGAAGGCAAAGAGAAGCGGTTGGTGGAATTCGAAAACATGGAAAAAGAATTGAAAGGCATATAAATAGCGTTTCTCATATTGATAGGGTTGCACGTGTGATATTTCCAACGTCTTTTGGTCTTTTGAATGTTTGTTATTGGGTCGTTTATGTGACCTACCAAGATGAATTCAAGTGGCAAGATCCACCGATTGGATCAATGTGATTCTTGTGTGTTGCAAGTTCATTCATTCGAATTTTCAAATAAAGTTGTAGATAACAAAAAAAAAGAATTTTTTTTAATCCCGTCTCAACATTTTTTACATTTTTAAAAAATTTTAAAATTACAATTACTATTATAAATTATTATAATTATAATAATAATAATTATTATTATTATTCTATTATTATTTTGTACAAATATTATTATTATTATATTCAATAATAATTATAAATTAATTCTACGAAACAAATTCAATAATTACAATCGAAATAATTATAGGTTATTCTATAAACTTTCGATAAAAAAAAATAATAAATACACTTGATTATTAAAACAGAAAAAGAAATTCAAATACCGAAAAAATGACGCACTTTAAAAAAAAGAATTGCAGAAAAAAATAAGGTTATGGCAACCACATGCTAAAAAAAGCTCATAAAACTTTGACATTTTTACTAACCTTATGATTGTATACAACGTTTCAATTATATTAAATTCATCCATCACTTTATTATAAATAAACTATTTTCACAGAATTATATATTACGACAAAACTTTATACACATTTTTTTTTTCAAGCACTGAACTTGCAAGTTTCAACTAATAAAATTACTTTCTTCCTTCCGCAAGGAATTCTGCACTTCCGCCAAATTCAAATTTCAAAACCGTTCACTTTTCCGCCGACAGATGGCATACTAAATTCAAAATTAGGCGGCAAATTTATATACCGCAGGAATAATAATTGCATAAATATAAAATTTTTAATTTCTTTCTTTCTTTTTTGTTTGAATTTTCAATTTATAAATTGAATAAATAAATTAATAATAATAATAATTATTATTATTTAGAGCGGTCGGTAAAACAGGGAATTTATAAAAAAAAAAAAAAGAAATGGCTGTCAAATGACTTCGACGATATTTTTGTTTTTGAATGGAAGGCTTGTTATTTTTTTTCCTAAATTCGGAAGTTTTTTTTTTATAATCCTCTTTTGTAAAGTGTCACGACTATTAGAAAATTTGTGTGTGAATATAATAATAAGTCATAACACTTATATACAGGTAACTATCAAAATGCGCCAAAGGCAGTTTGCGCCAAACGGCGTTTGACCCAATATGCTATAGTTAGTGTCATTCTCGATGGTGAATGAGAAATCTGTAAAAATGATAAAAGTGAAGGTCTGAGAAGCCCGCGAGATGTCTATAGTATCACAGTTTGTGTATTATTACAAATAGACATTGGCGTGGAGATTTAGGGAATGCAGAAAATAAAGTGAAATAGTTTTCTTCGCGGAAATAGTGAACGTGATGTTTTTATAAATAAGTAAATTGCTTATTTGATTAATTAATCAATTAATATTATGAATTAATTAATGAATTAATATTATGAATTAATTAATTAATATTATCAATTGATGGAATAATTAATTAATTAACATTATTGATATTATCAATTGATTGATTAATTAATTAATTAATTAATATTATCAATTAATTAATTAATTAATTAACAGTGACTGGAAGAAATAACGAGTAGTAAAATTATGGATACCAATATTGAGGTTAGTTTAAATTTTATTTTCAATGAAAATAATAATAATTTTGCGATTGCATAAAAATTTATTTTTTTCAGCGATCTCATGTAATGAATTTTCATCTAATTACATCAATTTAAACGCATGTAAAATTCACTGCGAAAGTCTACTCAACTGTAAATTGGTTTTCATTAAGAAAATATTTTTACAACAAACATAGAATAAGTTGATAATAATAATAATTTCAAATTTCTTATAAATTATGATGGCATTTTTTACTTTTGGAAATAAAATTTTTATCCTATTCTCCAACTATGCTGATTAAAATAATTCTATTCCTTGCTTGATAGTCACCAGGGTTATCACAGTTATTGTTAACATGAACCTAATTGTTGTTCGATTTAGTAAACAATTATTTTTCGATACCATAAAAAATTATTATTTTCACCGATCTCATGTAATGAATTTTCATCTAATTACATCAGTTTGAACGCATGTAAAATGGTAAAAAAAATTTAAAACTGCAAAGGTTTACTCAACTTTAAATTGGTTTTCATTTAGAAAATATTTCTACAGCAAACATAGAATAAGTTAATAATAATTTCAAATTCCTTATCAATTATGTTGGCATTTTTTACTATTAGAAATAAAATTTTTATCTTATTCTCCAACTATGCTGATTAAAATAATTCTATTCCTTGCTTGATAGTCACCAGGGTTATCACAGTTATTGTTAACATGAACCTAATTGTTGTTCGATTTAGTAAACAATTATTTTTCGATTGGCTAAAAATTTATTTTTTTCACCGATCTCATGTAATGAATTTTCATCTAATTACATCAATTTAAACGCATGTAAAATGGTAAAAAAAATGTAATACTGCAAAGGTTTACTCAACTATAATTGAATTTTATTAAGAAAATATTTTTACAACAAACATGGAATAAGTTAACAATGATTAGACACCTTCTAAATCATATTGGCATTTTTCATTTTTGAAAATAAAATTTTTATTCTATTCTAAAACCATGCTAATTAACAAAATTCTATTCCTAGCATAATAGACGCCAGAGTTATGATTGTTATTGTGAACATGGGCCTAATTATTGTTCGATTTAGTAAACAATAATTTTGCGATAGCATAAAAAATGATTTTTTTCACCGATCTCATGTAATGAATTTTCATCTAATTACATCAATTTAAACGTATGTAAATTTCACTGCGATAGTTTACTTAACTGTGAATTGGTTTTCACTTAGAAAATATTTTTACAACAAACATAGAATAAGTTGATAATAATTTGTACATCGTCCAAATCATATTGGCATTTTTTATTTCTGGAAATAAAATTTTTATTCTATTCTAAAACTATGCTAATTAACAAAATTCTATTCCTAGTATAATAAACACCCTAGTTATTATGGTTATTGTGAACATTGGCCTAATTGTTGTTCGATTTAGTAAACAATTATTGTTCGATTGGACAAAAAATTATTTTTTTCAGCGATCTCATGTAATGAATTTTCATCTAATTAGATCAGTTTAAACGCATGTAAAATGGTAAATAAAATATCAAACTGCGAAGGTTTACTCATCTGTAAATTGAATTTTATTAAGAAAATATTTTTACAACAAACATAGAATAAGTTAACAATGATTAGACCCCTTTTAAATCATATTGGCATTTTTCATTTTTGAAAATGAAATTTTTATTCCATTCTCCAAGTATGCTAATTGAAAAAATCCTATTCCTAGCATAATAGACGCCAGAGTTATGATTGTTTTTGTGAACATGGGCCTAATTATTGTTCGATTTAGTAAACAATAATTTTGCGATAGCATAAAAAATTATTTTTTTCAGCGATCTCATGTAATGAATTTTCATCTAATTACATCAATTTAAAAGCATGTAAAATTCACTGCGAAAGTTTACTTAACTGTGAACTGCAGGAAATTTTTTTTTAACCAGGAACTTGACAATTTTTTTACTGGTGAGTAAGATTCATTTATTTTAGTCTTTTTCCAGTTTTATGTTTTTACCATTATACATGCGTTAAAACTGATCTAATTAGATGAAAATTCATTACCTAAGATCCCTGAAAGAGAATAATTTTATCTTCAATTGAAAAGAGATTGTTTACTGAATCGAACCACAATTAGGCCCATGTTCACGATAACAATAATCACTTGGTTGTCTATTATGCTAGGAATAGAATTTTGTTAATTAGCATGATTTCAGAATAGAATAAAAATTTTATTTCCAAAAATAAAAAATGCCAATATGATTTAGAAGGTGTCTAATCATTGTTAACTTATTCTATGTTTGTTGTAAAAATATTTTCTTAATAAAATTCAATTTACAATTGAGTAAACCTTCGAGTTTTACATTTTTTTACCATTTTACATGCGTTTAAACTGATCTAATTAGATGAAAATTCATTATATGAGATCTCTGAAAAAAATCATTTTCTATCCAATCGAATAATAATTGTTTACTAAATCGAACAACAATTAGGTTCATGTTTACAATAACTGTGATAACCCTGGTGACTATCAAGCAAGGAATAGAATTATTTTAATCAGCATAGTTGGAGAATAGGATAAAAATTTTATTTCTAAAAGTAAAAAATGCCAACATAATTGATAAGGAATTTGAAATTATTATTAACTTATTCTATGTTTGCTGTAGAAAAATTTCTAAATGAAAACCAATTTACAGTTGAGTAAACCTACGCAGTGAATTTAAAAATGCGTTTAAACTGATCTAATTAGATGAAAATTCATTATATGAGATCGAGGAAAAAAATTATTTTTTTTCCAATCGAACAATAATTGTTTACTAAATCGAACAACAATTAGGCCCATGTTCACAATAACCATAATAACTAGGGTGTCTATTATGCTAGGAATAGAATTTTGTTAATTAGCATAGTTTTAGAATAGAATAAAAATTTTATTTCCAGAAATAAAAAATGCCAATATGATTTGGACGATGTACAAATTATTATCAACTTATTCTATGTTTGTTGTAAAAATATTTTCTAAGTGAAAACCAATTCACAGTTAAGTAAACTATCGCAGTGAAATTTACATACGTTTAAATTGATGTAATTAGATGAAAATTCATTACATTGGATCGGTGAAAAAAATAATTTTTTATGCTATCGCAAAATTATTGTTTACTAAATCGAACAATAATTAGGCCCATGTTTCCAATAACAATCATAACTCTGGCGTCTATTATGCTAGAAATAGAATTTTTTTAATTAGCATAGTTGGAGAAAGGAATAAAAATTTTATTTTCAAAAATGAAAAATGCCAATATGATTTAGAAGGTGTCTAATCATTGTTAACTTATTCCATGTTTGTTGTGAAAATATTTTCTTAATGAAAACCAATTTACAGTTGAGTAGACTTTCGCAGTGAATTTTACATGCGTTTAAATTGATGTATTTAGATGAAAATTCATTACATGAGATCGGTGAAAAAAATAAATTTTTAGCCAATCGAAAAATAATTGTTTACTAAATCGAACAACAATTAGGTTCATGTTAACAATAACTGTGATAACCCTGGTGACTCTCAAGCAAGGAATAGAATTATTTTAATCAGCATAGTTGGAGAATAGGATAAAAATTTTATTTCTAATAGTTAAAAATGCCAACATAATTGATAAGGAATTTGAAATTATTATTAACTTATTCTATTTTGCTGTAGAAATATTGTCTAAATGAAAACCAATTTAAAGTTGAGTAAACCTTTGCAGTTTTAAATTTTTTTTACCATTTTACATGCGTTCAAACTGATGTAATTAGATGAAAATTCATTACATGAGATCGGTGAAAATAATAATTTTTTATGCTATCGAAAAATAATTGTTTACTAAATCGAACAACAATTAGGTTCATGTTAACAATAACTGTGATAACCCTGGTGACTATCAAGCAAGGAATAGAATTATTTTAATCAGCATAGTTGGAGAATAGGATAAAAATTTTATTTCCAAAAGTAAAAAATGCCATCATAATTTATAAGAAATTTGAAATTATTATTATTATCAACTTATTCTATGTTTGTTGTAAAAATATTTTCTTAATGAAAACCAATTTACAGTTGAGTAGACTTTCGCAGTGAATTTTACATGCGTTTAAATTGATGTAATTAGATGAAAATTCATTACATGAGATCGCTGAAAAAAATAAATTTTTATGCAATCGCAAAATTATTATTATTTTCATTGAAAATAAAATTTAAACTAACCTCAATATTGGTATCCATAATTTTACTACTCGTTATTTCTTCCAGTCACTGTTAATTAATTAATTAATTAATTGATAATATTAATTAATTAATTAATTAATCAATCAATTGATAATATCAATAATGTTAATTAATTAATTATTCCATCAATTGATAATATTAATTAATTAATTCATAATATTAATTCATTAATTAATTCATAATATTAATTGATTAATTAATCAAATAAGCAATTTACTTATTTATAAAAACATCACGTTCACTATTTCCGCGAAGAAAACTATTTCACTTTATTTTCTGCATTCCCTAAATCTCCACGCCAATGTCTATTTGTAATAATACACAAACTGTGATACTATAGACATCTCGCGGGCTTCTCAGACCTTCACTTTTATCATTTTTACAGATTTCTCATTCACCATCGAGAATGACACTAACTATAGCATATTGGGTCAAACGCCGTTTGGCGCAAACTGCCTTTGGCGCATTTTGATAGTTACCACACACGAGAGTAAGAGAGAGAGAGAGAGAGAGTATGGCGACGTCAGACATCAGCTGATTCGACCTCCGTTTTTCAATTCAAGAGGAAGAAAATGATAAATGTCGAAAATTCACGGCTATCACGCCGTTGATATTGGTATGTAAAAAAAATTTTCATTAAATAACAATAAAATTTTAATATCACATTTCAATATTTAACAGAATATTTTTTTTTCCATCTATTTCTAAATTTTAACCTAAAAAATGAAATTTTACTCAAATTTTCTTGTGCGTCAAAAATGAAATTTTTTGCCGTGGAAATAAAATTTTATTTAGTTTTTAATTTTTATATTTACTATTTACAATATAATTCAAAAAAAAAAAAGTTAAAGGAAAAAAAAGGAATGTAAAAATAAGTTTTTAACAATAGAAACAAGAAAATTTAGAGAGAAAAAAAAACAAGTTTAAAGTCGATAATTTAAAAAAAAATTTATAGAAAAAATAAAATTAAAAAAAGTTGTAACTGAGTTTTTTTCGGTTTTTAAAATTACAGTTTTATTTTTTTTTCTTTTTCTTTTTTTGTTTCACAAGTGTGTTGAGTTTGGTAATGACATTGCTTATGTAAATAAAAGTCGAGCGAAGAAAATTTAGTAGGCTTTAAAAGAAATCGAGAATTACTCATCGGATGATGCTTTTAAATGTGGTTTATTTTGAGTCTATTGTAATTTTAAATGACGATAATTTTTGCCTTTGTGTCGTTATTTAAAAAGATAATTTTTAATTTGTATTTTTTTTTCATTTCCGTTTAGAAAATTTCCATTTGCAATTAATTCATTTTTAATAATTTTAATTTAATTTTAAGAATAGTGAAAATTGATTTTTTTTTTATGTATTTAGAACAAAAAATAATTCTTTTTGAAAAAAAAAATTACATTTTAATTTTTAAACTTTTTTGTTTAAAAATATTTTTTTTTATATATTAAAAAAATTTTCAAATCCATTATTTTATTATCAAATAAATAACGAAATAATTTTTTAATTGTAATTAAATAAATTTTATTTGGACCAATAATTTTTGTATTTGAAACAAATAATAAACTCAATAATTATTTGATAAATATTATGTTTATTTGATAATAGTCAAGTAATTATTTGAATAAAATAAATTTTTTTCAGTGTATTAAACATAATTGTTTAATTAAGAGAATAAAATTATTATTCTTATTAGTTAAAAAAAAAAAAAAACTCCACTCGAATTAAAATTAGTATGAAAATAAAAATTTCCATTTGAATTAAAATTAGAATTAGAATTAAAATAAAAATTTCGATTTGTATTAAAATTAGAATTAGAATTAAAATAAAAATTTCCATTTGAATAAAAATTAGTGAAAAATAAAAATTTTTATTTCAATTAAAATTAGAATTAACATAAAAATTTCCATTTGAATTAAAATTAGAATTAAAATAAAATTAGTAAAAAATAATAATTTTTAATTGAATTAAAATTAGAATTAAAATTTCCATCTGAATTAAAATTAGAATTAGAATTAAAATAAAAATTTTCATTTGAATTAAAATTATAATTAAAATTTCCATTTGAATTAAAATTAGTGAAAAATAAAAATTTCCATTTGTATTAAAATTAGAATTAGAATTAAAATTTCCATTTGAATTAAAATTAGAATTAAAATAAAAATAAAAATTTCCATTTGAATTAAAATTAGTGAAAAATAAAAATTTTTATTTGAATTAAAATAAAAATTTCCAATTGAATTAAAATTAATGAAAAATAAAAATTTCCCTTTGAATTAAAATTAAAGAAAAAAAAATTTTTTTATTTGAATTATAATTTCAATTAAAATTAGAATTAAAATTTCCATTTGAATTAAGATTAGAATTAGAATTAGAATTAGAATTAGAATTAAAATAGAAAAAAAAATTTCCATTTGAATTAAAATTAGAATTAAAATAAAATTAGTAAAAAATAAAATTTTTTATTTCAATTAAAATTAGAATTAAAATTTCCATCTGAATTAAAATTAGAATTAGAATTAAAATAAAAATTTTTATTTTTGAATTAAAATTAGTGAAAAATAAAAATTTTCATTTGAATTAAAATTATAATTAAAATTTCCATTTGAATTAAAATTAGAATTAAAATAAATATTTTCATTTGAATTAAAATTAAAATAAAAATTTCCATTTGAATTAAAATTAGTGAAAAATAAAAATTTTTATTTGAATTAAAATAAAAATTTCCATTTGAATTAAAATTACTGAAAAATAAAAAATTTTTATTCGAATTATAATTTCAATTAAAATTAGAATTAAAATTTCCATTTGAATTAAGATTAGAATTAGAATTAGAATTAAAATAGAAATAAAAATTTTCATTTGAATTAAAATTAGAATTAAAATTTCCATTTGAATTAAGATTAGAATTAGAATTAGAATTAAAATAGAAATAAAAATTTCGATTTGAATTAAAATTAGAATTAAAATAAAATTAGTAAAAAATAAAAATTTTTATTTCATTTAAAATTAGAATTTAAATTTCCATCTGAATTAAAATAAAAATTTTTATTTTTGAATTAAAATTAGTGAAAAATAAAAATTTTCATTTGAATTAAAATTAGTGAAAAATACAAATTTCCATTTGTATTAAAATTAGAATTAGAATTAAAATTAATATAAATATTTTCATTTAAATTAAAATTAGAATTAGAATTAAAATAAAAATTTCCATTTGAATTAAAATTAGAATAAAAATTTCCATTTGAATTAAAATTAGAATAAAAATAAAAATTTTCGTTTGAATTAAAATTAGAATAAAAATAAAAATTTTCATTTGAATTAAAATTAGAATTGAAATAAAAATTTTCATTTGAATTAAAATTAGAATTAAAATATCCATTTGAATTAAAATTAGGATTAGAATTAAAATAAAAATTTCCATTTGAATTAAAATTAGTGAAAAATAAAAATTTCCATTTAATTTTAAATTGAAATATTTGTTAACTATTTTTCTATTTTTTGTTTTTTTTTTCGCAGAAAGATCGTGAATGTAAAAGATGACTCCGCCCTTGAGTCGAAAGCGTGGCTCGTCAGTAAGTTTCACACGAGCAAAAGATGACACTGAAAATGGAGGAGATGAAATTCAAATATCATTGGCACCTTATATTCAAACATATTTGGCCCACAGTGGCCAAGGCGTTGGATGCTGTGGAATTGGTTTGCCAGTTCCATTTGAACGAGCCGCCCCACGATCCTGGTGGAATCCAAAATTTGACTCTGAAATTCTCGAGGAACAATTTAAAAGAAGTGCCTTTCCTCAAATTAGATTGAGATTTCGGTAAAAATTCATCTTTTTTTTTTACAGTTAAAACAATTTTTTTCTATATTTTTATTTATTTATTTTTTTTTATTCTTTTTACAATTAAAACGAAATTATTCTAAATCTAAAAGAAAATAATTAAATATTTTTCTGGAAAAAAATGGAAATAATTTTTTTTTTTCAACAAAATTTAAAAACAAATATTTATTTTACAGATACGCTCTCACTTATATTCTACTAGTATCAGTATCATGGCTTGTTTATTTTGTGATAAAAGGAATAGAAAATAAATCAAATACATGGCCAGGAATAACAATAATTTTTGGTGTTTTGGCATTTTTAATATCAGCAGTACTTTATTTAACGCACACTGATTATTATCAATCGTGTGTTGTATTAACATCAGTTATTGTTGCAATAATATTATGTCTATTATCATTAGGATTTTTAATTTTTGTCCCACCATATTTAGATGGTCTCACTCTAGTTGGACATTTTGCATTATGTTCGGAAATTTTATTATTAATTTATACCGTTATACCAATGCCACTTTATGCTTGTGTTGGTATTGGTACAATATATTCAATAATATTTGAAATTCTCACCGCTTATCTTTATGGTTTTGATGTGATGAAGAAAAATTTTATTAAAAATACAACTGATATTAGAGAATCGTCATTTAATTTTAATTCAATTTCTAATGATGATAGTATAAAAAATTTGCATTCCTCTCTCGATGTGAGATATAATTATTATGATGATGTTGATTTTTCAACAACACTCGCCATTCGTATTTTAATGCAAATTTGCATTCATATTATTGGTGTTCATATTTTAATTATGACATTTGTGAGAATGCGAGGTACATTTATGAAGGTAGGAAATTATTTTCTAAAAAATTTCTTTTTTTTACAATCGATTTTTAAGGGAATGTAATTTTTTCAATCCCTTTTTTTTAAAGGTGGGACAATCACTGTTGGTTCGTTGTCAATTGGAAATGGAAAATCAATTAAAGGAGAAAATGATACTTTCAGTGATGCCGCCAAAAGTTGCAAATTGGCTAATGGAAGAAAGTGAACGTGAACGTGAACGTGAGGATTCATTAAAAAAAGGTTCAATACCATCAAATAATACTGATATTCGTTCATTATTTCGTCCATTTAATATGCATTCAATGGAGGATGTGAGTATATTATTTGCCGATATTGTTGGTTTTACACGTATGAGTTCAAATAAAACTGCCGAGGAACTTGTTGGTATACTCAATGATCTTTTTGAAAGATTCGATGATCTTTGCGATCATCATGGTTGTGAGAAAATTTCAACATTAGGCGATTGTTATTATTGTGTGAGCGGTTGTCCTGAACCAAGACCTGATCATGCAAAATGTTGCGTTGAAATGGGATTAGGTAAAAAAAAAAAATATATAAATATTTTAATTTTTTTTTTAATTAATATTTTCAGGCCTCGGATTATACGAATTTTTTTTTTTTAATAAAATGCGCCTAATTTTTACATTTTAAAAAAAAAATTTTAACAAAATACGTTTTTTTTAGTATACAATGCAGATCTTCTTTCTTTTAATTATTTAACAAATTTTTAAGAAAAATTCTTATCTAATTTAATTATTTTTAATAATTTTAATGAAATTCTTAATGAATTCAATTTTCTTAAACTATTTTTCAAATTAAAAATTTTATGAAATTCAATAATTGTCTAAAGTTTTAACAAATTAATTAACAAATTTTTAACAAAAATTCTTATCTAATTTAATTATTTTTAATAATTTTAATGAAATTCTTAATGAATTCAATTTTCTTAAACTATTTTTCAAATTAGAAATTTTATGAAATTCAATAATTGTCTAAAATTAAAAAAAAAAACGAGCAAATAAAATACCAACAATTTTCAATTAAAAATAACTTAAAATTCAACTATTTTCAAAAAATTTCAATTTAAAACCTTTTTGAAATTTAATTATTTCTATAATTTTCCATCTAAAATATTCTAAAAAATAATTTCAACTATATTTAACTCTTTCGAAATTCAATTAGACAATTATTTTTAATAATTTTTATAATTTCAATTTTGTAAAATTTAATGTCTGTAATTTAACAAACAAACAAACTAACTCTTTAAAAATTTAATTATTTTAAATAATCTTTATATTTTTTTAAAAATTCAATTATTTAAAAAAGTTTCAAACAAAAACTCTAAAATTGAATTGTCAGAAATTTAAAGAAAAAAAAAAACTATACTAATTTAAATTTGCAGAAAATTTATTTCTAATTTAAAATCTTCAATTCAATTATTTAAGAAATTATTAATAAAATTATTTAATAATCTGTAAAATTTAATTATTTTTCGACAATTTTTTGACGATTAAAACTAAAAAGTATAGAAAAATTTTAAATTGGAATAAATTGCTTAAATTCAACTTGAAAAAATTTTTAAAAAATAGAACTTTAAGAATTTTTTTTTAGAAATTTTGTCCTATTTCAGTAAAATGATAATTGATGAAGATATAATGATAATTAAAATCAATTAAAGTGCAAAAAAAAAGAACTAACATGGATCTATTCAAATTTGGATAATTTTAGACAAAAATTAATTGAAATTCGAATAATTTTAAATTTATAACAATTAAAATTTGGTAAATTGAATTTTGGGTAAATTGAAACTCAAAAAAAAATCATAATTTGGATAAATTAAAATTTTTAACTTAAATCAATTACGATTTAGATAAATTTAAATTCGGATAAATTTAAAACTAGTGAAATTAAAATTTTAACAAATAAAAATTCAGATAATTCTAGGCTTCGAAGTGGCACTTTTTTAAAATACTTTGATACTTTTTTTTCAAAAAGGCTTCTATTTTACTACTAATTTTGGCCAAAAGCCACTAAATGCTACTTTTTTCAAAAAAAAAATTTTTTTAAATGACAAAATTCAAGAATTTTAAATTTTAGCGAATTTTTTTTTATTCCTAAAATCTCGCAAAGTTGATGATTTATTATTAGCCGCGTCAACTATTACTTTATATAATTATTTTTTACACGAATTTTTATTTTTCAAAATAGCATTTAACATAATTTCTTTTTAAACGATTTTTTACTCAATAGAATTTTTAATTTGGCAAATTTTTTTTAACAGAATTTTTATTTTTCAAAATTTCTCTTTACCCAACTGTTGTTTTTTTTAATAATTTAAAATTAATCGAATTTCGGACAATAATTGAATTTTAGAGTATTTTGAATTGAAAAATGTTTTAAATAATTGAAATGCCAAGATCTTGATTAAAGTTATTGGAAATAATTATTTAATCAAGAAATTTGAATCAAAATATTTAATAATAATTGAATTTTAGGAGATTTTGAATTAAAATTTTAGTAAATTAGAATTACTGAAAATTATTAACAAAGTTTCAAACAGTAATTGAATGTTAGAGAATTTTTAATTAAAAAATGTTTTAATATTAAATTGAATTTTTGAATAATTGGATTAAAATTATTAATTTAGTAAAGAATTTTAGATACAAATTTTGAAAATAATTGAATTTTTGAAAATTTTTATTTAAAATTGTTTGTCTTAAAATACTAAATATTTTATATAAGCTTCCGACTCGAATTACTTAAAATTCTACTGAATAGAATTTTTATTTTACCAAATTTCTCTTTACCCAACTGTTTTTTTAAAAAAATAATTCTAATTTAACCGCAATTCAGATAATAATTGAATTTTAGAGTATTTTGAATTGAAAATAAATTAAATAATTGAAATACCAAAATCTTGATTAAAATTATTAGAAATAATTATTTCAATAAAAAATTTGAATCAAAATTTTTAATAATAATTGAATTTTAGGAGATTTTGAATTAAAATTTCAGTAAATTAGAATATTGCTAAAAAATTATTAACAAAGTTTCAAACAGTAATTGAATGTTAGAGAATTTTTAATTAATAAATGTTTTAATATTTAATTGAATTTTTGAATAATTGGATTGAAATTAATAATTTAGCAAAGAATTTTAGATACAAGTTCGAGTTAAAAAATTTTAGAAATAATTGAATTTTTGGAGATTTTTAATTAAAATTATTATTTTAATATACTAAATATTTTATATAAGTTTAATCCAAGTTCTATGATTTAAAAATTCGAATTACTTAAAATTCTATACTAAATGAAAATTCTAATAAATTAAAAATTAGATTAAATTAGAATTCTTTTCAAGAAACAATTGGGTAAAGTGAAATTTTGTAAAATAAAAAATTTGTCAAATAAAAATTCGGTACTTTGAAAATTCCGGTTGAGTAAATATTTGTTTAAAAAAAAAAAAATTCCACGTTAAATGGAATTATAATAATGATCCACATTTTTTGCTCCTTAAAGTAGATCCGAGGAGGATCCTTAAAATCGGATCTTATTTTAAGAAAAAGAAAATTCTCTTTTTCATTGTAAATTTTTTTTCATGAAACTGTTTTTTTTTTTTTTTTTTTCCAGCAATGATCGAGGCAATTAAACAATTTGATATCGAAAGAAGAGAGGGTGTAAATATGAGAGTTGGCGTTCACACTGGAACGGTTCTTTGCGGTATTGTGGGAACAAAAAGATTTAAATTTGATGTTTGGTCAAATGATGTGACTCTAGCTAATAAATTAGAAAGCACTGGAACAGCAGGCAGAGTTCATTTAAGTGAAAAAACATTTAATTTTCTAGACGATCAATATTTAATAGAGGAGGCAGAACCAATAAAAGGTGATAAATTTTTATTAATTTTCTTTTTTTCATTTTTTTCATATTTAATTTTCTTTATACAATTCTCTTTTTTTTCTCCATTTATTTATTTTTTTAAATTATTATTCATTAATTTTTCGTAGGATTGAAAACATATTTTGTTAAATCGAGAAAATCTGATATAATGTCAGAATTTTTAACGAATGTAACAACAACAACAACAATACCAACATTGGCACAAGAAGCAACGAGTATTTCGCCATTAATGCAATCTCGTCATCGTATTGGCTCTTGTAATAGTCATTCAAAACCAAGACCACATTATCTTCATATGGTGACTAATGCAAATTGTTATCGAATGAAGGCAAATTCATTGCCAAGTATTTTGGATTCGGAGAATGATGAAGAGGAAGGTGATGTGAGTGATGATAAGGAAGATGTTAATAAAAGTCCCACATCAACGGCAAGTTATGGAAAAAAGAAACCAAAAAATAAACCATGGCGTTATCTTCAACGACAAAGAACAACCGAGGAGATGACGTCAATCGATAGAAAACAATTACAACAACAACAATCAAATGTTATTGAGGATTCAGTAATTGATGAAACAACAAAAGATGAACGAAATGGAATTACAAAGGTTTTTTAATTTTATTTCAATTTTTACCTAAAATTCCTTTTTTTAGGTAGAAAAATTGTCTTCTTTTTTTTTTTATTTTTACTTTCTAATTTCGGTTAGGTTTTCTTTTTTTTTGAATTTGGAAGTTTTCAATTTTTCCCAAGGTAAAAAATAGATTTTTGAATTTCAGTTTCGGAAATTTGATTTCTTCTTTTTTTTTCTACTTTTGTCTCAGTTGAATTTTATTTTAGACGCATGCTTCCACTGATGTGGAGATGGATCCGAATCCCGTACCTTCTAGTCCTCTGCTACCTGGTCAGGAACCAATTAGTCACGCCTCGTCAATTTGCAGCAGAAAAGATTCTGGGATTCGTAGTAGGCGCAGCAGTATCCAGCAACAAGTACGTCCATCATTTCCCATCCTTTTTTTCCTCCTCAAAAAAAAACAAATTCTATTTTTCCCTTAACAAAACAAATCCTTATTAATCGAAAATTAACTAATTTTTCCTTTTGTTTTTTCAATTAATAATTGTGTTTGTTAAAGTTTAGGTTTTGTTTCGTTTTTTTTTTCTATTAAAAAAATTTAATTTTTATTTCCATTTGTTTTTGTAAAAAAATTAATTTTTTTTGTTCGCAGCTATTTTTGATGAATGGAATTGCACAGGGCGATTTATTAACGCAAAGAGTAAGCGGTTATTATACTTCGAATTCGACTTTGAATTCAACACAGGAACCATCGTCGTCGGTGCCACCTTATCCATTTCCACCGGCTGTGACCGATACATTTGGCGCTTGTTTTCATAAATTGAGAAAACAATCCGATCTTCAGTTAATAAGGTTCGTAAAAATTTTTCTTTTTGGAGTAAGTCCACGTGTCAGAAATATCAGAATCTGCAAGTGGTTCTTCGATTTTAATGATACTTGGTAAAATTATAACTTTATATAAGAGCAATGTGTGAGTAAAAGGAATTTTTAAAATATCTAAAATTGTAGGAGTTATATCACTTTTAATTTTGATACTGCATTTTTTTCTTTCCTTTATATCTCGGTCAATTTTCAACCGATTTTGATGAATCAAAAAAACGATTTTTTTTCAGAAAAGTACGTATTTTCAGAAAATTTTAAAATAAAAATAAAATTTTACCGAATTAAAATTCCGATAATTTGAAACTTTTATTAATTAATATTTTTACCAAATTAAAATTCAAATTATTTGAAACTTTTATTAATGCAAAATTTTATCAAATTAAAATTCCAATAATTTTAAATTTAAATCGATTAATTTTTAAAACAAAAATATTGAAATTTCCTTAATTTTAAATTTCGTTTGATTTAATTTACAAGTGATTAAAAGTTTAATAAATAAATTTTTGTTTTGACCAATAAAAATTTTGTAATTCACTGTAACTTGAATCACATGACATTAAAATTAAAATAAACATTTATTAAATTGAAATATAAAATCAATTATAATTTTTGATTTAAAAAATAAGGTTTTTTGCATTTCATAAATTATTATAATTGCATTTAACATGGAATTTTTTTTTTTAACAAACATTTACTCAACGGAATTTTCAAAGTACCGGATTTTTTATTTTACAGAATTTTTATTTTACAAAATTTCTCTTTACCCAACTGTTTTTTGAAAAGAATTCAAATTTAATCTATTTTAAAATTATTAGAATTCTCATTCAGTAGAATTTTAAGTAATTTCGAATTTTTAAATCCTAGAACTTGGAATCAGCTTATATAAAATATTTAGTATATAAAACAATAATTTTAATTAAAAATTTCCAAAAATTCAATTATTTCTAAAATTCACAACTCGAATTGTTGCAAAATTCAATTATTTATAAAATTTGTATCTAAAAATTTTTGCTAAATTAATAATTTCAATCCAATTATTCAAAAATTCAATTAAATAAAACATTTTTTAATTATAAATTCTCTAAAATTCAATTACTATTTGAAACTTTGTTAATAATTTTCAGCAATTCTAGTTAACTAAAATTTCAATTAAAAATCTCCAAAAAATTCAATTATTTCTAAAATTCTTAACTCGAACTTTTCTAAAATAAAATCAATACCAAAATTTGTATCTAAAATTCTTTGCTAAATTAATAATTTCAATCCAATTATTCAAAAATTCAATAAACATTTTTCAATTAAAAATTCTCTAAACTTCAATTACTGTTTAAAAGTTTGTTAATAATTTTCGAGCAATTCTAATTTACTGAAATTTTAATTCAAAATCTCCTAAAATTCAATTATTATTAAAAATGTTGATTCAAGTTTTTTTGTTTAAATAATTATTTCCAATAACTTTAATCAAGATCTTAGCATTTCAATTATTTAAAACATTTTTCAATTTAAAATACTCTAAAATTCAATTATTGTCTGAATTTTGGTTAAATTAGAATTATTTAAAAAAAAAAAAACAGTTGGGTAAAGAGAAATTTTGTAAAATAAAAATTTTAGATTTTTTTTCAATTTCGACCTCTTTTTTTTAATTTTATAATTTTTTAATAATATTCCTTTTTATTTTATGTTTAATTTAAAAAAAAATTCATCCTGGAGACTTTTTTTTAGATCTCGTGATATCGTCCTTTAAGTATTATAAGTCTTCATCAATTTGAAAAACCGCAGGACTTGCTTCTATCATTACTTTCATTTGTTTGTTGAAATTTTTTATGGTTATGAATAACTATTTGTTTTAGAATCCTCTAAAAGAAAGCGCTAAAAACTTCAGCTACAATTTCAGGTTGCATTGTTAAGGTTTCATTACAATTTTTATTTTAAATTATAAATATTACAAAAAATAAACACTTTGCTTCAAATCTATTAATAAAATATTGATTTGCTTGAATTTTCACTTGTTTTAGTCAAGTAATTTAAAAATAAAAACATTATTACGCGAAAGTTTCTAGTTTGTAACAATAATATTATAAAACAAATGAAAGTAGAAACACAAATCTGGATCCTGGTTTTCTTGAGATGTGGAAATTTAAAGAACGATATCACGAGATCTAAAAAAAGTCTCCAGGATGAATTTTTTTTTTTAAATTAAAGATAAAATAAAAAGGAATATTATTAAAAAATTAAAAATTAAAAAAAAGAGGTCGAAATTGAAAAAAAATCTAAAAGAAATTTTGTTTTTTTACTTTTTTCTATTTAAATAACAAAATTTTATTTTTATTTAAAAAATTTTCTGAAAATACGTAATTTTCTGAAAAAAATCGTTAGAATTGATGAAAATTATTAACAAAGTTTCAAACAGTAATTGAATTTTAGAGAATTTTTAAATAAAAAATGTTTTATTTAATTGAATTTTTGAATGATTGGAGAAAATTTATTTAAATTATTAATTTAAATACAAATTTTAGAAATAATTTGAATTTTTGAAATAGTTCGAGTAAAGATTTTTAGAAATAATTGAATTTTTGGAGGTTTTTAATTAAAATTTGTTGTTTTAAAATACTTTAAACCATCTTTTACTTAATAGAATTTTTAATTTGGCAAATTTTTTCTTGACAGAATTTTTATTTTACAAAATTTCTCTTTACCCAACTGTTTTTTTTTTTAAATAATTCTAATTTAACCAAAATTCAGACAATAATTGAATTTTAGAGTATTTTAAATTGAAAAATGTTTTAAATAATTATTTAAACAAAAAAATTTAAATCAAAATTTTTAATAATAATTGAATTTTAGGAGATTTTTAATTGAAATTTTAGTTAACTAGAATTGCTGAAAATTATTAACAAAGTTTCAAATAGTAATTGAATTTTAGAGAATTTTGAATTAAAAAATGTTTTATTTAATTGAATTTTTGAATAATTGGATTGAAATTATTAATTTAGCAAAAATTTTTAGATACAAATTTTATAAATAATTGAATTTTGCAACATTTCGAGTTAAGATTTTTAGAAATAATTGAATTTTTGAAGATTTTTAATTGAAATTTTATTTAACTAGAATTGCTGAAAATTATTAACAAAGTTTTAAATAGTAATTGAATTTTAGAGAATTTTGAATTAAAAAATGTTTTATTTAATTGAATTTTTGAATAATTGGATTGAAATTATTAATTTAGCAAAGAATTTTAGATACAAATTTTGGTATTGATTTTATTTTAGAAAAGTTCGAGTTAAGAATTTTAGAAATAATTGAATTTTTTGGAGATTTTTAATTGAAATTTTAGTTAACTAGAATTGCTGAAAATTATTAACAAAGTTTCAAATAGTAATTGAATTTTAGAGAATTTATAATTAAAAAATGTTTTATTTAATTGAATTTTTGAATAATTGGATTGAAATTATTAATTTAGCAAAAATTTTTAGATACAAATTTTATAAATAATTGAATTTTGCAACAATTCGAGTTGTGAATTTTAGAAATAATTGAATTTTTGGAAATTTTTAATTAAAATTATTGTTTTAAAATACTAAATATTTTATATAAGCTGATTCCAAGTTCTAGGATTTAAAAATTCGAAATTACTTAAAATTCTACTGAATGAGAATTCTAATAATTTTAAAATAGATTAAATTTGAATTCTTTTCAAAAAACAGTTGGGTATAGAGAAATTTTGTAAAATAAAAATTCTGTAAAATAAAAAATCCGGTACTTTGAAAATTTCGTTGAGTAAATATTTGTTAAAAAAAAAAAAAATTCCATGTTAAATGCAATTATAATAATTTATGAAATCCAAAAAACTGATTTTTTAAATCAAAAATTATAATTGATTTTATATTTCAATTTAATAAATGTTTATTTTAATTTTAATGTCATGTGATTCAAGTTACAGTGAATTACAAAATTTTTATTGGTCAAAACAAAAATTTATTTATTAAACTTTTAATCATTTGTAAATTAAATCAAACGAAATTGAAAATTAAGGAAATTTCAATATTTTTGTTTTAAAAATTAATCGATTTAAATTTAAAATTATTGGAATTTTAATTTGGTAAAATTTTGCATTAATAAAAGTTTCAAATAATTTGAATTTTAATTTGGTAAAAATATATTAATTAATAAAAGTTTCAAATTATCGGAATTTTAATTTGGTAAAATTTTATTTTTATTTTAAAATTTTCTGAAAATACGTAATTTTCTGAAAAAAAATCGTTTTTGATTCATCAAAATCAGTTGAAAATTGACCGAGATATAAAGGAAAGAAAAAAATGCAGTATCAAAATTAAAAGTGATATATAACTCGTACAATTTTAGATATTTTAAAAATTCCTTTTACTTACACATTGGCTCTTATATAAAGCTATAATTTTACCAAATATCATTAAAATCGAAGAACCACTTGCAGATTCTGATATTTTTAACGTGGACTTACCCTTTTTTTATTTTGAAATTAATAGTTATCTACTATTTCTTTCTTTCTTTTTTTTCAAATATTATTTACAGATGCGTTCAAGATAATGTTAGTTCACAAAGATCATATTTTGTAAAGCCACCATTGTCAAGTGTGACATTATTCTTTAAAAATAAAGAAATGGAAAAAGAATATCGTGAAAATGCCCATAAAGCATCAGAAGGTTTTGGTGGTAATCCACCAACATTGGCAACATCACGTTTTAATACATATTTTGATATATTAATATCGGCATTGGTTTATTCATCAATTGCAATATCATTATTTCTTCTTTGCACGCCATCAATTTATTTTATTATTTTTTTTATTATTGGAACATTAATACAAGGTTCAGCTGTATTATTATGCATACGTCAATTACTTGATCCAAATACAATGCACGCAACATTTACACATCGAATATTTAAATTTTTTTCACGCTGGTATCCATGGCATGTTTGTGGCGCATTATTAGTTGCATTGCCAATTGTTTCAATTCTCATGAATTTTACATGTAATTTTCGTTCAACATTTTATAATTTTGAATATTATTACAGTTATTTAATATTTGTTGGTCTTGTGCATTTTTGTAATTTTACACAATTAAATTGTTGGATGAAAAATTTTCTCGTCACATTCACCGGTATTTTATTTATTTGTTTAGTTGCAAATCATGTGACAAAATTTTATCAAAATCAAATTTTTAATACAACGAATGTTGTTAATTTATCGTTAATTGGTGATTTCACCGAAAATGTGATATTTGAAAATAAAAGTCTCCTCGTCATTCCAATTAATGCAATTGAACCACGTGAATTATTTAATCAAACAAGGGAAATTTTATTAAAAAATAATCATCAAAAACAATTGTACGATGAAAGACTTTATAATTCGGAAATATTTTTAGATATATTATTATTATTATTGTTGGTATGGTTTTTAAATAGAGAATTTGAAATTAGTTATCGTTTAAGTTTTCATGGTAATGCAGTGGCGGCACGTGATAAAGCGCGTGTACAAAATATGAAAAATCAAGCCGATTGGTTATTACATAATATTATACCAAAATATGTTGCCGATCAATTAAAAACAACGGCAAAATATTCACAAAATCATAAAACAGTTGGTATTATATTTGCAAGTATTGTGAATTTTAATGAATTATATGATGAATCATATTTGGGTGGCAAGGAATATTTACGTGTATTAAATGAATTGATTGGCGATTTTGATGAATTATTGGAGAAATCAGATTATGCAAATGTTGAAAAAATCAAGACTATTGGAAGTACATTTATGGCAGCGAGTGGTCTTAATCCTCAGGTAAATCGAAAAAATTAATTAATTATTTATTTATAGATAGGACAATATAATTGTTATTGAAATTAAAATTTTATCAAATTAATGGGAGAAATTAGGAAAATTTACCAAAAAAAAAGGCAATTATATATTTCCCTGAATAGAATAATTTTTTTATCTTTTGAATTTAAAAATTGGATATAATTTTAATTTTTTTTTCTCCTATTCAAGCTTTGAAGTGGCACTTTTTAAAATTTTTTTTGATACTTTTTTTTCAACAATGCTAACTTTTTTACTACTAATTTTGGTCAAAAGTCACTAAATGCTACTTTTTTCAGAAAAATAATTTTTAAAAATGACAGAATTCAAGAATTTTAAATTTTAGCAAAATTTTTTTGATTTCTAAAAACTTGCCAAGTTGATGATTTATTATTGGCCGCGTCAACTATTGCTTTATATAATTATTTTTTTACACGGAACTTTATTTTTCAAAATAGCATTTAACATAATTTCTTTTTAAACGATTTTTTTTGCTCAATAGAATTTTTAATTTGACAAATTTTTTTTTTTGACAGAATTTTAATTTTACAAAATTTTTCTTTACCCAACTGTTTTTTTTTAAATAATTCTATTTTAACCGAATTTCAGACAATAACTGAATTTTAGAGTTGTTTTAAAATGAAAAATGTTTTAAGTAATTGAAATGCCAAGATTTTGATTAGTTATTAGAAATGATAATTTCAACAAAAAATTGGGAATCAAAATATTTAATAATAATAATTGAATTTCAGGAGATTTTGAATTAAAATTTTAGTAAATTAGAATATTGCTGAAAATTGTTAACAAAGTTTCAAATAGTAATTGAATTTTAGAGAATTTTTAATTAAAAAATGTTTTATTTAATTGCATTTTTGAATAATTGGAGAAAATTTATTAAAATTATTAATTTAGATACAAATTTTAGAAATAATTGAATTTTGGAATAGTTCGAGTTAAGATTTTTAGAAATAATTGAATTTTTGGAGGTTTTTAATTAAAATTTGTTGTTTTAAAATACTTTAAATCATCTTTTACTAGACAGAATTTTTATTTTACAAAATTTCTCTTTACCCAACTATTTTTTTTTTTTAAATAATTCTAATTTAACCGAAATTCAGATAATAATTGAATTTTAGAGTATTTTGAATTGAAAAATGTTTTAAATAATTGAAATGCTAAGATCTTGATTAAAGTTATTGGAAATAATTATTTAAACAAAAAAATTTGAATCAATATTTTTAATAATAATTGAATTTTAGAAGATTTTGAATTAAAATTTCAGTAAATTAGAATATTGCTGTAAATTATTAACAAAGTTTCAAACAGTAATTGAAGTTTAGAAAATTTTTAATTAAAAAATGTTTTAATATTTAATTGAATTTTTGAATAATTGAATTGAAATTATTAATTTAGCAAAGAATTTTAGATACAAATTTTGGTATTGATTTTATTTTAGAAAAGTTAGAGTTAAGAATTTTAGAAATAATTGAATTTTTGGAGATTTTTAATTGAAATTTTAGTAAACTAGAATTTCTGAAAAATATTAACAAAGTTTCAGATTGTAATTGAATTTTAAAGAATTTTTAATTATAAAATATTTTATTTAGGTAATTGAATTTTTGAATAATTGAAATTATTAATTTTGTAAAAATTTTTAGATACAAATTTTATAAATAATTGAATTTTGCAACATTTCGAGTTAAGAATTTTAGAAATAATTGAATTTTTGGAAATTTTTAATTAAAATTATTGTTTTAAAATATTAAATATTTTATATAAGCTGATTCCAAGTTCTATGATTTAAAAATTCGAATTATTTAAAATTCTATACTAAATGAAAATTCTAATAAATTAAAAATTAAATTAAATTAGAATTCTTGTCAAAAAACATTTGGGTAAAGAGAAATTTTGTAAAATAAAAATTCTGTAAAATAAAAAATTCCGTACTTTGAAAATTCCGTTGAGTAAACATTTGTTTAAAAAAAAATTCCATGTTAAATGCAATTATAATAATTTATGAAATCCAAAAAACTGATTTTTTAAATCAAAAAATTATAATTGATTTTATATTTCAATTTAATAAATGTTTATTTTAATTTTAATTTCATGTGATTCAAGTTACAGTGAATTAAAAAATTTTTATTGGTCAAAATAAAAATTTATTTATTAAAATTTTAATCACTTGTAAATTAAATCAAACAAAATTGAAAATTGAGGAAATTTCAATATTTTTGTTTAAAAATTAATCGATTTAAATTTTAAATTATTGGAATTTTAATTTGATAACATTTTTCATTAATAAAAGTTTCAAATAATTTGAATTTTAATTTGGTAAAAATATTAATTAATAAAAATTTCAAATTATTGGAATTTTAATTTGGTAAAATTTTTTATTGTTTAAAATTTTTCAAATTATTAAAATTTTAGTTTCTCCTCAAATTTTAATTGCTATAAATTTCAAAACTTTCTAATTTCTAGTTTATATAAATTTTAATTGATTTAAATTTCAAATTTTTTTCAAATTTCAGTTTGTCCAAATTTTAATTGTTTTCAGTTTTAATTTATCAAAAATTAAATTTACCAAATTTTAATTGATTTAAATCTAAAATTATCCAAATTTCAATTGATTTAATTTACGAATTATCTGTTTCAAATTTTAATTTCACTTACCTAGTTTTATAATTATCCGAATTTTAATTTATCTAAATCGTAATTGATTTTATTTTCGAATTATTGAAATTTCAATTCTAAAAAATTTAATTGATTTTAGTTTCAATTTATCGAAAATTTTCAAATTATCAAATTTTAATTGATTTAAATTTTAAAATTATCATAATTTTAATTTTTAATTGATTTTTGTTTAAAAAATTATCCAAATTTGAATAGATTTCAATTATTATTATTTTTTTTTTTTGCACATTTATTGGTTTTAACTATCAATTTTTTTCTCACCTTTTTTCTTATTAATAATATTCACATTTTTACCTTTTTTTTAAGGGGGAAAAAAATACTATATAATTTCTGTTACACTAAAAAAAAATAATTAAAAATTTGTTTGTCAGGAAATATTTTTTAATCACCCAGGAAATTGAAAAATTTATTCTTATGTCAATTTTAATTTGAATAAAATAAAAATTTTACCAAATTAATGCATTTGTCAAAAAGTAAAAATTTAATTATGTAAAAAAAATAACAATTCCTTTATATATGGAAATTAAATTATTTATTTATTGTTTAATTGAAATTTAGAGAACAAAAAAAAAAAATAAAAAATAATTTTTTTCCTTTCCACAGGTTCGTCAGCAAAGTGAACACGAGTACACACATCTATTTCAATTACTTGATTTTGCAATGGCAATGCATAAAGTTATTTATGATTTTAATCAAGATCTATTGGGTTTTAAATTAATATTGAGAGTGGGTTATAATTTTGGCGATGTTACCGCCGGTGTTATTGGTGCTACAAAACTTTATTATGATATTTGGGGCGATGCCGTGAATATTGCATCGCGTATGGATTCAACAGGTGTTGCGGGAAAAATTCAATTACCAATGAATTGTCTTGAATTATTAAAAGAACGCTATGAATTTGAACAACGTGGTCAAGTTTATGTCAAAGGAAAGGATAATATGGACGTTTGCCTTCTTATTGGAAAAACAAAAGCAAAATAAAATTTGCAAATTTTCTTCTTTTTTTTTGCCTAAATGAAATATATACATATATATATTTAATTCTTGTAATAATTTCAAGAAGAAATTTACAAGAGAAAAAAACACACCTAGAAGAAAAAGAGAGAGAGAAAGAAGAAAAAGGTGAGAAACAAATATTTATTAAGAGATATTGTATTTTTGTAAATAAGCATCTTTTTTTTTTGAAACGGGAGATCTGACATGAATCTGCCTTTTATAATTATTATATATATATATTGTAAAAAAAAATGTGTAATTTATACCTATATGTGCGTTACGTGCTTTGAATGTGGTTTTTTTTTTTCTTTTTTTTTTGAACGTCTGAAACAAAAAAAAAAAAATAATTATCGAGAATATAATCGCCATTATTTTTTTCTTGACGTGATACTCGATTATTTTTTCCGAAATGAATGATTTTGAATTTATTTTTATATTATCGGATTTTTAATATATTTAAAGCTTATTTGGGAAAATATTTTTGTTTATCTTCTTTCAAGAAAAAAAAAATCTTATTAAAAAGACTTTCTATTAAATTATTTTTGTTTGTCTTTTAAGAAAAAAATTGCTTTTTGTTTTTCAAATATAATTTTATCGTAATATTTTTATTTTTATTATTATTTGAAAAAAAAATTTATTTATAAAAATGATTTTTAATATTTAATATAATTTTTTTATTTACACAAATTATTTTTTATTTACAAAAGCAATTTAATTTTTAAAAAAAGTATTTTTATTTATTTTTATTTAAAAAATAATTTTAGATAAAAAATAATTTTATCGAAAAAAACTGAGAGACGAAAAACAATAATTTTTTTAATTAAAAAAATTTTTTTTTATCGAAAAAAAATAATTTTATCGTTTTTTTAAAAATTATTTTTTCTTAAAATGGTTTACAAAAAAAACAAAAAAAATTCAGAATCGTTCATTTTTCATGTGTGTTTTGTAAAGCTTCGTAACACAAAGTCTATAATTATTTAAGAATTATTACAAAAAAAAAAAATTTGTTTTTTTTTTTATTTATATTGAGAGCAAATTTTTTTATTTTAATTTTGTTTTATCGATTTTGTGGGAAAAAAAAACCGAGATCTGATTCATGAATCTTGTTTTTATTGAAATAAATATTTTTTGTCTTTATTTCTTTAAATAATTAAATAAGTCCAATTTTATGATTTTCGACTTATTGTGACGTAAACAAATAATTGCTTCTAAAAAAAAATTATTAATTTCCTTTTTTAAAATACTGACTTACATTTTTTGAGAAATTTTTATTATTTTTTTAAATATTAAAAAATTTTTTTTCTATTTAAATTAAACTCTTAATAATTAATTAATTAATATTAATTTTTATTAAATTTTTTTTTATTTCTTTTTTTTGTGGGAGCATTGGTGTTTTTTTCTTGTGAAAAAAGTTTTTTTTCGAATAAAAGAAAAAGATTATCAAAATATTTTTTTAATAATAGTGAAAAGAAAAAATACTTTTCTATAAGACATTTTTTAATCTTACATAGGAAAAATGGGGGAATAATTTGAAAAAAAAAATGTACTCTCAAGTGAGAAATAGGAATTAAATATTTTTTTCTTTTTTTTTTTTAATCAAAATAATAGTCATAATTTTGTAAGACACGTCTTCCAAAAATGAAATGTTCGAAGCTATTTTTGAGACGATTAAAGCTTTAAAATTAATTTGTTAGAATTTTCAATTCACCGAATAATAATTAAATAAGAAAATAACTAAATAATAAAAAAAAATAACTAAATAAATAAGAAAATAACTAAATAATTAAAAAAAAAGAAACTAAATAAATAAGAAAATAACTAAATAATTAAAAAAAAAGAAACTAAATAAATAAGAAAATAACTAAATAATTAAAAAAATGACTAAATAAATAAAATAAAAAAAATTTTTGTCTAATGCAAATTCAAACAAAATTAATTTATTCCTGCGTCTCGATATTTTGATTTTAGATAAAAAAAAAAAAAAAAAATATGCAAAACTAATCGCACTTGTGCCTTTGCTAATTATTTTTCCAATTTCTCGCACTTTTCGGAAATAAAAAATTTTTCCTTTTCAAAATATTAAAATTAGAAAACTAATTTTCCCTTTTGAAAATTTCTATATTTGAAGATAAATGCAAAAAAAAATACTTTAAAATTGAAAAAAAATAAATTCCTAAATCGAAATAAATTCAGAAATAATTTTTAATCTATTTTTTAATTACCTTTTTACAAGTGTATATAAATAGGATTAATTTCCAAAAAAAAATTTTTTAATTAACTCACGATTAAATGGTGCAATTTAAAAAAAAAAAAAATCTACATATCCTAAAATATTATTGTCAATGCATTTATTTATTACAGTACAATATATACAAGATTATTGATCTATTTAAAAAAAAAAAAAAACTGATGTACAATGATGATGATGATGATAATGATAAATGAATGAATGGTTGTTGGCAGCTTAAATCGAATTTTTTAATCGATTGCAATAATATACGTATTTATATCATTCGAATTTTGAGAAAAAATAAATTCTTTTTTTTCCCGACGAAAAATGTTGTTACTTGTTAATATTACGTATGTGTGTGTGTATGTATGTATTTTTGGGAACCGGAAAAACATTCTTTTCTTTTTAAAAGTGAAGTTAAAAACTGAAAGTAGAAAGATTTTTCTTTCGCATCATTTGCTTCACTATTTATATAATAAAATGTACAATATAAAAAAAAAAAAAAAAAAAGAATTTCCCAAAGCAAATCGACTTTTCACAAGAGAGGCCTTTTTACCGTATCGATTTGTAATTATTTATAAATATCTTTGTAAATAACAATTAATATTGTAATTGAGCTTCCGGTGCAATTTGCATAAAACTTCCACAAAAAAAAAGTTTTATTTTTTTGTGCCCAGGAAAAAAAATATTTCTCCTTTATTTTATAATTTTTTTTTTTAATTTTAATTATAAATTGAAATATTTTTTTTAATATTAAAATTCAAAAATCAGAAATTTTATCTCACTTTTATGCTTTAAAATATTTTTTTCTAATATTAAAATTAAAGAGGGAAAAATTTTTTGTAAATTTTAATTTAAAATGAAAAAAATTAATTTTTAATTATAAAAAAAATATGTTAATTGAAACGGAATCTCAAAATATGAAATTGTAATAAATATAATCGATTGTTGCAAAATAAATCAATTTCTCGATTCGATTGATGGCTTCTTTTTTCTTATTATTATTATCTTTCAGTATATTATAATACTTTCGTTCACTTATACTCTAATTTTTATTTTTTTTATTTTTTTTCTTGGAACGTTTAGAAAATTTAAGAAAAAATTCTATATCCTAAGATTAATAATAGCTGATTTATTTTTTTACAAAAATTTATTTTATGTTCTATATTATTTTTATAATGAACGTGAATGATAATGGGAATTAAATTACAAAAAAAAATGTGATTTCATTTTTTTTCACTAAATTCACAAAGACTTTTTATTTTTCTTTCTTTCTTTCATCCATTCATCAATAAATGCATTTTTGTGCAAAAAAAAGAATTTAATCTTAAACGTAAATAATCTTTTCTCTTTTTTTTTTTTTTCTTCCCGCCAAGGAAACAATTTTTAAAAATAAAAATTTAAAAAATTCGGGTTTTTTTTTTTGGCCTGCAAAAAATTTGCCGAACGAATTGAAATAAAAGAACAATTAATTTTTTTTAATGACTGCGAGGACAATTTTTTTTTTCTTCAGAATTTCAGTGCTTTTTGCATTGAAATCTCAAAGCTAACGATAAAAAAAAATTTTTTTTTTTTTAAAAGTAAACGAAACAAGAATATAACAGAATTCTAGTTACTTTTTAAGCACCGATATTTAAAAAAAAGAGAAAAAATTTCTCTCTTTTTTTTCTATTTCAAAAAACTTGACAAAAAGTAGAATTTAAAAAAACAAATCAAAAAAAAAATTGATACAAAAATTTCATTGTAAAAAAAAAACTTGAACAAATACAGCACGCACACTTTTTTTTTTTTTTTGAAATGATCACTTTCAATAATAATTATTTATATATAAAAGTCGATTCTCCTTTTTTGTATCATTTCATTTTTCCCGTAAGAAAATTATTCCCCTTTTTTTTTTAAAAAAAAAGGAAAATTTAATTTTTTAAAAAACGCTTCTTTCAATATTATAACCGAAAATTAAATTTGAAAATAAATAGAAAAAAAAATCGTGCAATTTCTGCTATTTATAAAGCTTTAAATGCAAAATCGTAGAAAATATTTTCATTTCGATCTTGAATAAAGTTCAAAATTTTTTTTTTTTTTTATATATATAATATAGAAATATCACCTCTAATCTCTGTTGTGAGATAAAATTTTATTCACTCAAAGAGGGCGAGAGAGAGTTGGATTTTTTTTTTTTTATTCCTCTTTGTTTATTGAGCTAAACCAACTGATGACTCCGTATGCTACGTGGGTCCAGCAAAGAGAACAGCAAGACCAGTTTCACTAGAATTTTTCGATATTTCATCTACGCGAATAAATTCACTTTTCTTCGGTATTTGAAGACGTGGCAAATTTGCAATTTTCACTTCTTTTCGATAAAGCTGTCCAATATTTTTATCGATAAGCTGGGGGGAAAAAAAGTGAATTTAATATTTGTTTTTTTTTTTATAAATTAAAAAAAAAAAAAATTAGCAATTTATAAATTGCAATTTAATTATGGGGCGGTTCAAGTTCTACACATTTAAATTCTACACCGTATAAATTCTACAAAATAAATTTATAAATTTTGTTAAATTCTGCACTATTAAACTCTACACACGTTTATATAATAAAAAAAATTAATTTTGTTAAATTCTACACAGTTAAATTGAACATCGTTAAATTCTACACTAATTAGTTGTTGGATAATTAAAAAAAAAAAAATTTTTTTAATTATACACAAGTAAATTGCACACCGTTAAACTCTACACCCGTTTATTATTTAAATATAAAAATAATTTTAATAAATTCCACAGAATTAAATTGCACACTGTTAAATTCTACACAAATTTATTTAAAAAATCACGTTGACAGTAACGAATTTTATTGTTTGGGAAAGTAACGGCAATGCGTTACAATATTTTAGCAAAAAAAAATTTGAAAGAAATTAAAAAATAGTTCTATAAATTTCGGTAAAAAAATTAGCTTTACGTTAATAAATGAACGCAAATATATATCAAAAAATAATATTCGGGTAATGTTATATTAAATTTAACTTAGTTAGCTTAATTAAAAAATAATTTTATCAATAATTATCAATAATAATTTAACTTAATTGTTTGTTATAAAGAAATTAAAGATTAATATTATCAATAATAATTTAAATTTATTAGAATATTATTTCATATTAAATGATAATAATGAAAATTATTATTATATGTTATTAAATTATATATAAAATTGAATTATTTTCCAAATTTTCAATTTAAAATTCAATTATTTACCAAGTTTTCAATTTAAAATTAAATAAAATTCAAAAATTACCCGAAATTTTAATTCAACATCAACTTAAATTAAATTATTATCCAAAATTTCAATTAAAATTCAATTATTTTCCAAAATTTCGAGTCAAAATTAATTATTATCAAAATTTACAATCAACAATCAACTAAAATTAATTATTATCAAAATTTTCAATCAACTAAGATTAAATTATTTTCAAAATTTTCAATTTAAAATTCAATTATTTACCAAGTTTTCAATTTAAAATGAAATAAAATTCAATTATTTTTTAAAATTTTAATTCAAAATTAATTATCGAAATTTTCAATTAAAAATGAACTTAAATTAAATTATTATCGAAAATTTCAATTAAAATTCAATTATTACCCGAAATTTTAATCCAAAATCAACTTAAATTAAATTATTATCCAAAATTTCAATTAAAATTTTATTATTTTCCAAAATTTCGAGTCAAAATTAATTATTATCAAAATTTTCAATCAGCAATCAACTAAAATTAATTATTTTCAAATTTTCAATCAACAATCAACTAAAATTAAATAATTTTCAAATTTTCAATTTAAAATTCAATTATTTACCAAGTTTTCAATTTAAAATAAAATAAAATTCAATTATTTTTTAAAATTTCGATTCAAAATTAATTATCGAAACAATGCCAAAAAAAACATTGAAAAATTTTAACCAACACAAAATAATGTCAAACAATATATTTAAAAAAAACAAAAGACCTATAACAAATACTAACTTCAGGTGTGGACAGAATGAACGAAAGATATTCACGATTATTATATGTAAAATAGACTTGAAAATAATCAAATTTTTCTAATTAAAAAAATGTGTAGAGTTTAGCGATTTAAATTTGAATGTGTAGAATTTTACAATAATGATTCCCATTTTTTTTTTAAATAAATTTGTGTAGAATTTAACAGTGTGCAATTTAATTCTGTGGAATTTATTAAAATTATTTTTATATTTGGGTCATAATTTCTCAAACGGAATCAGAAATTTTTTTTTTTAATCAAAAATCATTTCTTTTGACTCCTTACATGGTAAAAATAAGTCCCTAAAATTTTTAGGTAAAAAAAAATTTTTTTGTTAAATTTATAAACAATTGAAATTTTTTGCAGTCTTATTTAAAAAAAATTTTTTCTCGAGTTCCTGTTCACCAATTAAAAAAAAGGGGGGTTTTCTCGTCTTAAAATGTAGTTTCTAAATATAATTTTTATTTTGAAAAAATTTCATATTTAATAGATTTTTATATTATTTATTTATAAAATGTTATTAAAAAAAAAGTGTTCTTGACGTCCTACAGAAAATTAAATTTTTTTTTTGAATTCCCCACACAATTTTGTGTAAGAAACCGTTGAGAAAACAGAATGAGACTAAAAAAAAAAGTTTCTGAATTTTAGGTGATCCGTTTGAGAAATTCTGACCCATTTAAATAATAAACGTGTGTAGAGTTTAACGGTGTGCAATTTAATTGTGTAGAATTTAAAAAAAAAAAATTTTAATTATCCATCAACTAATTAGTGTAGAATTTAACAATGTTCAATTTAGTTGTGTAGAATTTAACAAAATTAATTTTTTTATTATATAAACGTGTGTAGAGTTTAATAGTGCAGAATTTAAGAAAATTTATAAATTTATTTTGTAAAATTTAACTGTGTAGAATTTTACAGTAATAATTTTCATTTTTCAAAATAAATTTGTGCAGAATTTAACGGTGTTCAATTTAACTGTGTAGAATTTAACAAAATTAATATTTTTTTATTATTTAAACGTGTGTAGAATTTAACAGTGCAGAATTTAACACAACTAATAAACTGCGAAAAAAAAATTAATTTTGTAGAATTTAACTGTGTAGAATTTTATAGTAATAATTGTCATTTTTTTAAAACAAATTTGTGCAGAGTTTAACGTTGTTCAATTTAACTGTGTAGAATTTAAAAAAATTATTTTTATTTTTAAATAGAAACGTATGTCGACTTTAACGGTGTACAATTTAACTGTGTGGAATTTAACGAATTAATTTTTATTTTTAAACTAGCGATGTATTCCTCGCTCGCTCGGTTAAAATTGTACTTATTGTTGTTTACTTATTGTAGTTTATGTATATTATATTTATAATTTATGTTTTAAATTAATATCTTATTAATATTGTATAAAATTTATCATAAAATTGAAAAAAGATGTTACATAAAAATAGTTTGTAAGATTTTCTAACAGCATATATGCAAAGTATTTTGATTTATTTGAAAATAATTGAAAATAGATTTTTCAAGGACGGTGTCGAGGTCACGGGGTCGGTGTCGTTTTTCGAAATTTGTTAACTTAATATAATAGAAAATGTTTCGTTTTAAATTAAGAAATGTTAAAATTATTAAGTTAAAAACATTTGATTTTAATGACACTTAAAATTAGACACAATATTATAGGTTACTAACTAAAAATTGAAAAAACAACAATAAATAATAAAAAATAATAATAAAAAATTGAAAAAATCAAAAAATTCTTAAAAAATTGCAAAATAACCCTTTTTCGGGATAAAATTGCAAAATAACCCTTTTTCGGGTTAAAATTGCAAAATAACCCTATTTCGGGTTAAAATTAAAAAAAGATGTTACATAAAAATAGTTTGTAAGATTTTCTAAAAGCATATATGCAAAGTATTTTGATTTATTTGAAAATAGATTTTTCAAGGACGGTGTCGAGGTCACGGGGTAGGTGTTGTTTTTCGAAATTTGTTAACTTAATATAATAGAAGATATGAATGTGTGTAGAGTTTTTCGGTGTGCAATTTAACTGTGTAGAATTTAACAAATAAATTGTGCAAAATTGAACTCATGTAGAATACAACATTGTAAAATTTAACGTGTAGAATTTATACGGTGTAGAATCTAAATTTGTAGAACTTGAACCGCCCCTTTAATTATTAACTATTATTGTGAGTTTTTTTTTTTTTTTGTGAAATAACTGAATTTCTACCTGATTAGTGATTTTTTTGAAAAGATCCTTCTTTCCTTTTTCGACTTTATTCCCCCTTGTACTGACAACGGACATTTTCTCATCGAATCTTTGCAAATCAGCTGGATTAATACCGGGAATTTGTTGCATAACTTCAATAATACAGGGGAATTTTGGCCGAAGACATTCGTAAACTTGTGCGCCCAATGTGACAAGTGAACCCTGATTTGCCTCATGTTGACCATGAAGTTGAAGTCCCTGGAGTATTGCACGCATTATATGAGTTGCCATTTCAGGCGTTAAACTACCATCGGCAGCCAATGCACGAACCACTGGACCAGTTAGCATTGTTGCTTTTAAACTTGCATTCGTATCGTTCCAAGACAAAGCCCTAAGAGAAAAAAAAAATTTTTTTTACAATTTTCCATAAAAAAAAATTTTTCTTTTAAATTCACAAAATTTTTACTATTAATTTGTTTCTTTTACAAAGGTAAAACTAATTTCGTTTTTTTTTTAAATATATTTCTGTTATTTTCAAAAAAAATTTATTTCAATTGAATTGATTTAAAAAAAAAAATTTTTAATTATTTTTCTCACCCAAGAACGCAAAGTACAACACTGTGACATGTTGATGGATGTCTAAGGACAAAGGAACCCAATTCGCTAACGGCCTCGGCGACAATGCTATTTCCTCTAATTGGCGGATCAACGGCCATTCCACCGCTATCTTGGTCCATGGAATCAGGTGGCGATGCATCGCTTGCCGCTCCTCCAACTAGAGCAACTTTCAATACATCGACAAAATCCCTTGTCAAATTTCTATTCAACATATCTTCAATAACTTCCTGTGTGTCCGCATTTTCCTCGTCAAGACTCCCTGACTCGTACAATTGTGCCATATATTGCCATTTGGCACTCAGTCTTTGGCACACTATAAATAAAAATTATTTGATCAACTTTTTTTTTCTTTTTTTTAAAATTTTATAAAAAATTTAAATGAATTTTTTTAATCCAACGGAATTTCCATTTAATCGAATCATTTACTTATTTATTTATTTATATATTTATTTAATACAATGGTGAATTTTTGATTTGATTCGAATTTTTAAATTGACAGAAATTCCAATTCACTGAATTTTAATTTGTCCGAATTTTTAATTTATATGAATTTTAAAGACGCCGAATTTTTATTTGTCCAAAATTACAAATTGACCAAACGAACAATCGACGGAAATAATTCGGCGTAATTTTCAAACAATTGACCAATTAGAAATTATCAAGAAAATTGGTAAGTTTTTTTTTGAAAATTGCGCAGAAATTTTTCTGTCGATTTTTTTCTTCGGTCAATTTGTAATTTCGGATAAATTAAAATTTGGCGTCTTAAAAAATTCGTACAAATAAAAATTCGGATAAATACAAAATTCGTACAAACAAAAATTCGGATACATTAAAAATTTGTACAAATAAAAATTCAGACAAATTAAAATTCGGTGAATTGGAATTTCTGTCAAAATTTAAAAATTCGAATTATATAAAATTTAATTGAATGAGAATTCTGTTAAATTCAAAAATTCGCTTAAACATGACTTCGGATTATACGACATTTTTCGACTTATTTTAATGAAATAACGACTATTTCCACTTTTTTTTACATTTTGAAAATTTTTTTTTTAAATAAAATATATATTTTTTTAAAATAAAATGCAGATCTTCTTTAGATCTTCTTTATTTCAATTATTTAAAAAAATTTTAATTAAAATTCTTCACTAAATTAATTATTTTTAATAATTTTAATGAAATTTATCACAAATTCAATTAATTAAAAATTATTTTTCAATTAAAATTGTTATAAAATTTAACAAATGTTTATAATTTAAAAAAAATATCAAATAAAATTATAAAAAAATTTAAATTCAAAATCATAAGTCAATTTAAAATCAAATAAAATTCAATTATTTTCAAAAATTTCAATTCAAAATCAAATAAAATTCATTTATTTACCCAAATTTTCAATTTAAAATCAAATAAAATTCAATTATTACCCAAAAGTTTCAATTTAAAATTAAATAAAATTTAATTATTTTCAAAATTTTCAATTCAAAATTAATTATTATCAAAATATTGAATCAAAAATCAACTAAAATTAAATTATTGTCCAAAATTTCAATTGAAATTCAATTATTTTCCAAAATTTCAATTCAAAATCAAACAAAATTAAATTATTTAAAAAATTTTTAATTCAAAATCAACTAAAATTCAATTATTTTTAAAATTTTCAATTTAAAATCAAATAAAATTCAATTATTTACAAAATTTCAATTCAAAATTAATTATTATCAAAATTTTCAATCAAAAATCAACTAAAATTGAATTATTATCTAAAATTTCAATCAAAAATCAACTAAAATTGAATTATTATCTAAAATTTCAATTAAAAGTCAATTATTTTCAAAAATTTGAATTTAACTGCTTCTAAAATTAAATTATTTCTTAAATTTTCCATCGAAAATTTTTTTGAAATTTAATTAATTTTAATTTAATTTAATTTCACAAAAATAGTTTTCAAATTATTCTATTTTTGTCCGCAATTTCTAATAAATTTTTTTAGTGAAATCATCAAAAAAATTTAATTAAAAATCACTTGAAGTTCAATTAATTTTAAAAATCTCAATTGTAAATCTTTGAAAATTCAATTACATTTAAAAAATGTTATCTAAAATTATTTGATAAATTATTTTTACTTTTGTAAAATTTAATTATTATCTAAAAATTAACAAAATCTTTTGAAATTCAATTATTTCTAAAAATTTCAACTTTAATCCTTCCAAAAGTATTATTAAAAAAAAAAAAAAATTTATTTAAAAATCTGTAAAATATTTTTGTTAAAATAAAAAAATCGAGTTTTTCGACTTTTTTTTTTGGAATATAAATCGACTAAAACGACATTTTTTTTGTGCCTTTAAGTCGATCCAAGGCCTATGTTAAATTGAAATTCTTTTAAAATAAAAAGTCATGTAAAGAAAATGACTGTAAAATAAACATTCTCTCAAAAATTCGTTAGCTAAAATTTTTTTTTATGTAAAAATTCGTATAAAATAAAATTCTGTCAAATTTTTTATTCGAAAAATGTGAAATTCGAATAAATATAATTATTTCTAATAAAATATTTCTTTAAAATCAAAATTCTTATTAATGATTTTTATAAGAAATTCATGAGCTTCTTTTTTATTTGTAAATAAAAATAATTTTCCTTCTAATTTTGAAATTAATTATTCAAAGTAAACAATGAATAATGAATTTTATTTGGAAAAAAAAAACAAAACTTACTGTGAGTCGATACGTGAGCCAAAACAGGAACAAGAACTGTTTCATAAAACGCTGGCGGGCAAAAATATACAAAAGGCTTCATAAAAACACGAATAATTGGACGTAATCGATGATCTGGAATGACCTACAAATTGGAAAATAATAATTGTATAATACATTTAAAAAATAGTGGAAAATATTTAAGAAAACAAAAAAAAAATACACGCAACAGACACAAAAGAAAGAAATTTCAAATAAAAAGAGAAAAAAATTGAAACAAAATAGAAAAAAAAATTAGAAAAGATTAAAAAAAAAAATAGAAAAAAAACAGAAAAAATAGAATTAAAAAAAGGAATATTACCTCCATATTGGAAAAAACGGAATTTAAAAGTGCGTGCGCAAATCCAGGAATTTGATATAAATCTCTTCCAATAGTATGACAACCACTGCCCAACATATGATAGCAATGATCGTGAATATTACTTAAAAATGATTGCATTCTTGCTAATGGCGGAGTTGCTGTATAATCTGATTCAACAGCCGCGTCATTATTATTAGACGTATTTAAACCCAATAAATGTGCTCTCTCAGATTCAAGAAGACCAAAAACGCCTCTGTATCCCTGAAAAAAAAAAAAAAACAATTTTCTATTTTTCAATCTAAAAAGAAAATATTTTTAAATTTAAATCAAATACAAAAAAAACTAATAGTAATTCAAAAATGAATTAAAAATTAAATTATTACCTAAATAATATTATTTTTAGAAATAAATTATAAGTCGCATAATCCAAGGCCTAAGTTTAATATTAATAAATAAATTAATAGGGTCAACCGGGGTAAATCCGAACGCTTTTAGTAAGTTTCAACAATAACATAAGTTTTTTCTTTAAAAAAAAAAAATACTTCCGGTATTCTGGTGCATGAAGTTGTTACTTTACTTCCATAGAACAATTTTATGGGGTAGAAAAAATTTTTGATAAATTACAATCGCAGGAAACTTAGCGTTCGTATTTACCTCGATACTTTGCAACTTTCCTAAAATACCGGGGTAAATACGAACGCCACTGTATTTCAGAAAAATCTTAGGGAAAATAAATTTAAAGTATTGCAATTGTTAAACTTATATAAAAACTCAAAAAAAATACGATAATAAACCTATTATGTAATAATGCATCATATATAAATACAAAAATCAAACAGGTTAAAAATTAAAATGCATTACACAATTAAAACCTTCAATAACTTTATCAAATCATAACGGATTTTTGCAAAACTTGCTATAGAAAGTATTTTGGAGTGATTGAATGTAAATACAAAAATAAAAGTGAAATTTTTTAAATTCAAAATGGCGGACTTTCCTAAAACTTATTTTTAAAAATGATCAAATTTGCTAACCCTGAAACCCCCCGAGTAACAATTTTCGAGCGAATCCAATGAATTTTTTAATTCTCGTCCGCCATTTTGAATTTTGAAAAACTGACTTCAAATTGGTAATTAGCGACTCCAAAAACCGTAGAATACCAAATTTTATTAAGATCCTGAAAAACTTTTTTCAACAAACCATTTGGCAAAAAAAATTGAAACACTCCTTCGAGAGAATAGAGATTAAGTTTCTGCTTATTAATTACTAACGAGGATACGTATAGAAAGAAAAACTTTTTTCTACGTACTTTTATAATGTTAAAATAATAGTGTAATGAAATAAAAACAATTTTGTGTGGCTTTGATGTAAAAAAAAATGATTGAAAATACCGTTCGGATTTACCCCGGTTTTCCAATTTTCCCGGGTAAATATACGAACGGTCTGATATTATTAATAAAATTTTACAGAAGGCAAAAATGAAAAATAGTTTCTGTTCTAGTATTCATAACAAACAATTATAAATAATAAAATAAATTTTTAGCTTCTTTTTCTTCAAATACGAGACAAAATACTGAAAGAGTGTCATCTTTGATTTTCAATCTTTTTTTTGCAATACTCGTTATCTTTGTTTATGCTGTTGCTAATTAACAAACGAAAAATGGGATAATACTTAGAATCTCTTGAAGAGGATCTGAGGTAAAAATTCTCATATCGAACTTATTTTTAAAAATTTTAATTAAGCTGAAATAATTAGCGTTCGGATTTACCCCGGCTGACCCTAATTAAATTAATAATTAATAAAAAAATAATACCTCGGAGAGAAGAGCAAGTGCAGGCGGTGTAAAAAGTGCATTCATCGATCGTAAAAATTCAAAAAATGTCCTCAACACCGGCACAATATGAGGTGTTGATGGATTTCTATAAACTGGATTTCCACTTTCACTAAGTGCACCAACAAATCCACCGCGTGCCGCACGATCCGGATCCTCAGGAATCGAGCATCGTTTCACAACACTCATTACAGTCAAAATACAATACATCAAATCCGAACGATTAATTCCCGCTGGATCGTCGTAGCCATTTTCCACTGGCATTTGATCTAAGCCAATAAATCTTATCAGTTCCAATGGCCCCTTAAATGCCTCCGTTCCAATTGTCACAAATCTCGTCGCTGCCTCGCCAATCACCTCTGCGACAAATCTACAAAAAAATAAAAAAATTTTCTCAATATTACAATTAATTATAATTTATATAACACTATAATTTACCAAAAACAAATAATAAATAATTCATACCTCGTTTGTCTCTCGTAATCACAAAAATGATTTGAAATTAAAAGCAATGCCTCGTACAAAAAGACACTTTCCATTCGTGATAATTGACTTGGTTCACGTACCAAACCGCGAACAGTCGTGTGAATTTGTTCAAAAACAGGTAACAATAATAATGGATATTTATAGCCAATTTTCACCATTAAACTAGCAGCGTGTCGTCTAACAGTTTTTGTTGATTTTGAACGTGTTTCTTTGGTTTCACCAGGTTCCATATAAACTAAAGCGGCAAATATTTTTTCAAGAACACGCGGTAATATTGCAACACCTGGCATTGCCATTGAACCAGTTGACATTGAAAGAAATACAAATAATGCACTAATACATGAGAGTAAACTCGATAAAAGCCATGGATCACGTGGATTATAACTCAAACATAATTCCAATAATTGTAATCCATTTTGAACATTTGGCCTTTCATTCACAAGTAAAATCCTTCGAAAAAAAAAAGAGAATGAAATTTTTAATTATTAAATGAACTAGCAAAATTAAACGCGCGTCAAATTGAGTATTTAATTGTTTGTTATAAAAAAATTAAAGATTAATATTATTAATAATAATTTAATTTATTAGAATATTATTATATATTAAATGATAATAATGAAAATTATATACAGGCCCTCGGATTATACGACTTTTTCCGACTTTTTTTTCAAAAATACGACTTTTATCGATTTATTTTAATAAAATGCGACATTTTTTTTTACATTTGAAAAAAAATGTAAATAAAATACATTTTTTTAGTATAAAATGTAGATCTTCTTCAGATCTTCTTCAATTCAATTATTTAACAAATTTGGAACTAAAATGATTCTTCACTAAATTAATTATTTTTTAATAATTTTAATGAAATACATCACAAATTCAATTATATCAAAATTATTTTTCAATTAAAATTTTTTATGAAATTTAACAATTGTTTATAATTTAAAAAAAAAATATCACAATAAAATTGAATTATTTTTTTGAAAATTTCAATTCAAAATAAACTAAAATTCAATTATAACCCGAAATTTTAATTCAAAATCAATTCAAAATCCAATAATTATCCAAAATTTTCAATTTAAAATTTAATTATTTACCAAGTTTTCAATTTAAAATACAATGAAATTTGATTATTTTCAAAAATTTCTATTCAAAATTTTATTATCCAAATTTTGAATCAAAAATGAACTTAAATTAAATTATTATCCAAAATTTCAATTAAAATTCAATTATTTCCCAAAATTTTCAATTCAAAATGAACTGAAATTCAATTATTTTCCAAATTTAAAATCAAATAAAATTAAATAATTTTCCAAAATTTCAATTCAAAATTAATTATTATCAAATTATTGTTCAAAATTTCAATTGAAATTTAATTATTTTCCAAAATTTCAATTCAAAATCAAAGAAAATTAAATTATTTTCCAAAATTTCAATTCAAAATCAAAGAAAATTCAATTATTTACCAAATTTTCAATTCAAAATCAACTAAAATTCAATTATTTTCCAAATTTTCAATTTAAAATCAAACAAAATTCAATAATTTTCAAAAATTTCAATTCAAAATACTCATTATCAAATTATTGTCAAAAAATTTCAATTGAAATTTAATTATTTTCCCAAATTTTAATTCAATTTCAATTATTATCAAAATTTTCAATCAAAAATCAAAGAAAATTAAATTATTTTCCAAAATTTCAATTCAAAATCAAAGAAAATTCAATTATTTTCCAAATTTTCAATTTAAAATCAATAAAAATTTAATTATTATCCAAAATTTTAATTCAAAATTAATTTTTATCAAAATATTGAATTCAAAATCAACTAAAATTAAATTATTATCCAAAATTTCAATTAAAAATTAATTATTATCAAAATTTTCAATCAAAAATCAACTAAAATTGAATTATTCAAAATTTAAATTAAAATTCATTTATTTTAAAAAATTTGAATTTAAAATCTTCTAAAATTTGAATTTAAAATCTTCTAAAATTTTATTATTTCTAAAATTTTCCATCAAAAATTATTTGAAATTTAATTAATTTTAATTTAATTTCATAAAAATAGTTTATTATCCAATTTCAATTAAAATTCAATTATTTTCCAAAATTTTCAATTCAAAATGAACTGAAATTCAATTATTTTCCAAATTTAAAATCAAATAAAATTCAATAATTTTCCAAAATTTCAATTCAAAATTAATTATTATCAAATTATTCAATCAAATATGAACTGAAATTAAATTATTGTCCAAAATTTCAATTGAAATTTAATTATTTTCCAAAATTTCAATTGAATTTCAATTATATTCAAAGGTTTTAATTCAAAATCAAAAAAAATTCAATTATTTTCCAAAATTTCAATTCAAAATCAAAGAAAATTCAATTATTTTCCAAATTTTCATTTCAAAATCAAATAAAATTCAATTATTACCCAAAATTTTCAATTTTAAATTAAATAAAATGTAATTATTTTCAAAATTTTCAATCAAAAATCAACTAAAATTGAATTATTATCCAAAATTTCTATTAAAATCCAATTATTTTCAAAAATTTGAATTTAAAAGCTTCTAAAAATTAATTATTTCTAAAATTTTCCATCGTAAATTTTTTGAAATTTAATTAATTTTAATTTAATTTAATATAATTTCATAAAAATGGTTTTCAAATTATTGTATTTTGTCCGCATTTTCTAATAAATTTTTAGTGAAATCATCTAAAATTTTAATTAAAAAACACTTAAAGTTTCAATTAATTTCAAAAATCTCAATTTTAAATCTTTGAAAATTCAATTAAATTTAAAAAATGTTTTCCAAAAATTCTTTGATAAATTATTTTTAGTTCTGTAAAATTTAATAATTGTTTGAAAATTAACAATATCTTTTGAAATTTAATTATTTCTAAAAATTTCAACTTTAACCCATCGAAAAGGATTATTATTAAAAAAAAACAATTTTTATTTAAAAATCTGTAAAATATTTTTGTTAAAATAAAAAACAAATCCACTTTTTTTTGGAATATAAATCGACTAAAACGACTTTTTTGTGTCTTTAAGTTGATTCGAGGCCTGTTTATAATTAATATTTAATAGGTATTCGTTGGCCCCTGGTACCTTAAAAATTAATTTTTAAAAATAAATTTTTTTCAAATTACTATCTTGTACGAAATTTCCTGGCGCATCTTTTTTCTCAATATAAATTTTTTGTATTTGTTTACAATTTTTGAATCAATATACAACTTTAAAAAAAATTTCGTTGGTAAACGTTGTGTACTTCAGCTTCGTGAATTGAATTTTCGAATTTGGAATTTTAAAGAAACTTATTCCGAAATTGGGAAACACAATTATACAACTTTGGCAAAAATGAGAAAAAGAATTGTCAAAATTTGACACGTCATAAGATTACTATTCAAAAAAACACGTGAAATCAGAAAAGGCCAACTTCAAGTTAGGACAGAAGGACAGACAAAGCATTTTATTATTATATAATTTATAAAAAAAAAGAAAATACAAACCTCGAAACAACGGAATCCAATGCATTTGCAAGTGCTTCCCATTCTAAATATTCACGATCATTTGGATCGCATTTATATCCAATATCATTCATTCCCTTGGTAATTTTTGCCGTTAACCAATGTTGAACATAAGCAAATGTCACCAATGGCGCAACCATTGTTGCATTACGAAAACCCTCCAATAAATCCATTCGAAAACGATGGAAAAATATTTTAAATTCCTCCTCAGTATCATAATCAGAATCAAAATACAATGCCGATGTTCCATTTGCTTGTCTTCCATTTGAATATGTGACTTTTATTAATTTTGGTCCAGTGCTTTCAATATATTTTGGTACATATGTCAATAATAATGAATCAATTTTTATTTGCTCATGCTTAAAGAATAATATCCAAATTGAATTTGCTAAATGCGTTAATGTCAAATTGGAATGCATTGTAAAATGAATGACAGTATCGAGAAATATATTAAAATTTGTCGGACGAATTCCTGAACTATCGTCTTTACCCCACAATAAACATAATTGCGTTGCCATTCCAATTAATACCTGGAAATTTCAATTAAATATAAAATTTTCTTATTTAACTAAATTTAATTAAATAAAAAATTCAATTATATAATTAATAGCATAAAAAAATTAAGAAATTTAATCAAAATAAATTTTTTAGACTTCAAAGCGTAATAAGAGACTAAGAAATGTATAAAAATGTATAATTTAAAAAAAAAATCCCAAAATTTAAAAAAAATTTAAAAATTCCTGAATTTTGTGTTTTAAAATTATTTTCTGAATAAAGTAGCATTTAGTATGGCTTTTGGCCAAAATTAGTAATAAAAGTAAACTTCAAAGCCTGAAATTTCCATGAATTAAAATTAAAAATTCCAACGGCAAATAGAGAAAATTTGAGATATTTCAGAATTTTTCAATATTGTAAAAATTCTGCTAAAAAAAAATAGAAAATGAATTTCAAAAATAATATACCTGAGTGAGTTTCTTTAAGAATAGATAATGACTTTCATAGAGATCATTGGGTCCAGGAGGAGGTGGTGCAGCAGTTGCTGCAACATAAATACAACGAAGTGCCTCTTCTGTAAATAAAATCATTAATTGCTTTCGATCATCGGCTTTTCCTTTTCTATCGACAACATGTAAAAGACATTCGGCTGCCGAACATCGAAACACTTGATTTCCCAAAAGTAGACAAAGAATCTGCAATAGACGACCCTCATCCGCCATTATATGATTTATCGAAACCCATTCAACAAATCCTGTCAGCGTTTTCAAAACCGCCTGTAAAAAAATTAAAAAAAAAAAAAAAACCAAAAAAAAACCAATAAATAAAATAGAAAAATGACAAATTTCCAAATAATTGCAAAATTTATGAAAATTTTTCAACAATCTCTGCCAAAAAAAATTAATAATAGAGATTTGAAGTTTATTTTCAAATATGTAAATTAAAATTTTCATTACCCTAACAACGCCACTGTGTGCCGCTGCTTCTGTATTTCTTCCAAGATTCGTTTGTTTTTGAAATTCAGAAAAATGTTGTTCCATTAATCTCAGGAAAAATGCAAATATTTGCGCCATATTTGTTGTTAACGCCTGATAAATATCCTTTCGCCTTTGATTTGATTCTAATGTTTGTAATAATGCAACATCTTCAACAAGTCGAAGAAATACAAGTAAAACAAGTTCAGTTTGACTTTCACCCCTTGTACAAACTTCACTTAATTCTGCCAATAATGTTGGCCATTGTTGTGGCCATTCACGTTTTATCATTTCAACAATAACCCTTGACAATGCATCTTTAATGTGTGCCTCCTCTTGTAATAATGGTTCAGTACCCTCTTGTAATAATTTCATTGAATTTTCTTTAATAAAAATTTTCTCCGATTGCGATATTTGTGTCCATCTATATTTTATACAATGCTCAAGTAATTGTAAACCAAAATGACGTACAATTGAATTGCGATCTGGTGATTTTTGAGCAAGATACAATCCACATTGTACGCATAATGGCGATGATTCTTTAAATCTTTCGCATGCACTGTAAACTTCAAGACGTTGTTGATGTGGTACATTGGGCGACATCATCACCTCAACAACACGAGCAAGCTCCGCCGATGTTTGAGCGACATCACCAACGCCAAAATCCATTCTTTAATTTTTAAACTCTAAACTGCAAAAAAAAAAAAAAAAACAAAAGGAATTTTATTCTTTTGGCTGACAATCGAAATTAAATTAATTAATTTTCTCATGACGAAAATAGACAATTTTTTTTTTTAAATTAATTTTTAAATGAAATCGAAAACATTTGTAAAAATTAGTTTGATATAAATAGTGTAAAGGTCAGTGACTTATCGCTATTAATAATCGAAGTTAATCGCTTAGGAAATTTTTAATATCACTTTTTGTTTATTTATTTTATTTATTATTTTATTTATTTTATTTATTAGGTATTATTTATTTTATTTATTATTATTTATTTTTTTTAATATTTATTTATGATTTATTTTATTATTTATTAATTTTTTAAAATATAAGCCTCGGATCCGACTTAAAGGCACAAAAAAAATATGTCGTTTTAGTCGATTTATATTCCAAAAAAAAGGCGAAAAAGACGATTTTTTTCATTTTAACAAAAATATTTTACAGATTTTTAAATAAAAAATTTTTTTTTTAAATAATAATACTTTTGGAAGGGTTAAAGTTGAAATTTTTAGAAATAATTGAATTTCAAAAGATTTTGTTAATTTTCAGACAATAATTAAATTTTACAGAACTAAAAATAATTTATCAAATAATTTTAGATAACATTTTTTAAATGTAAATGAATTTTCAAAGATTTACAATTGAGATTTTTGAAATTAATTCAACTTCAAGTGATTTTTAATTAAAATTTTTTTTATGATTTCATTAAAAAAATTTATTAGAAATTGCGGACAAAAATAGAATAATTTGAAAACCATTTTTATGAAATTAAATTAAATTAAATTAAAATTAATTAAATTTCAAATAATTTTCGATGGAAAATATTAGAAATAATTAAATTTTAGAAGCTTTTACATTCAAATTTTTGAAAATAATTGAATTATAATTGAAATTTTGGATAATAATTCAATTTGAGTTGATTTTTGATTGAAAATTTTGATAATAATTAATTTTGAATTGAAATTTTGGATAATTATTGAATTTTAGTTTATTTTGAATTGAAAATTTTGAAAATAATTGAATTTTAGTTTATTTTAAATTGAAAATTTTGAAAATAATTGAATTTTAGTTGATTTTGAATTGAAAATTTTAAAAATAATTGAATTTTCTTTGATTTTGAATTGAAATTTTGGGAAATAAATAAATTTTAATTAAAACTTGGATAATAATTGAATTTTAGTTGATTTTGAATTGAATATTTTGATAATAATCAATTTTGAATTGAAATTTTGGAAAATAATTGAATTTTATTTAATTTTAAATTGAAATTTTGGAAAATAATTGAATTTTATTTAATTTTAAATTGAAAATTTGGAAAATAATTGAATTTTAGTTTATTTTGAATTGAAAATTTTGAAAATAATTGAATTTTCTTTGATTTTCAATTAAAATTTTGGAAAATAATTAGATTTTAATTGAAATTTTGGATAATAATTTAATTTTAGTTGATTTTGAATTGAATATTTTGATAAAAATTAATTTTGAATTGAAATTTTGGATAATAATTGAATTTTTATTGATTTTGAATTGAAATTTTGTAAATAATTGAATTTTACTTGATTTTAAATTAAAAATTTGGAAAATAATTCCATTTTCTTTGATTTTGAATTGAAATTTTGGATAATTTAATTTTAGTTGATTTTTGATTGAATATTTTGATAATAATTAATTTTGAATTGTAATTTTGAATAATAATTTATTTATTTATTTCAAAATAGACGGGCTTACAAAAGAAAAAAAAATGAAAAGAAATAATTAATAATAATAAAGAAAAAAAGAAATAATTGAATTTTTATTGATTTTGAATTGAAATTTTTAAAAATAATTGAACTATTTTTGATTTTGAATTAATTTATGATTTTGAATTGAAAATTTTTGGTAATTTCATTTGATATTTTTTTAAATTAAAAACAATTGTTAAATTTTATAAAAAATTTAATTGAAAAATAATTTTGAAATAATTAAATTTGTGATGAATTTCGTTAAAATTATTAAAAATAATTAATTTAGTAGTAATAATTCAATTTTAGTTAATTTTTGATTTGAAAATTTTGATAATAATTGAATTTTCTTTGATTTTAAATTAAAAACTTTGAAAATAATTGAAATTCAATTGAAATTTTGGAAAATAATTAAATTTTAATTGATTTTGAATTGAAAATTTTAATAATAATTAATTTTGAATTGAAATTTTTTATAATTATTGAATTTCAATTGAAATTTTCGATAGTAATTAAATTTTAGTTGATTTTTAATTGAAAATTTTAATAATAATTAAATTTGAATTAAAATTTTTGATAATTATTGAATTTAAATTGATTTTGAAATGAAATTTTGGTTACTAATTGAATTTTATTTGATTTTAAATTAAAAATTTGGAAACTAAATAAATTTTAAAAGATTTTGTATTAAAAATTTTGAAAATAATTGATTTTTCTTTGCTTTTGAATTAATTTTTGATTTTGAATTAAAATTTTTTTGGTAATTTTATTTGATATTTTTTTTAAATAATAAACAAATTGTTAAATTTTATAAAAATTTTAATTGAAAAATACTTTTAAAATAATTGAATTTGTGATGAATTTCATTAAAATTATTAAAAAAAAAAATTAATTTAGTGAAGAATTTTAATTAAAAATTTGTTAAATAATTGAAATAAAAAAGATCTAAAGAAGATCTGCATTTTATACTTTAAAAAAATATATTTTATTTAAAAAATTTTTTTTTTTAAATGTAAAATAAAAGTCGAAATAAAATTATTTTATTAATAATTAAATCATTTTCTCAATATTTTTAAACATTGTGAATAATTATTTTATCTGAAAAAAATACTAAAACAATAGCATCAAATAATAAAATTATTTTACATTTTAATAATCAATATCCGCGATATTTTTAATATTTGCAAAATTAAAAAATAAATACTAAAACAATGTCATAAAATTTTATTTTACTTTCGAATAACCAATTTTTGCCCGAAATTTTTAATTTGCAAAACAATTATTTTATTGCAAAAAAAAAAAATAACAGAGATGATTCAATACCCTAACAATATTGGTTAATCGTTTTTTTTCGAGAAATTTTCACTATGATACAAAATTAATAATTAAATCTCAAAATTTTCATTCAAATTCTAAAACTAACCTCACATAACCTAGAAAAGTAAGGTATAATACGGCAAAAATATTATATTTTATTTATAATACCTAGTGAATATCTAGAAACATCGTCTACAAAGCGTCGACCTGTTGACTTTTCATCACAATTTTTATAGCGAAACAATCATCAGGAGAAAAGAATTTGTAATTAAAAAAAAAAAAACAAAAAACAGATTTTTATTAAATAACCAAAAAATTGGAGTTTCAAAAAAAAGAGGTGAAAAAAAAAATACAAGAACGTGGGGAGAAATTTACTGGACGACATCGGCGTGCACGCCGACCATGCCTTGTGACAGTAGTGTAGAAATGAAAAAAAAACTCACCCCAAAAATGTGTTCATAAATTGGAAAAATGAGATTTATTCCAACAAAAAAAAAAGCAATAAACTTGTTGCTTATTTCACAAATTATCCTTTTTCAATTATAAGGAAATTTATGATGAGAAAAAAAAATTGATTTATTTACCAGATTATATAGTTTTCTTGGATTTTCCACACAATCCACCACGGGATGCGGCGGCACCGTTCAATCGCGCATGTCGATTTAATCGCCCTCTTCTGGACAAAATTCGAAAAGTCGTCGTCGCGCACCTGTGGACAACCTAACCTTTAAATTCGCGCTCAAATCTGCGCATTGCTTTTTCTTTTTTCTTCAACTTTTTATTTAATTGCAATAAATTTACGTGAAATTAATTATCAAAGAAATATTTATTGTTTTTTATATTGAAAAAAAAAGAATTGGAGGAAAAGAAATTTGAAGAATCGACAATTTTTGTGTCCGTTAGGTTATGCCGGTTTGTCACTTTGTCATCGGGAAATAAATAAACAAGTGAGTTTTTCGAAAAAAATAGATTTTTTTATATATATAGGATAATTAATTATTGTAATAATTGGTAATTTCATTAATTTTATATAGTATAATAATGCTTGTAGTATTAAAATATTAATGTTAGAATTCTCGACATCGATTTTGAAAATTTTCTTTTCTCTCTAAAATAATTTTTCTATATTTATTTTATTATTTTAATTTACTATATTTCTGTAAAATTCGTTTTTATTATTGATTATTATTTTATATTTATTTGTTTATTATTGTTATTTTTTCCATAAGTTCGAAAAAAAAGTTTTCTTTATTTCAATTATTTAACAAATTTTTTCTCAACCTAAATTAATTATTTTAAATAATTTTAATAAAATTCTTTTCAAATTCATTCTAAATTATTTTTTCAATTAAAAATTTGATGAAATTTAATAAATTTTTTTTTTCAATTTAAAAAAAAAGCAGTAAATAAAATTACCGAAAATTTCAATTTAAAACAATTTTAAAATTTAATTATTTTAAAATTTTTTCATCTAAATTTAATAATTTTAATTATAAATCTTTTTCAAATTCAATTATTTTTTTATTTTTATAATATTCTTCGAAAATTCAATTATCTAAAAGTATTTTTCAATTAAAAAAACTTTCAATTATTTTTTTATTTATTTAGAATACATATACGGGCAAGCCCTTTTAATTAATACAGGTAATTTTAAATTATAATAATAAATAAATAATTCAATTTTGTTCTGTTATTTTTTTTTTTTTTAATAAATTCTTCAGCAAACATAAAACACGAAAAATTTCAATTAAAAAAATGACTCGAAGTTGAATTAATTTTAAAAATCTAAATTAGTAAATCTTTGAAAATTCAATTATTATTATTAAAAAAAATGTTATCTAAAATTTATTTAATAATTTATAATAATTTATTTTCAATTTTGTAAAATTTAATTATTGTTTGCAATTTAAAAAAAAATCTTTGTAAATTTAATTATTTATAAAAATTTAAATTGTTATTCTTTAAAAATTCAATTATTTTTAATAATTTCTACTGTAACGATTCAAAAATTCAATTATTTTTTAATAATTTTAATTTTTCTCTAAAAATTCAATTATTTAAAAATGTTTCGAAATAAAAACTCTAAAATTTGAATTGTCAAAAATTTTAAAAAAATTATAGCAGTTTAAATTTGCGGTAAATTTATTTGAAATTTAAAATATTCTACAATTCAATTATTAAAAAAAAAAATTAATTTAAAAATCTATAAAACTTAATTATTGTCTGAATTTTTATTTTTTTTGACGATATTACAACTAAAAACTTCAAAAAAATTTAATTCGTCTAAATTGCTTTAATCAGACTTCAAAAAAATTGAAAAAATGGAACTAAGATTTTTTTTTTTAAATTTATTCTACTTAATTAAAATTTTGAAAATTTATTTTATTTCGAATTTGAAATATTCGAAATACATTATCTTTATAATATTCTTATAGAATTATTTTTTATTAAGGAATTAAAATTAATTTAATTATATAATTATTTAATTTAATAATTTATTTAATATATTTTTAATTAATTAATTTTAATAATTTTTTTTTTTTTAATTTTTAGAAATAAAAATGGACGAAGCTTTAGTGACACCATGTGCATTTAAAGTGAAATTTGCTAAGCAAATTTATCGAGTTGAATTTTCTCCATACGAATGGTCTCAACATGTAATTTGCATAGCATTGGACCAGGAAATTGTTGTAGGAACAGTAAAATTTCAGGTATAAGATAAAAATTTTATTCGTATTGTTAAAGAAAGAAAAAATAAAAAAAATTCTCATATGGAATTTTTTTTTGTTAATAAAAAAGAAAAATTTTCTTTTCATTATTTAGGAAGATGACGACGTTACAGAAGATGTTGTTTACACTCCATTAAGAACATTTCATCATGAAACAAGAGTTCATGCAATTGCTTGGAGTCCTGAAACATCACTTACTCTTGTACCAAAAATCGTTACATTTTGCGTAGCCGGTGCTGATTTTAAAATTCGACGATACAATAGCAATTTGAGCGATAAAAATACTTACGAGGTATAAATTTTTTTTTTTCAATAAAAAAGTAATTCACAAAATTTAAATCAATGAATTTCTAAAGAAATATACTTTATTTTTAGAGGAAAATAATTAAATTTTTTTAGAGGAAAAAATTTCAAAATCTTTTATATAAAAAAAAAAAATTATAAAAAATAAAACTATAATTTTTCTTAATCCGACAATTAAAATTAAATTAAATATATTATAATTCAATAAAATTAAATTAATTCAAGTATTTAAAAAATTAAATAATTTTTTTGTAATTAAATAGAAGAAAATTAGTTCAAGTATTTAAAATTAAATAAGATAAAATTAATTCAAGTATTTAAAATTAAATAATTATTTATAATTAAATAAAATAAAATGAATTCAAATATTTAAAATTAAATAATTAAAAATAATTGAATAAAAATTAAAAAATTCGGTTTTTTAATTTAAAAAAATTTTTTTTTTCCTTTTTGCCAGGTTTTAGATGGACACAAGGACTATGTGAATGCAATTTCTTATGAGCCAGAAGGCGATTTATTGGCATCAGTCTCCGATGATCATACATGTAAATTATGGGCAGTCAAAGAGAATGAGCAAAAATGTATTTCAACATTTTGTCTCAATTCACCTGGTGTCAGTGTATGTTGGCATAATGAGGAATCGGGAAAATTACTTGTGGCAGAAAAAAATGGATTAATTCGAATGTTTAATGTAAGAAGTCAACAGGCAATAATGTCACTTGACGCTGGTACTGTTCCACTATCATCAGCCGATTGGGGTCCAAATCCATTGAAAGTCATTTGTTTAGGCGCTGGTGAACTTTTACTTTGGGATGTTTCGAGACCGAGGTTAAATTTTTTTTCCTTCTTTTAATAATTAAAATAATAATTTTTTTAAAACTCCTTTTTTTTATATTTACTTTTGTTTTTGTTCAATTTTTTTTTTTTTTTTTTACTATATTTTAATTTTATTTTCAAAAAGAGAAACTTTTAATTAAATCACAATTTAATCTTTATTAGGGGAAAAAAAAGAAAAAAAAATAGTAAAATTAAAAAAATTTAATTTAAATTTTAAATTATTCAAATTTGATAATTTTCTCAAATTTTAATTGATTTAATTTTCAATTTCTAATTTATTTTTAATTTTGATTTAAATTTAAAAATAAAAGAATTTTGATTGATTTAATTTTCGAATTATTTAGATTTTAATTTTTCTAAATTTCAATTATCCAAATTTCAATTGATTTTAGTTTTTAATTATCCAAATTTTAATTAACTTAAGTTTAATATTATCCAAAAATTTTAATTGATTTTAGTTTTTTAATTATCCGAATTTTAATTCACCTAAATTTTAATTAATTTAATTTTCAATTCATTAAAAAAAAATGTAATTTACCCAAATTTTAAACTTTCAATTTTTTTTTTTTATTTTTAATTGAATCAATAATTAATTAAATATTTCAATTAATCTAAATTTGAACAATTAAAATTTGAATAATAATCATTAATAATAATAATAATAATAATTTATCGAATTAATTTAAATTTTCAGTCGACCAGTGGAAAGTCGTAATCTTCACGTTGAAGGTGGAATAATGGTGAAATTTTCATTTGCAAGTGAAAATATTGTTGCAAGTATTGGTCGTCCTGATAATTTATTGAAAATCACAAATTTAAGTACAAAACAAGTGATACTTTGTGGTAAAATAAAACTTTTTGGTGGAATGTCCTGGCATCAAAGATTGCCATATGTTTGCGTTGGTAACGATAGAGAATTACAATTTTGGAAGATAAACAATAAATAGCAATTAGAAATATTTAAAAGTCCATTGAGACTTTTAATAAAATAGAAAACAAAGAAACTTAATTTTTTTTTTTTATCTACTGTAAGAAAAAAAAAACTGATTTTTGTAGCTTGTTACCTTTTTTTTGTAAGAAAAAGAAAAATTGATTTTTGTAGTTCGTTACCTTTTTTTTGTAAGAAAAAGAAAAACTGATTTTTGTAGCTAGTTACCTTTTTTTTGTAAGAAAAAGAAAAGAAAATTAATTTTCCTTAATTGAAAATACTTTATGATTCAATTTTTCAATAATAAAAAAAAAGTTAATTATATAATTATTATAAATTGTAATTATAAAATTATAAATTATAATAATTCCGAATATATATTAAATCTATAAGTGTAAGCGAAAATTAATTTTAGATTTTGTTTTTAAATTTCAAATTTGGCGCATTTGAATTTATGCGCACAAAAATTCTGCGCATCTTTTATATATATAGAAAATAAATAACTTTGATTTTTAAAATTCTGATTTTTATAATTTAAAAAAACTGAAATTTACTATTCGGAACTGCACCCAAATATTAATTTTCTTTTACATATATTTTTAAAAAAATATTTGTTAATATTTTGAATTGATTCCCTAAATTTTAAATTTCTTGTAGTGGTATTATGATGCCAATTGTGAACTTTCCTTTATACTATTAATACTTCCTCCTGATTGGTTCTTATTTTACGAGTTGATGACGTCAGCCATGTTTTTTTTACAATCGATTTTTAACGACGCCACGCGATCTTTGTATGAAAGAATTAAATATTTAATAATTAATTAAGTTTAATATAAATATTTCTAAAAAGTTGAGAGTTCTTTGAAGAATGGCAAAAATCAAGTACAAACATCTTGGTTTAGAGGTTAGTAAAAGTATTTCTATTTGAAATGAAGTAAACATTCATTTTGCGCATTGTTTTTTATAATACATTTAAAATATAAAATTTATTAATAAAAGTAAATTCTACATTATTTTGAATAAAAATAATAATTATGCAAATTCGTTCTTACTACCTAGCTATTTATAGTTTCCCTACTTTTTTTTTTTGATCGCATTCAAAGGGATAATTTTTTCTTCGCACGTGTGACTAAATTTGTTTCTTTATAATACAATTTACTCTATATATATATAAATAATATTTATTTTTAACAACATTTCGGATTTTTATTATTCTATTTTAAAAGTGAATTAACAATTATTAACTTTATTTCATTAATTTGAGTTGAAAATAAAAATATAAGGTTCCAAATTCGTAAGAATATTTTTTTGAGGTTAGTTTTGAAATATTTCTTATCGCATTTTAATAATTTATTTATCGCTTTTGTTTATTTATATTTATACTTGTATATTTTATTTATATATTTAATTTATTTTTCTGTAATTGTATTTTATTTATATTTTCGTAATTGTATTTTATTTATATTTTCGTAATTGTATTTTATTTATATTTATATAATTATGTTTATATTTTTATTTCCATTTATTAAAAAAAAATGTCATATTCATTAAAAACAGCCATTTAGATTGAAATAAAATTTATTTATTTTTCTATTCAAAAAAGAATTGACAATAAATTCATCGCATTACATAATAGAAATAAAATTAACATTTTTTTTATCATTTTCTTATTAAATAGGCGTCAGACAACCAAAGTTCAAATCGTAATAGCATGGAAGATCTCGAGAGAGGAAATAAAATTTATTAAATAAAAAAAAAAAAAAAAACAAAGCGTAAGTTTCGCTTAATTTTTTTTCTTTATATAAAAATGCTTTTTGTAATTTTATTCATTAAATTTTTAATCATAAATAATAATTTATTGTATTAATATTATAAATAATAATTTTTTATATTAATATTATAAATAATAATAATTAATATAACTAATTATTATTATTTATAATATTAATTATTATTTGAAATAAAAATAATTTTGTTTGTTTTATTATTATATAAATAAATTTAGTATTATTTAGTAATTTAGTATTTAGTGTTAAGAATAATAAAATATAATTTTTTATGTTTAAAAATACAGAAGTTCAATCGTAGTAAATGTGGAAATATTTGAAATTGAACAAATTTCCGCCACACATCAAATCGTAGATTTGAAGATTGAGAAAAAAAAAAGAAGAAAATGGAAGACCAAAGCAAAAAATTTATTGAAGACAAAGTAAGTTTTAATTTGTATTGTAAAAAAGAAAATATTTACAAAAATTTGTTTATTTTTTATTATTAAAATATAATATATTAGAATTTTTTTTTTATCATTTTTCAGAATTCTGATCTTCATGGAAAATTAAAAAGAGTTTTGAAAAATTGAGATAGAACTCGTAAAAATTCTCATCACTTGGAGTGAAAATTATTTTTTTCTATATTTTACAAATATTTTTTTTTATTAATAATTTAGTCTTTAAGATTTATTTTTTTAATTACTATATTCATTTATTTAATTATTCCTTTTATGTTTCACATTATAATATGTTTATTATTAATATAAATCGAAATTTTTATTTAAATAATTTTTTATTTCAATTTTAATTTAATTTTTACATTTTGATTAAATTTAGTTTCTTAGGATAAAAAAAAAATTCTTCTAAGCAATGCAACAATCTTTAAATAATTTTGGTGTTAATAATAATAATTATTATTATAATTGTTTTTAGTTTTAATTTTCATTTAAATTGTTTTTTTGCAATTTAATTTTTAATTAAAAAATAAAATATTCTGTATTCTAATTCTCATAGAATAAATCTCTTTTTTTTCAATGTATTTTATGTCTCGATTTCATTGCATTTTTTTCTTCCAAAATGTAAATTTTATTTACCATAATAAAAAAATTACAAAAATATATATAACATTAAATAAATAATATTAATCTGAATTTAGACAAATTTATTAAATTATCAATTATTAAAATAGAAAAAAAAATTATCAAATTCAATTTTAATAATTAGATAATTAAAATTATTTTATCAAATTATTGCGACTTTAATTTAATTAAATGAAAATCCTAACAAAAAAATTTAATTTCCTTTTTTTGATAATTAAAATTATTTTATCAAACCATTGAATTTGATTTAATTAAGGAATTAAAAATACTATTAAAAAAAAAGGTTCAATGATTTTATTTCATTGTTGCGTCATTACAAAGTATTAAAAAAAAAATTAATATACAATATAGTCAGTCTTAAAAAGAACAAATAATTAAAAATTTCAATTATATATAAAATTGACAAAATTTAAAAATACTATAAAAAATATTTTTCTCTAAACTTGTTATTATTTTTCTGTTTTAATATTAAAAATAAATTCCTTCATAATTCTGTAAAAAAATTTTCTTCTAAGCAATGCAACAATCTTTAAATAATTTTGGTGTTAAAAAAATAACTTTTTCAGGATCAAAATAATTTGTATCATAATTAGGACCTTCCATAAAAAAATTTTCCAATTCTTGTTGTTCATTTTCGGTGATTTGTTTTTTTTTTCTCAACGATAATAAATGCATATAACCCGAACTACCACCACAATCATCAGGTGGACATGCACCTTTACCATCAATACATTTTGGATAATTAACATTTGCCACGGCATTAAAAATATTAATTAAAATAATATCATGTATCCAAGCATCGTTCATATCATAAATATAAATTGCCTTCTTTTGATTTTCAATAAAATATTTACTTATTTCAATATCATTCTCCCATATTGTTGTTATTGAATATTGTTGACTATTTGGTTTTTCACCAATTATTTCACGTTTACCAGTTAATGAATTTTTCACATAAAATTGATGCATATGCGTACCATACCAACCCATTGACGATATTATTGAATCGCTTAAATGGCCAAATGTATAATTTTCAGGTAATTGAATTTGTCGCCAAATCATTGGTTTTACGTCTCTTAGAATTATTTTAAATTCATAAATTTTTCCCTCACTTTCGGCCATTTTTTTTTTTTAAATTTTAATTTTTAGTGAGGAAATTTTCTGTAAATCGAAGGAAAATTGTTTTAAAAAAAATTAAATTTTGGTAAATAATAATTAATATTTAATTAATAAATATAAAAATATTCCAATTAAAAAAAAAATAGGGAATAATTTTAATTTTAGAGAATTTTCTCCAAATCAAAAGAAAATTGCTAGAAAATTATTAATTATTTAGAAAATAATTTTTTCGATAAGAAAAAAGTAATTAATTAAATTTTTTTTCAATTTTTTTTTCGTCAAATCAAAAGGAAAAATTGGTAAAAATTATCAATTGAATTTTTAGTAAATAATATTAATTAATAAAAATAGTTGAAGAAAAAAAAATACTGAATAATTTAATTTTTTTTGCAAATCGAAAAAAAATTTTATTTTCAAAAGGGGAATTTTTTGGAAAATCGAAAGAAAATTGTTAATTAATTAATTTAATTAATGTTTAGTTCTACTTTATAAAAATTCAAATTTTCGTTACTAAACAAAATTTAACAAATTTTTTTTTTCTTTTTTTTCAATTAAATAGAAAAATTTTAAATATATTTACCTTTGACACAGGACAAAATATTCACGTGTATCTTTCTTGACCGTCAAATACTCAATAACTAATATTATTGAGTGTATTGACACTTTTAATGAATTTACAAAAATTATGGAAATATTAAAACAATTTTTTTTTTTTTTTTATTAAAAGCAGTGAAAATAGTTAAATTTTTTTGATTTTAATTAAAATAAAGCAACAAAATTTGTAAATTAATAATTAAAATTAATAAATAAAATTTGCAATAATAATAATTTTTATATAATTGCAAAAAAAGTTTTTTTTGTATTTTTAAATAAAAACGAATATTAAGAGTAATAATTGTTTATCATCAATAAAATAGAAAATTGTCAATAAAAATAAAAGAATTGATTTTTTTTTACTAAAATTAGTAATAATTGATTATTAATTATTTTTCTATTAGTTTTTAAGATTTTTTGTTAAGGACAATTTTAATTGTCCGTAAAATATTGAAATAAATAATTAATATATTTTTTTTAAAAATTGATCTACTTTTGATAATTTTTGCTTATGTAGTGTGAATTAATTAATTTCAATTAATTACGAATTTTAATTATTTTTTATAAATAATTTGAAATAATTTTCGACTGCAATAAACAATAATAATAATTATTTTTTCTCTATAAATTACCTGTGTTAATTAATTTATTTTTTGTTAATAATTTTAATTTATTGATTTAATTATCGTATAATTATAAATTTCAGTATCTTAAAATACCACCCGATTTCTTTGGGATTTAATTAGAATTTTGAAAATATTTACTTACCTAAGTGAAACAAATACAAAAGAATACAATAAGTTTTAATTAACCGCCAAAATATAATTAATATTTCAATTATTATTTATGCGATAACATAATGTTAATTCTATTATTTTTTTTTTTTTTATTTAGAAAAACAATTATTTTTTCTTTCTAAAAATGTTTTTTCTATTTAAAAACAATTATTTTTTCTATCTAAAAATATTTTTTCTATTTAAAAATAATTATTTCTTCTATCTGAAAATATTTTTTCTATTTAAAAAAAATTATTTTTTCTCTAGATTTAAAACGATTTTTGCTCTATTGAAAAAAGAAAATGTTTGCATTAAAAATTTTAATTTAATTAAATTTATAATTAGAAATTTAATTTTTAATTTAAGAGCGAGAGAGAGAGAAATTGAAAATAAAATGTTAAAAAATAATGAAACAATTGAATATGTCTTTATTGCAAAAATTTTTATTACAAAAATTAGTTATAAAAACTTTCTTTAGAACCTTTAAAGAACACAAAAGATAGAATATTTGATTTCTTTTTTTCGTGTTCGTAATATACACTTAAGATATATAAATATATAAATTATTTTTTTTCGAGTCAACGACGAAACAAAAACGAGTATTTTTAAATTTTATATAAATGTATTATTAAATGAGTTTTTAATAAACAAAACGAAAAAAAAACTATACGAATAATTATAAAAATAACACCAAAAAAAAAAACGCAACTTCGCGTTTAAAGTGTAATAATAGTCATAATATATTAAATTCATTTGTCGAAAAATAAAATAAAATCCTTTTCTTCTTTCTTTTTTTTGGTAATCTGAAACAATAAAATTTTTTTTTCTTAAAATTCAATTCATTTCCTCTAATTTCGTTAAATAAAATAAAAAAAGAAATTACTAGCAAAAAAATGTTTAATTTATTAGTTAATATTACTTTCTTTTTTGCCATTAAAAAGAAAAAAATTTATTATTATTTTTTTTATTTCCAAATTATTTCCGAATTTTTTGATAAAACTTTGAAAATACTGTAAAGGAAAAAAAAGGGAGAAATGGTAAATAATTATGTTAATAAAATTGGAAATAGCTAAAAAATAAAGATTTAATTGATATTAAATTCTAATTTTTAATTAATAAATAATAATTTTAAATACCAATTAACAAAATTATAAAAATATCAAAAAAAAAATTATTAATAAAATTGAAAATAACTGCAAAAAAAAAACGGGATAAATTATAATTCAGAATAAATGGACATTATCAATAAAATTAATAAATAATAATTTTAAATACCAATTAATAAAATTATAAAAATATCAAAAAAAAATTATTAATAAAATTGAAAATAACTGAAAAAAACGGGATAAATTATAATTAAGAATAAATGGACATTATCAATAAAATTGGAAATAACTGTTAAAAAAAGAATTATAATTAATAATTATAATTATTATTATTATTATTATTATTAATAATTGAGAATAAATAAAATTGAATATAACTGTAATAAAATGATAATTGGGAGTAAATTACCCTTTTTTTCTTTTGAAATCTCTCAAATTTATCTCATTCCAAGCATTGAGAAAAAGTCAAAAACCCCAAAATCAACATTACGTGGATTAAATTCCTCAGGATCAAAATCATCATCAATTTGATACCATTCAAGTTCCTCGCGTTCCTCATCGGTGAGTTGTTCTTTTGGTTTTCCTCGTTTCTCCAATAAACTCTGATAACCCCATGTACCACCACAATCCTCAGGTGGACATGCACGTTTACCAGCAATACATACAGGATATTCTTTACCATCAATTGCAGGTAATATTCTCATTAATTGCACTTCATGATCCCAATTATCACCAAAATCATAAGTATACAATGCTTTACTTTTATTATTAATGAAAAAATCTTTGATTTTCGTTTCTTTTTCATCAAGACTTGCACACGAATCATCCATATTTGGATCCTCGCCAATTGTTTCTTGTCCACCAGTTTCGGGATTTTTCATTTTAAAATCATGTAAATGACTACCAGCCCAACCCATTGCATTAAGTATTGCATCACTTAATTCATAAAATGTATAATCCTCAGGGACTTGTATACGTCGCCATATTGTTGGTTTTATTCGTTTTAATGAAATTTTAAATTGATAAACATTTTTTTCTTCTTTTTTTTGATTATTATTATCAATGTTTTTCATATTTTCCATATTTTTTAAATTTTCCATTATTTCAACGTTTTGAACGTTATTATTATTATTTTTTTCGATATTTTTCACATTTTCAATATTATTTTCTTCATTTTTTGTATTTAATAAATTTTGAATATTTTCCATATTTTGAACATTATTTTCAATATTTTTCATTATTTGGATATTATCCATATTTTCAATAGCATTTTGTGGAGTTTGTTTATTTTGCAAAATTGGCAAATTTTGCAAATTTCCAATATTTTGCAAATTTTCAATATTTTGAATTATCTGATGATTGTTGGTATCAGCCATTTGTGGATGCGGTATTTCTGACATTATTTCGAAACCTAAAAATTAAAAAATTAATTAATTAATTAAATTAAAAATTACTTCAAAATTTTGAATTTTTTTGGGAAAATTTTTTATTGTTTAGTATTCTTTAAATAAAAAACAATTTTTCAAAAAAAAAAAAAAAAAAAAATTCATATTTTATTATAAAAATTAGGATTTTATTATTAAACAAATTTATAATAAAAATTATATTTTATTATCGAAGTTATAGTTTATTATTTATTTATAAAATATAAAATTATAAATCGGTAAATTTTATTTTTAAAACGTATTTTTAATTATAAAAATTATATTTTATTATCGAAATTATAGTTTCTTTTTTATTTATAAAATATAAAATTATAATTTATAAAATTATAAATCGGTAAATTTTATTTTTAAAACGTATTTTTAATTATAAAAATTATATTTTATTACAAAACACATATTTTGTTATTAAATATTGTTACATGTATAATAATATTTCTTTTTTTTGTATTAGTATTTATTATTAAATTATAAAAATTCTATTTTATTTTAAACATTTTCATTCAAGCGTTTAAAATTTATTTATAATGAAATTTTAATTAAATTTACTATTTTATGTTTATTATTATTATAATTACAAATTATTTATTTTATAAATAACAATTTTTCAAAAAAAATTCATATTTTATTATAAAAATTAGGATTTTATTATTAAACAAATTTATAATAAAAATTATATTTTATTATCGAAGTTATAGTTTATTATTTATTTATAAAATAATAATTTATAAAATTATAAATCGGTAAATTTTATTTTTAAAACGTATTTTTAATTATAAAAATTATATTTTATTACAAAACACATATTTTGTTATTAAATATTATTATATGTATATTATTTTTTTTTTGTATTCTTATTTATTATTAATTTATAAAAATTCTATTTTATTTTAAACATTTTTTCATTTAATCGTTTAAAATTTATTTATATTGGAATTTTAATTAAATTTACTATTTTATTTTTATTATTATTATAATTACAAATTAATTATTTATTGTAATTATAAATTAAAATTTTTAAAAATAATTAGGAATATTTATTTATATGTAAACGAATTTCAAATAAATATATAAGGATAATAAATAAAATATAATAATAAGAATAATAATAATAATAATATTATTTGTATATTAAAAAGTAATTATTATTAATTTCTCTAAATTATACATAATTAAAATTTATAATTATATAATTAATAGATGGAAATTTAAATAAAAAGATTAATAGAATAAATTTGAAAAAATAATAAAATAAATAACGTCACGTAAATCACAAAAACGTAAAAAAAAAAAAAAATTAAATTTTGTCCAATTATTTTTAAAAAGTTAATTTGAAATTAATTGTATTCTTCGTACATTTATATATTAAATAATTATTCGTAATACAATTTACCAATTCACAATATAAATATTTCGAAAAATATTATCGTTTATTTATAAGCAATGTCAAAAGTGCGAAATCAAACACGTTACATTTTCGACAGGATCAAACAAGATTAAACAAAAGAATTTCGTAACCTATAAATAATTTCTAACCGTTTTTTTTTTCAATTTAAAGGCAAAATTAAATATTAATCAAATTTTAATCTCCTTATACTTTTTATAGTAATATCATTACAATAAACACACTAAATGAATCTTTTTTTTCCAAAAATATAAATATACTATATTATATAGTAAATATACTTTCTTCTTTTGTTTACGAAAACTGTCAATATATAAATCCATCACAATAGAAATTATATTTTACGAAAAAAAAGAGAATGAAATATTAAACGGAATTATTGATAGTGAATTAATATTCTACTTACTTTTATTTTCCTTTATTTTCTTTGAAGAAATAACCAAACAAGATTAAACTGCGATGAAATTCTAGATGAGAATGAAAAACAATATTATATGTGAAAGAAAAACACACACATAGAAGGGAGAGAGGGAAAATAAAAACAAGGGTGCCACTATTATAAACAAAATAACGTTAGTGATTGGTGGAAGGTGGACAAAAAAAAAAGAATCGAATACTAGTTACAATTTTTTCCGATAGAGCGAGCGTTTTGCAGTAACGGATTTTTGCAATGCAATGAAAATAAACACAAATTTTGGCAAAAAAAAATAGTTAATTAACAATTTGTAGTTTTTTTCCACAATATGTATGTCATATATAAATTTAACGAAATAAAAACCATTTTTTCATACAAATTTTTTATGGAAGTACTTTTTTATTTTTTTTTTTTTTTTTTTCAATTTTAGTCTAATTATAAATTAGAGAATTTTACTAATATGAAAGAGATATATTTTTGTATTATTTAAATAAATTACTAATATAAAAATAAAGCGGAAGTAAAGGAAAGTAAAGTTGGAGAAAGTTTTTTTTTGAACACAAAACGGAAATTTATGTTGGCAATATTGTAACTTTTTTTTATTTATTGACTAACTTCACTCGATTGGCAAAAATGGACCGCAGAAGACGCCGAAAAAAGAAGGTAAGAATATTTTTTATTATTTTATATGGTTTTTATGTAATATTTAATTAATTTTATTTCGTATTTTTATATTTAAGTAGAAAATAATATTCCCTTTATTGAAAATACTCGATGACAATAAAGAAAAATCACTTTTTCTTGCGTTTTGTTTCTCTTTGTCGCACAAGCCGCGTCTTAGACAAAATAATTTTTTTTTCGATAATTGTATTTTATATTTTCTACTAAAAAAAAAACAAAAGAAAATTTAGTTTTTAGTTAAATTTTTCATTTTTTTTAAAAAAACAAAAGTTTTGTTTGGTACTTTATTATTAGTTGCGAAATTTTTTGATAAAAAACTAACCTCAATTTTCTTCAATATACAATTTTTTCCCGAAAATATGCAATGAAAGCGCAGAGAAAAAAATATTTTACATATAAAAATAATCAAAAAGATTATCTTATTTTGGATAAAACTAAGTATATATTAAATTCGTTTCTAAATTTTAGAAAAAGAAAATTAGAATTTTGTTGATAACTAATTTTCTTCTTTGAAAAATTCCTATAAATAAAAAAAATAAATAAAAAGTAACGAAATAAAAAATAATATTAAATAATAAATAAAAATAATAATAAAAATAATAATTATGATAATAATAATAATAAATAATAATAAATAATATTAAATAATATATAATTGAAAACTAATTTTCTTTTTTTGAAAAATTTCTATAAATAAAAAGTAACGAATTAAAAAAAAAAATAAATATAAATAAAAAAACGGGGAAAAATTAAAAAGTTTCAAAAGCATATAAAAATTTTCTATTTTTTTGAAAAATTGTTTTAAATAAATAAAATAAATAAAATAAATAAAATAAATAAAATAAATAAAATAAATAAAATAAATAAAATAAATAAAATAAATAGAATAAATAAAATAAATAAAATAAATGAAAATAAATAAATATAAATAAATAAATAAAAAAAATAAATAAATAAATATAAATAAATTATAAATTTTTTTTCAAAATTCGATCTTTGTGAAAATAATTTTGAAGTTTTTAAAAAATAATTATTTTTATGTTTGTATTTTATTTGTTTTTTTTTAATTTTATTGCATTTGAGAGAATTTAATATAAAGATAATATTTCCTTAAATGTTTAAATTTCTTCATCCCCACCTTTCACTCTCTCTTGCGTTTAACAAGATTTTATTCTCTCTCTGTCTTATTTTTTTCCCCCCTAAGAATCAAGAGAATGCTCATCAGTGCACGAGTTCGCGGCAAACTACACGCATATATTCTCTCTTTAATCTCCCAAGTCTCGTATAGAAATAATTTTTATATTTTAAAGAAAAACAAAAAAAAAAAAAAATTTCATAAAGACAAAATATCTCATTACATCGCTCGAATTTTTTTTCTTTTTTTAACTTATAAACAATTTTCCCCCCTATTTCTCCATTGAAAAATATTTTCAAAGTGTTTTATGAATTTTATTAAAAAAAAAAAAAATAAATATTTGCCAGAAAATTAAAAAATGAAAAAACTGTTTTTCATTTGTAAAAATAAATTTAATTGATTTTTATTAATTTATATTTTAATTAAAAATTATTATATATACAATTAAATAAATGTTATTGGTTTTTCTTAAATAATTGTTAAATTATAATGCAGAAAAAAATGGTTTTTTTTTTATACTTTTATGAAAACGTACAAATGTGAGAATGTGAATATAAAAAGTGAAAGTGATTTTTTTTTTCTTAGAAAATAATCAATGTTTTTTATAACGAGTAAAAAGTTGGGTACTTGAAAAAACCAAAAAGGGGATTATTAATGGATTAATTAATGGATCAAGAAGCTCGATTGGGCTTCTTCAAACGACCGATTAGAAGGCACAGAAGACACTCGAGAAATTGCAGTAAAAAGATGCCGAGGTCCATGTTGCAGCCAATCGAGGAATCTAATTCGGCAAAATCAAGTAAAGATTTAATTTTTTTTTTAATTAATTTATTTTTCTATTTTATAATTTCGGTTTTTTATTTTATATTTTTTATTATTATTTTTCTATTTCTATATTTTTTTTTGCTTAATTATTAATTTATTTGATTAATATTTTTTTAAAATTATTATTTAATAATTATTTATTAATAATAATAAATATTTATTTATTTATTAATAATAATAAATATTTATTTATTTATTTATTACACTTATGCATATAATAATGCGTACAAGAGGAATCCGCTCGTATAAGAATATAATAAAAAATTAATATAAAACAATATAAAAACAACAACAATTTGACGATCAGCTAAAATTTTCTTAATTAAAAAAAAACAATGCTTTTTAAAGATTTAAAGTCATTCGAAGATAAAATATTTGCCAAAATATTAAATATTAATAATTAATAATAATAAATATTAAAATAATAATAATTATATCATTCTTATTATTATTGTTATTTTATTATTACTATTATTAATTTATAATATTAGTAAAAATCAAGGTGCATAAAAAAATTATTTTTTTTACGTTTCGTTAGCTCAGCTATCCTTATCAGAAATATATAAAAATATATAAATTAAATAAAATAAGTATTAAAATAAAAAGGAGAACAATACAGTTCCTAATTTATAGTAATTTTTTTTTTTTATTTTGCAAAAAAGAAAATAATTACATAGTCAACGACCATTGCAAGGCACTAAAAAATTAGGTAAAAAATTTGTTAAAGTAATATAAAAAAAGAAATAAAATTTAATTATTAAATAAATAGAAATAAATAATAATAATAATAAAAATAAATAATAATAATAATAATAATAAAAATAAATTTTTTAAAAATTTGATTTGAAAATTAATAAAGAAATTATTTTTTATGAATACAAATAAAATTTTCACACAATAATTAAATAGTACAGATCAATATTTAATAGTTTTGTACAGTTAGGTCAATTTTTCTTTTTCTTGAAACGAAAAATTAAATTTAATATTGGTCAAAGAAATAGATATTGAGTTTTAATTTACAAAGAATTTGATTGATGAAATTACTTTTTTTTTTATCTTATTTAATTGTCATTATTATTATGATAACGTGTGTGGGAATTATTTTTTTTTTATATATATATATGGGGATACGCCTTTTCTTGTTCTGGGATATCGAACACTTTCACTTTTTTCCTTCTCCACGGAAGTGAAAAGAAAATGATCGGTCGCGGGTAAATCTTCTATTATACGGCTTTTACCGTCGGTTTTGCTGCGAGGAAAAACTCTTATTTTCAAGGGAACTTGCGCGAGAGAAGATCGGCGACGCACTCATGCGTTCCGATCCTATCACGCACAGTTGGGGTTCTTTTTTTTTCTAAGATTTAAACAATTGAGTTGTCAAATTATTCTCGCCAAAAAATAATTTTATAAAAATTTTCAATTTTAATTTACAAAAATAAGATTTTTATTTATTTAATATTAAAATATATAGAAGTAATAATAATAATAATAATAAAGAAATAAAATTACAAAAATGAACAGAAAATTGAAAAACAGAATTGGTTCATTTTAAAACTAGTATTTTAAATTCAAAACTGTATGAAATATATGAAAATCACTTTAGAAGTAAAAGTATAGTGTTAATTGGAATATTATACAAAAAATAAATTATAAATTCGAGTATAGAATAGATTCGTTTCTTTGTATTTCTAAAGAATTTTAGTTTTAAAATCGGTGAAAGAACAAACATCCAATTTTTATTTCAAAACTTTGTGTATACAAATCAAATTCATCTTAAGAAATATATTGTTTAATCTTATTTATCTCTATTTTGTTTCACATTAGAGGAAACTTGTAACTAAAAGTGTGAATTGAATTTTTTTTTTGAAATTTTAAGTCACTGGAAGAGTGAAAAAATTTTCGAAATAAAAAAATATTAGATTCCAAATTAAAATTCGTTGTAAATTACTAAAAGTGTCATTATTAATAAAAAAAAAATAAAAAAAAATCGTGTATGCGATTGGCATTCGCGCAAAAGTGTGCTCTAATTGACCTCTAATGATCTATAATCACTTATATCCGCGAGACATGTAACGTCTTTTATATGGGTATGATAGACACCAGATGGACAACGGGAGTCTTTGATTATTATACGCCGTGACTATTGAAATGAAAGTCTTCTCGTCGAATTGGTAATTTCCCAGTGGCATATAATCATTGATTATCCCACTAATATAATACGTGCCCAATCGTCGATATCAAACCAAAAAAAAAGAAAATTACAAAATTAATCAGAAAAAAAATTATAATAATATTACATTACATCATTATTGTACTATATTATACAGTAATAGTTAAATATTAACAATCATTACAGTCGTTATAATTATTATTGATTGCTAGTCACAATAATTAATAATCATAATTATTTTCTAATTTTTTAAAATAATTTTTATTTACCCTTTTTTATAATCAACTTTCCATTTTAATTACCTGAAATTAAATTGTTTTTTTTTGAATTTGTTACTTTGAAAAACTGTAAAAATTGATGAATCACACAGATGTTGTCTGTAATAAATTGCAATGACTATGCAAATTAATGTCATATGCATATTAGTAACTTTCTAGAAGGAGGGAGAGGGGGATTTTTTTTTAAATTTATACGTATACCGGAAGAAAAGTAAAACAAACATTTCAATTGTCTGAATAACTATATTATCTTGATTCTGAACTCAAAAATAGTGAAGTGGATTTATAACTTTCTGGATGAATGGAGTAATATAATGATTAAAAGGGTTTATTGTTGTTTTAAGATTCGCAGCTAACTCTCACGAAAGAAAAAAAAATGCTATATAAAGATTTTTCTTGTTCAGATAAACATGGTAAATAAAGCAGGGAAATGAGGCATTTAGTATTTTAAATATACGACTACTTTTATTTATTATACACATTATTTGCGGTTTATTCAATTTCCGGAGTAATTTTTTATTCTAAATATTTTTTTTCCTTTCTACGTTAAATGGACTCAATTTGGAAAATAATTTGTTAGAATGAAAATGAATTTTGATGATTTTAATCAAAATCATTAGTTTTTTAAATATATATATAGTATACTTTATTTTTTTTAATTACTATAGTAATTAAAAAAAAATGCAAAAAGAAATAAAATCTATCTGTGCAATTGGCTCTACGATTATTATTATTATTATTATTATTATTATTACTTTTATTTTTATTATTATTTGTAGATATTAACAATGATTTTTATTACAGTACTTCGAACGTGAAAAAAGATTTTTCGAAAACCAGAAAAGACAATTAAAAAAATAATCATCATAATGATTGTACAATAAATAGTATATAGTTGCATGTGGTGGCAGTTACTTTAAGAAGACATTACGTCTTAAAACCCCTTATTCTATTCTCCGTCTATTTTTCTCCCTCCATAAATTAGTACCGCCTACATTGTCCTCCATTTATTACAATCATTAAAATTATTTATTTATTTTTATTAGGTAATTAAAAAAAATTTTTTTTTAATTTTTTGATCGATTGTCATACAGGATTTAGATTAGATTAAAAAAATATAAATATACTTTTCGCGATTGCATTTATAAATATATATATATATACTTTCAATTGAATACGCAACGCGCCGGATATGCATATACATAGATTACGGGTATTTGCACATAAAATTTCACGCATCGCATATTTGATTTCCCTGTTAACTCAGGTCGTTTCCTCTCTTTTACGAGAACAAATATTCTAATGCAAACAATATTTGCGTAAAATAATAAATCTCTTTTACTTTTCACTTTATCATTTAAATTGCATATATGTTTATAATACAAGTGTTGAATAATCTTGGAAAAAAGGTTTTCACTTTTAGAATTACCAGATATTTGTTAACTTTATTGTTATAGGAAAAGTATTTTATATCGTCTTTTGTTTCATTGAAGTATTTTTTTAAAATTAGAAAACGTAAAATTATTGAATAAATAAAATTCCTATTCATCATTAACAATTTAAAAAAAATGCAATGAAACTTGAAGATTTCACTATACATACGCACACATTGAAAGTATAAGTCTAATAGATTTTAGAAATCGTTTTCTTATAATGGCGACATCTCGCGAGTCAATTAAAACAAGTTTCAAGTACGATATATATTTTTTTATTTGATTTATATATACATATAGGAGAAAAATATACACAATATATTCATGTAGAAAGAGTAATGGATGAAATATTAGCTTGATTAAGCGCACTATATAGTGAGATCGCTTATTGCATATCCACTTCTTAGGATTCACAGCTGACGCGAGTATGAAATAAATTGACTGACACTTTTTCTTAAAGTTTCGTTTAAATTTTTGCCTATTTTTTTTCACAAAGATGAGCGCACATTACACGCGCGTAATCAAAATTTAATGACTTTTTTTTAAAGAATTTCTTTTTGGTATATTTTGTACCAAAAGAGAAGTTTACGAGTTTTGTAATTATAATGCTTGAGAAGGAAAGTTGTATTTTATATATATATAGATTTAAAAAAAATCATATGTATCTGATAACATTTAACGACTTACCTTCTTTTTACTCTTCATTTAAATTTTTTTTTGTATATTTAATAATATAGCCACCTTTCTTTAAACTAAATATGTATATTTTTTGAACAGTATAATACTTTTTCAAAAATTAAATATAAGGATTAATGTCCAATTTTCTCGCAATAATAATAATAATAACAATAATAGTAGCAGTTTCTTTGAGATTGTGAGCCAAGAAATTTCCTTTTAAGATGACAATAATAATGCACTTTGCTTTTATTACTATACTTTATTCCTAATTAGAATCACCAGAATGACAAACAAATTGACACTTTGTTAACACTTACAAATTTTATTTCACGACAATTTGCTCGTTTCTTATATTATCATATAATAAGTTTAAACATTCTCATTAATGTGAATATATTTGAAATAAAAGTCATTTGAAATTTTACAAAGATAAAAATGTAATTTGAAAATAATTAAAATTCTTTAAGGGGGGAGGTCTGATTTTATGATCATAACACAATAAAATACATCTTTTTTTACGAATTTTCATTCTTAAAATAGTAGGTATATTAATATTTCGATAAAAATGAATAAATTATCTTTCGGTTTAAAGTGAAAATTATAGTGGAAAATGAGAAAGAAAGGCGGAAGAACGGCAAACCCTGAAACTTAATTTTCACCCTGGTCACGATCGAGAGCTAGATCCATACCATCGACCTGCAGCCACCTCCAAAGATCCTCCTCCAGTAGTATTATTTCGACTTTAAACGGTAAAACTAAAGCAAGTAAATGCCATTTACGATTACTTCTGATACAATCGTGGTCGCGGTGAAAAATTTTTTTTTTAACTTCTGGTGAATTTTAAGAAAAAAAGAAAATTATTTCTCTAACGCATCAATCGTGTGAAAATAAGTAATTTATTCAACCGCGCCAATTTACTGATCATTAATGTGACATGACGAAAGTGCGACATTTGCAAATAAGAAAGTATCATCGAATATAATATATTTTATTACAATACGACTAATATATAAATTACCCTCGTCTAGATATATTCAAATTTTTTTTTAATGAAGTGGAGAAATCGCGCTATGTGTTTGGATGAAAGAGAGAGAGAGGAGAAATTTGAAAACGGGTTCATTAGAAAGTATATACCCTTGTAATATCTCATCAGTGCAATTTATGGATTATTTTTTTGAAGTGTCTTTTTTATGCGCGTCGACAATTTTCACATTTAGCTTTTGTGCTCTATTGAAAAAAAGTGCGGTTTCTTTCTCGACGCGAAATTAACGAAAATGACCTATTCTTTTGTAAATTATGCATATATTTGATATATTCTTATAAGTATATAGAAATTTTTTTTATTTAACTTTTTTTTGTTTATTGTGACGCGATCAAAAGTTTGTGAAATTTAATTCGCGAGTAATAAAAGAAAATGTATTTTAAACAAAATTGACTTGGTTTTAAAATTTTATAATAAAATGAAAAAATTGGATTTTTTATTCAGTATTGACTTTAAGAAAATAAATTGCGTCGAATTTAAATATAATAAAATAAATGAACTCTAAATAATTTGAAAATTTATTCTTTTAATTTTATTATAAACGAACTACATTAAGTCCTTTTTAGTTTTTTCTTTTTTCTGTAAAATGACTAAGAAAATATTTTTTATATACATACAGGATAAAGAAAGTTTCTCATTATTGATCACTAAAAATGTCCAAACCTCGGAAATTTTCCCAAACCCGTGAGAATATGTAAATTTCATTGTTACACATTTCACATACGTTTTTGGCTTAATAAAAAATGTCTGATTGTATTAATTGATAAATGAAACAAAAATTTTTTTCCATAAAACTTTATTCAATAATAATTAAATAAATTTATCGAATTTCTATTTAGTACACAAGTACTTAATTAATTAAATAATTAAATTTAAATTTTCTCATCGAGTGAAGAAAATATTGCAAATTGAAATAAGAAACTTATCAGAAAATTAATACACACGTAATAAAACTTTGAAATGATTCAATTTTAGATCAAATTAATAAAATGATAAAATTTGCATAATACTATTAAAAGAAAAAAAAAGACACTTCGAATGATAAGAATAAGGTCAAAAAACGGTTAACGATATATATATAAATCTAATGGTCAAATTTTCTGGGGCAGGGGGTTATTTAATTGAAGGTCATCGACATGTAAGAACCGTCCAAGGCGTGACTTCCGGTGTAGTATAGTGCCTTGGGTCATTGTCAATTCTTTAACTGTCACATTTATATATATACATAATATATATATATTTTTCGTCATGGTAGCCGAACTGTCAGTCATTTCTGCAACGACTACCAAGCAGAAAACAAGTTCGGACAATAATAATTTAAGTGACATTGTCATTAATCAAGACTCATTAAATTTTGATAATTCCATTAAAAAAAGACCAAAATGGATACAAACGGCAACTCGCGAACCAATTTATAGTGTTCTTGACGCTGAAGACAATAATAAGGATTATCATCAGCAACATTGTCGATTCAAGGACAATGTTGTTTTGATTACTGCATATAAAAGTTCTGTGGATTGTCAAAAAAAATTTCCTAGTGAGGAGAGAGTTCCTCCCGAAGGCAGATTTCATGTAATTATTATTTTTCACTGGAGGGAAATTTTAATTTCGGTTTTTTAAAGAATATTTTGTTTAAAATTAATTATAATTAAATTTTTCTGTAGCGTTTTTAGTAAACTTTACAATATTATTTAGTAAGGTTTCCAATACGTACTTTATGTAATAAAATTTAGATTTTAAATTTTGCATTTAATATTAAAATATTTTTTTAAAAAACCGAAATTTATTAAACAAATATTGATCTTGAAAATTAAAATAAAAAAATCTCCTTAGTGCGAAGAAGAAGATTCGAACCCTCTCTACAGTGTTATAAGAAAAAAGGAAATAAATCCACAACCGGAAGTTGTTTCAAGGCAAGAGGAACTACGAAAGTGGTTGCAGATTGCATCCAATCAGATTCCAGTATCGAGATTTAATTTTAATCACACTACTAAAATGTATTCACAAGAAAGAGATGAAAATATGAAAGATGGACGAAAAAAACCAATTTCCTCCCCTAGGGGTGTAGTGGGTCTTGTTGGTCCCTATAGAGTCACTCATAATTTAGCCGAGAGACGTGAATACATTTTACAAGAGGAGGAATTAGTTGAAGAAAACAGCGAATTTGTGAATGAATTTCACCAAAGTGAAGTAATTCGTGAAAGAGGAGAAATTCATAACAATAATAATGATAATAGTAATAATAATAATTATCAAGAGGAACATAGAAGAGCAAAATGGAGAATACGAGATGAAGATGAGGAAACTCTTGTTCCCGATTTGATGGTGAGAAATTTTCTTGATACCGTGGTTGTAGATGACGATTTGGAAATTAAGGATGATATGATCCAGGAGGTGGCTGAAAAAATTAAAGAATGGAAACAATTGGAAATGAGAAATACACCTGATCAGATGGAGGGAATTATTATTAATGGAAAACATGAAAGGGCCGTTGATGTTCCTGAGGCAATGGAAAGAGTTACGAAATCTTCCAATGTTTCCGGTGAGATTTAAAAATTTTTTTTTAGGTAAATTTTTCTAAAATTTAAAAAAGTTGACTCCCTCTCTTGACTTTTATCTCCTACTCTACTGTTATATCGTAAAAAAAATTAATTAATTAATTTTTAAATAAGGATACTAAAAGATTATTAATAATCAATTATTAATTTGGTTGACGTGTTATAAATTATTTACTCGTGTTGCAAAAAAGATAAAATAAAATGTGTCATATATGAGTTTGAAACGACTCGTGATACTTGTTAGGAAAATATACTTTTTTGACATATTTAATTTCTGTTTATATATTTTCTCTACGTATATGTATATATATGCGCAAAGAATTTATATTATAGCTACCGCTAGTCGAACATTTTTGTCCAACGATACCGTATAACACATCTGTCTTGCATACAAATTAGCGTCGCACAAGTATCTTCACTCTTGACCACATTTATTTACTCTTAATAGATGAAGACTACTTTCTATTTTTCAATATTTCAATTAACAAACTTTTTTGCTTTCATCCGCATATATATGTTTATATAGATTGAAATTATTTAATTTATTTTTATTTAATTTTTATTTGTATAATATTTCTAAAACACAGAAAAAAATCAGAAATTTGTATGTGAGAAGAAATTAAAACTATATGCATATAGAAAGTCGTTGAAGATGAAAAAAGATACTTCAATTTCGGTCTACAACTTTAAATCGGAAGTAGAAAAAAAATTTTCATGTAAGACACGTATCATTAGGTGCGAAAATAATATCCTATACGAGTAAAAATTAAATAAAAATAAAGAGATTAAATGTAAATTTAATTTAATATATTAAATTAAAAATCAATTATTTAATTAAACAGATCCGTCTATGGTAACCAAAAAATGTCCAAAAGTAATCTCTCTGAATATGCCATCATCATTTTTTTCGATCAAACGCGCGGAAAAATTATTATAAATAGATCAGTGTTTTCCGTTCGTAATTGATATTAATGAATGTGATGTGTGGTTATCCTTTAAAGTCTTTTTCCTTTTCTTTCATCGTTGAACTATTTTTTTATGTGTTTATGATGATGCGGCACAACTATATCAGCATCATTAAGTATATGATGCAGAGCATTTAGCATATAAGACTGGGACACACATAGGGAGATATGTCGAACACATGGTGCCACCGTTATGGACTTAGTTACTCATATGAAACCATCCAGTCACTGTTACACATAACTGATTTACGTTACAACTGCACCGCTACAAAACACCTCACGCATATCGTTGCAACTTCTATAACTTCTTGTATATATATATATACCTGCAATATTCACTTTACTATACAGTTAACCATTTATTTCGATAACGCGCACTTCTCACATTTCTGCTATTATTATAAATATATGTCCAATCACTATGAATAATAGTTATTTACGTTCAATAATTTTAATTTTTTTTTCTTGAAAGATTAAAATATTTTTTTTTCAATTGAATAATTAATTAAGACTAGTAAAATAAATAATTCATCTATTGGCATTGTGCCCAAATTCTGCCCTAAATTTAGCTTCGCCTACTCGGACTCATATTATTGATCCCGTCCACGTCCTTGACCCTTACATTTAACTTTTAGTATCCACCCCTTTTTTTGGCTCCGCCTATTCTTGCTTTGCTTAGCCCCACCTACATTTTTAATTATATGATTAATTTATTCGGGTATATTAAACGCCATCGTTACGTTAAACTTGGCTCCGCCCATTATCTTTGTCTCCGCCTATTATACCCCTCCCATTCTTTGGCCCCGTCTAGTTTCGTGTATTTAATCCTCCTATTTATATTTGACTCTGCCTGTTATACCCCTTCTATTCTTTGGCCCCGCCCACTTTTGTACATTTAACCCTCCTATTTATAGTTGACTCCTCCTATTCTTTGGCCCCGCTCAGTTTCGTGTATTTAATCCTCCTATTTATATTTGTCTCCGCCTATTATACCTCTTATATCCTTTGGCCCCGCCCACTTTTGTACATTTAATTCTCCTATTTATAGTTGACTCCGCCTATTATACCCCTCCTATTATTTGGCCCCGCCCAATTTCGTGTATTTACTCCTCCTATTTATATTTGACTCCGCCTATCATACGCCTTATGTTTCATGACCCTCCCACATTGTCCTCCATATAATTAGTTTCGTATATAAACTAATATAAACTTCCTTGCATATCTTTGGCCCCTCCTATTATGTCACTCCTTCTCTTTGGCCCCGCCCACATTGTATTCTATATAAAGTTTAGTGTACTTAATCTCGCCTATTTATATTTGACTCCGCCTATTATATCACTCCTTTGCTTTGTCCCCGCCCACATTGTCCTCTATATAATTGATTTCGCGTTTCTAATATCTGATATATCTTTGGCTCCGCCTATTATATCCCTTGTATTAATTAATTCTGCCTACATTGTCCTTCATATAGTTGATTCTTTTTATTCTATTGTTGATCATTAAATAATTAGAAAAATTCGGAAAAATTAAATTACAGCGGCAAATTGTGGTTTAAAGTTTGTGTAGGAATTTTTTTTAAATAAACGCGTTTTACTTTTATCTATCCTCCAAAATTGAAATAATAATTTTACATATAGTATTTAGAAGGAAAAAATTCTGCTATTAGTGATGATTTATATTTAAAATATATTATGCGATATTTGACAAGATAATGAAAAATTTCAAATTAAAAATTTTTTTTCTCTTATGGGGAAATGTATATAAAATTATTTTTGTAAATTATTACCATTAACGGTTTACTCTACTATTGCAAATCGTCGTGATAATTATGAAGCGTTACTGTTATAAAGAAGCATTAAGGACGAAATGATATCCCCCGGAAAGTCAATGTTCCTTCTCGATGAGAGGTAGGCTTTTCTCTTCTGTATTCTTGGTCATCTCACCATTCAGTCTTGTGACATTGTTAAGCGCGGTTTCACCGTGTTCGCAGAACCGTTAAAAGATAAATTCAAAAGGACAAAAATCTCGAACCATTCAGTAGTGTCTATTTGAGTTCCGCCGGTTGACATTGAGTACAAATCGTTATGGTGGATAAATAAGAATCACGAGAGTGTGCATGTAGATATAAATATTGTTTTTTAAAAAAAGGAATAAATAAAGTTTCTATACATTTTTTAAAAATAAAAAGTGCTTTTTTGAAAAATATAAAAATACCGAAGAAATTATTGTTTTCTTTTTTGGTGAACGGTTAAATGTTAGTTATTTTTTTCACAATTGAAAATAAAAACAGACATTTTAAGAAATTCAAATTTTTGTTTGAATGAGAAAAATTTTAATGTGATTTGAATTTTTTTTTGCTAAATTGAATGTTTTTTCAAAATATTAACACTTTTCTTCCTATTTTTATACAAAATTTAAAGTATTAATTTTTTTCAGTAATTTTTTGAGTAATTTTTTATTATATAAATTTTTTTGTATTAATAATTTTTACCAACGAAATTTATGAGAGTAAAAATTCTTCACCAATGAAATCCTCAAGTTAAATCTTAATTTAAATCCCTCTAAGGTAACTAATTAAAATAACTTTCTAATCACTTTTTTCAAATTAATTAAAAATATCAAATATAATTTTCTCGTTTTATAAAATGTATTTTTAATTTGTAAAATTGGAATTTTGTAAATTTGATAACTCTTGAATTAATATTTAATGTAATTTATTATTTTTTATATTTTATTATATTATTGTTGAAATATTTTTATCATTACTTATCAGATTTTATAAAAAATGAAGTGTTAATTTAATGCAATTATCAATTAAATTATTACTTTCTGAAAAGTTCTTTTCAACTCTTAATTAAGAAAATGAAATATAAAGAAAACTTATTTCAGTGATAAAATCCCGCGGAGCGGAGAAAATAAATTCGTTGATCATTGAGAAATAATTATTATATTTAGATTCGATCGAAATTATCGACCACGGCGAAACAACGTTTATCGACTTATGGATTTACCACAGATAGTCTTTACGAATCAGGTAATTTAGAAAAAAAAATGATTAATTATTACATTGCGTTTACAAACTGATTGTGTGAGAGGTAATAATTTTTTTCAACATAATTTTTCTAATAATAATATCAAACCATTTGTTCCTATTTGTATTTAATCTTAATTTCGTCTGTTCAAATTTTCATTTGATCGATTTCCCATTTAGTCGAATTTCTCATTTCGTTGAATCGATTCGTGTTATTTATTCGCACCTAAATGAAATGTTTTTCCCCTTAAGACTTTTTGAGAAAATCCTCAAAGTTATATTTTCTTTTACTATATTTCTAAAATGTCAAAAGACTAAATAAATCTTTCACATATCCTGAGCGTGAAGGATAATTCATAAATCATAAGGAGATTTCTCTTTTGTTTGTACCTTTATGACACGCAAGTGTTTCTTAATTTTTTTTAACAAAAAGATGAGAAAAGAATGTTAACGGTAATGAAAGAAAAAATAAATTAAAAAACATATATATATTTTTTTTTTAAGAAAGAGGAATAGTTGACCACAAAAAAGTCTTCTGTAGTGAAGTTTCTACTTCCGGAATAATTAACAGAAGCGTGTTAGCATATAGAAAGGGAATGGAAGAAAAAAAATAAAAGTGGGGATTACAATTTACAAGTGCCGGATAAGTTTGATAATCATCGCGACCTTAAAAGTTATCAGGACGAATTTCCAAAGAACAAAAATGAGAGAGAAATCTACATTACGCCAACACAGTGAATGTTTCCTTGTGTAAAAATTATTATTGTTCATTACTTTTCATTTCACCGTGCACCTACAAAACTTGAATCTTTTTTTCTATCTTTTAAAAATATTTAAAATAAATTTTAAATTATTTGAATCAAATTCTGATTAAAATTAATTGATAATTAATTTTAAAAAATTCTAAATAAATAATTTTTGTAGTTAAGTACTAGTTAAATAAATAAATTATTTATTTCTTTAAATAACGATAAAAATAATAAGGAGTTTAAAAATATTAAATGAAGCAAATTGGATGGAGGACAATGTGGGCGGGATAATAAATAAAAGGCGTATAATGGGCAAAGTCAAATGTAAGTAGGCGGGGCAAACTAAAAGGAGTGAGATAATAGGCGGGGTCAAAGATATGCAAGGGAATTTAATTTGCCAAACCAATTATATAGCGGACAATGTGGGCGGAGAAAAGGAATAGTAGGCGTATTATAAGCGGAGACAAGTGTAAGTAGGCGGGGCCAAAGCAAAGGAGTGATATAATAGGCGGAGCCAAAGATATGCAATGAAATTTAATTTGCGAAACCAATTATACAGAGGACAATGTGGGCGGGGACAAGGAATAAAAGAATCCCTCCTATAAATAGAAGGGAGAATATATACGAAATTTTTATATACAAGACAATGTGGGCGGGGCCAAAGCATAGGATTGATATAATAGGCGGAGCCTAAGTTATGTAATGAAACTTAATTCGCTAAACCAATTACGTAGAACAATGTGGGCGGTTTTAAATAATGGAAGGGACAGAATGGGCTGAGTCAAAGAAGGGAAGGGGTCAAATACGCGAAACCAATTACACGAAAGACAATGTAGGCAGAGATAAGTAGTGAAAGGGATAGAATAGGCGGAGCTAAATACAGAGAGGGGAAAAATGTTAGTTTATTAAACATTAATCGATTTTTTTTATTTTTATAATAAATAATATAAAAATTCATGGTTATTTTTGTTTCGTAAATAAATTTTATGCTGTTTGAATAAAAAAATTGAAATAATTTTATTTTTTTTTTTAATTTCATTGAATCGTATTTAGGATATATTTGAATAAACTTATTGAGAATTTAAAATGAGAGTCACTGTTTTTTTATAGCTCTCTTGAGCGTGTTATATATCCAAAGCACAAACGAACGGATCTTTTTCAAAGAATAAGTGCAAATGGACTTTCGGTTTAGCATCAAACAGGTAGACTTGAAATTAATTTCCCTGCTTGTATCCCTTTTACTTCTCTGCCTTATAATCGAAACAATTTCACAGACCTTTCTATATATTTCCATTATTTAAAAAAATCACTTTTTATTTTTTATATTTTTTGTTACTGTTTTTATTATTTATTAATTCAAATTGGAAAAAAAATATTTTATAGTTGTTTAAAATAATTATAATTTTGTTGTATACTGAATAATTGTTCTAAATTTAATTTTTACTTTAATGGTTTATTTTTACTCGCCTTTCACCTTGTAGGATTTTCTTGTTTCCTTTTTTCTTTATCGTCATATTCATCAAAAAAAACATCTGAATAAAATCTCGGTGAATTCGTATATGCATTATCGTGTGCAATCTGCAAAACGCAAATCATTATTTATGAACTAAGAAAAGATCGTCTAGACTAAATCATATATATATTTTTTATAATTATAAAAAGAAAGAGAAATGAAAGCTTCATATTTGAATAGAGAACTACTTCAAAAAATTTCATTTTTATATTTATAGAAACTACACGCAAGTGGAACAAGTTTAAAGTAAATAGAGAGAATTACGATTGGGATATATCATTTTGTAGTTTTAAAAATTCGTTTAAGTTGTTAAATTTGTTTCGGGGAAAAAAAACCTTTTACATGATTGTTTTAGTACTTTTTGTATTTTGTATTTTTTTGTAAAAATTATTTTATTTTATAGAATTTGCAAATTGTTGTGATGAGTTCTACATTTTATTGGCATATATATTTATATATATATTTATTATATTAGAAGTAGGTAATTTTTCATGCATGAAAAAAATCGACACGTGCCCACGATAATTATAATAATATAAGTCAAGTAGCTTCTCACAATGTTCTCATAATATCTGTGTAATTTGTTATACTTGAGTGTTCATCATTAACACCGTAGAATTATATATGCATGCAGTTACGTAGACTCATTTGTTCTCATTAACATAATAATTGTCCGCTAATTTTGTGTTTTATCCCAAAATAATAAATACAGACATAATTTTCATATTTTCGTTGTAATTTTAGATTACATTACTATAATTTAAATTACAATAGTAGAAAAATATTAATATTCTATATTGGGACATAATTAAAATTTAGCATCAATTATAATTATTTTTTATATAATAGATTAGAAAAATTAAAATAGGATTTATTTTTTTCTTGGTATATTTCTCAACACATTTAACTTCAAAATGCTTTTGATTTTGTTTGCATGCAGTGGCAATAAAAAGGAAAAGTCAGAGAATGTTATATTGAGATGATGTATATATAAATGATAATTTTTTATAGACAATAAAATTGTATGAGTATAATAAAAGTTCACTATATCTATATATATATATGATTATCTAGAGCAAAATATGGAAAAACCTTTACATTTTCCCAAGCATGGATATTCTCAATTTTACGGGTTTGTGAATCTTTTCCACAACTATTTTAATCGACGAAGCAAAATGCGCGCATTCGCATTGCGTGTATCACGCAATTATCACCATTATATTTTTCTCATTGAATCAAGATAAAAGTACTAAGACAGAAACATGTTTTTTATCATTGAATTTTATGTTTTTTTCTTGTAAAACATATATATATACATATATAACCAATTCTTCCTGAGAGTGAAGAAATGATTAATTATGGCGCTCATTGCATTGCGTATATATACAAATATTTTTCTTCTAATTTTCATTTGAATATATTTATCTCATTTAAAATGAATTATAAAGTATTTTAATGCCTTAAATGTTGAGTAGTATTTAAATCATTTGTTTTTTTTTAATTCTTGGAATTTTTTCCAATAGAAAGTAGCAGTAGAGAAATATAGGTTATGGTTTAAGGGAAATATTTGGGAATGTGTGAAGCGCATGAGTTAGAAAAGGACAAAGATTAATGTCCTTTTCTATCTCATGTTTGGGAAACTATTGTAGGGTTCGTAATTACATTGATGGAAAAAAACTGTTGTGGAAGCAGCTTAATGATCGATATATATCGATTCAAAGCAGCACTTGATTGGTTGGTTCTTGTAGAAAATTTTTTTCTCCCAACAGAAAGTTTTGTTTTCGCTTAACAAACGGTTATGACCTATAATTATTCAATAAAATCAATAAAAAAAATACTAATTAACAATTATTTTTCAAACTATTTAAAGAATTTTTATGAAAAACAAACGTGATTGAAATTTAAAAAAAAAAAAAAGAAAAAATTTTTAAAGATCATTTCTTGAGATCATTACTGAATTCGTATGAAATCGGTCATTCCCCGTGTGTTAACTAGCGGCTATTATATGGTGTTCGGAACAGGTATATATAAATGCAATGGCAAGTGATTTCAAGGGAATGAACACCGTAATTGGCCGGGCATATAAAGATTCGTTTGTGGTGGTTATAATCGCATCGAGACCGAAGAAAGTTGTTTTTCAATGCCCTGCAGGCAGGCGCAATTGTTTTAACGCCCGCGAAGATGACCAAGATCTGTATATATATATATATATATATATATATATATATATATATATATATGTATACCATTTCCATTGTTATATACTCGCGCTTTTACCGCTCAAGCCAATTTGTTCCAATCGCATTTGCATTCAAGTGAAAGGATTTTGCCTTCTTGATACGATACATATATAAAAATATATATCGAACAAAACTTATAAAATATACACATTAAACTCTCACTGTCAATAAAGCTTCCTCACAAAATTCACTGAATTCATTAGAATTTTAAAATACTTTTTATATTTTCTGAAAAACATTTTACGGTTCATTTATTTTTTTTATATAAATTTAAATCTCATGTAATATTTATAAAAAAAGAAATTTGCTCGAATTTTCGATTTCGCTTTTAAAAAAAAATAATTTTAGATTATTGTGAAAATAATCGTAAATGTAATTAAATTTAAATAAAAATTCGTGTATTTAATTTTCTTTTAGAAAAAATTTTAGCGTAGAGATGAATAATAAATTTATTTGAGAAAGAAAAAAAGTCGGTAACTGTCGATAACAGGGATCTGCAATTGAAAAATTTGCAATTTATAATTTAAATTGAATTTGAATTGAATTATAAATTGAATTTTTATTTTTTATAATAAAATTTTAAATTAAAGGTAAATGTAATTAAATTTAAATAAAAATTCAAGTATTTAATTTTCTTTTAGAAAAATTTTAGCTTAGAGATGAATAATGAATTTATTTGGGAAATAAAAAAAGTCGGTAACTGTCGATAACAGGGATCTGCAATTGAAAAATTAGTCATTTATAATTTAAATTGAATTTGAATTGAATTATAAATTGAATTTTTATTTTTTATAATAAAATTTTAAGATAATAATTTTTTTTTTGTTTCAGCGAGTAATGAACAACATGACAAAGATAGTTTGAACGAAACAGGTAGCATAACGGGTGGAACAGTGGAGGGTGCACCTGGAGGTAGCCCCGGAAGGGGTGAAAGATCAAAGGAAACTGAACCTTCTGCACAAGAGCCTTCCTCGTCAGCAGTGCCTCCAAGATCTTTAGTTTCGAGGATACTATCCAGGGCAAGGTCACCTGAAGATATTTTAGATAATTCTGAACCATTGTAAGTTTTAATTATATTATTATTATTTTTAATAAGCATTTAAAATTTTTTATATATTGTAATATTGTAAAATTTAAATTGATAATTTTTTTTTAATTTCCTTTATTTCACACTTTTTTAAAATATATTCAAAAAAAATTATAATTTTCTTTTTACATATATATTTTATTAAGAATTCATATTTTATAATTAAATTATATCGTCAGTTTGTATATTAATCAATATTGTTTTTAATTCTAGAAAAAAAAACTAATCTTTAGAAAACTAAATCGTAATTCAATCAAGTTAATGAAAACGAATAGATGGCACAAAACAGAATACACAACACCTTTAACATTTCTCTTAACTTAAAAAAAAATTTTTTTTAATTTTTGTTTTTTACTTATCGCATTTTTAGATAATAAAAATTATTATTATTATTATAATTTTTGAAAAAATGAAATCGGAAAAATACTAAAATTATTTTTGTAAAATTAAAATGGGAAAAAAGATAAAATCATTTCTAAATTTCAATTTGACAAGCAGACTAAAATATTAGAAAAAGTATCAAAGAAATTTTTTATTTAAGGTATAGTGAAATTATTTATTAATTATTAAATCTTATTAATAAATAATTAAAATAAATTCAGTATCAAAATAATGAAGAAAAATATTAAATATAAATTAGAATTATGAATTTATAATTACTAATAAATTAATAAAAAATTTTAAAATAACATGGAAAAAAATTAAATTTTCAGGATTTGTCTTTTTTTTGTTTGCATTTTAAATAGAAGAGGGGGAAGTTTAAAGGTAATTTCCAATGTTTAGTTAAGATGATTTTATATAGCGGAGATAGGTAACAAAAAATAACGGTGAAATTGTATAAATGGTGTATAAATACGGTTACAACACTTGTTACGAGAATTATGACGTTTAAATGATAAAGTAAAGCAAAACCGTAACAAAGACTTTTTTTTGCATCATGCAAATGAGCATTCCAAAGTTTATAACGGACAAGATGTAAATTTCTAAATCTTATCAAAAAAAAAAAAAATTCTCGCCATTATATATACGTAAATGATGACTTTCTCTCAACTTACTTTTCTCTTTTCCCGTTTCTCGAACATTTAATATATTGAATTGTGAGCAAAATTCAAATTCAATAGTCTATCTAAAAAAAAAAAAAATTTATCTTCAATAAAAATTTCTTTGGTCTCATAAATTTTTTGTAACAAAAAAAAATTCAGGAGGTAATTTACCTTTTTTTTAAAAAAGTATTTTAAAATTTTTAATCTATTTCGCCTGTTTTTGAAAAGTAGCAGTTTTCATTTTTTTATTGACAAATTAAAATTCTATTTATTTATTTATTTTATTACAAATAAAAATTTCCTTTCGTACAAAAAAAGTACTAAAACAACGATAAAAAAGAAAAAATTTTACAAAAATAATTTTTATATTTTTTCGAAATAATAATTTTATGAAAAAAATATTTTTTGTTTTATTTTTAAAACGTACAATTTTTCGATTTGGAATATATAAAAATAATAATACTAAAACTAATAATAATAATAATAATAGTAATTCAAATAAATATGGAGACAAAAATTTAATTTATAAAAATATAGAACTCAAAAAAATACAATCAGGAATTTAGTTAGAATTAAAAAAAAAATACGTGACTTTTGATTTTTTTTTGCAAGTTCGCAATTATGGATCGTACTATCAAATGTTTACGGGGAACTCGTGGTAATAATGATGATGGCCCTGTGCCTCGCCGAGGTGATGGATACACCTGTGCCTTTACTCAGCTTACAGGTAATTTTAAACACCTGGTTTTCTAAACTCAATTATCTCTTTTGATTGAAGTAAAATATATTTTCAAAAAAAAAAATTGATAACAAAAAGAAAAGTCCACATAGAAAAAAAGCTATATGAAAAGAAATGATTATAAATTACAGTAATAATAATAATAATTCATTTTGTAAAAAAAACTTATGGGAATAAATAATAAATAAATAAAAAAGTATTTTGAGAAATTTTTTTTTTTTTTTTTCTTCTCTTCATAGGGAATATTCCTGATGTATATGTATATTGGAAGCATAGTCGTAATCATAAGCATCTACCTCTGGGTCTTAATAGACAGTTGTCGAAGTTTGGGAAGTAGTGGAATTGGAATTGATGACGCTGAACTCGGTGGAGCTTCACTCACGAGATTTGGATCCCTTAAAAGAGCTCATATTTCACGCTCGAGAACCACAACCACTAGTTTTTACATTCGAGTTGGGGCATTACGTAAGTTTTGCCAACATTTAAAAAAAAAATTCGTTTTCACCGAAAAAAAAGAAAGTAATTGAAATTTATGTTTATTTAAAAAAAAGGAAATCACAGCCCTAGGAACTGATTTTGTTAAATAACAAAAATTTTTTAAAAATAAAATATCATTACAAAAAGAAAATATTTTCCACAGTTAAATTTTGGGCAAATTTTTGATTTTTTCTCTATTTTTTTTTTGAATTTAGAAAAAGAAAGTAATTTTATTTCTCGTATTTTTTTTTACATTATTTAAAAAAAAATAATTAATTTTTAGAAAAAAAATAATTAATTTTTAGAAAAAAAATAATTAAATTTTTTCCTTAGAATTTTATAATTTTTATTATATAGTAATTTTTTGCAAATTTTATTTTAAGTTATTTTCTATTTTTGATTTAATTTTGTTTTATTTTATTATTTTTAATTGAATTTTACTATTTTTGAATTTTGGTATTTTTTTTTTTTTTTTTTTGAATTTTGCAGAAAAAAGGGAAAAATTTATAAATTTTTTTTTCCTTTTAGAATAGAATTTTTTTTTTTTATAATTTCTAAATAAATAATTTGTTAGTAATTTTTTATAAATTTTTTTTTTACTAGTTTTTGGCCTGGCTACTCTAGTCTTTAATGGACTGGAAATGGCAATGCATTCAATGATGCAAGGAGCATCTTGTCTCAGTGATATCATTTTCGTTCATCCCGTTCTTCATGGACTCTTCACTTTTCTACAAATGCATTTTCTTTTCGTTAATTCGCAAGTATGTTGAAAAAAAAACAAATTTCTTTCCCACAATCACAATCTTTCCAAACCTTTGGAAATTTTTCATAATAGAATTTTTTTTTAAGAAACTGTGAAATACTTTAGTTTAAATAATAGAAAGATAATAAAATAACGAAATATTAAAAAAAAAGTTAATATTTAAATATTTTTTTCCATATTGAAATTACTTTTTTTTTAATAAATATTTTTCAAATTTAATGTTGTAAATTTTTTATGATTTAGAAATTACGGGAATAAAATTGATTTAATGGAGTTTTTTTCTAAAAAATTTTGTTTTTTTTTTATTTTTATTAATAAAATAAATATATTTTTTGCAGGTCCTCGTGGAGAAATTTGGATTAGCGGCAAGATTTGGTTTCACTCATTTGGCCGCAACAAATATAGCCGTATGGATTCGTTTAATAATTTGGGATTCTGCATTGGAATGGACCTATTTTGTTCATCTTGCTCAAAGGGGACCACAAACATCATCGTCTCCTCTTCATCTTCGAGGTTTTCCCCAAACATTAACGAGGCACACGCGAGATGTTTTAGGTAATTTTTTTTTTTATTAATTTCACTTCAAATAACAATAATAATAAAAATACCAAAATAATAATAATAATAATATCCCAAATTATATTTACAAAATATTGGAGACTAAAAATGAAATTTGAAATTAAAAAAATAAATTGTTTTTAAACATTTTTAATAAAAACTGTAAAATTAAAAATTCTGAATTTGTTTTTTAATATTTCACAGGAAAAAGAGTAAATAATTATTAAAATATAATAATTAATAAATAAAATTTATTTATTTAAAAAAAAAATTTTTTTTTCTATGTCTCCAAGTGGATTTTTTTTAATATTTTTTTTAATAATTTTTTTTCAGGCGAAGGATTAACAGGAGATAATATGTATAAAATTTATGAACCAATTTCCAAAGAACAAATCGCACAAGTTGTTGCATTGCAAGATTGTCTTAATGGCAGTTCTTTGGGTCAATTATGGACTTCAAGTTTGCCTTTTTTGTATCCATTTATTGTTCAATTCAGGCAAGTGATTTTTTTTTATTTATAATTTTTAAAAGGAAAATAATTATTTTATAAATTATTCATCTATTAATTACAATTAATTAATAATTGATTATTATTTATTAATTAACTGGCCTCGGATTACACGACTTTTTCGACTTTTACCGACTTTTTTTTCAAAAATACGACTTTTTTCGAGTTATTTTAATAAAATGCGACTTTTCGACTTTTTTACAAAATTTTAAAACAAAATACGTTTTTTTAAAGATACAATGCAAATCTTCTTTATTTCAATTATTTAACAAATTTTTAACTAAAATTCTTCCCTAAATTAATTATTTTTAATAATTTTAATGAAATTCTTCACAAATTCAATTATCTTTAACTATTTTTGAATTAAAATTTTTATGAAATTTAATAATTGTTTATAATTTAAAAAAAAATTAGCAAATAAAATAACAAAAAATGTTTAATTCAAAATCATTTGAAATTAAATTATTTGCAAAAATTTTAATTATTTTTAATAATTTTTTATAATATTCTTCGAAAATTCAATTATCTGAAAGCATTTTGCAATGAAAAAAAAATTTGAAAGTTCAATTTTTGTGTGTAATTTCTAATAAATTCTTCAGTTATTTTCACAAAATTTCAATAGAAATTCAATTATTTTCAAAATTTTAAATTCAAAATCAACTAAAATTCAATTATTTTCCAACGTTTCAATTCAAAATCAATTAAAATTCACTTATTTTCCAATATTTCGATTGAAATTACATTATTTTCAAAATTTTCAATTAAAATCAACTAAAATTCATTTACTTTCAAAAATTTTAATTCAAAATCAACTAAAATTCAATTATTTTCAAAAATTTCAATTCAAAATCAATTGAAATTTAATTATTTTCGAAAATTTCAATTTAAAAGCTTTTAAAATTTAATTATTTCTAAAAATTTCCATCTAAAATTTTTTGAAATTTAATAATTTCAATTATAACTCTCGTGAAATCAAATTATTTTTAATGATTTTTATAATATTCTTCGAAAATTCAACTTTTTGAAACCATTTTTCACTTAAAAAGTTTTCAAATTATTGTATTTTTGTCTGCAATTTCTAATAAATTTTTTAGTAACAGAAATCATGAAAAATTTTAAATTAAAAATCACTTGAAATTCAATTTATTTCAAAAATCTAAATTGTAAATCTTTGAAAATTCAATTACTTTTTGAAAATGTTATCTATAAAATTATATTTGATAAATTATTTTTAGTTTTGTAAAATTTAATTATTGTCTGAAAATTAACCAAATCTTTTGAAATTCAATCATTTCTAAAAATTTCAACTTTAACTCTTACAAAATTATTATTATTTAAAAAAAAAAATTTTTAATAAAAAATCTTTAAAATTTGATTAAGTTTTTGCCTGAAATTATTTTGATCATCAAAACTAAAAAAAACTATGACAAAATTTGTAATTCGAATAAATTGCTTAAATCAGACTTCAACAAATTATAAAAATGTTACTTCAAGAATTTTTATAATTTGTTCTACTTAAATAAAATTTTGAAAATTTGTCTTACAAATTTAATTGTGAAATATTGAAAATAAATTTTCTTGATAATATTTTTATAGTATTATTCTCATTACAGAATTAATAAAATGAATTTAATTAACATTAGTTATTTAAAGTAAAATATTCATTAACCAATTCAATTTTGTTAAAATAAAAAAAATCGACTTTTTCGACTTTTTTTGGGATTATAAATCGACTAAAACGACTTTTTTTGTGCCTTAAAGTCGATCCGACGCCTGAATTAATAATTCTTTTTTTTTTAAATAATTTTTAATATTATTTAGAAATTAAATTAGGGTCAACCGGGGTAAATCCGAACGCTTTTAGTAAGTTTCAACAATAACATAAGTTTTTTCTTTAAAAAAAAAAATACTTCCGGTATTCTGGTGCATGAAGTTGTTACTTTACTTCCATAGAACAATTTTATGGGGTAGAAAAAATTTTTGATAAATTACAATCGCAGGAAACTTAGATTTACCTCGATACTTTGCAACTTTCCTAAAATACCGGGGTAAATACGAACGCCACTGTATTTCAGAAAAATCTTAGGGAAAATAAATTTAAAGTATTGCAATTGTTAAACTTATATAAAAACTCAAAAAAAATACGATAATAAACCTATTATGTAATAATGCATCATATATAAATACAAAAATCAAACAGGTTAAAAATTAAAATGCATTACACAATTAAAACCTTTAATAACTTTAACAAATCATAACGGATTTTTGCAAAACTTGGTACAGAAAGTATTTTGGAGTGATTGAATGTAAATACAAAAATAGAAGTCAAATTTTTTAAATTCAAAATGGCGTACTTTCCTAAAACTTATTTTTAAAAATGATCGAATTTGCTAACCCTGAAACCCCCCGAGTAACAATTTTCGAGCGAATCCAATGAATTTTTTAATTCTCGTCCGCCATTTTGAATTTTGAAAAACTGACTTCAAATTGGTAATTAGCGACCCCAAAAACCGTAGAATACCAAATTTTATTAAGATCCTGAAAAACTTTTTTCAACAAACCATTTGGCAAAAAAAATTGAAACACTCCTTCGAGAGAACAGAGATTAAGTTTCTGCTTATTAATTACTAACGAGGATACGTATAGAAAGAAAAAACTTTTTTCTATGTACTTTTATAATGTTAAAATAATAGTGTAATGAAATAAAAACAATTTTGTGTGGCTCTGATGTAAAAAAAAATTATTGAAAATACCGTTCGGATTTACCCCGGTTTTCCAATTTTCCTGGGTAAATACGAACGGTCTGATATTATTAATAAAATTTTACAGAAGGCAAGAATGAAAAATAGTTTCTGTTCTAGTATTCATAACAAACAATTATAAATAGTAAATTAAATTTTTAGCTTCTTTTTCTTCAAATACGAGACAAAATACTGAAAGAGTGTCATCTTTGATTTTCAATCTTTTTTTTTTGCAATACTCGTTATCTTTGTTTATGCTGTTGCTAATTAACAAACGAAAAATGGGATAATACTTAGAATCTCTTGAAGAGGATCTGAGGTAAAAATTCTCATATTGAACTTATTTTTAAAAATTTTAATTAAGCTGAAATAATTAGCGTTCGGATTTACCCCGGCTGACCCTAAATTAGTTTTTCGTTTATTCAAAAAAGAAAAATGTATTTATCAATTTTTTTCTTTTTTTAGTTTAATAGCGGCTGCCGTGACATTTGTAATGGGACAAAATGTCGGTCGAAATCGTTTAACACATAAGCACAAATTCCTCAGTAGTGAGTATATTAATTTTATTTTAAATATTATATAACGAAATTTTTTATTGTCAACGAATAATAATCAATGAAATTAATATTAAAATTAAATTAATATTCAATTGAAATTAAAATAAAAAATTGTTATTTTCAGTGAAAGACCTGACAATACACAACAGAGCGAATTGCGATGGTTCGAGTAAAGGTCTATTTTTAGGAATTTTATGCATGGTCGCTGGTATTGTTGTTATTTTAATATTTCTCGTTGTTAGGGAAGATGAAAATTTTCCACCCTCAACATTATCGTGGCTAACATGTGGCACTCTAATTGCAATATTGAGTCTCAGTGGTCTAATGACGGCAAGTGGTTTAGTGCAAATTCGTCAAATGTCAATTGTATCAAGAGCATCAGCGACACTCGATACATTATTGTCAAATATTTCATTATTTGGCATTCAACTTTATTCGGTATTTACAATTGTCGTTTGTATTTGTTGTATTAATTGGACAATTGACAATGACGATTCACAAGTACGTCATATAATGTTATTGTCAGCGTCGATACTTCAATTATTACAAAGTTATGCACAAAGTACATTAATGGCTGAGGCAACAAAAAGATCGTGTATAACACGTTATCAAATGATGTCAAAACCAGCGCGACAAGTTATAACATTTTTATTATTTAGCAATGCAGTACTTTGGGCATTTGACACTGTTATTATTCACAATTGGATATCACAAGAAGTTCAATTGAGATTTTTTGGCGTTCTCGCTTGGGGTATAATATCGAGAATTGGATTGCCATTGTTGATATTTTATCGTTTTCATAGTTGTGTTTTATTGTTGGAAATTTGGAATAAATGTTACAGAACGCCACGTGGTGAACATCCACTTAACTGACGACAAGAAATGACTCCAAGGTTACTCGTCTCTAGGTATGTTGAGAAAAAAAAAATATTTAAAAAAAAAAAACAACATTTACAGACCTCGGATTATATTTTTTTCGAATTATTTTAATAAAATGTGACTTTTTCGACTTTTTTTACATTTTTCTTACAAAATTTAAAAAACAAAATACGTTTTTTTTTTTGTATACAATGCAAATCTTCTTTATTTCCATTATTTAAATTTAATTTAATATTTGCAAAAATTTCAATTATTTTCAATGATTTTTTAAAATATTTTTCGAAAATTCAATTATTTGAAAGAAATTTTTCAATTAAAAACTTTTGGAATTCAATTTTTTTTTTATGTGATTTCTAATAAATTCTTAATCAATAGAAATCTTTAAAAATTTCTCTTACTAAAATTATTGTTTCAAATTTAACACAATCTTTTGAAATTCAATTATTTTCAAAAAATTCAATAGAAATTCAATTATTTTCAAAATTATAAATTCAAAATCAATTAAAATTTTCTAAAATTTCAAATGAATTTCAATTATTTTCAAAGTTTTTAATTTAAAATCAACTAAAATTCAATTATTTTCCAAAATTACAATTCAAAATAAATTAAAAATCAATTATTTTCCAAAATTTCAATTCAATATCAATTGAAATTCAATTATTTTCAAAATTATTAATTCATAATCAATTAAAATTTAATTATTTTCCAAAATTACAATTCAAAATAAATTAAAAATCAATAATTTTCCAAAATTTCAATTCAATATCAATTAAAATTCAATTATTTTCAAAAAATTCAATAGAAATTCAATTATTTTCCAAATTATTAATTCAAAATCAATTAAAATTTAATTATTTTCCAAAATTTTAATTGAGTTTCAATTATTTTCAAAGTTTTTAATTTAAAATGAACTAAAATTCAATTATTTTCCAAAATATCAATTTGAATTTCAATTATTTTCAAAGTTTTTAATTCAAAATGAACTAAAATTCAATTATTTTCCAAAATTTCAATTCAATATCAATTAAAATTCAATTATTTTCTTAAAATTCAATAGAAATTCAATTATTTTAAAAATTATTAATTCAAAATCAATTAAAATTTAATTATTAACCAAAATTTCAATTATTTTCAAAGTTTTTAATTTAAAATCAACTAAAATTCAATTATTTTCCAAAATTACAATTCAAAATAAATTAAAAATCAATTATTTTCCAAAATTTCAATTCAATATCAATTGAAATTCAATTATTTTCAAAATTATTAATTCATAATCAATTAAAATTTAATTATTTTCCAAAATTACAATTCAAAATAAATTAAAAATCAATAATTTTCCAAAATTTCAATTCAATATCAATTAAAATTCAATTATTTTCAAAAAATTCAATAGAAATTCAATTATTTTCCAAATTATTAATTCAAAATCAATTAAAATTTAATTATTTTCCAAAATTTTAATTGAGTTTCAATTATTTTCAAAGTTTTTAATTTAAAATGAACTAAAATTCAATTATTTTCCAAAATATCAATTTGAATTTCAATTATTTTCAAAGTTTTTAATTCAAAATGAACTAAAATTCAATTATTTTCCAAAATTTCAATTCAATATCAATTAAAATTCAATTATTTTCTTAAAATTCAACAGAAATTCAATTATTTTAAAAATTATTAATTCAAAATCAATTAAAATTTAATTATTAACCAAAATTTCAATTATTTTCAAAGTTTTTAATTTAAAATCACCTAAAATTCAATTATTTTCCAAAATTACAATTCAAAATGAATTAAAAATCAATTATTTTCAAAAATTTCAATTTAAAATCAATTGTAATTGAAATCTAACTATTTTCAAAAATTTCAATTTAAAAGCATCTAAAATTTAATTATTTCTAAAATTTTCCGTCTAAAATTTTTTTGAAATTTATTTGTAATTTCAATTATAACTCTCCTGAAATTTCAATATTTTTTAATGATTTTTACAATATTTTTCGAAAATTCAACTATCTGAAACCATTTTTCACTCAAAAAAAGTTTTCAAATTATTATAAATTCTTTTCTGCAAATTTTTAATAAATTTTTCTAGTGAAATCATCAAAAATTTGAAATCAAAAATCACTTGAAATTCAATTAATTTCAAAAATTAAAATTGTAAATCTTTGAATATTCAATTACTTTTACAAAAATATTATCTAAAATTATATTTTTGATAAATTATTTTTAATTCTTTAAAATTTAATTATTGTTTGAAAATTAACAAAATCTTTTGAAATTCAGTTATTCTAAAAAATTTCAACTTTAACTCTTCCAAAATTATTATTATTTAAAAAAAAAAAAAATTTTTATTAAAAAATCTGTAAAACTTGATTATAAGTATTGCCTGAAATTTTTTTAACCATCAAAACTAAAAACTATATGACAAAATTTTTTAATTCCAATTAATTTGCGTAAATCAAATTAAAAAAAAATTATAAAAATGGAAGTTTAAGAATTTTTGCTATCCTACTTATATAAAATTTCTGATAATTTGTCGTACAATTAGTTCGATTCTAAAATATTTGAAATAAATTTTCTTTGAAAGGAAATTTGGTGAAAAAAAAACAATAATTTTCAGATCAAAATTAAAAAAACATCGTCGAAAAATGGTGGAAAAAATTCAAAACAATTTCAATGAATCGCAACGAAAATTTAGTGAATCGGAGATTCCACTTTTTAAAAATTTGGTGACCTTGGAATCAAATTTTTTACCTCATCATTATCCTTATATGGACAGTGCCAGTTGGCTTTATCTTGATCCAAATCCATTGATTCAAATTGAAGCGCCAGTGATGCATTCTCATAATGTTGATTATGCATTGCCAACACCGCGACGAAAGACAATTTCTTGTAATCATCATCATCATCATCATCATCATAATCATCATAATGATCATTACAATAATGATAAAAATCGTCAACAATATTGTCGTCATCGTCGCGTTGTCAGTGATCCTGGTTGGAATAATAGGAATATTTTAAATTCCACAAATTTAAATAAACAACACAGAAGAGTTTCCAGTTATCATCAGCAACAAAATGATATTTTTCTTAAGGAAACAATTAAAGAACGAAATAATGATGATTCGTTGACATCCACTTTCAGAAAAGTGCCATGGCATTCCAATTTGCACATGCTCAAAATTCGACGGACTTGAGAATATAATTTTCCTTTTTTTTTTTATTAGAGAGAAAAAAGATTTTTTTTTTCATTTTGAGAACTACTATTTTTTCTAAAGAATGAGAATTTGTAGCAAAAAGAAATTTTTCTATTTTGAAAATATTTTTTTTTTTTAAAGGAATAAGCTAAAATAGTTTTAGAAATTTTTTTGGAAATTTTTTTTTAAAATTTTTCTCTTTTTTCCAAAATTTTGTAAGTATTATTTTAATATTTACATAATTAATCAATTATTTTTGAATAGGTGTGAAATTTAAATTTACTTTTTTTTGAATTTTAGTTTTCTTTTTTTTTATTTTTTACTAAAAATAGAAAAAGGAAATCAATTTTCCAGAAAAAAAAAATGCGAAGAAAAATTTTTGGAATTTTTTTTTTTAATTTGGAAACTTAAAATAGTTTTTAAATTTTATTTTCTCTTTGATTCGACTAAAAATGAAAAAATTAAAAATGTAGTTTTCAAATTATTCATTTTTTCTATTAAAAATAGAAATTTTATTTTTTTTAGTTTGAGAAAAAATTTTTTGAAAGGAAAAAAGAATTTTTCTTCTTTTTCTTAAAAATGTAGTTTTCAAATTATTAAAATTAATTAAGATTATTAAAATCGTCGATTCGACTAAAAATGGAAAATTAAAAATGTAATTTTCAAATTATTCATTTTTTCTATTAAAAATAGAAATTTTATTTTTTTTAGTTTGAGAAAAAAATTTTTTGAAAGGAAAAAAGAATTTTTGCTTTTTACACATTTGTGTGAGATTTATGTGCAATATATAATATTATAGTTTAATTATAGAAAATCTAAAATATATATGTACAGAATTATAAAATATAAGTAATATAAATAATATCTAGATTATTATAACTATATATATATATGGATACTTAATTTTCCAATTAATCGCGAAAATGATTTCATAACATAAAATAAAAAAAAAAGCAAGCGCATTAAATAAATTGCGAATTTGCCGCTTTTATTCAATTCTATAACTTGCAGCCATTAACAGAAAAAAAAGAATTTAAATTATTAAACAGTAACCGCATTTTTATTGTAATTATAATCTTTTTTTTAATTTTGTATCTTCCGCAATTTTTTTATTTTTTTTTTAATTTTAATCAAAAGAAAATTCTATTTAAAAAAAAAAAACAGAGAATAATTGTACAGTGTATTTTTTAGATTATTAATTTGTAATCGTCAATTATGGATGTGACAATAAAAAAAAAATATCTTTCAGAATTATTTGTCTGGAAATTATTTTTCCATTATAATATAATGGATAATAATAATAATAATAATAATAATAATAATAATAATTATAATAATTATAATTTGATTTCTTGTTTTTTTAAAACTTCTAGTGACCTTTTTAAGGAAAATAAAAGAAATATAATTATTTATTTAAAAAAATCTTCAAAAAATTTCCTCATTTACACAGAATCCACAAGGAAAGCGTTGATTTTCATTTTATCAGCTCGATTGTATAAATATGAGCGATGAAAAATTGCATCTGCAGTCTTTACAAAAATTTCTCTCATCGAAAGTGGCAAAACAATTTTTTTTTTTTCTCTTCATCATGGATAACATGACATTTGTAAATTATAAATCTAATCAATAAATAATTATTATTTATTTTTTCTTATTTTTTAAAATTTATTACTATTATTTTCAATTTTTTCACAATAATATTTATTAATAATAATAATTACTACAATTATATAAATAATTATAATTATCATAATTATAATTCATAATTATCATAATTTTTTGTTAATTAACAGGGCAATCAAAAATTTAAAATTGAAAATGGAATTTTAAAAGGACAGGAAGTATCAGTTGACGTTGGTGACGCCGATGTTGGAAAAGAAGTGTTACAAACTCTAATTAATAATCCCGATTTTGTGTGTCTGGTAATATTATTTAATTAATTATTATAATTAAATTAAGATTTAAAAAGAAAAATCGCTAAAATTATCAACTATTTTTTTTTTTTTGAAAGATTCATAATTAATTTAATGCAATCTTCTTTATTTCTTTATTTCCATTATTTAAATTTAATTTAATATTTGCAAAAATTTCTATTATTTTTAATGATTTTTGTAAATATTTTTCGAAAATTCAATTATCTGGAAGCATTTTCGAATTAAAAACTTTTGGAATTCAATTCTTTTTTTTTATGTGATTTCTGATAAATTCTTAATCAATAGAAATCTTTAAAAATTTCTCTTATTATAATTATTGTTTCAAATTTAACACAAACTTTTGAAATTCAATTATTTTTAAAATTTTCAATTTAAAAGCTTCAAAAATTTCATTATTTCTAAAATGTTACATCTAATATTTTTTTAAATTTAATAATTTCAATTATATAATTCTACTGAAATTAAATTATTTTTAATGATTTTTATAATATTCTTTGAAAATTCAACTATCTGAAACCATTTTTCAGTTAAAAAAATTTTATAGTTTTTCAATTTTTGTCTGTAATTACAATTCTAATAAATTCTTCAATTATTTTCAAAAAATTCAATAAAAATTCAATTATTTTCAAAATTATTAATTCAAAATCAATTAAAATTTAATTATTTTCCAAAATTTCAATTGAATTTCAATTATTTTCAAAGTTTTTAATTTAAAATGATTAAAATTTAATTATTTTCCAAAATTTCTATTCAAAATTAATTAACCAAATTTTCAATCAAAAATGAACTTAAATTAAATTATTATCCAATTTCAATTAAAATTCAATTATTTTCAAAATTTTTAATTTAAAATCAACTAAAATTCAATTATTTTCCAAAATTACAATTTAAAATAAATTAAAAATCAATTATTTTCCAAAATTTCAATTCAATATCGATTGAAATTCAATTATTTTCAAAGTTTTTAATTTAAAATCAACTAAAATTCAATTATTTTCCAAAATTACAATTCAAAATAAATTTAAAAATCAATTATTTTCCAAAATTTCAATTCAATATCAATTGAAATTCAATTATTTTCAAAAAATTCAATAGAAATTCAATTATTTTCAAAATTATTAATTCAAAACCAATTAAAATTTAATTATTTTCCCAAATTTCAATTGAATTTCAATTATTTTCAAAGTTTTTAATTTAAAAACAACTAAAATTCAATTATTTTCAAAAAATACAATAGAAATTCAATTATTTTCAAAATTATTAATTCAAAATCAATTAAAATTTAATTATTTTCCAAAATTTCTATTTAAAATTAATTATCCAAATTTTCAATCAAAAATGAACTTAAATTAAATTATTATCCAATTTCAATTAAAATTCAATTATTTTCAAAGTTTTTAATTTAAAAACAACTAAAATTCAATTATTTTCAAAAAATACAATAGAAATTCAATTATTTTCAAAATTATTAATTCAAAATCAATTAAAATTTAATTATTTTCCAAAATTTCTATTCAAAATTAATTATCCAAATTTTCAATCAAAAATGAACTTAAATTAAATTATTATCCAATTTCAATTAAAATTCAATTATTTTCAAAGTTTTTAATTTAAAAACAACTAAAATTCAATTATTTTCCAAAATTACAATTCAATATCAATAATTGAAATTCAATTATTTTCAAAAATTTTAATTTAAAATCAATTATAATTTGAAATCCAACTATTTTGAAAATTTCAATTTAAAAGCTTCTAAAATTTAATTATTTCTAAAATTTTCCGTCTAAAATTTTTTTTTGAAATTTAATAATTTAATTATTATATATAAGTTAATTATTACAATTAAATTAAGATTAAAAAGAAAAATCGCTAAAATTATCAACTATTTTTTTTTTTTTGAAAGATTCATAATTAATTTAATTTCGAAAGGAAAGTTTGTTTTATTTTTTTTAATTTTACAAATTTTATTCTATTATTTTTTCTCTTTACAGATAGATGCAGTCACAGGTGAAGAGTGCACTTTCAAAAGAATGGCAGACGAAAGTGTTAAATGCGCGTTATGGTTGAGAAAAGAAGGAATGAAACTTGGCGATGCAGTTTGTGTTTTTACTCATAATCATTTAAACACTTATATTCCCTGCCTTGCAACATTATTTAATAGAGGAATTTTATGTCCCTCATTTTCTGGACACACTATTGGTAAATATATTTCGAAAAAGAAAAAAAAACCCATTAAAATATTTTTTTTTTCAATTTGAAAAAAAAATATTAATTTAATTAATATAATTAATTAATTTAATTTTGAATTTAAATAATTATAAATAATTTTTTCCTTTTTTTTTTTTTTTTGCAGAAAATTTGCAATATATTTTGGAATTAATAAAACCAAAATTCATTTTTGCCAATGAAAGAGAGGCAATTTTAATTGATAAAATTGTAAATGATAAAAAATGGAATATAAAAATTGTGACATTTGAAAAAATTGAAAAATTCATTACAATTGAAGAAATTTGTGATGAGAAATTAATTAATACATGTGAAATTAATGAATTTTCATGTATTAAACCAAATAGTTCGGATGATAGTTGTTTTTTAATTTTTACATCTGGCTCATCGGGTGAACCAAAGCCAACATTACATTTATATCGTTCAGTTATGAATACAATGTTAACGTGTTTGAAAATAAAAAATTCTGAACGCAATATATCATTAAATAGTTCACCACTTGGTTGGGTAACGGGTACTGTTAATACAATTCTCGATCCATTGTCATTTTCAAAAAAAATTATTATTCACGAAAAAGGACATGAACCAGAGGAAATTTTTAAATTCATCGAAAAATACAAGGTTTTTTCTAAATTCAATTAAATTAAATTCATAATTTCAATTAAATTCAATAAAATTAGCAATTTTTTTTTTTCTAATTAAATTAAAAAGTAAATTCAATTATATATATAGAATTAAATTGAAAATAAATTCAAAATTTAAATTATTTTATATATAGAATTAAATTGAAAATAAATTCAAAATTTAAATTATTTTATATATAGAATTAAATTGAAAATAAATTAAAATTAAATTGAAGTTAATTAAATAAAAAATAGAATTTTTTTCCTTAATTTCCAAAAAAAAAAATATATATTTTTGTAATTATTGTTAGGTTTATTAGTAAAAAAAAAAAAAAAATGTAATAATTCTCTTAATTAAATATTTGCAGGTGACAAATTTAGTTTTAGGCTTAGATATGATTTATAAATGTTACAAAGTAAAAAATTGGAGGGATTATGATTTATCGTCAATTAAACGAATGTCGATTGGCGGAACGAAATTAAATACAAAAGTAATTGAATTTTTTCAAGAAATTTTTCCAAACGGCAATATACAATTTGGATATGGTAATTATTTATCAAAAATAGCGAATTTATTTATTTATATTATTATTATTAAAAATTAATAATTAAATTTCATAATTACTAATAAAATTCTTTTTTTATTATAAATTTTTTAAAAACCAATTAAATAAGACGAAATAAATTATCAATAAATGCTAATTAAAAATTAAAAAATAATAATTAATAAAATGGAAATTAGTAAAATAATAATAAAATAATAATTAATAAAATGGAAATTAGTAAAATAATAATAAAATAGTAATTAATAAAATGGAAATTAGTAAAATAATAATAAAATAGTAATTAATAAAATAATAATAAATAATAACTAATAAAATAGGAATTAATAAAATAATAATAAATAATAACTAATAAAATAGAAATTAATAAAATAATAATAAATAATTTTTTAAAATACATGATTTTTTAAAAAGCAAACATTTTCCTTTGTTTCCTTTTTGGGAAAAATTAAAAAATTTAGGTTCAACTGAATTGCTATTAATTGCATTTAAAACTCTGATAAATAAAGAAAATTTGGAAACATGTGGTTTTATAATTCCCGGTGTACAAGTGAAAGTAATAAATCCTCAAAATGGAAATATTTTACAACCAAATGAAACTGGTGAATTATGTTTTAAAACACCATTTATGATGAAAGAATATTATAATAATCCTGAGGCAACAAAAATTGCAATTGACGACGAAGGTGAGTTAATTAATTATAAATTAATTTAATTTTCCATCACATAAAAAAAATATTGAGAGACTAGAATTTGTTTTTTTTTTTTTTTTTTTGGGAATTAGAAATAAAATTCTTTTGTAAATTTTTATAAATTAACTGCGCATAAAAAATAGTATTAAAAATAGTATTTGCAATTAATTAATTAATTAAATTAGGTTGGTATCATTCAAAAGATTTGGGTTACTTTGATGAAAATGGATACGGCTATATTGCTGGTAGAAAAACAAATTTATCAATAATCGATGAAAATAATTCAATTCATTGGGAAATTGAACGTATTTTATTATTAAATGCAAGTGTCGTTGAAGTTGCAACAATTTCAAATTCAAAATGTAAAAATTTAAAAATTTTCGCTTTTGTCACAATTGTACCAGGTTCTAAGGTGATAACTATTATTTTATTTTTATTTTACATCAATTAAAATAAAAAAAATATTATCTAATTATTAGAAATAAAATTCTATACATAAAATTATAATTATTACAATGAATAATTCTAATTAATATTAATTATTTATTATTTATTTCAAATTCATACTATGAAATTTTTTTTTTTTTTTTTTTTAATTTTTTATTGTCAATTGTACCAAAATTTTACCCTTTATAAGAATAAAAAAAATGTTAAAAACTAAAAAATATTAAATAGAATTATTTATTGTAATTATAAATTTTTGTAACTACTAAATATATGAAAATTAATGATTCAGGTAACGGAAAAGGAATTATCGGATATGATAAAATTTCTCGGCATAAAGAAACTTGAGGTAACTGTAAAAGTTTTAGAATCCCTGCCACTTACATATAATGGAAAAATAAAAATGGAAATTTTGAGGAAAATGACTGAAAGCATGTGAAATTATTTTTCAAAGTATTAAATTTGAAAAAAAAGTATTAAAATAGTTAAAAAGAAAAATAGAAACATTACAAAATAATAGAAAATTTGTCAAATAAAAAATACATAACAAAATTAATTCAAAAAATTAATTCCTTTTAATTAAATTCCTTAAATTAAATTTTATAAAAAACAGAAATAAATTTAGTTCCTTTAATTTTTTTTTTGAGAAAATGATAAAAGAAATTGTAAATTTTTTACGTTCAGTTAAAGATAATATTCTGTTAATTAAATATTTATTTATGTTATTTTTCTCTTGAAGGTAAAAAAAAACTTTTATTTAAATTGTTTGTATTTTTTTGTTATTGCTGTGTGATTTTTTTTTCCAAAAGCGATTTTTTTGTACTGTATTATAAAAAAAAAAAAGTATCAAAAAGAATAAACTATACTTACATTAAAAATAAATAATTTATAATAATAAACAATTTTTTCATAAAATATTTTTAATATCTTCAATATTATTATAAATTTATTATTATAAATAAAATAATAGTAAATTTATTATTGTAAATAAAATAATAGTAAATTTATTATTGTAAATAAAATAATAGCAAATTTATTATTGTAAATAAAATAATAGCATGAAACTGTTTTTTTGCGCTTTTTTTTAAATAAAAATAATAACTACATTAAAAAAATTGTTCATTTGTGTTTTATTTTATTTTATTTTTTTTTTTTTACTTATAAACTTCAAAATGACTCTTCATTTTACACGAGTGAATAGTATACAATTCGATATAGTACAAAAAAAAATTATTAATCGGCAATGTAGAACATATTAACATTTAAAAAAAAAGAGAAACATAAATAGATTAACATTAAAGTGCTTTCGGCTTTGCGGATTTGATTTTCTTTAATTTTTTCAGACCATTTATATTACTCTTTAAAAGATTCCAGTAAGCCTGCTGGAATTTATTTACGTCCTTTGGATGAATCTATAATTAAGATAATTAAACATTTTTATTTTCAAATTTATTAAACAAAATTTTACGAAATTTATTTTCGGAAATTAAAATTTACTTTGAATAGTTTTTAACTTTCTTTTTCTTCTATTTTTTTACATGTAAATTTTTATTAAATATCAGTTTAAAATTATAATTATGCAATAACAATAATTATATAATAATAATAACTATAATTATATTATAATTAATAAAATATTATTATTTTAAACAATTTGCAATTATTTTTTTAATTTATAAACAATTTTTCGTGAATTTACAAAATAAATAAATATTTATTTTATTTATTATAAATAAATATTAAAAGTAAAAAAAAAATTGTAGACTTTTCAAAAATGTGTTTTTAACGACAAATTTTTGAATGAATTAAAATTTGAATATAAGAAAAAAATTTATTTTTCCATATATAAATAAAATATTTTCTTGAATATTTTTTATATTACTATTTTATTTTTATTTCTTTTATAATTTTTTCTTTTTTTTAAATTTAACAAAAATATTTTGTAAAAAATATATGTTAAATATTATTTAGTATAATTTTTTGTTTAAAATAAATTGAATAATTTTCCTTTTTCTCTATTTAAATAAAAAGTAAAATTAACTTACGACTGTTGAGATTTTTTTCGAGCAATTTTTTTTTAATATTTTTTTTATTTCTTAAATTTAGCAAAAATATTTTGTAAAAAATATCTGTTAAATATTATTTAGTATAATTTTTTGTTTAAAATAAATTGAATAATTCTCCTTTTTCTCTATTTAAATAAAAAGTAAAATTAACTTACGACTGTTGAGATTTTTTTCGAGCTCAATGAAGCACGAACTAAACAAAGATATTCACTAGGAACAGGTAAAGGCGGTTTACTTTTCCTTGGAACTGGCTTATTATGTCCATTAACTAAAAAAATTTTTTTTTTTTTTATTAAAAAATTAAAATTTCTATTCAATTTAATTTATTCTGCTATATAAAAATTATATTTTTGTTGTAGCAAATTTCCGCTATTTATATAAAAAAAACATTAACAAAATTGAAATTAATTAATTTTAATAATTAATATTAATTAATAATTTAATAATTTCAATAACTGAAAAAAAATATTAGCCTACATTACAATAATAGATGAAAAAAATATCTATTATAATTAAAATAATAAATTAATTATTGATTATCAATTTTTAAAAAATATTTTAACAATATTTTACACTCCATTATTTAAAATTTTATTATTACTTCGGAAAAAAAGAATACTTAACCTCAAAAAAAAAAAAAAATTAAATATTACGTAGAGAAAAAAATGTTTTATCTGTGGCTTTATGGAAAAAAAAAAAAAACTTTGGAATTTTTTTTGTACAAGTCATCATATGATCATTTTGACAGAAAGTTAAAAAAAAATTGACGAATTAAAGGGAAATTTTTTTTTTTCTTTTAAATAAAATGAAAGTTAAAATAAAATAAAACAGAGGGAAATTTAAAGTTTAGTCAATAAAATATAATAATAATATTATTTACTTACACCTTTTGATGGTTAATGAGACTGCACCAGAAACTCGTGATTTTTCAAACAAACGTGTGAGTTCGGCTAAAAACTAAAAATTAAATTCAAATTAGTAATGAGTCACATTTTTTTTTTCTTAAATTTAATAATTTATTTTTCTCTCTCTATCTCAATATTTACCGTATCATTTTCTAATAAAACCATTACGACGGTAGCATATGCCTTTTTTTTTGGAGCAATAATGTCAAACTTCAATTTTTGACAGATTTTTTTGAGGTTAGAACATGCCACGGACTGAAACACCAGGGCTGTATAGATTAATACACAGAACCTTAGGGCTCATAATTATTATTATTTTTTTTTCCCCCATTTACTGTATTTCCTATTTACTAAATTATTAATATTCAATTTAAAGAGAAATAAATAAAAAAGAAAAACCTTTTTCAAAGAGAAAAAAACAATTGACAAAATTATATTTAAAAAAATGTTTTTCCCGCGGAAAATGATATGCAATGAAAGGCATTATGATTGGTGGAAGTAAAGAAATCGAGATCTGTGATTGAAGGAGAAGAGAATGGTGTGTCAAATTCGAAAAAAAGAAAATTTAATTAAAATTTAATTTTGAAACAATAATTATTATTTTGCAAAATAAATAAAATTTGAAAAAAAAATTGAAATAGATATTAATTCTAAATATTTTTCCAAAAGCTTTTTTTTGTAATGATGATACGCACCTTTCTCTTTCTCTCTCTCTCTCTTTCTTTCGATTAAAAAACATTTTCAAAAAGTTTATATTAGAAAATTTGTTGCTTTGAAAAAAAAGAAAATTCTTTCTTTTCATCATTCACGATAACGAATTAAATTCTATTTTAATTTTTTCCCCATGTAAATTTTGATTTTGATGAAAAACGGTAAAAGTGACGTGTAAGAAAAAGTGCGCAAACACGAACACAAATGGTTAATACAAATTTCATAATTTTGTAAAAAAAAAGTACCGCAAAATTGGAATTAAATTTGGTAATTATAATGATTATTATTTAAAATTATCTTAATATTTTTAAAATATTCTTTTTTCACTATTCAATTTTCAATTAAAAATTGCTCACGTATTGTTTTACAATGAACATAACCTCTCTTCAATTTTTATATTATTATCACAAAATTATAACGAGTAATAATTTTATTTAACATATATTAATTTATTGTTGAATTAACATTTTTTCTTTTGTTAATTAATTTTTTTCATTATTTATATGTTACATTTTGGTAAAATAAAAATTGTTTCGTATTTCCTAACCTCAAAATTTTGCAATATTTTTTTTTATTTTATTATCACAAATTATAACGAGTATTAATTTATTTAACATATATTAATTTATTGTTGAATTAACATTTTTCTTTTGTTAATTAATTTTTTTCATTATTTATATGTTACATTTTGGTAAAATAAAAATTGTTTCGTATTTCCTAACCTCAAAATTTTGCGTATATTTTTTTTTATTTAGCGAAATAAATAAAATAGTAAAAGTATTAAGGGATTAAAATTTTTTTTATTACAAAATTTGTTATTACTTTTTTTTCTATAAAATAATATTTTCATTGTAAAGAAAAAAAAAATATTTGGAAAATTTGTTTTTCGTTTTTTAATTGATTTTTTTCGAAACGAATTTTTTTGTAAAAATAAAAAATTTTCTTTTAGATTAAAGAATAAAACAAAAAAAAAAAAAAAATGTCAACAACACTTTCGAATGAAGCGCAAATGCGTTATATTATCGAATGGTTTCAAGAATGGTCGGAAATGCAACGCGCCGATTTTCTTGGCATTTTTCTTGAACGTTGTACACCACCTGGTCTTGTTAATGGTCTACTCTCAGGAATTGAGGGACTATGCAGTAAAGATGACATCGATCGACCGCCAAGTTTATTTCAATGTCGCATTAAATTATTTCGCGAATGGAGTCAAAATTGGACGCAACAAGAAAAAGAATCGCTCACTGTATCAATAAAAAATATTGATTCAAAATTTGCCGAACAATACGATCAAAGATTATCAGAAGCCACTAATAATGATGGTGAAGAATAATTTAAATACAAAGAAAATTAATTGCCAAAAAAAAAAAACAGAAAAAAAATTACTTATACGAAAATATAAGTAAGAGATAAAAAAAAAGAAACTACATACAAATTTTTTTGTATTGTTTTTTTTTTTTTGGAAAAATTTCGAAGAAGACTGGATTTATTGCTCCGTATAATTTTATATATATTATTATTATATATATATATATATAGTTTATAAATAAGGAAAATAATTGCGAAAAATTTTTTTTTTAAATATTTCACTGGAAAATTTAATGATTAAATTTATTTAGAATTTTTATATTATTTAGAGTAGAGAAAAAAAATATTGTGATAGCAAAAAAAATTTTTACACTTTTTTATAACAAAAAAAAATAGAATTCACATGGACTGTGACGAAACATTCCAATTATTGAATATTATATTCAATTACCAATAGAAAAAAAATTAAAATAATTCACTTTTAGTTGAATTATATTTAATCGAATATTTCGAATTATTTTAATTATTTCAACATTTTTAAAAATTAAAGTCAAATTTTTTTTCAATTTCTTTTATTTTTAATATTTATGTAATTTTATATAATTTTTTTTTTTAATTTTTCATACGTCTTATTTTATAATATTCTATTTAATTTATTGAAAATTCGTCGAACACTTTTTTTTTTCTCAAAATGAATCTTTCCTCACTGGAAAAATAAATACAATTTTAAAGAAGGAAAAGAATAAAACAAAAAAGAAAACTGTTCTTTTAAAATTTTATTTAAAAAGAAAATTTGTATCTATACAATTATATTATAATAAATAATAATAAATAAAATTATTGTTTTAAAGTAAAAATACAAAAATGTTTAAATATGATTATTTTCTCATTTAAAAATTAAAAAAAAAAATAATAAATTGAAATTAAATTCAATTCCTAATTTGGAATTTAATTTTTTTTCACTATTAAAAATTTTCTTTAGTTTAATTATTTGCTATATAATTAAATTATTACTCAATTTAAATTTAGAATTTAATTTTCAATATTCAATTAAATTTTGACCCATTAATTATCGGAACTAAAAAAAAAAATTACAAACGTTTTTTCCCATCATTTTTGTTTTTAATTACATTTTTCTGAAGAAATAATTAAATTTTGTAATTTTCAAGTTCTTTTTTTAATTGTAGAAAATAAAGAAAGGTTTTTTTTTACTCGAAAAATATAGAACAAAAAAAATAGATACTTCAATATGAATACATTTATTCTCAATTTTTACCAAAAAAAAAGACATCAAACCTTTCACATCGAATATTTTCTTATTTTTTTTTTTTTCGCATTACATAATTTTTTTTTAAATATTCAGATCTCGAAGTGTGACAAAAAAAAATTTTTAGCTAGATTTAATTATTTTTTTTGTGTGTCTAACTATTCGTAGGAAAAACAAAGGAAAATTTGAGACTTAAATAAAAATTATTATTAATTTTTTACAAAATAACTTATTTCCTATTTAGCGCATTTTTTTTTAATTATTTTACGCGAAAAATTGTATCACAGCCCGTAACAAATAATTTTATCTGCAGTCTATTTTTTTCGAAAGCGATTATTTGTTACGATATTATTATTAATATTATTATTATTATTATTAATATTATTATTATTAATATTATTATTATTATATAATATAAATATTGTCTTTTAATTAATAATAATTATTATATAGTGCGTTTAAAAATCTAAAAAAATCATTTTTCAAAAACTTCATTCTTTTTTTTCTCATCTTTAAAAATTAATCATCGAGTTTGTAAAAAATGAGCAAGAAAATAAATTATATATATATAGGTATATATATATATTTATTTATTTAAATAATATTTCTAGTCTTTTATATTGCATAATATCTATAATATTAGTTTCTTATTTTCTAGTTTTTCTAAAAAAAACCTCTTTTATTTTTTAAAAACTCTTTTCTTCTTTGTTTGAGAGAAAAGTTAATAATTATTTTTTTTTTTGTCTAATTTGTGACAATTGTAAAAAAAATGCTTTTATATTTAAAAAAAGGGGAAAAAGACATTTAAAATAGTTTTTTTAGTTTGAACCTTGAGTTTGTTGTAACCATTTGGTGCAAATGGATTTTATTGCGTTTTGTCCGAGTCTGTCAGCCTCTTTTAAAATTCGTCGAATATCATTTGCCCTCGAATGTTTCACTGCGAGAAGATATGCGGCTTTCAATTGTCGACTTTCAATATAGGAACTTATCTGCAAAAATTTCGTTTAAAATACAAAAAAATTTTATTCCCAAATTTCTCGAAACAAAATCAAAAAAAAAAAGGAAATTTATTCTCTTTTTTTCTCTATTAAAATAATAATTTTTATTACTATTTTCATTATAATAAATAAATAAAAAAAAGAAATTAATTTTTCTTCCTTTTCTCTATTAAAATATAATAAATTTTCATTTGGCCTCTAAAAAAAAATTTTTACAATTTTTATTTACTATTCTGTTTTATTTAATAAGAAAAAAAACGAAATTTTTTAAATAATTTATAAAATTAATTTCAAATTTTATTAGATTTAAAATTTGAAATATTTCAATTCATTTGGCCTCTAGAAAAAAAATTTAATTTCAATTTTTATTTACTATTCTGTTTTATTTAATAAGAAAAAACGGAAATTTTAAATAATTTATAAAATTAAATTCAAATTCTATTAGATTTAAAATTTGAAATATTTTAATTTATTTAAAAGTTATTTAATTTACTCAAAAGTAATTTACTTATAAGCGATTTAAATTAAGAAAATCAAAATTACAGAACGAAAATTTGGATATTAAATATAAATAAAATACCTTTAATTCTACATCAGTAATCAGTCTAATTAGAGAATTCACTTGATCTCTTGCTTCGGTGCACGATGGACCTAAAAGAAGTTTAACGCAATGCGCTAAAATACGATCGGAAATTGCAATTGAATCAACAGCACCAGAACTGCGGCAGCATTTTATTAATTGTTCAATTGAATTTATTTTCTTCTCAATAGCCAAAACATGACCAACTAATGAATAAACTTTTTGCGAGCGAAGATTATAATCTAAAAAAAGAAAATAATTTTTGATTAATAATCGTGAATATCATTCGTTCATTCTGTCCACACCTGAAGTTAGTATTTGTTATAGGTCTTTTGTTTTTTTTAAATGTATTGTTTGACATTATTTTGTGTTGGTTAAAATTTTTCAATATTTTTTTGGCATTGTTTCGATAATTAATTTTGAATAGAAATTTTAAAAAATAATTGAATTTTATTTTATTTTAAATTGAAAACTTGGTAAATAATTGAATTTTAAATTGAAAATTTGAAAATAATTTAATTTTAGTTGATTGTTGATTGAAAATTTGAAAATAATTAATTTTAGTTGATTGCTGATTGAAAATTTTGATAATAATTAATTTTGACTCGAAATTTTGGAAAATAATAAAATTTTAATTGAAATTTTGGATAATAATTTAATTTAAGTTGATTTTGGATTAAAATTTCGGGTAATAATTGAATTTTAATTGAAATTTTCGATAATAATTTAATTTAAGTTCATTTTTAATTGAAAATTTCGAGAATTAATTTTGAATAAAAATTTTTAAAAATAATTGAATTTTATTTTATTTTAAATTGAAAACTTGGTAAATAATTGAATTTTAAATTGAAAATTTGAAAATAATTTAATTTTAGTTGATTGTTGATTGAAAATTTGAAAATAATTAATTTTAGTTGATTGCTGATTGAAAATTTTGATAATAATTAATTTTGACTCGAAATTTTGGAAAATAATTGAATTTTAATTGAAATTTTGGATAATAATTTAATTTAAGTTGATTTTGGATTAAAATTTCGGGTAATAATTGAATTTTAATTGAAATTTTCGATAATAATTTAATTTAAGTTCATTTTTAATTGAAAATTTCGATAATTAATTTTGAATAAAAATTTTAAAAAATAATTGAATTTTATTTCATTTTAAATTGAAAACTTGGTAAATAATTGAATTTTAAATTGAAAATTTTTGAAAATAATTTAATCTTAGTTGATTGAAAATTTTGATAATAATTAATTTTAGTTGATTGTTGATTGAAAATTTTGATAATAATTAATTTTGACTCGAAATTTTGGAAAATAATTGAATTTTAATTGAAATTTTGGATAATAATTTAATTTAAGTTGATGTTGAATTAAAATTTCGGGTAATATTTGAATTTTATTTAATTTTAAATTGAAAACTTGGTAAATAATTGAATTTTAAATTGAAAATTTGGAAAATAATTCAATTTTATATATAATTTAATAACATATAATAATAATTTTCATTATTATCATTTAATATGAAATAATATTCTAATAAATTTAAATTATTATTGATAATATTAATCTTTAATTTCTTTATAACAAACAATTAAATACTCAATTTGGCGCGCGTTTAATATTGATAGTTTTTGATTAATATATTATTAATTAAAAATAAGAGTAAAAATTAAAAAAATTTACTCTACAAATTTTTACATAAAAAAGAATTAATTTTTACTATAAAATTAGCAAAAATTCATCTTTCTTTAAAATTGAAACTTAAAATTATAAAAAAAAAAAAAAACACGTACCTTGCATAATTCGAAAAGCAATTCCAAATCCCTCCTCAACATCACGTCCACATAAAATTGCCAAAACTGCAAGTTGTGTTTTTTGTTGTTGATTACCAAATAATGTTGGCAATTCTTGTCTCTCAACACTCTCAGTTGTACTATCCATATCAGCTAAATAACCCAAAAATTTACCAATTCCCCTTCCCTCTTTTTCAGCGGCACCTAAAAATTTTGCAATCTCCATTTGTCGCGATATTGTATTAATATGCTTATCAATTTCCAATGCATCCATTTCCATAATCAATGAATTCGATGAATTCAAACTTTTTCTTCTTTTTCGATGACCATTAAAATTTTCCAATTTTAAATCAGCCTCCAAATGATTTTGCGCTTCAAACAACCAAAATGTCCTCTCACATAAATCACCATATGTACGTGAATCATTTTTATAAAATCTTATACAAGTCATTGCCGCACGTATATAATCCTTCATAAACAATTGTAAATGATAGAGTGTATTTAATAAATTTTTCTTCTCCAAATTACGACAAATATAAACTAAATATTTTTTCCACATTAATAAACTATCATCTTTCATTTTCATTGTATTCAATAATAATTCAATAATTTCCCATTTTAATGCCTTTAAATAAATCGATGTGAAAAATAATTCACAATCTAAATCATTGTCAATAACAAAATCAAGACATTTTAAAAATTCTTTTTGTTTAACAAAAAATTCTAATATTGAACTTGCACTACCGTACATTAATAAATAATAAATACTTTCATTATAATAAATTGTTTCATTCCATGGATTAATTATATTTGAATAATTTCCTTGACTTATTGTTTTTAAACTATTTAATGTATTTAAAATTTCTTGCGCTGCATTTGTCATTGATTTAAAATCCTGTCCATTGAGACTTAAATTTTCAAGAATTTGTAATATTTCCATTAATAATGGTGGATTTTTTAATGGACGATTATTTTTTAAAATTTTTTCTTTTTTTATTTTACCATTATTATCATCATCATCGTTATTTAATTCGTGATGTGATAAAATAACCCAATCGTCATAATTTTCATTATTTATTGCCTTATCAAGACAATGGGCAAATTTATCGCGTGCACGATCAAAATAACCAACTTTAAGGCATGCTTTACCCCATGCTGCCCATACGCCTTGTGTATCGAGACCTGATTTTGTACTCACATCAAGTGCAAGTGTCCATTGTTCTTTTTCAGTTAAAAGATCGCGTAATTTACGTAATGCATGATCATCAAGATCATCGCATGGTATCAATGAAAGACAATCTGATTGTACAAGTGTTGTTATTAAATCGACTTGCGATAAAAAACGATCACAATGCGCTAGGCCTGCATTTAATCCTAATTTGGCACATTTTACTTTTGCCGCTACCAATAATGAGCGTATCATTTTTATTATTAATGCATGATCAATTTCGGGATTTACTTTACCGCCTTCAACTGGTTGTAAAAGTTTTTTCATCTCATCACATTGATCGAGAAGAAATGTTGTATAGGCCTTATGATCGGAATGAAGATTTAATATTGCCAGGCAAAAGGAAATATTTGGCGCATATTCAAAGGAAAATTCATCTCTCACTGTTTGATTGTATGATTCGTCGATTGTTAATTTCCATGATTCGAGGGTTTCGCTACTTGGCGCCGATGAAGAGCCTGAAAAAAAAAATTGAAATTTTATTTTTTTAAAAAAGACAAATTAAAATTCTATTTTTTCTTTTAAATTTACGAATTTTTTTTTCCTTTTTTTTTTTATTAAATCGAATTTTTTCATTTTAAAATCTGAATTATTTCTTAAATTTCAAATAAGAAAAAAAGAAAAGAAAAAAATTTTATTTTTTCAAAGAAAAAAAAAAAAAAATGGTTTAAAAAAAGGAAATTTTCTGGAAAAGAAAATAAAATTTAAGAAATTTAAAAGGAAAATTTTTTCAAATAAAATGAGAATTTGAATAAAAAAAAAATTTAAGAATTTCTTGGATTATTTTGAAAATAAAAATAAAATAGGTAACAAATTTTTTTTTTTTTCCGAAAACTAAATAATAATTCAGTAAAATTGAAATTCAAATAACATTGAAATAATTAAATTGTTCTTTTTTTTAAATTATTTTGAAATAAAAATAAAATATCTAATGAATTTTAAAACAAATAAAAAAATATGAGAATTTGAGAGGAAAAACTTGTTTTTTTTTTTAAAAAAAGGAAACATTTTATACAAAAGAAAATTGAAAAAAAAATTGAGTATTTTTGAAAATTTTCAAAATAAAATGAGAATTTGAGGGGAATAAATTATTTTAAAAAAAAAAAAAGAGGAAAATTTACCAGAAAAAGAAAAGAAAAAAGAAAATGGAAAGGAAAAATCGAGTATTTTGGAAGATTTTCAAAATAAAATGAGAATTTGAAGGGAATAAATTATTTTATTTAAAAAAAAGGAAAATTTTCCAGAAAAAGAAAAGAAAAAAGAAAATTGAAAGGAAAAATCGAGTATTTTGGAAGATTTTCAAAATCAAATGAAAATTTGAGGGAAATAAATTATTTTTTTTGAAAGAAAGGAAAATTTTCCAGAAAAAGAAAAGAAAAAAGAAAATTGAAAGGAAAAATCGAGTATTTTGGAAGATTTTCAAAATAAAATGAGAATTTGAGGGGAATAAATGGTTTTTTTTTTTAAAAAAAAGAAAAATTTTTGCAGAACAAGAAAAGAAAAAAGAAAATTAAAAGAAAGATCGAGTATTTTGAAAGGTTTTTAAAATAAAACAAGAATTTGAAAGGAAAAAATTTGTTTTTTTTTTTTTTTTAAAAAGAAAAATTTTCCAGAAAAAGAAAAGAAGATTAAAGACAAATTGAAAGCAAAAATCCAGAATAAGAAATTTTTAAATTATTACTTTCCAAATAAAAATAAAATAATAAATTTTGAGTAAAAAATTAAAAAAAAATAAATAAAATAAGAAAATTTGAGGGAAAAAAAATTCAATTATTTTAAAAATTGAAAGTATAAGTCTTCAAAAATTTAATTATTTATCAATTTTTATTTAAAATTCTTCGTCAAAATCAATTTTTTTTTTTTATAATTTCAATAAATTCTTAAATAAATTCAATACTTTTAAACTAATTTTAAAAATTTATTTATTTATATAATAAAGAAAATTAGTAAAAACAAAAATTTTCTAAATTCAGTTACTGTTTGTAATTTGTAAAAAAAAAGAAAATTATTCAAAAAATTCATATTTACAAAAAGTTTCATTTTTTTTTCAAATTTTTTTCAAATTTGTTTCAAGATTATTTTTAACAATAATCTAATAAATTATTTTTTAAATAATTGTAATAAAGTGTTTTTAAAAATTCAATTATTGGTATAACAATAAATAAATAAATAATATTAAAAAAAAATTACAAATTTAGAATATTCGAAAGAACATTATTTATAATAACTAATTAATAATTAATAATTAATAAATTAATTAATTTGTTTAACAATTTCAATTTTTATATAATTATGTACTTTTAGTACGAAAAGGCATTTCTTTTTTTTTATAAGCCCGTCTATTAGTAAAATAAATAAATAAATAATAAAAATTATGTATTAATAATGAATTAAATAATAATAATTAATTATTTATGATTAATAATAACTAATGAATTTATAATTAGTTTTACTTTTTTAAGCTTACTGGAAAGAAGAATATTTAATATTTCTAAAAGTATACAATGGAGAAAATAAATCTGAAATCTAATTCTAATTAATTTATATTAAATGTAATATTTTTGAAAAAAAAGAAGGAAAGAAAGAATGAAAAAAATTAATTTTCACTCACCAATCACAATATGTTGTTGCAATGTCGCTTGTAATTTACAATCCTTACAAACTCTCACCAATACTGAATTTGGATATCCATTAACTCTCATACGATGTTCCGAGCACATTGCACAAACAACACGTCCACATCTTCGACAATGATGTCTTCTATTAAACATTGAAAAAATCACCTCTTTACAACTACTACATTCTTTTGCCTTATCATTTGGTATCCATTCATCTTTTGTCGGTACATTAACAGGCATTATAAATTCATCATCTTGATTATCAATTAATTGTGTATCTTTCAATTTATTTATCTCAATTATACCACCAATATTATTATCCTTTTGTAATGTAACACGAAAATCAAGTGCCTTACCAGCATAAAAACGTATAATAGAATCAAAATTTTCAATTGATAAATTTGCCTCCTCCAATTTATCATGAATTGAATTTAATGTTTTTTGTAATGTTTCAAATTTACAATTCATTAATAATTGTTCAAGCATTAATAGCGGTTCTTTTATTAAACCAATATATAATGATTGTTCTTTAATATCTAAATTATTTAAAATTTCAATGCCAATCAATGCTTTACGATAAATTAATTTTTCCTCACTACGACAATTATCAATGAGAAATTCAACAATAAATTTTAATGCATTTATTTTTTCTAAATTCTCCATTATTCCCTTACACATTGTTAATGATTGAATTAATGGCAATGCACGCAATAATTTACCAGCATGTTTAAAATTAATATCATCATTTTTTAATAAACCAAAAAATAAATCTTGCGTTATTAATGTATGTATTTCTGATGAAAAACTTTGAAATTCCAACCATTCAAGACATAATTCAAATTTATTTTCATTTATTAATGATTGTATAACACGTGTTGGATCTGTTTTTTCTGTACAATTAACAACATCAAACCATGTTGCATTTGTTAAATTTAAATCATTTAAATAATATGGTGATATTTTACGAAATATTCTCACACGACATAATGTTTCATTCATTTTTATTTTACAATGTTCTGGTAATAATTCATGATCATTATGATTTAATGCATGATTTAATGATTCTTCACATATTTCCATTGGCCAATTTTGCATATTAAACATTATTGTTTGCAACAATGTATTAATATCATTAATTTGATAAATATAAATCATTATTTCATTATTTAAACAATTTCCGCTCATTAAACTTAAAATACGATCTTTAAAACATTGTAATTCAATATTATTTTTTAATAAATAATCAGGTAATGCATTAATTATTAATAATGATTGGCAATAATTTTTTTCCTCCAATAATTGTTGAAAATAATTCCATAATAAATTTAATTCTAAATTTTCATAACAACTTGCTAATAAACAATTATCATTGAATAATGAAGATAAAATTTTAATCCATGGGGAATTTAAAAGATTTTCCATAAATGAAATTCGTTGTTGATTATCAAAATTTATTATCGATGTTTCATGTATACGTTCAACGAGATACGATAATAACCAACAATGTCCCTTGAGATAATTTAATAACGATGGTTTTATTATTCTTGTCTTCCATTCGGGAATATTGAAAATTATTTCATTATTTTCATTTTTTTCATCATTTGAATAGTGAAATTTTATCTCATATTTGTAAATTGATTTATTTTCATTATTCTGGCAATTTGTTTTTAAATCATTTAACAATGATGATAAATTTTCATTTCTTTCAGTGTTATTTTTTTTATAATTTAGAAATTTAGAAATTATCACAGGAAGTGTAATTTCTTTTTCTTTCGATTTATAATGTTCAAGATAGTCAAACATTGATTTATTTAAATCATCATTTAGAGTTTGTGGATTGTAAACCTAAAAATTAAAATTGTAGAAAATTAATTATTATACATTCAGGCGTCGGATCGACTTTAAGGCACAAAAAAAGTCGTTTTAGTCGATTTATATTCCAAAAAAAGTCGAAAAAGTCGATTTTTTTTTATTTTAACAAAATTGAATTGGTTAATGAATATTTTACTTTAAATAACTAATGTTAATTAAATTCATTTTATTAATTCTGTAATGAGAATAATACTATAAAAATATTATCAAGAAAATTTATTTCCAATATTTCACAATTAAATTTGTAAGACAAATTTTCAAAATTTTATTTAAGTAGAACAAATTTCCAAAAAAAATTCTTGAAGTAACATTTTTATAATTTGTTGAAGTCTGATTTAAGCAATTTATTCGAATTACAAATTTTGTCATAGTTTTTTTAGTTTTGATGATCAAAATAATTTCAGGCAAAAACTTAATCAAGTTTTACAGATTTTTTATTAAAAAATTTTTTTTTTTAAATAATAATAATTTTGTAAGAGTTAAAGTTGAAATTTTTAGAAATGATTGAATTTCAAAAGATTTGGTTAATTTTCAGACAATAATTAAATTTTACAAAAACTAAAAATAATTTATCAAATATAATTTTATAGATAACATTTTCAAAAAGTAATTGAATTTTCAAAGATTTACAATTTAGATTTTTGAAATAAATTGAATTTCAAGTGATTTTTAATTTAAAATTTTTCATGATTTCTGTTACTAAAAAATTTATTAGAAATTGCAGACAAAAATACAATAATTTGAAAACTTTTTAAGTGAAAAATGGTTTCAGATAGTTGAATTTTCGAAGAATATTATAAAAATCATTAAAAATAATTTGATTTCAAAAGAGTTATAATTGAAATTATTAAATTTCAAAAAATTTTAGATGGAAATTTTTAGAAATAATTAAATTTTAGAAGCTTTTAAATTGAAATTTTTTAAAATAATTAAATTTCAATTGATTTTGAATTGAAATTTTTGAAAATAATTGAATTTTAGTTGATTTTGAATTAAAATTTTTGAAAGTAAATGAATTTTAGTTGATTTTAATTGAAAATTTTGAAAATAATGTAATTTCAATCGAAATATTGGAAAATAAGTGAATTTTAATTGATTTTGAATTGAAACGTTGGAAAATAATTGAATTTTAGTTGATTTTGAATTTAAAATTTTGAAAATAATTGAATTTCTATTGAAATTTTTGAAAATAACTGAAGAATTTATTAGAAATTACACACAAAAATTGAACTTTCAAATTTTTTTTTCATTGCAAACTGCTTTCAGATAATTGAATTTTCGAAGAATATTATAAAAAATTATTAAAAATAATTAAAATTTTTGCAAATAATTTAATTTCAAATGATTTTGAATTAAACATTTTTTGTTATTTTATTTGCTAATTTTTTTTTTAAATTATAAACAATTATTAAATTTCATAAAAATTTTAATTCAAAAATAGTTAAAGATAATTGAATTTGTGAAGAATTTCATTAAAATTATTAAAAATAATTAATTTAGGGAAGAATTTTAGTTAAAAATTTGTTAAATAATTGAAATAAAGAAGATTTAAAGAAGATTTGCATTGTATCTTTAAAAAAAAAATGTATTTTGTTTTAAAATTTTGTAAAAAAGTCGAAAAGTCGCATTTTATTAAAATAAGTCGAAAAAAGTCGTATTTTTGAAAAAAAGTCGGTAAAAGTCGAAAAAGTCGTGTAATCCGAGGCCTGTACATTTTCTTTTTTTTAAAAAATTTCAAAATACCTTAATAATTGGCGAATCGGAAAATTCATTTGCCATTGCAAATATTGATCTTGAATCAATCATTAAATCTAAATCCTGCCACGCCAATTCATTGAGACTTTCCATTTCTTCAAATAATTGTAAATAATTCCATCTCAATTCACCGAGTAATTTTATTCTTAATGTTGATAATGTAACAAAACCCAAATCACCAATTTCATAGCCAATAATCATTAATGAAATAGAATGACGTAAATCATTTGACGATATATCTTGTGACCATATAAATAAATTGGAATGTAAAAATAAAAGATTCCAAAGATTTAAAAAAAATGCCAATGTATGATGTCCATCTAATAATTCACTTAAATCAAGTGTGGCAAAAATTTGTGTTTTTTGTAAAATTTCTCTAACTTGTTGATTTTTTCCAATAATTGACAATTCATTGGCATTCAATGTCGATGCATTTGATGATAATTTTTTTAAAAGCGACAAAAGTTCAGTTAAAATTTCCGATACATAGAGATTTGGATCCAAGGCAAAATCCTCATGATTTTTCTATAATAAAGAAAAATTAAAAGAAAAGAAAAAAAAATTAAAACAAAATTTAAATTTATAATTTGAAAAAAAATAAATAAGTAAAAAAATTTTTCAGTGGCAAATAAAATTTTGTGATAAAACTTACAATTTCCTCGATTCTTGAATTTAAAACAATAAAACCCCATTTGGAATTGGAAATTTCTTCATTGCATTTTTTTTCATTGTCACACGAAAGTTTTGGACAACAATTCACAAGAATACTGTGAACTAAATTCACTTGAAGTTTATTTGCAATTGTCTCAAGTTCACTTGGCTCAACATTTAAATCAAATATTTCATGTCCAAAATACGAGTCCAATGGATTTTTCAAAATATTCGATTCCGTCATAACTATATTATTATCTACATGAAAAAAACATAGTTTTAAATATTTTTTATAAATTAACTATAAATAATTAATTATTATTTATAATGAAATTAATTAATTTCGTTTCTTTAAATTATAAAATATTTTATAATAAATTCAGTAAAAAAATGTTTATAAATAAATAATTAAAAAATCAACTCACCATTAATAATTGTCTGAAGAATTTTTAAATGTAAATAAACCATTTTTAAATAATCATTTTCATTTTCATTTTCACATAAATGCATTATTTCCTGATAATAATTTTCACCTAATATCAAATTATTACTTTTATTTTGTAATAATTGACAATTATCATTATTTGAAGAATAAACATTTTTTTCCCCGTTAATAATTTGTGTCTCTTTAAATAATTGTAATTTTTCATTTAATTCAGTGTAAAAATTATTTTTCTCCTTCCATTGTTTTAAATTTAATGGTATCATTGCATTGGAAAAAATTTCCATTAATGATAAATTTAATTTATCATCATTTATTAATTGATGTATACGTGTGAAAAATTCATGATTTATTGTATTTTGTAATTTTTTCAATGATTTTAAATGTTTTGCAGCAACATCACAAATAATTTGTGATGTATGACGATTTTCATTTAATGTTAATGCTAAATCAACAATTGTAAATGTTAAAATTTCTTGTTTATCAAAATTTCCAATTTTTAATAATGAAATATTTTCCTCTTGTGCTGCTAAAAATGTTTCCAATTGTCCTGTTATACGTGAGGTTTGAAAGCCATCGTGAGCGGCTTGTTTGATATTCTAAAAAAAAAAAAATTGGTGGCAAAATATTTTTTTTTGTCAATTTTTTAATTATAATTTCATTGGAATTATAATTAAGCAAAAAAATTAAATTATTAAATTAAATTAATTAAAATTAATTCTGTAAATTGGTAATTCAAAAACTGAAAATTCGTCTAAAAAATAATTATTATATAATAATAAAATGCTTGGTCTGTCCTTCTGTCCTAACTTGAAGTTGGCCTTTTCTGATTTCACGTGTTTTTTTGAATAGTAATCTTATGTCAAATTTTGACAATTCTTTTTCTCATTTTTGCCAAAGTTGTATAATTCTGTTTCCAAATTTCGAAATAAGTTTCTTTAAAATTCCAAATTCGAAAATTCAATTCACGAAGCTGAAGTACACAACGTTTACCAACGAAATTTTTTTTAAAGTTGTATATTGATTCAAAAATTGTATACAAATACAAAAAATGTATGATGAGAAAAAAAATGCGCCAGGAAATATCGTACAAGATAGTAATTTGAAAAAAATTTATTTTTAAAAATTAATTTTTAAGGTACCAGAGGCCAACAAATACCTATTAAATATTAATTCTAAAAAAAACAGGCCTTGAATCAACTTAAAGACACAAAAAGTCGTTTTAGTCGATTTATATTCCAAAAAAAAGTGGATTTGTTTTTTATTTTAACAAAAATATTTTACAGATTTTTAAATAAAAAAATTTTTTTTTAATAATAATCCTTTTCGATGGGTTAAAGTTGAAATTTTTAGAAATAATTAAATTTCAAAAAATATTGTTAATTTTCAAACAATTATTAAATTTTACAGAACTAAAAATAATTTATCAAACAATTTTTGGAAAATATTTTTTAAATTTAATAGAATTTTTGAAAGATTTGAAATTGAGATTTTTGAAATTAATTGAAACTTTAAGTGTTTTGTAATTAAAATTTTAGATGATTTCACTGAAAATTTATTAGAAAATGCGGACAAAATACAATAATTTGAAAACTATTTTTATGAAATTATATTAAATTAAATTAAAATTAATTAAATTTCAAAAAATTTTCGATGGAAAATTTTAGAAATAATTAAATTTTAGAAGCTTTTAAATTCAAATTTTTGAAAATAATTGAATTTTAATTGAAATTTTGGATAATAATTCAATTTTAGTTGATTTTTGATTGAAAATTTTGATAATAATTAATTTTGAATTGAAAATTTTTAAAATAATTACATTTTATTTCATTTAAAATTGAAAATTTTGGGTAATAATTGAATGTTATTTGATTTTGAATTGAAAATTTGGAAAATAATTGAATTTTCTTTGATTTTGAATTGAAATTTTGGAAAATAATTTAATTTTATTTGATTTCGAATTGAAATTTTGGAAAATAATTGAATTTCAATTGAAATTTTGGACAATAATTTAATTTTACTTGATTTTTTATTGAAAATTTTGATAATATTTAATTTTGAATTAAAAACTTTGATATTATTTAATTTTGAATTGAAAATTTTAAAAATAATTGAATTTTCTTTGATTTTGAATTGAAATTTTGGAAAATAATTGAATTTTATTTGATTTCGAATTGAAATTTTGGAAAATAATTGAATTTTAATTGATTTTGAATTGAAATTTTTGAAAATAATTGAATTTTCTTTGATTTTGAAATAAATACTTTGAAAATAATTGAAATTCAATTGAAATTTTGGAAAATAATTAAATTTTAGATGCTTTTAAATTCAAATTATTGAAAATTCAATTAATTTTGAATTCAAATTTTTGGGAATAATGAAATTTTATTTGATTTTAAATTTGGAAAATAATTGAATGTTAGTTCATTTTGAATTGAAAATTTTGGGAAATAATTGAATTTTAATTGAAATTTTAGATAATAATTTAATTTAAGTTCATTTTTGATTGCAAATTTGGATAATTAATTTTGAATAGAATAAACAAAATAAAATAAAAACAAAATAATCGACTTTTATTTCATTTTAAATTGAAAACTTGGTAAATAAAAATTAAATTTAAAATTGACAATTTTTAATAATTATTGAATTTTAATTGATTTTGAATTAAAATTTTAGATGATTTCACTAAAAATTTATTAGAAAATGCGGACAAAATTCAATAATTTGAAAATTATTTTTAATTGAAAAATGGTTTCAGATAGTTGAAATTTCAAAGAATATTATTAAAATAGTTAAAAATAATTGAATTTCCATAGAGTTATAATTGAAATTATTAAATTTTTGAAAAATCAAATTTTCGATGGAAAATTTTAGAAATAATTAAATTTTAGATACTTTTAAATTCAAATTATTGAAAATTCAATTAATTTTGAATTAAAATTTTTGAGAATAATGAAATTTTATTTGATTTTAAATTTGGAAAATAATTGAATTTTAGTTCATTTTGAATTGAAAATTTTGGGAAATAATTGAATTTTACATGAAAATTTTGGTTAATAATTTAATTTATGTTCATTTTTGATTGAAAATTTAAATAATTAATTTTGAATAGAAATTTTAGAAAATAATTGAATTTTATTTCATTTTAAATTGAAAACTTGGTAAATAATTAAATTTTAAATTGAAAATTTTGGATAATTATTGGATTTTTAATTGATTTTGAATTAAAATTTTGGGTAATAATTGAATTTTAGTTTATTTTGAATTGAAATTTTTCAAAAAATAATTCAATTTTATTGTGATATTTTTTTTTAAATTATAAACAATTGTTAAATTTCATAAAAATTTTAATTGAAAAATAATTTTGATATAATTGAATTTGTGATGTATGTTATTAAAATTATTAAAAATAATTAATTTAGTGAAGAATCATTTTAGTTCAAAATTTATTAAATAATTGAATTGAAGAAGATCTGAAGAAGATCTAAATTTTATACTAAAAAAAATGTATTTTATTTACATTTTTTTTCAAATGTAAAAGAAAAATGTCGCATTTTATTAAAATAAGTCGATAAAAGTCGTATTTTTGAAAAAAGGCGTATAATCCGAGGCTTGTAAACATATAATTTTCATTATTATCATTTAATATGTAATAATATTCTAATAAATTAAATTATTATTGATAATATTAATCTTTAATTTCTTTATAACAAACAAGTAAATACTCAATTTGGCGCGCGTTTAATTTTACTAGTTATATTATAAAATTCTTTAAAATGAAAATTGTAATTATTAATTTTTATGGGACAATCATTCGCCCCAAATAAATTAATAAAAACATGTTAAATTAGTTGATAGTTTTAAATTAAATTAAATTAAAAAATAGAAAATATTTTTAATAATTCTTACGTGAAGTATCGAATGAATTGCTGGTGAATCAACAACGTCTGATGGATTTAAATAATTATTTAAATCCCGTCGAAAGTGACGAATCGCATTTGAAAATCGAACTTCGCCATCAAGTTGCGAACCCTTCATGTCAAACATCTTGAAACAAAAGAAAAATTGTGAAAAATTTATTCCAAAAGTAAATTAAAAAAAAAAAAAACAAATATAGAAATAACGAAAAATAATATTACAATCATTTATCATGACTAATTTATTTCTTATTAATTGGAATTTACTTTTAATTATCCTCGTAATAGAAATAAAATATTTACATTGTATTCTACCTCCTTCTTATGTGGTAATAATTTACATTTTTTTTTCAATTTTAGTTTTTAGTCATTTTCTTTTTTTTCTTCAAATCATTTATAAATTTTATTTTATAAAGTATAAATTATTTTTCATATTTTTACGCTATTATTTCAAAGAAAGTTATTTTCAATTTCAAAAAAAAGAACTTAAATTCCTTTTTACTAAACAGGTGGATTTAAGGGACAAGGAAATATTTGAAATTTCCTCAGACGACAATTACGATGAGAATGAAAATGAAATGCTTAAAATAGAAGATTTAGATGAAATTAAATCGTTCGCGGATGATGAAGAAAAATATCAACCACTACATTATCATGTGAAAAATGAAAATCGTCAATTTGATGCTTTGAAAAAAATTGTAAAATTTTCCCGAAATTCTCATTTTCATCCAATTATTGTCGAACGAAATATTATTAACGATGAGGCAAAACCATTTATTGCTGGTTTTAAAGAAACACTAGACAAGGTATTTTTTTTTTTTTCTAAAAACAATTTTTTTTTAATTTTAATACCAAATTTTAATTTAATTTTTATCATAAACAAAATTTTTTTTGCACAGATAAAATACAAAGCACCGGAAATTCTTTTGAAAAAGAAAAAACAATTATCATTGAAAAATGCAATTTTTGGAGGGAGAAAAAAATTTTTATCAACTCGTAAAAATAATAATGAAGGGTATGTAGATAATAAAAATTATAAAAATAATAAAAATAATAAAAATTATAAAAATAGTAAACGAATGAAAAGAAATGATGAGGAAAATTTAATTGAATCAAATGATTCAGATTTTTTTCAAGGTTCAAATGAAAATTTAACTACAAGAGAGGAATATTTTTTCACTACTCAAGAAATTAACACTGATTATTATCAGAGAAATCATGAATTTACAAAAAAAACAATGACAATGTCATCTGAAGAATTTCCAAATGATTATGATTATGAGAAATTGAAAAATGAATATTTACAACAAATCGACGAAATGAAGAGGAAAAATGAAATTTTTATTTACACGGAAAGTGAAAATTTCGAGGAAATAATAACAACAACAACAACAACAATAATTGTTGTAAATAATAAAAGTTTGGAAATAAATAAAAATTTAAATGTCACTATGAAAAATAATCAAATTTTCAAAGAAGCAAATAATAAAAGTTTAAATGAAAATAATGGGAAAAATATAAAAATCAAAAAATTGTTAAATTGCACAAAAATTGAATCATTTTTCATTGGACCAAAAACAATTGAATGTTTATCGAATGCTTATAAAAATATAAAAAGCTTATTGGATTTATTAAAAGCTCTTCAAAGAACTTGGAATGTTACGAAATTTTGGATTCTTCTCTATATTTCCATTTCTATTGCTTGTTGGTGTCAAAGAGGTGATTTAAAAAAAAATTAAATTAAATGCAAAGTGAAATAAAAAATTTTTAAAAAAAATTAAATATAAAATTTTTAAATAAAATTAAATATAAAATTTTTAAATAAAATTAAATTATAATAAAAAGTAAATTTTAATGAAATAGTAAATTAAAATAACAAAAAAAGGGAATAAAATTACAATTATAATGAAAAGTAAATTAAAATAATAAAAAAATTAAATATAAAATTTAAAAAAAAATTAAATATAAATTTTTAAAAATTAAAAATTAAAAATTAAATTATAATAAAAAGTAAATTTTAATGAAATAATAAATTAAAATAACAAAAAAGGGAATAAAATTACAATTATAATGAAAAGTAAATTAAAATAATAAAAAAGGAAAAAAAAATTACAATTATAGTAGAAAATAAATTATTAAAATAAATTAATAAAAAATTAAATTAAATTTGAAAAATGAAAAAATTTTAAATGAATTTCAAATTTTATTCTAGGTTGGTGTTGTTGTTGTTGTTGCTGTTGTGAATTTTGTTATCCCGAAGAAGTGATTTTGAATGAAAAGAAATATTTTGCCGAAAATCCACCGGGAATTTTAGTGAAAAAAGAAAAAGACGGTAAACTTTTAAAAATCGATACCGAAAAATATGAAGCAACACTTTTTGAAATTGACGCTTATGGACAAATGGAAAGTCAAATAAGAAATCTTTAATAATCTTCCATTTTTTTTTGTTCCTTTCAATTAATAAAAATAAATAAATAATTAAATAAATACAAAAAAAAACAATTTAAAATTTTCCAATAAAAAAACACAAAATTTTAAATATTTAAAAATACAATTTAAAATATTAATTTACAACATTTCTGGAATATTTTTAAATATTTAAAAAAAAAATTTAGAATATTTTTAAATTATTTAAAATTTAGAATATATTTTAGAATATTTTTAAAATATAAAAAAAAATTAGAATATTATTTCTAAAACATTCAGAATATTTTGAAATATTAAAACAAACAAAAAAAAATAGAATTTTGTTTAGAAGATTTTAGAAATATATTTTTTTTTAAATTTTAGAATATTTTTAAATATTTAAAAAAAAAATTAGAATATTATTTCTAAAACATTCAGAATATTTTGAAATATTAAAACAAACAAAAAAAATAGAATTTTGTTTAGAAGATTTTAGAAATATATTTTTTTTTAAATTCATATTTCTTTGTAATTAAAAAAAAAAAAATTCATAATTTTTGTAATTTAAAATAAAAATCCTTATTTTAAAAAAAGAAAATTTTACCTCAATAATTTGTTGAGCTCTCAAATGATCCCTTTTCCATAAACATTGTAAAATCCAACTTTCCTTTGGCATTAACATAATATTAATAATAAATTTCGAATTATTTTCCTTATTTTCCACAATATTATTTGTATTATTAATAAAATTCTTTTTCTTCTTTCGACGCCTCAAATTTAATACATTATCAAGTGATCCTGATTCTGAACTAAATTCCAAATCTGATTTCACAAAATCAATATCATCATTCGATGAACTATCATCGCCAATTTTTTTATAAAAAAATGCCTTCTTACGTCTTGTCGTATAATTAAATTTCCCACTAATATTCACAATTTTCGTCTCAATTTTTCCATTATCATCATCAGTTGAAATTTTTTTTACAAAATCATCATTTGTCAAAAATTCCAATCTCCAATGTGCATCATCAATGGCTTTATTAAAATTTTCCAATTTTTCCACATCAGGTTTTTTTAATTTCAAAATATCAATTTTCATTGTTCGAATGGAATTTTTCAATTTTTCCAAAATTTCCCTTATTGTATATTTATTTGCAATAAAACCAAATCGTCTTTGTTCTAAATTTTCCAAAGCAGAAGTTGCTTTCTTATTTTCTCTATCTTCATCATCATCATCGTCATCATTTTCAGTTGATGAATTTTTTTCCGAATCAACAAAATCTTCAAATCTTAAAAAAAGAAGTGAAAAAATATTCTCCATCACTTCAATTCGTAATTTAAATGGTAAAATTGTTGAAATTAATAATTCCATTTCATTGAAATTATTTTCAATTTCATTACAATTATACAATTCACAAGCTAATATTCCCTTTAATGCACACAATAATGTACGATATGCATGAAATATATTCGATGCATTATAATTTGTATTTTTTAATAATTTTATTACACTCTCATAATTTTCATCATGTAAATTGATATTTGATTTTAAAACATGTAGACAGGAGAAATTTTCCAAATGTTTGAAAATTTTTTTCACTGATAATGTTGTTGATTCAATGGACGTGGAATAAAAATTATTTGCAAATAATTTTTGTTTTGATTCAAGAATAAAATTGCAAATTTTTAAATTTTGTTTTATAATTTCATTGAATGGTGATAAGAGAGAATTTTGTGAAAAATCACATTGTTCGTGAAGAAAATTGAGTGTATGACAAATTTTTACATTTTTTTCCCATGTTTCGATTGATGTCATTATTATTGGAATATGAGGGAAATTTGCAAGAAAATAAAACATTAACGATGGCCAAAGATTATTTAATGGCGAACAAGAGAGTAATTTTTTTACTCTTTCATAATCGTTATTTGTTAAAAGAGTGTTGCACAATTCCTGGAAAAAAAAATTTTGTTTTTAAAAATTCTCTTTTCTAGTTTCGTAATTAAAAAAAATTTTTTTTTTGAAAAAAATATTTACCAATATATCCGACATCCAATGACATTGTCGTCGAAATATTCTCATTGCTAATTCCTTTGAATTAATTGAATAATTATTATCATTAAAAAATATAGCATTGACAATTTTTAATGAACTTTCATAATTATTTGGATTTTCAAAACGTCCATTAATATTATCTAAAAATTTATTCCATTCATTGAGAAATTTTAAATTTTTTCTTGAATAAAAACACAATTCAATTGCATCATTATTATTATTTGTAAATTTTAATAAATATGGATAAAGCCATTTAATAAGTTCATCTTCTTTTTTTTCAATTAATTCCAATTTTGATAAAATACACAATAATTTAGAAAAATTATTATTATTGTGAAATAATTTTTTTTCCCTCATTAATAAATTGTGAGAATAATTTTTTTCATTTAATGAAAAATTATTTTCTTTATTATAATCATCAATTATTGATTTTAATGCAATTAAATATAAATCCTGTAGAATATCATCGGAATATGGAAATGTTGTTGGCCATAAACAAAGTAATTGATTAATAAGCCAACATGTTAATTGTGGTTTATTTTTTAAATTATTTGACAAAAATTTTAAACTCTCTTGTGATATTTTTTTTTTTTCATTAAAATTTTGTTTTACATTTGTGAGAGCCTCGAATAATTCATTTAATTCCTAGAGAGTAAGAATATTTTATTATTAATTAATTATTTATTATTAATTTTTATTTTTTTTTCTAATTTTCTATTTTCGAAATTAAATCGAAAAAAAAATAAATAAAAATTGATTTTCTAATTTAAATTTAGAAAAAAATGTTTAAAAGAAAAAAAAAAAGAAAACCTTTTCCACGTGATCGGTAATTTGATCGTCAATTAATTTCAAGGCTGTTGTAAACTGTATGGAATCGAGTTCCTTTTGCACTTCAGCGGAATTTCTTTTATCAAGAGATAATAAAATCTTATTACTGATCCATTTGATTTCATTTGAATCTTCTTTATCGCTATAAATAACAATATTTTTTTTTATATAATTATAAACAAAAAAAAAATTATAACGAAAAAAAAAATAGTTTTGTAAGAAAAACATTAAATTAGTAAAAAAAATAAAAAAAAGCCACAAATATAATTTCAAATACAATAAAAAAATTTAAATATATAAAAATAATGAACTTTAAACTTATTTGACGGGGGGAAAAAAAATTGAGGTTCGGACCAAATTAATATTTCCATTTCCTCAAAAATTTATCCTCATAAAGGAGAAAAAAGGTATAAAATATTAAAAAACAAAAAAAAATTTACCCAAAAATCGTTAACAATAAGAAATATAAATAAACATGCGTTCCAAAAAGTGAGGTTATGTTACACGAATAATAAAAACAAAAAACTTACATTGACGATATAATTAAAGTACGTAAATTATTTATTTCATCCTTTGTATAATTTTTTAAATAATCACTGTCTATATTGTTGCTATTTAAAATAACTGATGCTGTATACCATAACCTCGAAATAATGCACTTGTCAATTTCCAATAGTTCAAATTGTTCTGACATTTTTAATAATTAAATTTCAAAAAAAAAAAATCACAGAAAAATTGTCCTTTTTTTGTTAAATAATAAAATCAAATTTTTTACCAATTAATAAAATAATAAAAGACGAGAGTACAAAATGTGCAACATTGTTGACAGATGCATATTTATTGAAATCACTATATATGACGAACGGAACGCACCCCACTTACTACGTGAGTCATGCTTCTCTTTCACGTGTCAAATGTTATATATACATTAATTATTATGTATTATAAATCCGCGTAATAATAATAATAATAATAAAGCAAGAATTTGTCAGCGTTCGCATTAATTTTATTTCATTGATAAACAAGGAAATATATATATATTGCGAGACAATAAACAAAACTGCATTGTAATTATATTCTTTGTTCTCAATAATTTTTTGTTTTTTTCGCGGGGTATTTTCTAAAAAAAAAAAAAAATTAAAAGTTTTCTATAATTTGTTTTATATTAAAATGAAAAAAATTTTAATTTTTAGGTACTTAAATTTTTTTTCGTTTTTTCTAAATATATTCTTTGAAAAAATATTGTTTTTTTAAAACATACAACAAAAAAAAGGTAATTTTAAAACTTTTTGTCTTTTTGCGCGGAAAATTCAAATATTTTTTTAATTTATATTATAAACAAACAAAATTTAATAATTTGTGTATTTCCAACAAATGTTTGAAAATAATATCCTTAAAACTATATTGTTTTTAGAACATAAATAAACTTAATTTTGAATTGAAAAATTTTTTTGCGCGGGAAAATTCAAATAATTTTTGTTTTTTTTTCAATTTTAACAAAATTTGAAAAACAAAAAAAATTTAATAATGGAAATTCTCTTTTCTGAAATTTATCTGAAACTTTAGGAAAAAATTATGCAATTTTTTTTTTAGAAAATCCACTTTGATAATTAAATTAAATTTTAATTCAATTACTCTAAAATTAGTAAAATAATTTTTTTTTTAATTTTTAATGTAAAAAAAAAAATAATTAATTAATAAAAAAAATAGTTTATATAATTTATTATTTTTTGACTTACTTGTTCTCTTTCTTCTTTTATTAATTTTTTTTGGTAAATTAAATTTTAATAAATAATAATAAATTAATTTTTAATAAAATATAAAAATGTGTTTTTTTTTCAAAGATAAGAAATAAATACAAAAATACAGAATTACTTGTATAAAAAATAGTTTATAAAAAACTATTTCTTTTAAAAATATAAGATTTTATTGTAATAATCTTAACATTGTTTTTCGTCAATAAAAATTACATTTCTTTTTTTTTTTAATATTACATATCCTACAATATATAAAGTTTTTATTGTATTTTTTTGTCTAAACTCTCTTCAAAAAAAAAAAAAATATGTACATTCAATATACATAAAAATTGTAAATGAAAGTAGAAAAAAAAGAAAATTGAACAAAATAATGTTCAGTAAAAAAAAAAATCAGACTTGTAATCCGTACGTAATAATATTTACACTTATTGTTTAAATTGCAAAAATTTGTTAAAAATATTTTTGTTTAAACACTTATCTATTAATTATTATTAATAATAATTATATTAATAATTAATAATATTAAAAATAGTAATAATAATAATTATAATTACAATGATTATTATTATTATCATTATTATTATTATTATTATTATTATTATTATTTTTATTATTATATTATTTCTTTGTACATTTGTTGTTGAGTTTTTTTTCATTAAATACTATTTCGACGTCTTTTTTTATGGCAACTAATAATAAAAATTATTATTAAATTAATGTCGCATATCGCCTATCAGTGTTACTGTACAAAACAATTGCAGGACGATTTTTTTCGTTACGCACTTCTCTTATTTCTTCACAGATTCGTTTTAAGTATTCTTTTTGGCGTGGGTATCTGAAAATTTGTTGTTTTTTTATTTTTTAAATTTTTTTCCTTCATTATTAATGGTATTTTTAAATACTAATTTTTTTTTCTTTCTTTTTAATAAAACATTTAATAATATTTATTAATTTATTTATTAATACCAATTTTCTTGGATGTAATTTTTTACTTTATTTTTGATTTTGATTTTTAATACTAAATTTTTCGTCTTTATAATTAGGTATTTTAAAATAATAATTTTGTTTATTAAATTTTTAATATCAATTTTTTTTGGTTGCGATTTTTCAAATTTTATTTTATTAAAAGAAAAAAATTTTGATAGATTTTTTTTCTGTTTCAAAATGCGAATTATTAAAAAAAATTGTTTATTGATTGGAACAAAAAATCGATGATTAAAAAACATTTTTCTAATAAATTAAAAAAAAAGAAAATAATAGTTAATAATAATTTTTTTTTTGCAATACTCACAAATCAATTATGGCTTGAACACTTTTGTTGTATAAATTTTCGTCTTCGTCGATTTCCACGTAACTTGTGATTGATCGGACAATATAAATTTCGAGAGAAACGACAAACACTTGCACTGTAATCTAGAAAGAAATTTAATATTAAAATAAAATTTTTATTTACCTTTTTTTGGTTACTAAAATTTCTATTTACTAAACTAAATTTTTGTTATAAAAAATTAAAAATTTACATTAACTTTTCTTTTTTGATTAAAATTAATTTAAATTTCCATAAGTAAATATAAATTCCAAAAAAAACTATTAAAAATCAAAAAAACAAAAATTATTTCTTACTTTTGGTATTCTTTGTAAAAGCGGTGACATTTGTGTAAGAATATAATTTTTACTGCTTCTTTTTGCAATACCTGACAATTTATCCTTTTCATTAAGTAAAAAATTAATATTAACATTTGGCGATACATAATTTGAAACATCATTATTTGCATTATTTGTCTTACTATCGGTACGATTTAATATTGGCGTTGTTATTTCCAATTGTTTTTGATTTAAATAATCAATAAGTTCATTATAATGAATTTTTCTCTCAAGATAACGTTCCTTTTCCCATGTGTAAACCATTAAATAACCTTTTTCACCACTTTTTAACATAACAATATGATCAATCATATAATTAAGACAATAATCAAAAACCTCTTCAATTGTTGTGAAATTTTGTGAATTAACACGATAATAATCCAATGACCATAATTCACGTAATACTTCACTTTGTTCACGATTTCTTATTGGTTCACCACCAACGCAACAAACAACAATATTGATAAACGATGATGATGATGATGATGATGATGATTTACATTCATTGCGAATTTCTTGTTGATTTTGTGATAAATCATCAACAATTGATATTAATTTATCCAATGATATACTAATTCCAATGCCATATTTTTTTAAATTATCATCATCATTGCCAATACGCGATGTATTTTGTAATACTTGATGAAATGTTGATAATAATTTATCATAACGTCCACCGGCAGCAATAACATCGTATCCACATTTTCGTCGATGACGTTTTGATTCACGTGATATTATTTGATAAATTATACCGCTATGTTGTTCAATATTGTGAACAAGCAATGGTACCACTGTGATTGGCCACTGAAATTTACAATTTTTTTTTTTAAACTAATTTAATATTGAAATAAATTATTATTTAACTAGCAAAATTAAACGCGCGCCAAATTGAGTATTTACTTGTTTGTTATAAAGAAATTAAAGATTAATATTATCAATAATAATTTAATTTATTAGAATATTTATTACATATTAAATAATAATAATGAAAATTATATGTTTACAGGCCTCGGATTATACGACTTTTTCCGAGTTTTTTCAAAAATACGACTTTTATCGACTTATTTTAATAAAATGCGACATTTTTCTTTACATTTGAAAAAAAATGTAAATAAAATACATTTTTTTAGTATAAAATGTAGATCTTCTTAAGATATTCTTCAGAACTTCTTCAATTCAATTATTTAACAAATTTTGAACTAAAATGATTCTTCACTAAATTAATTATTTTTAATAATTTTAATGAAATACATCACAAATTCAATTATATCAAAATTATTTTTCAATTAAAATTTTTATGAAATTTAACAATTGTTTATAATTTAAAAAAAAAATATCACAATAAAATTGAATTATTTTTTAAAAATTTCAATTCAAAATAAACTAAAATTCAATTATTACCCGAAATTTTAATTCAAAATCCAATTATTATTCAAAATTTTCAATTTAAAAATTAATTATTTACCAAGTTTTCAATTTAAAATGAAATAAGATTCAATTATTTTCTAAAATTTCTATTCAAAATTAATTATCCAAATTTTCAATCAAAAATGAACTTAAATTAAATTATTATCCAAAATTTCAATTAAAATTCAATTATTTCCCAAAAAATTTTCAATTTAAAATCAAATAAAATTTCATTATTCTCAAAAATTTGAATTCCAAATTAATTGAATTTTCAATCATTTGAATTTAAAAGCATCTAAAATTTAATTATTTGAATTATTTAATTATTTTTTATTAATTAATTATTAATTAATTATTAATTAATTATTAATTAATTATTAATTAATTATTTAATTTTTTGAAGTATTTTTAAAAAATTTCAATTCAAAATAAACTGAAATTCAATTATTACCCGAAATTTTAATTCAAAATCAATTAAAAATCCAATAATTATCAAAAATTTTCAATTCAAAATTTAATTATTTACTAAGTTTTCAATTTAAAATGAAATAAAATTCAATTATTTTCTAAAATTTCTAATCAAAATTAATTATCCAAATTTTCAATCAAAAATGAACTTAAATTAAATTATTATCCAAAACTTCAATTAAAATTCAATTATTTCCCAAAAATTTTCAATTTAAAATCATATAAAATTTCATTATTCTCAAAAATTTGAATTCCAAATTAATTGAATTTTCAATCATTTGAATTTAAAAGCATCTAAAATTTAATTATTTGAATTATTTAATTATTTATTATTAATAAATTATTAATTAATTATTTAATTTTTTGAATTATTTTTTAAAAATTTCAATTCAAAATAAACTAAAATTCAATTATTACCCGAAATTTTAATTCAAAATCAATTAAAAATCCAATAATTATTCAAAATTTTCAATTTAAAATTTAATTATTCACCAAGTTTTTAATTTAAAATGAAATAAAATTAAATTATTTTCTAAAATTTCTATTAACAATTAATTATTCAAATTTTCAATCAAAAATGAACTTAAATTAAATTATTATCCAAAATTTCAATTCAAATTTAATTATTTCCCAAAATGTTCAATTCAAAATGAACTGAAATTTAATTATTTTTCAAATTTAAAATGAAATAAAATTTCATTATTCTCAAAAATTTGAATTCAAAATTAATTGAATTTTCAATCATTTGAATTTAAAAGCATCTAAAATTTAATTATTTCTAAAATTTTGCATCGAAAATTTAATAATTTCAATTATAACTCTAAGGAAATTCAATTATTTTTTAACTATTTTAATAATATTCTTTGAAATTTCAACTATCTGTAACCATTTTTCAATTAAAAATGATTTTCAAATTATTGTATTTTGTCCGCATTTTCTAATGAATTTTTAGTGAAATCATCTAAAATTTTAATTACAAAACACTTAAAGTTTTAATTAATTTCAAAAATCTCAATTTTAAATCTTTGAAAATTCAATTTAATTTTTAAAAATGTTTTCCAAAAATTGTTTGATAAATTACTTTTAGTTCTGTAAAATTGAATTATTTTCTGAAAATTAACAAAAACTTTTAAAATTCAATTATTACCTAAAATTTTAATTTAAAATCAATTAAAAATCCAATAATTATCCAAAATTTTCAATTTAAAATTTAATTATTTACCAAGTTTTCAATTTAAAATGAAATAAAATTAAATTATTTTCTAAAATTTCTATTAAAAATTAATTATTCAAATTTTCAATCAAAAATGAACTAAAATTAAATTATTATCAACAATTTCAATTAAAATTCAATTATTTCCCAAAATTTTCAATTTAAAATCAAATAAAATTTCATTATTTCCCAAATTTAAAATCAAATAAAATTTAATTATTCTCAAAAATTTGAATTCAAAATTAATTGAATTGTCAATCATTTGAATTTAAAAGCATCTAAAATTTAATTATTTGAATTATTTAATTATTTTTTATTAATTAATTATTAATTAATTATTAATTAATTATTAATTAATTATTAATTAATTATTTAATTTTTTGAAGTATTTTTAAAAAATTTCAATTCAAAATAAACTGAAATTCAATTATTACCCGAAATTTTAATTCAAAATCAATTAAAAATCCAATAATTATCAAAAATTTTCAATTCAAAATTTAATTATTTACTAAGTTTTCAATTTAAAATGAAATAAAATTCAATTATTTTCTAAAATTTCTAATCAAAATTAATTATCCAAATTTTCAATCAAAAATGAACTTAAATTAAATTATTATCCAAAACTTCAATTAAAATTCAATTATTTCCCAAAAATTTTCAATTTAAAATCATATAAAATTTCATTATTCTCAAAAATTTGAATTCCAAATTAATTGAATTTTCAATCATTTGAATTTAAAAGCATCTAAAATTTAATTATTTGAATTATTTAATTATTTATTATTAATAAATTATTAATTAATTATTTAATTTTTTGAATTATTTTTTAAAAATTTCAATTCAAAATAAACTAAAATTCAATTATTACCCGAAATTTTAATTCAAAATCAATTAAAAATCCAATAATTATTCAAAATTTTCAATTTAAAATTTAATTATTCACCAAGTTTTTAATTTAAAATGAAATAAAATTAAATTATTTTCTAAAATTTCTATTAACAATTAATTATTCAAATTTTCAATCAAAAATGAACTTAAATTAAATTATTATCCAAAATTTCAATTCAAATTTAATTATTTCCCAAAATGTTCAATTCAAAATGAACTGAAATTTAATTATTTTTCAAATTTAAAATGAAATAAAATTTCATTATTCTCAAAAATTTGAATTCAAAATTAATTGAATTTTCAATCATTTGAATTTAAAAGCATCTAAAATTTAATTATTTCTAAAATTTTGCATCGAAAATTTAATAATTTCAATTATAACTCTAAGGAAATTCAATTATTTTTTAACTATTTTAATAATATTCTTTGAAATTTCAACTATCTGTAACCATTTTTCAATTAAAAATGATTTTCAAATTATTGTATTTTGTCCGCATTTTCTAATGAATTTTTAGTGAAATCATCTAAAATTTTAATTACAAAACACTTAAAGTTTTAATTAATTTCAAAAATCTCAATTTTAAATCTTTGAAAATTCAATTTAATTTTTAAAAATGTTTTCCAAAAATTGTTTGATAAATTACTTTTAGTTCTGTAAAATTGAATTATTTTCTGAAAATTAACAAAAACTTTTAAAATTCAATTATTACCTAAAATTTTAATTTAAAATCAATTAAAAATCCAATAATTATCCAAAATTTTCAATTTAAAATTTAATTATTTACCAAGTTTTCAATTTAAAATGAAATAAAATTAAATTATTTTCTAAAATTTCTATTAAAAATTAATTATTCAAATTTTCAATCAAAAATGAACTAAAATTAAATTATTATCAACAATTTCAATTAAAATTCAATTATTTCCCAAAATTTTCAATTTAAAATCAAATAAAATTTCATTATTTCCCAAATTTAAAATCAAATAAAATTTAATTATTCTCAAAAATTTGAATTCAAAATTAATTGAATTGTCAATCATTTGAATTTAAAAGCATCTAAAATTTAATTATTTCTAAAATTTTCCATCGAAAATTTTTTTTTTTTTTTGAAATTTAATAATTTCAATTATAACTCTAATGAAATTCAATTATTTTTAACTATTTTAATAATATTCTTTGAAAATTCAACTATCTGAAACCATTTTTCAATTAAAAATGATTTTCAAATTATTTTATTTTGTCCGCATTTTCTAATAAAGTTTTAGTGAAATCATCTTAAAATTTTAATTAAATATCACTTAAAGTTTCAATTAATTTCAAAAATCTCAATTTTATATCTTTGAAAATTCAATTAAATTTAAAAAATATTTTCCAAAAATTGTTTTGATAAATTATTTTTAGTTCTGTAAAATTTAATAATTGTTTGAAAATTAACAATATATCTTTTGAAATTTAATTATTTCTAAAAATTTCATCTTTAACCCTTCGAAAAGGATTATTATTAAAAAAAAAATTTTTTTTATTTAAAAATCTTTAAAATATTTTTGTTAAAATAAAAAACAAATCCACTTTTTTTTGGAATATAAATCGACTAAAACGACTTTTTTGTGTCTTTAAGTTGATTCGAGGCCTGTGTTTTTATAATTAATATTTAATAGGTATTCGTTGGCCCCTGGTACCTTAAAAATTAATTTTTAAAAATAAATTTTTTTCAAATTACTATCTTGTACGAAATTTCCTGGCGCATCTTTTTTCTCATTATAAATTTTTTGTATTTGTATACAATTTTTGAATCAATATACAAGTTTAAAAAAAATTTCGTTGGTAAACGTTGTGTACTTCAGCTTCGTAAATTGAATTTTCGAATTTGGAATTTTAAAGAAACTTATTCCGAAATTTGGAAACACAACTTATACAACTTTGGCAAAAATGAGAAAAAAAATTTGTCAAAATTTAACACGTCATAAGATTACTATTCAAAAAAAAACACGTGAAATCATAAAAGGCCAACTTCAAGTTAGGACAGAAGGACAGACCAAGCATTTTATTATTATATATATATATTAACGAATTGATTAATTTAACAAAAGAAGAAAAAGAAAAAAAATTATTATTACCTTAACTCCAAGTGTTTCGATATTTTCAATGAGTGTTTCAATTTCACTGAGACCATCGCGTGCCAATATTGCTGCATCGCCTTTTCGTCGCATTATATTTTTCAAAACAATAGCAATTTTATCGACAGTTGTTTCAGTTTCAAATATTTGAAATAGCATTTCCATCGCTTGATCAGTGAGGCATAAACTAATAAAATGTGTTTTCACTTGAAAACGTGATATTTTACCACAACGTGCATCGCCAAGTATTGTATAAATATCTTGATATTTCTCCTCTTCAATTCCACAATACATTAAAACGGCTTGCAACAATGATGTATGATTTAAGCGTACAGTGAAATTTTTATCATTTAATTCAAAAATTTCACCACTTATTTCCCAAACAATTGATATCATTTCTGCTTCATCCATTAAATTATTGCCAATTGGAGTTATTACATCGAATGCACATTCATATAATTCACGTGGATGTAGGCCGTGAATCTAAAAAAAAAAGGAAAAAAAAATAGAATAGACAAAATTTTTATTTACTTTCATGACTAATTTTTTATTTTATTATAAAAATAATTTTCTTTTTCTTTTTCTCTAAATAATATTATTATTAATAATTTTAGTTGTCAATTTTACAAAAAAAGAAATATACAAAATTTTCAGTGATAAATTAAATTGAAACAAATTTCAAATAAAAAGAAATTGAATTTAAATAATTGAAAAATAAGAGAATAAAAATTTGTTAAATCTTCTACTTTGAATTTGAAATTATAATTTTTTTTCCACTGAATTCCAATTAATTATTATTGAAATAATTTAAACTATTATTGAAATAATTTGAACTATAATTGAAATTATTATTGAATTAATTTAAACTATTATTAAATTAATTTAAATTATTAATTATTATTATTGCTAATTTTTTTTTTTTTTTTTTTTTTGAAATTATAAACAATTAATTAATCATAAATACCTTTGTTTCACGAAAAACTCGTTCAATTGCAAATCTCTTTAAACGTTGAATATTATTTTTCACCACATAACGCGCAAATGGAACACGTATATCGTATGGCAATGAAACAATATTACCACTTTTTGTCGCAACTTTAACACAAGATTCCGTATAGTTTTGTGTACATGTTGAATTTGGCATTAAAAATGGCGATGTAAAACAAATACCACCGTGTTTAGTGAAAATTTTCATAACTTTTGTTTTAACATTCTCTTGAATTAATTGAATTCGTGGCACAAGAGAATTGACAATTGCCTTTGATGTTAAATTCATGTCAAATGTTATATCCTCAGCCGGTGTATATTGTGAAAACCAACATGCAACAATATCCTTATAGGCTTTACTTTGTTTATTTGAAATTGCATGTTTCAACATTTCTTGAAGTTCAGCTTGTTCTAATTGTGGCGGTGGTAAATAATCCGAGGCAAGCAATTCCTGTGACGTTGGCCTTTGCGTTGAATCATGATTCAATAACCATCTTAAAACAATTTTTTAAAATTAATTATTGTAATTTTTATTAATTGAATAAAAATTCGAAAAAATACCTTAAAATATGAATTTGATTTGCCATGTCAATTTCATTCATATCATCGGGTAAAATAATTTCCGGTGAACGAACATTTAATAAAACTTTAGCTCTCTCCATTCCCGTTGCAAGGGGTTTGTAACACATTTCAAAAAAAATTATTCCCAAACTGTAGATATCGACTTTTTTATTGTAAAATGCTTTTGATGCTTTTGTACTTAATTCTGGCGCTGCGTATAAAGCCGTTCCAACTTGTCCTGTTAATGAACCTAATTCATCTAAATCGCCACTTGTACCTGAAGAAAAAAAAAATTTTATTTAATTTTTAAATTTTATTAAAAAAATAAAAATTCGTCACCTTTGTCAATAATTGTATCGCGATCAATATTATTATCGATATTTGTTGTTTGCACAAGTGTTGAGAGAATATTCGTTGTTGCAAGACCAAAATCGCCAATTTTCACATGATCTTTACTATCGAGAAATATATTAACTGGCTTTAAATCTCTATGTATCATTCCCTGTTTATGTATGTGTGCAAGTCCCTCAGCAATTTCGCGAAATAATCGCCAAACACGATTTTCATCTTCATTTAAACCATTATCAATTGCCGTTCTTAATGTTGATTTCTCACAAAATTCCATTTGTATATACATATATTGAATTTCCATTAGGCATGAAAAATTTTCATTTTGTTGTTGTTGCTCATCTTGTTGTTCATCGGCATTAATTTCTATTTCTTTATTTAGCGATGAAATCGAATCAATTTCATCCGTTGAATTGCCAACTTTTTCAAATTCAATACCATCGGACGATGAATTTTCCACGCTTCCAACTCCCATTCTGTAAAAAAAATTTATTTTTCAAATTAAATATTTTATACTAATTACTAGCAATATTAAATGCGCGCAAGCGCGCCAAATTGACTGTTTCATTATTTGTTATAGTGAAATTAAAAATTAATATTATCAATAATTATTTAAATTTATTAGAATATTATTCCATATTAAATGATAAAAATAAAAATTATATGTTTATAGGCCTCAGGATTATTAATTATTAAATTATTAAATTTTAAATTCAAAGTCTTTTAAAATTCAATTATTTTCCAAAATTTCAATTCAAAATCCAAGACAATTCAATTATTTTCAAAATTTTTAATTCAAAATCTTTTAAAATTCAATTATTTTCCAAATTTTCAATTTAAAATCACATAAAATTCAATTATTATCCGAAATTTTAATTTAAAATCAACTAAAATTCAAATATTTTCCAAATTTTTCTATTGAAAATTAACAAAAATTCAATTATTTAATTATTTTCCAAAATTAACTAAAATTCAAATATTTCCCAAAATTTTAATTCAAAATCAAAGAAAATTCAATTACTTTCCAAATTTTTAATTCAAAATCTTTTAAAATTCAATTATTTTCCTAGTTTTCAATTTAAAATATGAAATAAAATTCTTTAATTATTTTCTAAAATTTCTATTTAAAATTAATTATCCAAATTTTCAATAAAAAATGAACTTAAATTAAATTATTATTCAAAATTTCAATTAAAATTCAATTATTTCCCAAAATTTCAATTCAAAATCAAAGAAAATTCAATAATTTTCAAAATTTTCAATTTAATTATTTTCCAAAATTTCAATTCAAAATCCAAGACAATTCAATTATTTTCCAAATTTTTAATTCAAAATCTTTTAAAATTCAATTATTTTCCAAATTTTTAATTCAAAATCTTTTAAAATTCAATTATTTTCCAAATTTTCAATTTAAAATCACATAAAATTCAATTATTATCCGAAATTTTAATTTAAAATCAACTAAAATTCAAATATTTTCCAAATTTTTCTATTGAAAATTAACAAAAATTCAATTATTTAATTATTTTCCAAAATTAACTAAAATTCAATTATTTCCCAAAATTTTAATTCAAAATCAAAGAAAATTCAATTACTTTCCAAATTTTTAATTCAAAATCTTTTAAAATTCAATTATTTTCCTAGTTTTCAATTTAAAATATGAAATAAAATTCTTTAATTATTTTCTAAAATTTCTATTTAAAATTAATTATCCAAATTTTCAATAAAAAATGAACTTAAATTAAATTATTATTCAAAATTTCAATTAAAATTCAATTATTTCCCAAAATTTCAATTCAAAATCAAAGAAAATTCAATTATTTTCAAAATTTTCAATTTAATTATTTTCCAAAATTTCAATTCAAAATCCAAGACAATTCAATTATTTTCCAAATTTTTAATTCAAAATCTTTTAAAATTCAATTATTTTCCAAATTTTTAATTCAAAATCTTTTAAAATTCAATTATTTTCCATTTTTTCAATTTAAAATCACATAAAATTCAATTATTATCCGAAATTTTAATTTAAAATCAACTAAAATTCAAATATTTTCCAAATTTTTCTATTGAAAATTAACAAAAATTCAATTATTTAATTATTTTCCAAAATTTCAATTCCAAAATAAACTAAAATTCAATTATTTCCCAAAATTTTAATTCAAAATCAAAGAAAATTCAAATTATTTTCCAAGTTTTCAATTTAAAATGAAATAAAATTCTTCAATTATTTTCTAAAATTTCTATTCAAAATTAATTATCCAAATTTTCAATAAAAAATGAACTTAAATTAAATTATTATTCAAAATTTCAATTAAAATTCAATTATTTCCCAAAATTTCAATTCAAAATCAAAGAAAATTCAATTATTTTCAAAATTTTCAATTCAAAATCAACTACAATTCAATTATTTTTCTAAATTTAAAATCAAATAAAATTTAATTATTTTCTAAAATTTCAATTCAAAATTAATTATCAAAATTTTCAATAAAAAATCAACTAAAAATGAATTATTATCAAAAATTTTAATTGAAATTTAATTATTTTCCGAAATTTCAAATCAAAATTAAAGAAAATTTAATTATTCTAAAAAATTTGAATTCAAAATTAATTGAATTTTCAATAATTTGAATTTAAAAGCATTTAAAATTTAATTATTTCTAAAATTTTCCATCGAAAATCTTTTGAAATTTAATAATTTCAATTATAACTCTAAGGGAATTCAATTATTTTTAAATATTTTTATAATATTCTTTGAAAATTCAACTATCTGAAACCATTTTTCAATTAAAAAAATGATTATCAAATTATTGTATTTTGTCTGTAATTTCTAATAAATTTTTTAGTGAAATCATCTAAAATTTTAATTAAAAATCACTTAAAGTTCAATTAATTTCTAAAATCTCAATTTTAAATCTTTTGATAATTCAATTAAATTTAAAAAATGTTTTCCAAAAAATTTTTTGATAAATTATTTTTAGTTCTGTAAAATTTTATTATTGTTTGAAAATTAACAATATCTTTTGAAATTTAATTATTTCTAAAATTTTCAAATTTTATTTGACACAAATTTGACACGTTATAAGATTACTATTAAAGAAACACGTGAAATCATAAAAGACCAACTTCAAGTTAGGACAGAAGGACAGACCAAGCATTTTATTATTATTTAATTAATTGTTTTTTTTTTTTTTTTTGAATATTTTTTAGTTAGAAATAAATAAATATTTTTAAATTTGTTTCTTGATTTAGAAAAAAAAAAATTTCTTTTCTTTTATTTTTATATGCAAGACTTACATAAAAGCCCAATCTTCATCGCTATCATTAGAATCATCATCATCCGAATCGTCTTCCTCGCTATCGTCAGTTATTTTAGCGCTAGTTCTCGATTCATAGGCAATATTCCATTCGACATCGTGAATTGGCGGTGCTAATTTCTCAATTTCCGCCACACCCAATTGCTACAAAAATTTCATCGAATTTTTTTCTATTTAAATTTCATTTAAAAATCAATTTTTTCATTTAATAATAAAAATTTATAAATATTTGGAAAAAAAATTGAAATTCTATTCAATTATTCTTTTATCTTTAATAATAAAATAATTCGCCAAAAAAAAATAATTAATAATTAATAAATTTACATCAATAATTTCGATTGGTTCCTCTTCACTTGGCATATTTGATGGTGTATCTTGTGGCGTTGAATCCGAGCATAATGCACGATCATCAAGTGTTGCACTTTCAATCCATGAATTATAATAACGTACAACATTTTCATGTTGTAAACGTGATAATAATTTAACTTCACGTGTTATTTTTCGATTTAATTGTTTATTTTTGGGATTTAATTTAATTCTTTTAATTGCATAAATACAGCCATCTAATTTATTTTTCACTTTAAGCACATCGCCAAATGCACCTTTACCCAACCATTTTAATATTGCAAATTCATTTTGTATTCTTGAATGTATACCAAATATCGATGGATATAAATTAACAGCCGTTATTGGTTCCTCTGAATCAGAATCATCATCATCATTATCACGATTTTTTCCCGGTGACGATAAACCACGTTCAAGTGGTGAACGTATAAAATTATGTTCCAATAATTGTAACGTTGACCAACGACTTCTTTCATCTTTTAATAAACATTTTGATAAAAAATCCTTTAAATTAACCTGGAAAAAAATTTCCGTTTTAAAAAAATATTCAATAATAATTTAAAATCAAAATTATCACCTGTAATACTGATTCCAATTCCAATTCCTTCTCAGAAACAATATACCCTTTCATTAATGAAAATATTAAAATACCAAAACGATAAATATCTAATTTTTTGCCACTTCTTCCTTGAATAATTGGAAAATCATTTTCAATTTTTGACAATTGATTAGTTTGATAAATATCCGAGAGACGTTTATCAAGTGAATAATCCGAGAGTTTAATAATTCCCGAACGATCAATGTGTATACAAGAATCGCGAATATCTCTATGTACAACATTATTCTCATGTAAATAATTAAGTGCCAATAGAATTCCCGTTGCTAAATGACGAAGCATATCAATACCAACTGGTGTATTGTCGTTAAAAAAATACGAACAAGTCGTTCCCACCTGTGACAAAAAAGAAAAAAGAATTTTTACACTTCATTTAGTAATTTTATAATTTATAAATTCTATTTACGAAATAAAATTCAAAAAAGAAAGAAATAACTTACGACAAATTCTTGTAAAATATAAATAACAATTGAATCATCATTCTCAATTGTTTTCATATTTAAATAATGTACAAGATTTGTATGATGTAATTTACAAAGATGATTTAATTCCTGTTCAATTGTTGTGATTTGTTTTTTTAAATTATATTGTAAATCAATCATTGATTCGGTATTATTTTCATTATCCATTTTATATTTAAATGTCCATTCGGTAATTGCTAATATTTCACCGGTTGTCATATCAAGACCGGGAAATACAATTGAACCTTTTGTACTATGTCCAAGACATTTACCACGATGTATTTGTCTTTCAATTTTATTATTATTATCAAAATGTAAAAGTTTTGTTCCACGATGTTCACAATTTATATCAATTGTTGTTGATGATTCCGATGTACTCATACAACGACGTCGTGAATATGTTCTAATACGTTCACGTGGCGATGATGGAATTGAATATGATAATTCAGAATCAAGCGATGATATACGCGCCGATTCACGACGATTTCTTAATTCTGCTCTAACTGCATTTTTACGCTTTTCAATTTCTTCCTGTAAAACCTATAATAAAGAAAAAGGGAAAAAAAAAATATTATTATCAGTCAATTAAAAAATGTAAATGTTTATTTGCACAAAAATTGAAATATATTTTTGAAATTTAATTTTATTTGTTAATTAATTTTTGAAGTAAAATTAAAAATATTAAATAGAAAATTTTAAATATGTTCGTTAATTTTTATCCTATGGGGAAAAAAATATATTTCTAATTACTTGACGTTCTTTGTCTTCTTTTAATTTTTTCTCCTCCATTTCGTATTTAATTTTCTCCTGTTTTGTTAACATCATTTCCTCATAAAAACTACGTGTTCCTGGTTTATTGTGTTCGCAGAGAAATTTTCTTACATGTTGCGTTAATTCAAAAATCATTACTTCACCACAAATTTTTAATGCCAATGCCTCAACTTCTGAGATTAAAATTCCAATTTGACTGTCCGAAAGTCCTTGACTTCTTTGTACTTGAATTTGTGGTACTCTGAAATTTATTTTTTTTTTTATTTATATATTTTTTATTATAATATATTTTATTACTTAACATTTCTTATTCATTGAAAAAAATAAAAATATATTCTTTTAATTTATAAATAATAATTTATTTATTTATTTATAATAATAATAATAATAATAATAATAATAATAATAATAAATAATTATAATTTGTAAATAATTATTTTAAAAAAACAAACATTTTGTAATTAATTAAAAATTTGTTTTTATTACAAAAAAAAATTCTCTTCGTTCATTTAAAAAAAACCAAAAAATTTTTTTTTAATTCATTAAAAATTTTATTTTCATTAAAAGAAAAACAAATTCTTTTTATTTATTTATAATATCCCGCAGTCCTTTTTATTTATTTATTTATTTATTTATTTATTTAGTTAACGGGACAATTCATTTAAAAAAAAAAGAAATCAAATTTTTTTTCATTAATTGAAAATTTGTTTCTATTGCAAAAAAAAGGAAAATAAAAAAAATTCTCTTTATTTTTATTGCAAAAACCAAATTTTTTTCCCTTAATTAAAAAAATTTACTTTCATTACAAGAAAAATAAATTTTTTTCATTAATTAAAATTTTTGTTTTCCCATACAAATAAAAAAAAAAATTCTTTTCATAAATTGAAAATAAAAACAAATTTAATTTTATTAATTACAAATATTTGTTTTCATTACAAAAAAAAAAAAAAACAAATTCTTTTCATAGATTAAAAAAATCTAAATTTTTCCCATTAATATTTTGTTTTCAATTTAATTAAAAAACAAAATTTTTTTTTGTTAAAAAAATTTATTTCCATTAATAGAAATTTGTTTTCAAAATATTAAATTGAAAAAAAAAGATTTATAGTTAAATATTTAAAAAAAATATTTAAAAATATTTTTAAAAAAACAAATTCTTTTCATAGATTAAAAAAATCTAAATTTTTCCCATTAATTAAAATTTTAGTTTTTCAATTTAATTAAAAAACAAAATTTTTTTGTTAAAAAAATTTATTTCCATTAATAGAAATTTGTTTTCAAAATATTATTAAATTGAAAAAAAAAAAATTTTAGTTAAATATTTTCTTAAAAATTTGAAGAAAAAGGGAAAACAAACAAAAAATTGTGGGAAAAATTTAAGGAAAATTTTTTTTTTTTAAATATGAGGAAAAATTGCAAAAAATATTATCGAAAAAAAATGTATTACTTATCAGGATATTGTTCGCCACAAGTAATTCTTAAATCGAGTTGTACATGAATTTCTGCAGGTCCCGACATTCCTTCTTGTGGTGTTAATGTTACTAAAATGTCGAGAGGTTGCCATTTTCTTTTATGTTTATTTTTTCTCAAATCCTGTAATTCGTCGCCATAAATTGACTGTAAATGAAAAAAAAAATAAAATTCAATTCAATGGTAATTCACTTTTTTTTATTGAATTTGAATAAAATTATAATTTCCAATTTTTAATTTAATAATTTATTTTTTTTACATTTTATCGTTTTAAAATTTATAAAATAAACTATATATAATTATAAAATAAATATATATTTATATATATATATATTTTATATTTATATAAAATAAATATATAATTAAATTAAAACTAAAATTCAAACATAATTAAATTTTTTAAAAATAAGGGAAAATTTGAAGAATTGCAAAATTTAAAAAAGTGTACAATGAAGAAATAAATTTATAATATTCAAAAAATCCAAAAAAAAATCACCATAAAAGTAAATTTTAATAATTCTGTTACTGTATTTAAAAAAAAAAATTGAAACAGAAAAAATGTTTTTTATTACATTATTTAAAAAAAAATTATTATTTTATTAATATATTTTTTTTTATTATTTTTCTAATTGTAAAAAATTTTTTAAATATATTAAAAATACAGTTTTTTCTCAAAAGAGTTAAAAAATATTTTTTCTATTAACAATAAACAAATTTTTTTATCATTTAAAAATTGATAACTAAGATAATTCAAATTTATTTTCTAATAGAATTAAAAGTTTGCCAAACAAAAAATTATTACTAATTAATAATAATAATAATAATAATAATTGTAATAATAATAATAATAATAATAATAATAATAATAAATATTATAATAAAAATAATTGAATTCGTAAAAATAATAAATCTTACCTTAAGTGCTGCAAGTTCATGTCTTTGTCGTTCAATAAAAGATTCTGAGCCCTCCGCCTCAGACATTTTTTTTTAAATAAAAAAAATGTTAAATTTAAATTTTCCAAATTATTGCTAAAAACTACCATTTATTTTAATTTATAAACATTTTATTTTATTTTCTTATTCTCACTGAAATTTATAACCTTTTTTCTTTTTTTTAAGGTTATGTTCACAACAAATATACAAATCAGCGAATGAAAAAAAAACACTTTTTTTTAAATCTAAAATTGATATTTAAAAGTTATAAATAATGAAAAATAAGTAGTAAATAAAATATTTATGAATTACATATTATTTTATAATTAAAAAATAATTGTTAAATTCGAAAAAAAACAAAAAACACACAACGTTCTACTATATTTTGTTTGAAAAATATATGAAAACCAATGAAAAATTGACAATTAATAAAAATGGAAGTGCCAACACAAGAAAAGTAATTTGTCCCTTCTGTTAAAGCTAACCAATAACAAACGTTTATTTTGCAAAACAAATTGAGCGGTAAATTTTTAAAATATAGAGAAAAAAAAATAATTAACAAATTGCAATATCAGTTTACAAAAAATGTTTCTGTAAATTAATTTATTTTTAAATATTTATTAATAAATACCAATTAGTTTTAAAAATTAATTCTTTTCAATTTTTTTTAGATATTTTTATATAGTAAAAAATTTACTTCCAGTTTTAGAACATTTTTTCAGATACTAAAATTCGATAATAGCTTAATAGTTATTTTTATAATCAACTTTATTTCCTTTTTAAAGAACAATAAAATAAAATTTTATTATCAAATCACGAATAAGATTTCCCGCCATTTAATCTCTATTGATAAAACAGCATCTAGTTTAATAATCCTAGAAATTAAAAGAAAAAATATTCCTATAATTTTAATTTCCCCATAAATATAATATTTATCTAATGAAAAAAATTCCATAAATTGAAAATAACATTTTTCATCTTTAAACAATAATAATTGCTTTTATTAAGAATTAATAAATTTTAAAATAATTTCGAACTTATTCTGCTTTTACCGCCAATGTGTTTTATTATAATTCTACAGTTGGTAGGCCTTGTACCGCTTTGATCATGGTCGGCCATGTTTTTTTTAATGACGTCGTCGAGGGGCTGGGTGTAGTAGCTTTTAACGTTAAAAACCGTCCCGTGTGTTTCGCCTCTCTTCCTTTAACTTAAAATAAGAAAAAAAAAAAAAAAAAAAAAACCTTTCACAAAAAGTCCGTAAAAATTCGGAAAGTGTTTACATTATCCAAATGCTAAATTTTCCATTGCCGTTAAATGCGTGCAACAAACAATTCTAAAAGTGTTCGTGTTAGTGAATTAATCGGTTTTTTTTTTTCATAGAAAAATTAACGGGTGATCAAAAACGGGGGAATTTTAAGTTATATTAGTGTGTAAATTATCGTCGTCATTGTCGTTGCGAATCATCAAAAAAGTGAAATAGAGACAGAGAGAAAGAGAGAGTGTAAGTGTGTGTGCGCGCGTGTGTTTGTGTTAAGAAATTCAAGAACGAGAGCATGAGCGAGGAAAGCAATCCTCGTACCCTTTATGTGGGTAATCTCGATGCCACCGTGTCCGAGGATCTTTTGTGTGCTTTATTCTCACAAATTGGACAGGTGAAGGGATGCAAGATAATACGTGAACCCGGCAATGATCCTTATGCATTCGTTGAATTTACTAATCATCAATGCGCGGCCACTGCGCTCGCCGCCATGAACAAGCGCCTCTTTCTCGACAAGGAAATGAAGGTTAGTCCCGGCATTTTTTTTTCCCCCCCTTCTATATATATATATATATAAATTTTCCCTTTTTGATTTTTTATTTCCGAATTGCGAAAAAAAAAAACTTGTAGTGGAAAAATTATCAGTCTTCTTTTTTTTTTTTTTCTTTCTCTTTTCATTGGTTAGTGTGCAATTGGCGTGTGTCCATTTTAACTTGTGTGTGTGTCATCATTTTAAGTTACAATATGCGCGCGAAAAATGTTCAAAAAAAAAAAAAAAAAGGGGAAAATAAAATTTTTTATATATATTTTTTTCCCTTTTAGAGAGGTTAGGTGATAATTTTTGTTTTATAATTTTTGGTTTTCAATAGGAAAAATTGAATGACAATAACGAAAGTTCAAAGGTCAAACTGTATTTTTAATGGCAAATTATTTTTTTTTTTCGATTTTAAAATTGTTTTACGAAAATAGCGATCAATTTAAGATAATGGGGGGAGAGGAAAATAAAAGTGTTGTTAATTGCCTGGCAACGTGATTTCCTTTTTAACGAATATTTTTTTTATTTTTCTCTTTATCTTTTTTTACTTCCTTTTTATCGTATTTCTATTCACAATTTTTTTTTTGTTTTTTATTTTCTCATTGTTTTTTAATTTAAGTTTCCTTTTTTTTTTTTTTCTTATTTTTATGAGAAAAAAAAAAAATTTGTGTACACTTTTATTTTGAAGGTGAATTGGGCGACAAGTCCTGGTAATCAACCGAAGCAAGATACGAGTAATCATCATCATATTTTTGTTGGTGATTTATCACCGGAAATTGAGACACAAACATTGAAGGAAGCATTTGCGCCGTTTGGTGAAATTAGCAATTGTCGAATTGTACGCGATCCACAAACATTGAAAAGTAAAGGTTATGCGTTTGTTTCATTTGTCAAAAAATCGGAGGCTGAAGCCGCAATTTCAGCAATGAATGGACAATGGTTAGGATCGCGTAGCATCAGAACAAATTGGTCGACGAGAAAACCACCACCACCAAGATCGGAGAGGCCAAAGTATCCGAATAGCAGCAAACCTAATTATGAAGAGGTAAAAAAAAAAAATATTTAAAATTTTTTAAATAAAATAAAATAAAAATAATTTTAATAAAATGATAAATTTAATTTTAATTTTAATTTAATTTAAATAATTTTAATAAAATAATAAATTTAATTTGAATTTTAATTTAATTTAAATAATTTCAATAAAATAATAAATTCAATTTCAATTTAATAGAAATAATTTTAATAAAATAATAATTCAATTTCAATTGAATAGAAATAATTTTTAAAAAAATAGTAAATTTAATTTGAATAATTTTAATAAAATAATAATTTTAATTTTATAGAAATAATTTTAAAAAAATGATAAATTTAATTTAAATTTTAATTTAATTTGAATAATTTTAATAAAATAATAAATTCAATTTATTACTTTACTTTATTTTTGAAGTCCCGTAAATAAATAAATAAATTTGAATTGAATAGAAATAATTAAAAAAAAATAATAAATTTAATTTGAATAATTTTAATAAAAGAATAAATTCAATTTCAATTTTATAGAAATAATTTGAATAAAATAATAAATTCAATTTATTACTTAACTTTATTTTTGAAGTCCCGTAAATAAATAAATAAATAAATAAATTTCAATTTTATAGAAATAATTTTAATAAAATAATAAATTTAATTTGAATTTTAATTTAATTTGAATAATTTGAATAAGATAATAATTTCAATTTTATAGAAATAGGTAATTTAAAAAAAATAATAAATTTAAATTGAATTTTAATTTAATTTGAATAATTTTAATAAAATAATAAATTTAATTTGAATTTTAATTTAATTTGAATAATTTTAATAAAATAATAAATTCAATTTGAATTGAATAGAAATAATTTAAAAAAAAATAATAAATTCAATTTGAATCGAATAGAAATAATTTTTTAATAAAAAATTCAAATTGAAATATTTTAAGAAATTGAATGAAATTTAAATTAATTTGAAATTAAATAGAAAATAAATTTTGATTTTGAAATTTTTTTTACGAATGAATTTTGAGATTTTAGTGAAATTTTAAATTGATGAAGAAAATTGAAATTTTTGAATATAAAAATTTTTTCAAAAAAAAAAAAAAATTACTTTTTTGTTTTCTCCAGGTGTATAACCAAAGTAGCCCAACAAACTGTACTGTATATTGCGGTGGTTTTACAAATGGAATAACGGATGAGCTCATAACCAAAACATTTTCACCATTTGGTACAATTCAAGATATAAGGGTGTTTAAAGATAAGGGTTATGCTTTTATTAAATTCACAACTAAAGAAGCAGCGGCACATGCAATTGAATCGACAAATTATACCGAGATAAATGGATGTATCGTCAAATGTTTCTGGGGTAAAGAAAATGGTGATCCAAATAGCGTAGGACCTAATGCCAATCAACAAGCTCAACAGGTTAGTAATTAAAAAAAAAGAACCCACGTTTATTTCAAAATTATTAGAGAATTTTTCTTTTTTATTTTCTTTTATTCTAATGAGAAAGTTTTTTTATTTAAAAAATTCCCGTTTAACTATGAGAAAAATTGAAAAATAATAAAACAATGGAATTAATAAAATAATAGAATAAAATAATAAAATATAATAAAATAATAGAATAAAATAATAAAATATAATAAAATAATAGAATAAAATAATAAAATATAATAAAATAATAGAATAGAATAATAGAAAATACAATAATAGAAAAAAGAAAATAAGGTACAAAAATTACAATAAAAATAAAATAAAATTTTTATCTTTAATAATAATTTGAAGAACAATTATAATTCTACAAAAATTAATATTTGAATTAAAATTCCATTTAAATAAAAATTTTGGTAATGGGAAAAATTTTTTAAATTAAAAATTCAATTAAATAGAAAATATTTTAAAATTCTGCAAAAATTAATATTTTGAATTAGAATCACTTTTAAATATTTATTGATGTTTTCTTTCAATTATTATTAATAAATTATAATTTCCTTTGAAAATTTGGTAATTTTTTGATATATATATATATATATATATATATATATATATATATATATATATATATATATATTTTCTTTGTTAAAAAAAAATTGGCAAAATTTTAAAAGAAATTATAATTCCTTTTAAATAAAAAGTTGTGTAATGAGAAATTCGGTAAAATAAAAATGAAAATCAAATAAAAATTAATAAACAATTGAAATTTTATTTAGTAAATAATTTTTTACAACTTATTATTAACAATATAAAAAATAAGCGTTTGAAGAGAATCTTTTATTGAATAAAATAAGCCCTTGTTTATTAAAATTAGATAAAAAAAATTATAATTTTTGTCTGAGCTGAAAGAAAATATATTAAAATGTTTAGAAAAAAAAAATATTTAAAAACTTATTTTGAATCAGTATTGTTTTTATGCAAAAATACATAATAAGATCTTTTAAAATTGAGCGCAAATTAATTTTAATCATAATTTTGTTTGCGTTTTCGGTAGCTAAAAATTTTGTTAAGTAAAAATTCGTAAAAAAAAAGAGAAATTCTGTAAAATTATATAATAATAAAATGCTTGGTCTGTCCTTCTGTCCTAACTTGAAGTTGGCCTTTTCTGATTTCACGTGTTTTTTTAAATAGTAATCTTATGACGTGTCAAATTTTGACAATTCTTTTTCTCATTTTTGCCAAAGTTGTATAATTCTGTTTCCAAATTTCGGAATAAGTTTCTTTAAAATTCCAAATTCGAAAATTCAATTCACGAAGCTGAAGTACACAACGTTTACCAAAGAAATTTTTTTTAAAGTTGTATATTGATTCAAAAATTGTATACAAATACAAAAAATTTATGATGAGAAAAAAGATGCGCCAGGAAATTTCGTACAAGATAGTAATTTGAAAAAAATTTATTTTTAAAAATTAATTTTTAACGTACCAGGGGCCAACGAATATCTATTAAATATTAATTATAAAAACACAGGCCTCGAATCAACTTAAAGACACAAAAAAATCGTTTTAGTCGATTTATATTCCAAAAAAAAGTGGATTTGTTTTTTATTTTAACAAAAATATTTTAAAGATTTTTAAATAAAAAAAATTTTTTTTTTAATAATAATCCTTTTCGAAGGGTTAAAGATGAAATTTTTAGAAATAATTAAATTTCAAAAGATATATTGTTAATTTTCAAACAATTATTAAATTTTACAGAACTAAAAATAATTTATTAAACAATTTTTGGAAAACATTTTTTAAATTTAATTGAATTTATAAAGATTTAAAATTGAGATTTTTGAAATTAATTGAAACTTTAAGTGTTTTGTAATTAAAATTTTAGATGATTTCACTAAAAATTTATTAGAAAATGCGGACAAAATACACTAATTTGAAAATCATTTTTAATTGAAAAATAGTTTCAGGTAGTTGAATTTTCAAAGAATATTATTAAAATAGTTAAAAATAATTGAATTTCCTTAGAGTTATAATTGAAATTATTAAAATTCAAAAAAAAAAAATTTTCGATGGATAATTTTAGAAATAATTAAATTTTAGATGCTTTTAAATTCAAATGATTGAAAATTCAATTAATTTTGAATTCAAATTTTTCAGAAAAATGAAATTTTTTTTGATTTTAAATTGAAAATTTTTTGGGAAATAATTGAATTTTAATTGAAATTTTGGATAATAATTTAATTTAAGTTCATTTTAAATTGAAAACTTGGTAAATAATTAAATTTTAAATTGGATAATTATTATTGGATTCTTAATTGATTTTGAATTGAAATTTCGATTAATAATTGAATTTTAGTTTATTTTGAATTGAAATTTTTAAAAAATAATTCAATTTTATTCTGATATTTTTTTTTTTAAATTATAAAAAATTGTTAAATTTCATAAAAATTTTAATTGAAAAAATAATTTTGATATAATTGAATTTGTGATGTATTTCATTAAAATTATTAAAAATAATTAATTTAGTGAAGAATCATTTTAGTTCAAAATTTGTTAAATAATTGAATTGAAGAAGATCTGAAGAAGATCTATACATTTTATACTAAAAAAATGTATTTTATTTACATTTTTTTTCAAATGTAAAAAAAATGTCGCATTTTATTAAAATAAGTCGATAAAAGTCGGAAAAAGTCGTATAATCCGAGGCCTGTAAACATATAATTTTCATTATTATCATTTAATATGTAATAATATTCTAATAAATTAAATTATTATTGATAATATTAATCTTTAATTTCTTTATAACAAACAATTAAATACTCAATTTGGCGCGCATTTAATTTTGCTAGTTTTAATTATAATTTTGTTTGCGTTTTCGGTAGCTAAAAATTTTGTTAAGTAAAAATTCGTAAAAAAAGAAGAAGAAATTTTGTAAAATGCTAATTAAAAAACTGAAAATTCGTTTAAATAATAATAATAATAATAATTTCATTGTATACTCAATACAGAGTTTTTACAAATTTTTTGCCTCCGTTAATTACAAACAAACATTCCGCTCTTTAATTTTTTCTAATTCTAATTATTTCTAATAAAATTCTTTAAAATTCTAATTAATTATTAGAGAATAATCATACGCTCCAAGAAAGTGAAGGTAAAAAAAAATAATGAATTTACAGGTGACGACAGGCGCTGGACAATATTCGTATGGTTACGGACAACAAATGGGTATGGGATATAATTGGTATCCACAAAATTATACCCAAATGCAGGGACAATTCTTCCAGCAAGCTAGTTACTATAATCATTATTATAATCAACAACAATATATGAGAATGCAATCGCCAGCGGCGGCGGCTGCTGCAGCGGCAGCGGGTACATGGCAACCTGGACAACCAGGTGCACCACCACCAACACCCGCTGCACCACTTCCATCAGGACAACAACCGGCAATGGTAACATACACCATGCCACAATATCCCACGCAATGAAATCGATCATCATCATTATTATCATCATCATCAACAACAATAACAACAACAACAACAACAACAACAATTATTATTATTATTATCATCATTGAACGATGCCAACTGAAACCAATAAAATACCGAATAATATTCAATCGAGGTGAAAAAAAAAGAGAAAGAGGGCCTTCTGCAAAAAATTAATTTTGCTCCCTTTTTTTGTCCAAAAAAAAAAAAAAAAAAATGTTTTATTTTATGTTTTCTCTGAAAAAATTGTTTTTCTTTTTTAAATGTTCAAAGACTGGAAAAAAAAATGTAGGTTCAATTTAAAAAAAAAGGGGGAGGGAGGGAGGGGGTGGTGGAGAAAATGTAAAAAAAAGAATCGAAAAAATTGAATAGAGGGGGAATTAGAAAAAGAGCCCTGCATTCGGAGGGGGTAAACTGCAATCGTAATTTTGCAGTTTGTTTTTTTTTTTTTAATTTGGCATTTTTTCGCCTCTTTCCCTCTTTTCAGTTTTTAAATTGCAATTTTCTCTCTGAAAAATAAAGATTTCGTTCTCTTATGAAATCATTATAACAGTTGACGTGTCTTATATTTAAAAAAAAAAAAAAATAAAAATGTTCATTCATGATCGATTTACCGAATATGATATTGAACTATTGTAGTGTAAGATAGAAAAAAAAATGAAGTTAGCTAGACACAGCGCCTGTGATGTAGCTAGTTTTGAATGCACACCGATTTAAAAGAAGAAGAAGAAGAAAAAAACGTATGCAGGGCCCTCGCGTTAAAAAAAAATCGTTTTCTTTTTTTTTTTTTTTGTCAGGACTAATCGATCTTTATCGTCGGTGGTTCGATTTTTTTTTTTGGCAAAAAGGAAAAGAAAATTCGCGTTGCCTATCCATTTTTCCATGGGATTTTTTCAAAAACATTTTTTTTGTACTATTTTCGAAAAAAAAAAATTGTACCCTTTTTTTTAAAATTTCAAATATGTTTGATCTTGACAAAAGTCCCCCGCTTTTTTTTTTCTTTTTTTTTTTGAACTATTAATGACGAAATTTAAAAACTAACAGTTAATACATTACATATGAATGATGAAAAAATGAATTTTTGATGAAAGGAAAAAAATCATTTTTGAAAGTTGACGAAAAAAAAAAAAAAACGATTGATCGAAAATGTTGATCATTTTTGATTAATATGAGAGAAGGAAAAAAAGCTTTCGAAAAAAAAGAAAGTAAATAAAAAAATTGAGAATAGTAATTTAAAAAAAAAAAAGAAAAATGAAAACTATTTCAATAAATATTTAAAAAAAAGAAAATTAAAAATACAACCAAGTTCGAATTATAAGATTTTTATATAAACCTCCAACCCCCTTGTTTTTTTTTTTTTTTTTGATATTTCAATCAATTTTTTCAACTTCAGTAGGCAAATAAAAAAAAAAAATTTTAAATTAAAATTGAAATGAAAAGAAGCCTTAATTAAAAAACGCCCTTTATATATAATTTTTGTTTAAAAAAAATCTTCCAATTTCTTTTTTTTTTTTTTTTTTTTTTTTCTCTTTTTTGTATACTCGAATACTGTAAAGCAGTGGTTCCGAATTGCTTCAAATCTTTTTATTCTCCTATTATAATTATAATAATAATAATAATAATAATAATAACTCTTTGCTGATGAATCATTCCAAAAAAACAAGCATTTTTCCTGAATTTATTAACTTGAATTGTAAATATAATAGAAAGGGAAAATAGCAAAGGGCCACTTATATTAAGAAAGCGAGCGCGAGAGAGAGAGAGAGAGCGAGAGAGATGAAAGAGAAAAAGAGAGAGAGAGAATGAAAAAGTTAGAAAAAAAATAGATAAAAATAGCAGTTAAAAAAAAAACGAAGTAAACAATTTTTAGTTAGTTTATTGGTGAAAGTTGTTGAAGAAGAAAAATAATAAATTTTTTGCGTTATACGGCTACCGACGATAAAAAATGATTTTGAAAAAAAAAAAGTTTCTTAAGAATTTTTACAAAAAAAAAAAAAAAAAAAAATTAGACGTTATTAAAATAATAATAATAAAAAAAAAAAAAATGAAAAAGTAACAACAAAGAATTTACACGAGCACGAGTGTTTAGTCAAGTAATATTAGTGAGAAGAAGAAAAAAAAAATGAAAACTAATAACGAAAGTCAACTAATACGAAAACTTGACGCGAGTAAAGAAAGAAAAAATGGATCAATAATCAATCAAGTGATGCAAGACGTAAAAAAAAAAAAAGAGTGTTATATAAAGGTAAATTTAGGTACATGAAGGGTGTCAAAAAAAAAAAAAAAAAACCCTCGACAATGCTTAGGATAATGTTATCTTATAATAAAAAGAAAAAAACAAAAAAACAAACAAATTGTCCTTTGAATGAAAGAAGGAATAAATATTTAAAATACAATTTCATCCTTTTTTTTTTTAAACATTGTGCCAAATTATAAGTTTTTTTTTTGTTTTTAATTTTTTTTTCGTGGTAAATTGAAAAAAAAAATTTGTAGAATTTTTGAAAGTAAAATGAAATTTAATTCACGTTATTAATTGATAAAATTTGAATTATTTTAAAAATTTATATTTTTAATATTCTAATAAATTTAGATTGTATTTTGCAAATTTTTAAAAATTAGTTTTAAAATTAATTAATAATATAATAAAGAAACTATTTTTTATATTTTATTCTTTAAAATATGAAAAAAAATAATCAAAATTAATTTTTTAAAAATTATTTTCTTTACAAATTTAAAATAAATAATTAAAAAATAATAATAAATAATTAAAATAAATTTAATTATTTTTAATTAATTCATTTTAAAAAAAATGTAAATTAATATTATTAAATTATAAAATTTAGAATTTTTTTTTATTATTTTAAAGTAAAATTATTATATTGAAAAGAATTGAATTGCAAAATTATTAAAAATTTACAATAATTGAATATAAAAAAAAAATTATATATTGTTAATAAAGGTAAAATATAATTAAGTATTTTTTATTTGTTAAATTTAGAAATTTTTCATTTTGCCGATAATTCTTTAATTACAGTTTTTAAAAGAATTTTTTTTTTTGGAAAATATTTTTTCGTAATAATTAATTTTTCAATTATTGAATTTAATTTAAACAGAAAAAATTGTTTTAATTTTATTATAAAATTAATTTCAATATAAAAAGAAATGAGATTATTTTTAAAAATTGCTTTTTAATAATTAAATAATATGTTTAAAAAATTATTTTACAAATATATTATTTAACTAAATATTATTTTGTTTTGTAATTCAACATTTTTTTTAGTTATTTATTTATTATTTTTAATTCATTGTATAATTTTTTCGAGTTTTTGTAATTTAACATATTTTTAGTTAGTTATTTATTATTTTTAATTCATTGATTAATTTTTTCGAGTTTTCGTTATTATTCTATAAAAATGTAATTTAAGGTTTTTTAATTCTTCGTTTTTTTTTTGTTTTTTTAAATATTTGGATATTTTAAATATTTACCGCGCTTATGACGCTGTAAATATTCCACCAATGAAATAACTTTGAAATTAATTTTCTTCTGCTACTACTCGATATTGATTGGTCCTTTTTTGCAACTTCCTCCGGAAATCAGCTGTTTTACGTCAAAATCATCAACCGAACGAAGGGAGATTATTGTATATATGTACAATTGTTGCAAAATAGAGAAATAATATTTAAAATTTTGTCAATTAAATAAAAAATGTCAAGTGTTAATTTTATAAAAACAATATTAAAATTGTGTCCAAAATATATTGATAGAATTTGTATGCAAAAATATTTTTGCAATACAAAAAAATTCAATATCAATGAAACAATGTATTATTATTATTGTAATAATTTGTCATTAAATTTTAATGAAAAGAAAAATTTTAACAATAATAATAATAATAGTTGTCATCAATCGAGAATTAATAAAAAATCGTATTTTCTTTTCGGTGGAATTTATACACTTTTTGGTTTATTTAAAGAAAAAGAAGATAAAGAAGAGGATCCTGAATATATTACAGCAATGAAACGCTCAATTTTAGCGATGCAGGTTTAAAAAAAAATATATTTATTTAATTAAAATAGAATTATGTATATTTTTTTTTGAAAATTAATTTTTTTTTCAGTTCTAGATAAAAAATAATAATCATTTCTAAATATTTAAATGCATGTTTACTTTTTTTTTTAAGGTTAGTTTTTGATAATTTTTATAACCTAAAAATTGTTTTTTTTTAATAAATAAAATTTCGGCTAATTAATTAATTAATAGCCAATTTATTTATAAAATAAATATAAATTATCTCATTAAAAAAAAAAAAAAATTCTTTATTAATTAAATACTATCTAATATTTTTGTTTATTATTAATATTTAAATTAAATTAAAAATAATAAATAACAATTATTAATAATTTATTTGAAAATAAAAAAAAAATTAGTACAGTGTATAAAAATAATTTTAATTAATTTTATTTTTAAATTATTATTTATTATTATTATTATTATATTATTATTATTTATTATTATTATTATTTATTTTTAATTTAATTTTTTTTTATTTTTAATAATTTTGCAATTAAATTCTTTTCAATGTAATCATTTTACTTTAAAATAATAAAATAAATTTTTCCGATAAAATAAAAAATAATTTTTTTAATTATATTAAAATTATATTATTATATTATATAATTAAATATATATATATATATATATATATATATATATATAATTTAATAATAATTAATATATAATTTGAAATATATATAATTATTTAAGAAAAAAAAGAAAGAAAAATTGTTTCTATTTTTTTTTTTACTAAAAAAAAAGAAAACAGAAATTATAATAAAAAAAAAAAAATTGTCATTTTAATTTTCGATTTTTTAGCAAAAGCATCTAATAATTTCTAGAGAGGAGAATTCAAGAAAGCTGAACAAATGTTACATCTTGCACTTCATATGGCACAAACAATTGAACATTTTAAAGCAATTACATATATTTTTGATTTAATGGCAAATCTTGCATTTGAAATGGGCGAATATGAGAAGGCAGAAAAATTATTTGTCACTGTAATGCAACGTTTAATTTCCACTGGAACATTGGAAAATGATTTAAAAATTGTTCACATGAGTTTGAAACTTGCAAAAATTTATGAAGCTAACGGCCATTTACAGTAAATAATAACAAAAATTTTATTTTAATTAATATTGAAAAAGAAAGAAAAAAAATTTCTTTAAATAAAAAATAAATTTTTTTTTTTTACAGTAATAATTCAACAATAATAGAATTTAGAGATTAAAATAATGCAATTTTTCTTTAGAAAGGCTGAGAATGGTTATAAATTTTGTATAAATGCATTGAAACAAAATTCAAATGATGAGGAAACAAAATTTTTTTGGCTAATGACTTATGATTATTATGGACATTTATTAATAGAACAATCAAAAGAATTGGAGGCTTATAAAATGCTTATTGAGGCATATGAATTGTCAATTCAAATTAATGGTTTGGAACATGAGCAAACAATAACAATTCTCAATGATCTTGGAATACTTGATTGTAGACAAGGAAATTATAAATTGTCAATTCAACGATTGAATCAAGCACTCGAAGCCGGTAAATTAATTAAATATTAATATTTTTTTGGTATTAATTAATTTTTTTACAATTAATATTTTCGTAATTAATTTAGAAATTTCGAATTTAGTAACAATTTAGTAATTAATATTTAAATTACTATTTTCTGTGTTAATAAAATTATTTAATAAAATTTCTAATTGAGAAAAATTGAAATCAAAATATTTCTAAATTAATTAAATTTTTAAATATTTATAAAATCAGTAATTCTAATATATTTTGTAGTATAAATTGGAATAATTGAATATATTTTATTTAATGAAAAATAATTATTTTCGCAAATTTAGGAAAAAAACTCGAGGAATTGGATTTGAGTCCAATGCATATTAATTTAGGTTTTACATATATTAAACAAGGTCTTTATACAGAGGCAAAAAAATCATGTAAAGATGGTCAAATATTAGCGAAAATACAAGAAAATCAAGAATCACTTAATGAGGCAAATGTGTGTTTAGACGAAATTAAAAAATTGTCAACACATAAAAAATGATGAAAAATTTATTAATTTTGCAATTTTTTTCACGCTTACAAAAATGAAATAATTTTTAGAATACAATTATTTAAATTATTTAATTACTTATTAAGTTTTTAATTATTATTTAATAATTAATTTCTTAATTCAATTATTATAATTTATTCGTCGAGAAACAAAAAAACAGTTTTTTGTAATATTTATTACATAATTTTAATAATATCAATAATTTGTCGAATTTTTTCATTTTTCTTTTAATTTTCCATTTTATGTGAAAATATCTTTTCACGAAAAAAAATGTTTTACAATAAAAAAAAGGTTTACAATTTATCAAAATTTTTGGTGAAAAATTAATTTTTTTTTTTTTTTCAATAAAATCCCTCGTCATCGTCATGATTTTCATCAACATCAGCAATTGCAACACTCGCGAGCATATGACGTGGAATTTCTGAACCACGTATTTTAATTGTATAACAAACATTTTCAATTTTATTTAAACTTTGCTTTAATGTTATTAATTTACGATTAATTTCCCTACCTGAAAATGGTGTAATACCCAAAAATCCCTGATACATTTGTCGTACAAAAATACATGTTTCAAAACATCCTGCAATATTGCCAATTGATAAATTATTAATACATTTACGCATTAATTCACCAGTTAAATCGGCAATACCAAGTATATAATCCTGTGGTATTAATAATTTTTTTATTAAATTCTCTTTTTCTTTTAATTCAATAAAATTTTGATTTTCATTTTTATTTATGTTAATTTCTTCATTTGGCGAAATTAATTTATTTTTATCATTATTAAATTGTGATTTTATATCATTTTCAATAATATAATTAAATGAATTGCCAATATCATGACAATTTTCAAGTTTTTTATCTTTTAAATATTGTCGAAATGTTATTGCCTCAATGAATTCTTGTATTCCAGGACGATATGCTTTAATATATTGAAAATAATCATGTCCATTTAATTCTTTGGCAATATTTTTTAATGAAAATTTAATAACATTATCAAGACGTTTTTTTGATTCTTGAAGAATTAATTCATATTTTTCATCACGATCAATTGTATGGAGTAGAAAAATAATTCGTTTACTTTCAATTGTTATGTCACGACTTAATTTTACAATTCTTTCATAACGATCGTGTTTATCGTCAAGTTCATTTGCATATTCACGAAATTGTTTTAATACTTGACTATTTTCATCTAATTTTTCAAGTACCTCCTTTCCCATATCGCCAATGCTGACGAAATTTTTTCCATGATAACGACCACCGCCGCCACGTTTTTTTCCTTTAAAAAAAAAAAGAAAAAAGAATTAGTCTTTTTTTTCTCTGTGCTTTATTCTACTTTCAATTTTATTTATTCACTAATTTATACAAAAAAAAAATCGATTACTAATACAAAATAATTTTTTTTATATTCAATTATTAAAAAGTTTTATTTATAAATTTTATTAATTTTAAATAATATATTTTTATTTTTAAATATTAAACATTTTTAAAGCGTTTAAATTTTTAAAATTACTTGGAAATAAAATTTAATTCAATTTACAAAACTAAAAAAAAAATTCAAATAAATAAATTTTGAACAGAATATAAAATTAAAAATTTAATTTTAATTTTATTTATTTTAAAATAAATAAAAATTTATAATTATAAATTTATAATAATTTATATATTATATTATATTTATAATTTATATTTATAATTTTTATAAATTTTATTTATTTAGAAAAAAATGAAATAATTAAAAATTAAATTTACAAAAATTTCGAGTCAAAATAATTAAATTTTTCAAAGTTTTAAATTAATTTAAAAATTAGAATTTAATATCAAATTTTGTTTTTTTTTTTTATAAAAACAGTGAAATTTTAATAAAATTAAAATAAATTAAACATAAAAATAATTAAATATAAATAATAATTTTTTAAATGAAAAAAAAAATGAATACAAAATAAAAAATTGAAAAAGAAATAAAATTTACAAAATAATTGAATTTAATAAATAATGAAATTTTTTTTATTAAATTTCAATTGATTTATATTTGAAAATATTTTGTAATTAAATTTTATTTTTAATTGTTAGCATTTTTTTTTCTTGTAATAAAAAACGAAAATTTCAAATAATTTATAATATAAATTTTATAAAAAATTGATAAATAAAGGAAAGAAAATGTAAAAATTTTTAATAAGAAAAAAAGGCAAAAATTAGAAAATACGAAAATTTTCGTAATTATAAAGAAAAAAAAATGTTGTTCTTTAATAAAATGTACACGTCAATTTTTATTATTTTTTTTCTACATTTGATGGAAATAGAAATATAAATAAAAAAAATAAAACATATAAAACAATGATAAACAAACCTCTTCCCTGTGACATTTTCCTTTCGTTTTTCTTTTTAACTCTTATTTTTCCCTAACAACACGTCATATTTTATTGTAATTTATTATATATAAATTTACTCCTTTCAAATTTTAATATTTTTTATTAATTTTCATTGAAATTATAACACAAATATATAGTTTTTGCTGACAGGTTGCCGGATGTTAATCGATTTTAAGGTTAGAAATTTTAGTTCACTTAATTGACGCCTGAGGGCAATGTGAGAATTCAAAAATTTTCCCATTATAAATTAGGATTTATTTATCAAAATAAGTGTTTTTTTTCTTGTAATATTTACATTATTGCTAATAGAAATGCTTATTTAATCGATTTAAAACTATATTTAAAATAAAAAATGAATAAAAAATTAAATTATTTTACTTTCATATACTCGGAATTTTTAATTTTTCCCACCACATGCGCAGTGGATTTGCGCATAAATTTTTGTTTCCTCACAATACGTGAGTCAAATTCATAACTAATTTTAGTGGTTCTTTCAGGTGAATTGTGACAAATATTCTTGTATTTTCAAGGTTTTCTTTGTATTTTTAACGATTGAATATTATAAATATGAGAATAAAGTGCTTTTTAAATTGTTTAACAATAGTAATGAAGAATTTGATATTTAGTATTTAACTTGACATTGTCTGTCTTCTTTGTCAGTCATTCGAGGAACGCAACAATGTCTCTTGTATATTTTTCCAAGTTTTTTCTTCATTAAACTAAAAAAAAATATACATCAACGAGCATCATTTTTCCGTAAGTATTTTTATTTATTTTCATTTTATTTTCAATTTTACTAATTGCGAGATAAGTTTGAAATTTATTTCGAAAACATTCGTTCGCATAACGGTTTTTCTCTCACATTTTTACGATATTTTGTAGCTATATATAAAATAATATTAATTTCACAATTAGAAAAAAATAGTTATTTTTTTTAAACCTATTTATTCATAAGCGACAGTGAATAAATAAATATTTAACATATATATTGAATCTTAAAATTCAAATATAGGTTATGTTGAAAAAAAAATTCCCTCTTAAAAAAATAATTTTTAATTGACATTTTTTTTTCATTTCTAAAAGGGAAAAATATGATTTTATAAAAAAAATGGATATTGGAAAAAAAATAATTCGACTTTTTTTCGGAGTATAAAATACTTTTATTATCATATTTTACAAATTACAAATATTAAACTATAATTACAATTAAATTGGGTGATTTTTTTTTCATCGTAAATTAACAATTAATTTAGCTAATCGAAATTTTTTCCTCTACAAAAAAAGAAAGGAAAATACAAAAATTATTATTATTATTTCTTTTTAATTTTTAACGATTTGAAAATTGCAATTATCAAGAGACAATTTTGATAAAACAGAAAAAAAAATTAACAATTCAAAAATTATTTGAGATCGAAAAAAAAAATTTACATATTTGAAAAATTAAATCATTTTATAGAGCTAATTAAATAATAATTATTATTTTTTTTATTATGCATGTGAAAATTTGTGGAATTTTTTTTTTTTCAATATGGTCGAGAATTACGTTGATAAACATGTCTTCCAGCATGTCGATCATATCGATCATATCGATCATATCTTTCACTTCGTTCATGATGTCGTTCCCAAGAATTGTGTCTATTGTGTCGATAATTTTGACGATTCCAATCGTTTTGTGGTCTTCTTGGTTTATTATGCCATGGATCAATAATCGGTGGTTTTTTTGTTTCTCCATTTTTCACTTTCATGAATGCTTCATCTTTCGCCGAATAACGATCTTCAAATAATTTTTCGCATTCTTTTAAAAATTCCTCTTGTTCATTTGTCAATGGAATGGTATCCATTTTTTTTTTTAACGAGTCAAAATTATTCTGTAAATTTAAAAAAAAAAATTCATTTATTAAAATTTAATAATTTTTTTTTTTATTTTTATAAAAATATATTTTTTTCACAATTTTCTGATTTTTTTAATTCAAAATTTACTTCATACAAATTTTTTATAAAAATATTTCTATAATTTCAACAAATAATAACTAATTTTTAAATAAAAAAAAAATTTGTTTGATAATTCGATAACTTAACCTCAAAAATTTTTTGTTTTCATTTTTAATGCCGCAGATTTAAATGCAAATGTTTTAGTAAAATAATTAAAAAAAAATTACACGATAAAATATAATTAGCGAAAAACAATTAAAGGACTGTTTTAATATTTCAAATTTGTTTTGATATATAAAAAAAGGGAATTAAAATACGACAATTGAAAAATCGAGTTTAATAAATTAAAATGAAAGAGCAAAATGATTACTTATTTTAAGAATTTTTTCCTTGTTACTTACTTGAAATATTCTTTGTCAATTTTTTATATTAATATTACAGTATTATTAACATCAATTATTTATAATAGAGTGAAAATTGTAAAAATTTACTAATTTACATATATCATGTAAACATAATCGTGGCCATATTGAAATTGTCAGTGCTGCCAACGTTGTCTATGACAGCGCGCATGTGTAAAATTGTTGAACTAAAAAAACAAATCATTGGCGGCAAAGCTTCCATGGGGCATTCCATGTAAAATGTTCATTCAAAAAAAAAAAAAAAAATTTTTTTTCTAAATTTTTATGAAAAATAAAAAAATATTGTTTTATTTCTATTATTTAATTAAAATTATAGAAGTTATGATTTTTATACAATATACACAAATTTGCAGATTTCAAAATGTGATTGAAAAGTATTAAAATTTTGTCTATCAAATTCTGTAAAAAATAAGTATCCATTTTGATAGATTTTCTATCAAAAATAATTGATAGAATCAATATACACAAATTTGCAGATTCAAAAATGTGATTGAAAAGTATTAAAAGTTTTGTCTATCAAATTCTGTGAAAAATAAGTATTCATTTTGATAGACTTTCTATCAAAAATCATTGATGGAATCTTATTCAATATACATAAATTTATGGATTTAAAAATCGCGGATTGAAAAGTATTAAAATTTCATCAATCAAATTCTATAAAAAATAATTATTCATTTTGATAGACTTTCTATCCAAAAATATTGATAGGACTTTATACAATCTACATAAAATTGCGTATTCAAAAAACGTATTGAAAAGTATTTAAAAAATTTCTATCAAATTGTATCAAAAACTAGTATTCGTTTTGATAGACTTTCTATCCAAAAATATTGATAGGATTTTATACAATCTACATAAAATTGCGGATTCAAAAAACGGATTGAAAAGTATTGAAATTTTTTTCTATCAAATTCAATCAAATTTTTTAAGCAGGGAATTTATAGTATATTGTAACCCAATGATTTTTTTAATGATGATGCTGAATGTTGAAAAAATCAATTAATTAAATCAAAGTTACAAAGGGAAGACTGGAATAAATTGTTTGTTGGTCGCCAGTCCTTTCTTAAGATTAAATAAATAATAATAAATAAATAAATAAAAATAAATAAATAATAAATAAATAAAAATAAATAAATAATAAATAAATAAAAATAAATAAATAATAAATAAATTAATTAAAGATTAAATAAATTTTTCTTTAATCGTTGAATTAGTCTGGAAAAATACACAAGGCCACCAGGCAAACTAGTTTAGAGACTATCAAATTCGACAATTAAATCAAAATTATTCTTGATTGTCAAATTAGTCTGAAGAGTACACACACGGCCACCAGGCTTTTACTCAAAGACAGTCAAATTCAATAATCAAGGGAAACTCAAAGCAAAGAAATGATTCAAAATTTAAATTAAAATAGTCTTCCTTTTTACTCGGCCTGCTGCAGTCCTAATTCTTGGTTAACAGTAGAGAGGGCGGTTCGGAAAAGCCATATATTCGAAAAGATTTAATTTTTAAATTAAATAAAACATCAGATTTTATAAACGAAAGGTTAATTAATTTTTTTTTTATTTAAATTTTTAAACATTATAAAAATTTGAGTTCAGACTCGATATAATGCAAGAAAAATAATTACTTATTCTTTTTATTAAATAATAAGGATTCTTTAATTCGAGGAATCGAAAAAGATGGAAAATGGAAACAATAATTATAAAATAATTAAATGAATGACATTTCAATTAATTTTAAATAAAAATTATAAATTAAATTCATTCTTAAATAATTCCAAAATCAATAAAATAATCAATTATAAATTCAAAAGAAATCATTTTAAATTAAATTGAAATTCTAAATTAAATTAAATTGAATATTGAAAATATTCATATATTATATTATATTATATAATATTATAAATAATATTGAAAAAAAAATAAACCTTTGTGATTTGTAAAATTGTAAATTTTACATAACGTCACAATATTTATTTAAATCTATGAAAAAGACAGTCTGAGATGTTTGTTTTTCGATATGTAATCAATAGAATTTTGTGGGAAAAAAACGTATTTATTAATTTATTTAAATAGGTGTCAGTTGGGGTAAATGGGGATAAAATTTTCCTAAAATTTGGGGTAAATGAAGACAGCATAGTTTCTAAGAAAGGTTTGAGAATAAAAGTTTCCTTAAGTACATTACTGTATTAAGGGATGAAAAAAAAATGGAGTAGTGAAATGGTATTTCAATAGTCAAAAATTTAATTATTATAAATTATTAGAAAAATTACAAATTAATAAATAATAAAAATAAAATTGAGAAATGAATATAAAACTAGATAAATTGAATTTCTGGAAATAATAGAAAGAGAGAGAGAGAGAAGATATCTATAGATAACACAATGAAAATATAAACAGGAAAAATAATAGAAAGAGAAGAGAGATATAAATTCAAATAAAAGAAATTATTAATTTAACTTAAATTTAAAGATATTTTTTTTTTATAGAATAAAAAATTTTTATAAATCATTATTTTAAAGAATAAATTTTATTTTATATATTTTTTTTTAAATAGGGTAACTGCACCAGTGGTGGATCAACTGCGAGAAAAATGGTCATTTGTGTTTACACGTTTGTAAGAAAATGAACCGCAAGTGTCGGTAATTGTTAAGAAAGTTATACAGATCAATATTACAATTTAAAAAATTTTTTAAATTCATCGCGAAGAAAGCAGGACAACAATTACTAAAGTGGTGACAGAAAACAAGAGTTTTCCTTAGCATGTAAGTTAAGAGTATATTTTGGAATAGAAAGCTTTGGAGTCATTTTAAGACAATTTTTAATTCTTTTCACAATAGGAGGCATTTCGTTTCATCCCCATAGAGCCCTGAGAACAATATTTACGTCTGTAAGTAGCGCGTGTCCATTGTTTTGGGGTGATCCACGACTGGAACCAAAAAAGTAACAAAATCTAGTGGTGGATCAGTCCTACTTTTCGCCTGTTGACGCATTGTTTTATTGAAAATTTTATGAGTTAAATTTTAGTTAACACTAATTCAAATGTTTATTAATTGTTAACACCTGATTTCAAATTGTTAAATTTTTGTTGAATTAAAATACCCAGAATTAATAAATGTTATTTATCATTGAAACTGAAGCTTTAAGAGTTTCTATTTATTTATTAGCAAAAATTCTAATAAAAAGATGATTAATTAACATTTAGTCACATTATACCTATAGAAATGAAAGAGGAGGGGATATGGATAGGAAAGTGAATTTGAAAATCTGTCCGTAAAGCCTTATAAAAGTTGCAAAACGTCTCAGTCTCGTAATTTTGAAATGCAATGTTTTTTAGTATGATTTTTTAAGTGATCCACCACTGGAGCAATCTATAACCATGACTGGTGCAAACAGTGATCCAGAATAGGATCATTGACAAATTATCTTTGATGGAGCATTAAAGTAAACGTAGGTGTCAAAATCAAGTCTAACCTTGAAGGAAATGTCTATTGGAACTATCTGGTCCATAATACTATAAAGAATAACCTCGAATTTGTCTAAAAGCAACCTATGCAGAACTTCAAAGTCAAAATAAGAAAGTTAAGGGGCTTAACTGATCCACCACTGGTGCAGTTACCCTATTCAGAAAATGTTAAAATTAATAAATAATTAAATAAAATTATATGTTATATTAAAGTAAAAATTATTTAAAAATTAATGGTAAAAATTAAATAATTCTAAGATTATTATTTTTTGAGATATTAAAGATTTTTGGAAATAAAAGTCAGTAAAAGGAAAATGATTGACATGTAGACAATGGCATTGTTTTCGTCGAGCGTTAGAAACGGAATCAGAAAGAGAAAAATAGCTCTGTCCTTAGATTTTAATTTAAATATAATTGGCTATTCAAAAATAGAAACTCAATCAATTTAAAATTTCCTACTCACACACTCGCACATTTTGAATTTTACTTACCTCGGAAAATTAAGGGTAGGGACGCGACTATATAAGCCGAGGAAATCTCTACCAATACGATTAAATAAATTAGTAACCGTTTTGACTAATTTTTAGTAAAAAATGACTAATTGTTAGTAAAAAAAAAATTACTAATTCATTTAGTAAAGTAAATTTTAAATTGTAGCCTTACGAAATGAATTAGTTGTTTTCAATTAAAAATTAATAATTTCTGATTAAAAATTAGTCAAAAACGTCTCATAGATCCTTAGTTCTAATTTGAACACTCTTTAGAGGATCAGAATTAATATCATTCACTGTTGCACAAATATAGAATATATATTCATTTCCTGGTTGTAGTCCTGTAACTGTATGACTTATTTTGTCTAATGAAATAAAATGGTATCTAACGCTAGTCCTCATTTCATGTATGTTTGTTATAAACACTGTGTACGATGTATTATTGCTACTATTGTCAGGTTCACGCCACTGTAGATCGACTGTTGTATTTGTGATATTTTTCACATAAACTGGTCCTTTTGGTGAATTAGGTTTATCTGTTAGAAATGTTATTTTTGAGAAAATAAAATTATAGAGAAAAAATATTAATTTATACTTAATATAAAAGCATACCTAGTGGACTTTTTATCATTACTGTTTCGCTAACAAGAGGATCAGAATTATTGTCATCTAATGCTTTAACAATGAATTTATATGTTCTTCCTGTTGGTAGATTTTCGACTTTGTACATTGTAGAGTTTAATTTAATATTTCCAAAGTGCCAATGCTTCATGGTATTTAAATTTAATATAAAAATCGCGTACTCCATATTGGTGGTACTATTCTCAGGTTTATTCCATTGAAGATTGACTGTATTATTAATGACATCAATAATTTTGAGTTCTGTAGATGTTTCCTTGTGGAAATTATTAATCGTTGAATCTTTGGGATAATAGTGAAAGTTATATTAATTTTGTTAGCTAAAGTGTTTGTTTAAAATCAAGTAGAGAAATTTATATACCTAATGGATGTCTAATAATAAATTCTTCTTGTACAAGACTATTGGAACTTCCTTTATTGTTGTAGGCTTGAACTTGAAAATTATATCTTTTGCCTGACTTAAGTCCAGTGATTTTGTATAGTGGATATTCGGATGCACTGTAAAATACAATAGTTTCCCATGTCCATAAATCAGTTTCCGACCACATGATATTGTACGTTATTGTTGTATTGTAAAGATTATGCATAGGTTTACACCATTGAAGTGTTACTTCTGTATATGTGACATCATATATCAAAAGCGGTTCTTTTAGTGTAGCAGGTTTATCTGTAATTTCTTAGTTTTTGAGAAAATTCATCTATGTAGATAAAATTTTGGCCTATACTTCAGAAGCAAGAATCAGACTATTCCGAAGAATATAATATTTTAAAATACTGAATTCTTTTGTCTTACAAAAATTTTTATATACCGTACCTAATGGTTTGTCAGTGATAATTTCTTTGCTAAGAAATCTATCAAATTCCAAATCCAAACTAGAATCTGTTCTCAAACTTAAAATTTCGAATTTATACACACATCCTGGATAAAGTTCAGTTATTCTATATTCTTCAGATTTTGAAGTAGTATTATATTTTTTAATTTTTTTACTCTTGTCTTCGATGTTGTATATGAAAATATGAGATCGTGTTTCACTGTAATTATTATTCCATTGTAGATTAATGGCTGTATCTGTGATATCGAATACATTTATTATTCCCGGTGGTTTATTCAATTGAGATAATTGATTTAATAAGAATTCTTGTTGTAATCCTGTATTAGAATATAAAAAGAAAATTGAATTTATTGAATAAAATGAAATATTTAATAATAGATAATTACCATTGGCGTTGATAGATACAGATAGAAATGTTGAAGCAAAAATTAGAAATATAAAATTCATTTTAATTTTAAGACTTGTAATGAAGAAATGTGATAAATTTTTTTCTATATATAACTAAAGTAGATTATTTAGAATGTATAACAAAAAATATAATTTTCCTTTAAGGAGATAATCTAAGTAAATAATCATTTGTTTAGAAATACTTATTTTGGTAATCTTTTTCAAAAAATTATAAGAATTTAATATTAGTCATGTAATTATTATGAAATTTATTATTTATCATAAAGATTAAGATTTATTATATATGCGATAATTTTTCATAATAATAAAATGTGAAAATATATTGTCTGTCGGCACTTTCAAAAAACTCTACTGATTAAAATCATAATTATTAATTCTCAAACATTACAAGTAGGAATTCTATTTAAGAATTAAATTATATCACAATTGGATTTCATTGATATAGTTATTTTTTATTCTTTTTTGATTTTTAAATAGTCATTATTATCAATTTTATTATTTTTCTCTAATTTTTATATAAAATAATGATTTGTAAATTTACGATTTGTACATGAATGAAAGTATGGAGTTACCTTCGAGCCGTTAGCATCGGCGTGGAAAGTTTAAATAAGAACTACTCCAAGTAGACAATCTAACCTTAATGTCACCATCGTGCAATATTTTCCATATCTTTTGTAAGTTTGTAATGCAATATTGCAGAAATAATTTTAAATTCACAAAAATAACAACTAATCGATTGTTAATCATTGATATTTTAGTGTTACTGAAGATGATCAACGTGATGTGATCGAAAAGCTTATAATTAAGAAGAATATATATATTTTATACATTGACTTGACATGAAACTTATAAAATTTACACCTATACCTATGATATACTCAGCCACAAGTGGAAACTAAAACTAACATTTAATTACAATTACCATTGAGGATTGTTTCCATAAGAAATAGTTATATATGAACTTTTGAAAGTAGCGGATATGATTTTTCAATTTTTGAATAAAATATAATAAACTGATTTTTGAAAAAAATTTTTTAATTTATGAATTTTTGATAAAAAAAAATATATATTTAACAATATTAAATAACGTCAATAAATAATAATCATAATAAATACTAAATATCAAATAATAAATAAATTCATTTAAATAAATTTTTGTCTTCATTGTAATTTAGACTTTAGTTATGAAATTTTTAATAAAGAGACTATCACTACTTCCTTTATTATTAAAAGCCGAAATTTCAAAATCATATCTTTTGCCTGGATTAAGTTTAGTAATTGTAAATGAAGATTTGCCGTTGGCCTTGAAAATGGTAATAGTTTTTTGTATATTCGTGTCTATTTCCTTCCAAATGATATTGTATTTTATAAATCTTGTACTATTCTCAGGTGTATTCCATTGTAATTCAGCTGTTGTACTCGTGATTTTTTTTACAAAAAATGGTTGTCTAGGTGGATTTGGTTTATCTGTAGAATTCAAAAAAATATTAGGATTTAAATTTGGAATAGAAACACAAATTGAATTAATTTTTGAAAATTTATATATACCTAATGGATTATCAAGTTTAATTGCTTTGCTCACGAGAAGATTAGAATTTTTATCATCAATAATATTAATTATTAATTTATAACATCCTCCTGGTGTGAGATTTTGAATTGTGTACTTTGGATTATTTGATGTATCCTTAATGTTTTTAATGTACCAATGCTTCTCTCGATCAGCTATAAAAATTCCATATTCTCCTTGAAAGGAATTGCTTTTTGGTTTATTCCATACAAATTGTATTGCATCATAAGTGATAAAATTAGTTCTAATTTTTCTTCTATTAGATTCTCTCAAGGCATGATCAATTGCAGAATCTTTGGAAAATAATAATGAAAATTATTTTTTATATTATCATTTTTCATTAATGAAAATAATATAATAAATACCTAATGGATGTTTTGTTACAATTTCCTCGAGTACGAGACTATCGGAAGTTCCTTTATTATTGTAACTTTGAACTTGGAAATTATATCTTTTGCCTGCTTTAAGTCCAGTGATTTTATATTGTGGATATTCGGATTGACTGTGAATTATTGTTGAATTTTCTTTCTTTGAATTTGTTTTCGTCCATGTAATTTTGTACATAGCAGTTGTAATATTATCAGGTTTAATCCATCGGAGTGTTAATTCTTTATATTTGATATTAAATGCCTGAAAGGGTCCTTTGGGTTTAGCGGGTCTATCTGAAAATTTTTTTTAGTTATATTTTTTACCTTAACAGAAAATTGCTTAATTTTGCAAAAAATTACCTGATGGTTTATTAGTGATGATTTCCCTGCTAATGAGTCTACTAAATTCAATTTCTTCCTCATTTGAAACTTTACCCATGTTCAAACACAAAATTTCAAATTTATACAAACATCCTGGTTCAAGATCAGTTATTCTTTGTTTTTCAATGTTTGATGTAGATATTTCATTTGAGTACAAATGTTTAATGTACCTACTGGTTTTATTTTTCATATTATGCGAGATAATGTGATAATTTTTTTCATTGTACTCGCAATTCCATTTTAAATTGACTGTTGTATCAGTGACATGAAGTATTTTTATATTTCCTCGGGGTTTACTCAATGTTGGTACATTTGCCATAAAGAAATCAGTACCAAATACTAAATAAGAATAAAGAAAATTAATTTTTTTTTAAAACAATATCGACAATGAAAATTAATTTAATATTTACCACTATCAGCATTGATGAATATTGTTAATGTTGTAATAAAAATGAAAAATTTTTGAGACTTCATTTTCAATTTTAAGGCAATAAAATTTTTTATAATAGAAATTTCGAAGATAATAAAAAATGACAAAAAATCATTCTATATATACTAAATTAAATTATGTATTAGGAAATTTGTTTTTTTTACCAATTTATGTAACTGGGAAATTTGTTTTTTTTTATTTGATTAAATGAAGACGTCAATAAAATTATGAGTATACGTGCAATTAGTAACATATATGAGTTTATGTCTATCTTACTAATTGCACGTAGACCCATGAAAATCATCAAATTTTATCATTTGTGTAAACAAAAGTCGATGTCTTTCGTAAAAAACATTATTAAAATTTTCATTTGTGTAAATAATCTATTGTTTGTAATGTTTAGATTATCATTAATTTAATATTTATTTTTGTAATTTTATTAAAATTTTCTAATGATAAAGAATATATAAATGAATAATTATAGTTTTTCACTAATAATTTATTAAGTTATTTTCAAAATTATATTTCACTATATACAATTAAGTGCGTGTCTAACATTAAAATGAAGTTTATAATTTTCATTTTTCTTGCAAAATTTGTATCAACATCTATCAGTACCGATGGTATTTATTTTATTTTCTTTATTAAATTTTTAATTTTTGTTTTGCAAATAAATTTTTAAATACTGTGAATAAAAAAAAAATTAATATTTCACAGAAATAATAAAAGTGCTTGATGTCTCGGAAGAAACAGTTAATCTTCAGTGGTACAATAAAAAAAGTGGAACATGCATTTATCTCATTCATGATTTAACAAATAATAAAAGTATACATGAATATAGTAAAGATGTCAATAAAGGCAATTTGACAAATAGAATCACAACACTTAGACCGGGAAATACGTATAAATTTGAATTTGTCTGTTTTAATGCAAAAGGGACATTTAACAGATATTTGAGCAATGAAATCAAAACTTACTATCCACAAGGTACGAATTAGAAATTTTTAAATTTTTTTATTATTTTCTAATATTTTCAATTTATTTAATAGGAAAACCTAATCCACCAGAAGGACCTTTAACTATTACAAATGTTACAAATAAAAGTGCCACGCTTAATTGGTTTAAACCTAAAAATAGTACCAACTATGTACGATACCACATTATATTATATACATTGAATTCAAAAGAAGAAACTTTGCTTTTATACTATGCTAGTGAAAATAAATCTCTAAAATTTACAATTAATAAACTAAATCCAAGTACTAAATATAAATTTGAAATTATGAGTTTTAATTCAATGTATAATTCTGATAGACTTATGAGTAAACAATTTACCACTTTATCTTGGTAAAAATATATATATACTATATTTAAGGTGACAAATATTTTTATAGAAAAAATAAATAATGTAAAAAGAAATTCGACGAAGAAAATTTTTTTACTACCTTCCTGTGTAAGAATTTGGTCAAATTTTTAAATGACAGAATTTTCATTTGTCCGAAATTATAAATGGCCGAACAAACCAATCGACAGAAAGATTTTTGGCGTAATTTTCAAAAATTTACCAATCACAATTTTCTTGATTTCTAATTGGTCAATTTTTGAAAATTGCGCCAAAATCTTTCTATCGATTCTTTGTTCGACTATTTGTAATTTCGGACCTCGTTTCGGACAAATAAAAATTCTGCCTACTAAAAATTCTGCCAAACAAAAATTCGGTAGTTAAACAATTTTTTTAAAAATTCGTATAAAAAAGAAATTCTGTGGGATGCTAATTCGAAAAATGAAAATTCGTTCAAAACAATAATTATTATTATATTTCGGAATAAGTTTCTTTAAAATTCCAAATTCGAAAATTCAATTCACGAAGCTGAAGTACACAACGTTTACCAAAGAAATTTTTTTTTAAATTGTATATTGATTCAAAAATTGTATACAAATACAAAAAATTTATGATGAGAAAAAAGATGTGCCAGGAAATTTCGTACAAGATAGTAATTTGAAAAAAATTTATTTTTAAAAATTAATTTTTAAGGTACCAGAGGCCAACGAATATCTATTAAATATTAATTATAAAAACACAGGCCTCGAATCAACTTAAAGACACAAAAAAGTCGTTTTACTCGATTTATATTCCAAAAAAAAGTGGATTTGTTTTTTATTTTAACAAAAATATTTTACAGATTTTTAAATAAAAAATTTTTTTTTTAATAATTCTTTTCGAAGAAAAGAATTCTTTTTTCTTTTCGGTTAAAGTTGAAATTTTTAGAAATAATTAAATTTCAAAAGATATTGTTAATTTTCAAACAATTATAAATTTTACAGAACTAAAAATAATTTATCAAACAATTTTTGGAAAACATTTTTTAAATTTAATTGAATTTTCAAAGATTTAAAATTGAGATTTTTGAAATTAATTGAAACTTTAAGTGTTTTGTAATTAAAATTTTAGATGATTTCACTAAAAATTTATTAGAAAATGCGGACAAAATACAATAATTTGAAAATCATTTTTAATTGAAAAATGGTTTCAGATAGTTGAATTTTCAAAGAATATTATTAAAATAGTTAAAATTGATTGAATTTCCTTAGAGTTATAATTGAAATTATTAAATTTAAAAAAAAAAAAATAATTGAATTTTATTTAATTTTAAATTGAAAATTTGGAAAATAATTGAATTTAAGTTTATTTGAATTGAAAATTTTGAAAATAATTGAATTTTCTTTGATTTTCAATTGAAATTTTGGATAATAATTTAATTTTAGTTGATTTTGAATTGAATATTTTGATAAAAATTAATTTTGAATTGAAATTTTGGATAATAATTGAATTTTTATTGATTTTGAATTGAAAATTTTGAAAATAATTGAATTTTCTTTGATTTTCAATTGAAATTTTGGATAATAATTTAATTTTAGTTGATTTTCAATTGAAATTTTGGATAATAATTGAATTTTTATTGATTTTGAATTGAAAATTTTGAAAATAATTGAATTTTCTTTGATTTTCAATTGAAATTTTGGATAATAATTTAATTTTAGTTGATTTTGAATTGAATATTTTGATAAAAATTAATTTTGAATTGAAATTTTGGGTAATAATTGAATTTTTATTGTTTTTGAATTGAAAATTTGGAAAATAATTGAATTTTCTTTGATTTTGAATTAAATATTGGGAAATAATTGAATTTTAATTAAAATTTTCTATAATAATTTAATTTTTGTTAATTTTTGATTGAAAATTTTGATAATATTTAATTTTAAATTACAAATTTTGATAATATTTAATTTTGAATTAAAAATTTTGATAATAGTTTATTTTGAAATTGAAAATTTGGAAAATAATTGAATTTTATTTGATTTGAAATTGAAAATTTGGAAAATAATTGAATTTTCTTTTATTTTGAATTGAAATTTGGAAAATAATTTAATTTTCTTTGATTTTGAATTGAAATTTTGGAGAATAATTGAAATTCAATTGAAATTTTGGAAAATAATTGAATTTTAGTGGAAATTTTGGACAATAATTTGATAATAATTAATTTTGAATTGAAAATCTTGGGAAATAATTTAATTTTAATTGAAATTTTGGATAATAATTTAATTTAAGTTCATTTTTTATTGAAAATTTGGATAATTAATTTTGAATATAGAAATTTTAGAAAATAATTGAATTTTATTTCATTTTAAATTGAAAACTTGGTAAATAATTAAATTTTAAATTGAAAATTTTGGATAATTATTGGATTTTTAATTGATTTTGAATTAAAATTTCGGGTAATAATTGAATTTTAGTTTATTTTGAATTGAAATTTTTAAAAAATAATTCAATTTTATTGTGATATTTTTTTTGTTAAATTATAAACAATTGTTAAATTTCATAAAAAATTTAATTGAAAAATAATTTTGATATAATTGAATTTGTGATGTATTTCATTAAAATTATTAAAAATAATTAATTTAGTGAAGAATCATTTTAGTTGAAAATTTGTTAAATAATTGAATTGAAGAAGATCTGAAGAAGATCTACATTTTATACTGAAAAAATGTATTTTATTTACATTTTTGTTCAAATGTAAAAAAAAATGTCGCATTTTTTAAAAATAAGTCGATAAAAGTCGTATTTTTTTAAAAAAGTCGGAAAAAGTCGTATAATCCGAGGCCTGTTAAAACATATAATTTTCATTATTATCATTTAATATGTAATAATTGAAAATTGTAATTAATGATTTATATGGGATAATCTTGCGTCTAAAATTAAATCGAAGAAAATAAAAAAGTTTGATGTAGTTTATTGATAAATTTTATTGGATTTGGATTTGGATTGTTTGAAAATGAAAATTAATGTAAAAAAAATTTTATTTTTAAAACTCAATTTTTGCTTGTTCATTTGGTTATTATTAAAAGCTTTTCATTTTTTTTTTTGCAATCGATACACAGTATCAATTCAGGAATTTTTTTCTGCTATATAACATAATAATATTTACCCTTCAGTAAAATTTCTATTTATCAAAAAAAAGAACATCACACTATCGAATATGAATAAAAAAAGAAAAAATTTGTTACAAATATCGAAAAAAAATGTTAATTTTAAATAAGCCTTTTTCACGTACATGTGAATTTTTTTGAAATATTAAAAATTATACATTATTCTCGCAAACTAAATTTAAATTCCTCCGTTGATTATAATCTACCTTTTTTTTTTATAAAACTACTTTTTTTTATTTATTTTAAAGCTAAAGCAATTTATAAATTTTTTCCAATCAATAAATTTTATCAAAAATAAGTTTCATTACATTTTTGTTTTCAATGTTAATTTTTAAAATATAAAATAAATTGTAAAAGTGTTAATTTTAAAATGTGAAATTGAAGTAAAATTTTTTTTTTATAAAATTGAAAAATTATTTTCAAAAAGGCAAGAGGGTTAACAATTTTATGTAATAATAATAATGAATAAAAAAAAAAAAGGAAAAATAAATTTAGCGTCTAGGTCTAGGTGGAGCGCGTGGATTCGGTTTATTGTGTCTCATATTTTCACATTTTGGAATGTGACGTTCAGCCGCTGCCTCATTAAATTTCCTTCCGCAATGAGGACATTGAATATAATCGCTTGTATCACTTGGTGGTGGTGGTGGTAAATCACTTAATTTTCCTCCGGCCGCCAAGTGTGCCTGCACCTGTTTAGCCGATCTAATTGTATTAATAAAATCCTCGTGCGTTTTTCTCCAATTTGATTTTACTGTTGGTTTTTTATTTTTATTCTGAAAAAGAAAATAAAAATTTCAAAAATACTTTAAAAATATTTTATTAATTCGGATTCTTCTATTTTTTTTTTAATTCTAATTCTTCTATTTCTTCGAATAATAATTAAAATTATAAAATTGATGATGTAGCTTCGGTGGTTAAGCGTCTTGGCTTGCGATCGCTGAAGTTAAGCACATCTCAGTACGGTTAGTACATGGATGGGTGACCGCTCTGGCGTCCGTATATTTTTGCGATAAAATTAAATGTTCACGCAATTTTATTTCTTTAAAAATTTTATAATTAATCAAATTACTGGTTAATTATAAATTAATAATTAAATTTAAAAAAAAATAATTAAATTAAATATTAAATTAATTTATATTAAATTAAATTTGAAAAAAAAAATATTATGGGAAAATTTGGAATTTACCTCTTGTTTTTTAACGCCCACTTTAGCGAAAGGCTCCAAATCCGTTCCCTGGAGGCGAAATTTCATTGCATCAAATTGTTTTCGCTTCTTTTGTCCAGATTGTGCGCATATTTTCTCATGAAGATCAATTCTATCAGTTGTAAAACGACGGGTACAATTTTTGCACATTACCAAATTATCGACGTAGTCTGGCCTTGAACATTTTTAATTCAGTAAATTAATTAAAAATTTTCCTAATTAAAATTAAAATAATTTCTTTTTAATTAGGAAATTAATTTTTTTAATTACAAAATTAAATTCTTAAATTAAATTAATGTTTTTAATTTGGAAATTAATTTTTTTAATTAATTTAATGTTTTTAATTTAGAAATTAATTTAATTCAATTTCATTAGTTTCTTAATAATTAAATTATATTACAATATTTTTAATGTATTTTTTTAAAAATATTTTTCTAAAAATTGAATTAATTTTTTGAAGTCAAAAATTGATAAATTATTTTTTTTTTTTAACTTTTTCTTTTTTTGTTATTTTCTTTTATTTTTGTTTTGTTTAAAATCTTACTTGCTGCTCATGCTTGCTGAGCTTCTTGGTGTTGATCCTCTTGAGGTTGATGATTTATGTCGAGAATTCATTTTTTCTTTTGTTGATCCTCCACTGGAAGCAGATAGAGAAGAAGATGGTCGAGGCACAGGATTTGGAGAACTTTCTTTCTGTGTTGTTACTTGTTTCTGAATAAAAAAAATTAACCATTAATTCGAAATTAGGTTAATAATTAAAAAATTAAAATTTAATTAATAAAAATTAATTTAGTGATTTTAAAAATCATATCAGTAATTAATAAATTAAATTGGTAATTATAATTTTAAGTTTGTAATTCAATAATTAATTATAAATATTTTTTCGATTATTTTCTCCAAGGGTTTTTTTTTTTTTTTTTTTTTTTGAAAATAAAAATTGTTACTATATTTTTATTTGTAAATATAAAATTTATTACCTATTAATAATTGCATTGATAGAAAATTTTGCCTATAGAAATTTTTTTGTATAATTGGATCAAAATTTTTTTTTTTTGTTCTGAAAATTTAAAACTGTCAATTTCAAGCCATTTTTTTTTTTTTTTTTTTTTTTTATTTATTAAAATCAAGGTTATTTGAGATCTATTCATTTGTTTCTATTCTCGAGAAACAATTTTCGAGAAATAACAATAATAAGTGTAATTTTTTTTATTTTTAAATTTGAAAAAAAAATTTAGTCATTTCACCTCATTTCGAAGAATTGGTTTTTTTGCAACTTTTCTCATTTCCGTGTCATTGAAATCGACGACAAAATTTTCGCAAATTTTCTTCACATTTGACAATTGAGTTTCGTTTTTTGCTTCCACGTTAATTGGCGAATTTTCCAAATTTGGCGAGTCCACCTCGTCTTTCGTTGAATGGAATTTTTCCTTTTTCGGCGAATGAACAACTGGACGTCTTGTGGTTTTTATATCCACGGAACCTCGCTGGAAATTTATTAAAATTGAAAAAAAAATTGAAAATAATAAGAATTTCAAAACAAAAAAAAAAATAAAATTTTATGAAAAAAAATTTCTTTTTTTTAAATTTATAAAATATAAAAAAATATTACAATTTATAATGAAAAAAAAGAGAATAAAATACAAAAAATTACCCTAAAATCACTGTCGGGACTTTTTGAAGGTGTACCAGAAAAATTTCTCCTTGTTTTTGAATTTTCCACTTGTTTTCTCTCGTCAAATTCTGGACTTGGACTTCTTGCATTTCTAGAGACAGATTTATTTTCATTTTTTTCATTAAAATTGCCTGAAACAAAAACTCGATTCTCCATTGTCCGATTGATGGAACTCTGATTTTTCATTTTATTTTCATTGGAAAAAAATTCTTCATTTTCTATATTCTCGATGAAAATCCTTTTTTCTTTATTTTCATTTTCGAAATTTTTCAATTTTTCCAAATTTTCTTTTTCAAATTTATGAAATTGTTCAATTTCTTCTTCTTTTTCTTCATCTTCTTTATTTTTTGAATTATGAAAATTTTCATTATCTCCATTTTTTTCCTCTTGAGAATTTTGCAATTTTTCAATAACTGTTATCTCTGATTTTTTTTCTAATTCTTTATCATTTATGTGATATTTTTTTATCAATAATTGTCTTTCATTTGATGATGATAATTTCCATGTTTTTCGCGTTTCCATTTCTGAATCTTGAAATAATTTTCTTTTACACGATGGAGAACGTGTTCGAATAAAATTTCTTGCTAATTCTATTGAATCTCTTGCTGTTGATATTCGACTGTAATCGAAATTTTTTCCCAATTCAGAATCATTTTGACGACGTGATTTTCGTTGAATTGATTTTTGTTGTGTTATGCAATTTTTCGATTTTTTTATTTGAAAATCATTAGATTTTAAAATTGGTGAATTATTTTTTGATGATTTTTTTTCTTGATATGAAATTTTTTTCCAAATTTGACGATTTTTCGTTGATTTTTCATTTTTATTATTGATTTTTGTTGTTTTATTATTTTTTTTTTTTATTGAATTTTCAATATTTGGGGAATTTAAATTTTTATTTATTATTGATTCTTTACTTGTTGTCAATAATTCTTGATCTGTTTCAATTGAATCAAAACGTCGCAATGCCGATTCAACGGAATCGGTTCTTTCGAGTTTTTTGTCATTTTTTTCAAATTCCTTTTCAATTTTCAATTTTCGCGAATTTTCAATTTTATTATTTGATTTTTCAATTTTTATTTCTTTCATTTCTCCATCGACTTTGTCTTTTGATTTTTCATTATTTTTTGTTACGTGAACATTTTTTAATTTAATATTTTCCATTTTTTTGATAATTGGAGAGTTTTTAGTTTTAAATTGTGAAAATTTTTCTGTATTTTGAATTTTTATTTTTTCAAGTGGTTCCAATTTTTTCACATTATCCCAATTTTTTCGCTTACCAGCAATTCGAATTTTTTCCGGTTCAATTTTTATATTTTCTTGTTGAATTTGAAAATATTGATTTTCAATTTCTTTTATTTTAAATTCAATTTCTTTTTTCTTTGATTCAACTTGAATTTTTCTTGCTTCAAATTCAAGTCGTTTTTCTTCGACTTTTTTTAATTTTTCCTCAAATTCACGTTCTTTTGCTTCGATTTCTTTAATTTTTTTCTCAATTTCTTTTTCTTTTTCATCGACTTGCTTTATTTTTATTTCAATTTCACAATAATTGTCGTTAATTTGAATTTTTTTTTCTTCTATTTCATTGGGAATTTGTAAAATAGCCTCTTGTTTTTTCACTATTTTATGTTGTGGATTTTCCATGGAAATTTCATTAATTTCATCTTGAAGTAAATTAATTTTCATCACTGATTCTTTGTCATTTTTTTTCGACTCAATTTTTTTTACCAATTCCGTAGATTTTAGAGGCATTGAATCCAAATTTTTATCGTTAAATTCCATTTTTGATTTTTCATTCTCGTTAATGAGATTTAAAATTTCGTTGGAATTTTCTTGAATATTTTTATTTTCAATATTTTCATTTGAATTAAAAATTTTTGTTACAATTTTATTTTCACATGAATCTAAATTTTTTTCTAATTCTAAATTTTCAATTTTCATTTTTGGTGATTTTTTTTCAATGCTAAATTTTCGATTTTCATGACTCGATCTTCGTTTTGCGGCTGAACTTATTGTTTCTGTATATTCGACAGATTGTCGTCGATTTTTAATTTTTATTAATTCCTGATTTGGTGGCGATGAATTAATATTAATTTTTGGACTTGGTGTATTTTTTCGACAAGCATCAATTGTTTGATCTTCAATGAAAATTTCTTGATACTCGCTGGGACGTTCAAAAATTTTTTCAGGCGATGAAATAGAATTTAAATTTTCTTCAATTGGAAATTCTGTTTTAATTTTTAAATTTAGCGATTCGTCGTGACTCTTTTTTTTTGACGTTGATTTTTTTCTCACTGGAAGTGTAAATTTATTACGTATTGCATCGCGAAGATCGTGAGCGAGTTTTTCACGTATTGAATCTTTTATTTTTCTTCTAGTTCGATTACGAAAAGAATAATTTTCATCGATAAAAATATTGTCCTCAATTTTTTCCAATTCATTTTCATTTTTTTCGTTTTTTGTCGATATTTTTCGTTTTTGACTATTATCAAATTTTGGCTTTTGATTTGAGGATATTTTTCTTTTTTGAAAATCGAAATTTTGAGATGGTTCAATTTTTGAATTTTCTTCAAATTTTCCATTTTTTAATGATATTTTTCGTTTTTGATGATCAAATTTTTTTTGTGTTTCTTCATAATTCGAATTTTCCTTGGATGATATTTTTCGTTTGGGTGAAATAAATTTTTTATTTTCTTCGAATTTTTCATTTTCTGGCAATTGTAAATTTTCCTTAATTTTTGAATCTTCATTTTCAAGTACAAATATTTTTTGTGTTTCCGGTAATTTTTGATCATCTTCAAAATTTTGATTTTCATTAAATATTTTTATTTCTTGTGATTCAAGTATTTTTACTGATTCTTGAAATTTTGGATTTTCTTCAAATTTTTCATTTTCGATGGATATTTTTCGTTTTTGAGAATCAATATTTTTTGAAATTTCTTCCAATTTTGATTTTTCTTTGCAGGATATTTTTCGTTTATGCGATAAAAATTTTGAATTTTTCTCTAATTTTTGAATTTCATTGGATAATTTTCGTTTTGGTGATAAATTTTTCTTTGATGTATCATTAATTTTTATATTTCCTTCGGATATTTTTCGTGTTTTTAATTCTAATTGTTTTTCACTTTTTAAAAAATTTTCATCATTAAAATTTGGAATTTTTTTGAAATATTCAGTTTTATAAATTATTTCTTCGGGAGTTTTTTCCTCATTAACAAATTCTTCTTCATCTTTTTTTTGTAAAATTTCAATATTTTCAGTAGAATTATTTTTTTCCTCTAAATATTTTTCATTTTGTGATAATAAATATTCGTTTTTTTCTTCTTTTTCAATTTTTGTTATTTCTTTATCATTTTCGGGTAAAATTTCAATTTCTTCAATTTGTAAATTTTGATTATCATCATCGTTTGATAAATTTGATGGTGAAAAATTTTGTTTACGATTATTTCCCTCAATTATTTCGCGAATTAAAAATGTCGATTTTAATTCATTGTTGGAATTTTCATTTTTATTGGAAAAAAATGCTTCGCGAAAAATTTGACAAAATCCATCGTCATTTTTTGTATTATAATTTTCCTTCATTTCCAAATTTTGATGACAAATTTTTGTTTCTTGTTTTTTTTGTGGAGAATTAGAATTTTTTTCTATTTTTAATTGTGAAAATTGTCGATCTTGTTTTCTGGACTTCGTCGATGATGACAAATCTCTGAGGAAATTAATGTCAATTTTTTTTTAATTTGTTTGAGAGTAAAAAAAAATTATTTTAATTATTTTTCTTTTTTTTTTTTTTTTTTTTTTTGAAATAATTTTCCATTTTGTTTTCAAATAAAAGAATTTTTTATTTTTTTGGGAAAAATTTTTTATTTCTTAAAATTTATTTTTTAATTAAAATTTTTTTTTGTCTATTTTTTTATAATTTGGTTTAGTTTACCAGTGAAGGAAAAAATTTGTTAATTTTTTTTTCTTTTTGATCTTTTGTTTTGCTTCGTTAGGATTATTTTGCTTCCCAATAAAGCGCACCATGGATTAGAAATTTTTGTTGGAGATGATTTAATTGATTCCTTTGGAGATTAGGCCGTCAGTGAGCGTTTTTACACCAAAAATAACCAGAGTTCCATTTCTAGCCATCGGATTGAATAAAGATCGAGTTCTGTCTCGATTATTGGGATGAGAGGTTTTTTTTTAACTATTGCTGAGAGATGATTATTATTTATTAGAGAAATTAGGATTATTGGTTTAAATTATTTTTTGTGGAAAATGAAACTTCATGTTCTTCAATGAATTTACATTCCATATTCCTTCGTTTTTAAGATAGAAAAAGTTTATAATTTTTTATTTTCAAATTTAAAAAAAAATACCGTAAAAATTTCAAAAATAAATTACGAAATATTTAAGAAATATAATCTAATTTTTTTTTTGGACATTGGAAAATATAAATTATAAAATATTTAAAATTCTGAAAAAATAAAAAAAAATTTAAATATAAAATAAATTAAAAATTTAAAGTCTTTAAAAGAAATTTAGTTACAGTTAATTGGTAATTAGTTACAGTTGGTTAATAATTATATTTCTACAATTAAAAAAATTTTTGTTCGAATAAATTAATATTTTAATTAAATGAAGACTAAAAAAATTACAATTTACAAAAATAATGAAAATAAATTATGACGAGAAAGTGTTAGTTTATATTCATTTTTTTTAGAGAGAGAGAGAGAGAGAGAGAGAGAGAGAAAAATTTATTTACCTCGTTGTTTTTTTTGTAATTGATTTGGAACCCAAATTTTTTTTCGATGATGAATTTTTAAAACGTTCCAATCTAAGTTCAGCTTGTGAAAGTTTTTTTGTTAGTGATTTTTTCCCCACCTTATCAGGTACTTCCATCATTAAATCTTCGGGGAATTGTTCACTTTCAAGATCATTGACAACTCGATGATGAAAATTTTTATCATAATCAAAATGATGAATTTTTCCCGTCGTTCGATTTCCTTCCTCGTCGTCGTCGTCGAGTAGCTGAAAATTTTTTTAAAAATATTTTTATTTTTCCAGAATAAAAAAAAAAAACATTAAAAAAAATTATATTTTATCATAAATTTTCATTATTTTTAAAATTGTATTTTAAATACAAAAAATTGTTAGTACAAACTTCGTGTCGATTTTGGCCATTTTCGTTGAGATAACGTCCAACATCGTTCTCATTAATAAATTCATCGTCGCCAAAATTTTCATGATTAAATTCTTCATGATAGGTGACAACTGGTTTTCCATTATTTACATTGCTATTGACATCAGCGCGCGCTGTTCTTTTAACAGTGGTAATTGTGTGTTTGGAAAAATTACGATTTTTTCCCGTTGTTAAACCATTGGTTGTTTGTTTTTTTGATTTATTATTGTCGAGAGGTTCAAGAGGATAACTCCTGTCGATTCCCTTTACTGTTGTCTGTCGACGTTCGTCAAACATTTGTCTCACCTGCATTTAAAGAAAAAACTTTTTTTTTACCAATTCTTTTTCTTTTCAATTAAAAAAAAGTAATTTAAGAGATTTAAACTTTGTACATTCTCATCATATGAAAAGGTGGGCTGAAGATTAAAATAATAATAATTTTCAGAAGCTTTCATATATTATAAAGTTTAGAAATAAATGGGTACCTTGCCACCTTGAGTTGTGGAGGTTGTACGTGTTGTGGTGGTGGTTTTGGTGACAGTTTGATGATTCATATTGGAGCCCTGATTCGAAGTATTTGAACCAGCGCTGCCTCTCTGTGCAACTTGATAAGCTCTTTGTTGTTGTTGATCATAAAGCTGCAGCAATTTCTGCTCCTTCTCTTGCAGTTGCTTCTGCTGAAAGCGAGCCTGAAATATATAATAATAAATTTTTTTTTTATTATTATTATTTTCTTTTCACTGTCGAGAAATGTTTTCCTCTTGCTGGAAAACAATCGAACACATTGATTTTATTAGTACCTTGGTAATTTTATTGTATCTAACCGGAATTTTAATAGACATTTTATAACAAGGATTATTGTTGGGAGGCATTTTTTTATTTGTTGTGGTCTGATGAAGGGAAAGTACACGTATGTCAGTAGGTTTTGCAACCTGCACTGAAGAGAGCCAGGAACCTCATCGATTCCTTTAACCTACATCCTATAGCTATAGGGGTTACTAAACCCATTGTTGAGGATGAGATAAAAAGTAATTATATATCGTTCATTGAGAGATTTGCACCGTTTATCAAAATAATGTATTTATCATTTATTTATTGAACATAATTTAACAAATGCGGGTTCACACAATTTTTTTTCTGAAATTATATTTAAAATTTTGCATTATTCAACAAGAGATAATTATTTTGATATTGTTTTCACAGTTAGAAATAAGTTTCACTGATAAAATCGAAATATTTTTATTTTGTTAATATTTTTATAAATTGTAGCAATTATTTTATGCGAAAAGAAATTAATTGATTTACCTAGTGCTTAATTAGAAATAGATTAGTGAACCTTTTTTGCATTAGAATAATGCATAAAAGACAAATTTAAATAAAAAGCTAATTTCCGCATTATATGTTCAGCATGGTATATTATTTATATTTATATTAGTTATAAATTATAAGTGATATCATTTTTGCTAATAATTTGTTCTTTTTTGTTTCAGATGACAATAGAAAAAGTGATGCAGTTAAAAAAAAAGGTTTGTTTTATATTAATGATGAATAATAAATAACATTAACGACTTAGTCTACCTAGAATTGGTATTTTTAAAAATTCGATTAAATTCGATAAATGACAAAAAGATTTAAACTCCACCTAAGGCTCTAAATTGTTACTCATTGCTCGTTTTTACTTCCAATTAAATTTCAATTATAATCCCCTTTCAGTGCAGTTTCATTTCAATATTAGAATTCATTCATAAAATTAATTATGCTTAACGACAATAATGCATCTTAAATCTTATATTCAGAATTATATTTTTAAGTGTCATAAAAAAAAATTTATTAAAATTATTAGTCGACTATATTATAGATTCGTTTTACTTTTTTTTTCTAAAGAATATAAATTATACGATAAAGAATTTTCAGGATGCAATTAGAATATAGCGTGTGTTGATAAAATAAATATATATATAGTCATGAATAAAGAATGTGTGTGCGGGGTCATTAACACATTTCTGCAATAAATGTGAATTATTATAGTGAATAGTAAACAAAATATCAGTAAAGTTAATCAATGATTTCTTGTGTGCACCGGCTACTTGGCACGTTTCCATTTTAATATAACAAATAAATTATTATACACGTCTGTATATTTAAATTTTAGAATAGAATTTTGTGATTAAGTCATTTTTTTATGAATCCTGTAGGTTTTATTTTTTTAAATCAAATAAGCAAAATTTTTTACGAAATGAAATTTTTTTATACTGAAGAGTCGAAAAAAATCTGATAGGTAACGAACGGAGTTGAGAAATATTATATATAGCGCTGTGAATGAAAATAAAAAATGAGTGAAACTTATCATTAGCCGAGGAGAAAATGAGTGCACTTAATGATTTGATGAGCGTTAAATAATATATATATATATATATATATATATATATATATATATACATAAATTTATGTGGAAAAAAGTGGCTAAGGAGATAACAGAGAAGGTGACCGTAGGAGGAGAAGCTTCTTCTATAAATGGTCATGTATGTCAGAGTCGTTGGGTCCACTGACACTTCATAAATGTGCACACGATGAATTAAAATGGAAAGCAACATTTCGTGTTCCAAGGTTCTTAAAAAAAAGAATTTTTCTTAATCCCAAAAGTTTTTTTCAATTTTCAATAATTTTATAATTAAATTACAATTATTTATTATTAATTTTCCAATAATTAATTGGTATTTTTTAATATTCCGTTTTTTAATATATAATTTTTATTTTTAAGTATTTTCTAAAATATTATTTACAATTTTATTTGTTGTTGGAACATTTTTTTTTCTAAGAATATAAAATTATTTATTTCATTAAAAAATAAATACAGAGAAAAAATGAATTTCAAATGTTGGGAAATAATTCTAATTCTCTTAGACAATTATTATTGTTTCCAATGGATTTAAATGGAAATTATTATTTACCAAGGAATGCAAACCGGAAATTGTGGCTAGTCCTTCAGCAGCCCAAGAAGTTTCCATATTCATGGAAACACCACGTGGCTCTAACGCACGTTGAGATCTGATTGCCATTGATAATTGTTCTCTCGTAAAGTCATCCACCTTTCATGATTTTCTCATGCTTTCATAAAAATTTCACAGAAACTTCATTTTTTATTTATTTATATTTTCTTCTATTTTTCCTATTCAATTTTTTTTGCTAATTTTTTTTTTACTAATAATTAATAAATATTAAATTTTTTATCATTTTATTATTTAATTTATTCATTCTGATGGGTTTTTCTAAATAACTGTTGTGGACAGTTTTTTTTTAATTTTCTCATACGTATTTTAATTTCTCACTGTTCAAAAATTATACCTTCGTTATTTATTTTAAGTGTGTAAAGAATGTGGTACACGTGTTGAAAGTTGAGATTTTATCATGGAAAGTTCATTTGTCAATAAAATAAAATTACTACTTAGCATGAAAACACTTCATTTTTATTTTTTCCTCCCTCGAAAATAATAGTTTTTCTTTTAATATTCATTCTGAGAATTAAAATAAACTTCCACGTTCACTTGACAATTTATTATTTTCGCATTAGTCTTTTTGCAATGCAGAAAATTTAAATTGAATAAAAGAAATTTTATCTATAAAATTTAAATTATTTTTTTTAATTAAGATAAAAAATATAGTTAATTAATTTTTGAAATTAGTAAAAAAATTTGTTATCAAAAATTTCTATTCACAATACAAAAGTTAAACAATATTCACAAATATAGTTGTAAATTTTTGTAAAAAAACAAATTTGTAATTATTTTTTTTAAACAATAAATTCACAAATTAATAATTGACCTTCGTGAAACTACATTTAAAGGTCATCAGTTAAAAATAAATCACTGATGTCACTGTTCACGAATCACTATTATTATTGTTATTATAATAACGATAACTTTTTTAATATTTGAAGTTCTATGTAATAATAATTAAATTCTTTTCTTTACAATGAAAATTAAAAATTTTCTTTGGAATTTAATAATTGTCAATTTTTTTTTCTATTTTTATTCATTATATTTACTGATAAAAAGAATAGACCAAGCAAAGCAACCATTACAACTACTGCGTTGCTATCAACCCCCTCATAGTTACCCCTCGTGTGTCACATATATTTTCAAACGCATGCGTACTTTTTCCCTCCAACTTTATATACATATATATTTTTCACAATAACAAGAAGAAACTCGTTGAAAAACTATGCTACACGTACAATAGTAAATGCATTTTTTATCAAATTCGATTGTTCGATTGGATATTCACATAATTTCTTAATCTAAATTTAATAAAAATAAGTTCATTATCTTTATATTACGGTAATAATCAAAGTTTATATTTTTGTTAAAAAAATATAATAAATAAGTAATTTAAATATTTCTTTTTAAATATTAAAAAAAATTAAACATAAATAAATAATTAGCAATAATTTTTTTTAATTGAAGCAATTTGGAAATTATTTCTGTTAACAAAAAAAAAAAAAAATACAATCTACTTACATTCTATGCGAAAAAAAATTAATTGATTGACCTAGAGCTTAATTAGAAATAGATTAGTGACCCTCTTTCGCATTAGACTAATGCATAAAAGACAAATTTAAATAAAAAGCTAATTTCCGTATTATATGTTCAGCTTGGTATATTATTATACTTTTAAAGAAAATTTGTAATATGAATATTTTTTTCAAATCACTTTTTAATTGCAGTTTTAAAAAATGGTAGACCAAGACAATAATAATTGTTACATTACAATCAATATAGTAGTTCCAAAGCAAAGTAGAAATTAAAAATAAAATTTACTATGAATGATAATTCTACTAATAGTCGACTAATAGTTTTAATAATAATTTTTTTAATATTCTTATTCATATACATCGAGACGATATTTATATTATAAATTATAAGTGATATCATTTTCTGCTAATAATCTGTTCTTTTTTGTTTTAGATGACAATGGAAAAAGTGATGCAGTTTAAAAAAAGGTTGTTTTATATTAATGATGAATAATAAATAACATTAACGGCTTGGGCTACCTGGCATTGGTATATACTGAGAGAAACGATTGGTTGGGATTACCATTTCGTTAGTTAGAGTATTTTAACTAATTTATATTAGTTTCTGTTACTATTTAGTTAGTCAGCCTAACCATTTTGTTAGTAAGGTAACTAATTAAATAGTTATGCAAACAAACTAATTAGTTAAACCAACTAATAAAATAGTTATGCTGACCAATAAAAATAGTAACCACAACTAATAAATTCATAGCAGTATAGTTTACTAACTAAGTGGTCATCTCAAAAATAGTAATCTCAGCCAATCTTTTCTTTCAGTGGAATAAAATTAACGGGTTATGCTATTCTCAACCATTTTTCTTTTTTCTTTCACTAAAATAATATCATGGGGATTATAATACTGCTATATTGATGATTTGCTATTTTAAATTTTGTGGTAGTTTACAAATAATATATCTCTAAGAAATTAAAATTCTTGGTTTTCTCAATCAAAATAATTTTTTTTTTTCATAATCTGGTTAAAATGATACGAACCTCAAGGATTATAATATAAATGATGGTTGTCAAAGGCACGGATTAATACTGACATTGGTTAATCGATCCAAGTGTGTAAAATATATATTATAGTGTAGGCAAATAAGTCATTCATATAGGAAATAGAAAAAAAATCCATCGCCTACGTAAACGTCTCGACCTTGTCTCGACAAGTTACAATGTCAAAAATTTTATGTCTACTCGCATAATTCATCATAAATATATATTTACTGTTTAATGACTTTGTCAAACGAGACAAAAGTTTGCCAATGATTCATTATTTATTACACAGTATTGGTATATTGAGTTTTTCAACTATCTATCTATAGATAAAAGAAGAGTAAAATTGCAATATATGGGTAATTAGACGAGTATGACTTATATCTTTTAATTCCAATGTATTTGGTGTATAAAGCTAATTGAATTTTATAGTATAATGATTTGATTTGTAATTGTAATTTTGGTACGAATAGTATCGCGACTGGTTAAGCATTGTAATTAGTTGGATGCGGTTGGTCTCGATGTGTATACATGTATAGGTATTATATATATATATACATTCGCTATATAGATATATACAGTAGAATCGCTTGTACCCGCAATGTAAGTGGTGTAACAAGCTTAATAGGAAGTTGTTTGATGACATGACGATAGCGTTTCAAGAAAGCCAATTATGGTAACCAAAATTCTATAGCTATCTATATTGCACATATATACCATTATTATTATTATTATTATTCAAAATAATCTTCAAAGAAAATTTTTTATTTTTTTCTATGGTCACAAAATTTCCAATTATTATTAAATTCTATAAATAAGAAGATATACAATTTACTTAAATTGTTGACTCACTTTTTTTTCGAAGAAATGAGAAAAAAAAATTCGTGCAAGTCTTCATAAAAACTACATATATTATTGAAGAAGAGAAAAAGATGAAGCCCACAATTTAAAAAAAAAAAATTTTTAAAAGGCAATCGGGATAAAGAGAAATCAAGGATCAGTCCTAAGTGGGAGTATCTAGACACGCGTATCTAACGTCCCACACACAAATCGTGTCAATAATTATTCAGGTTCAAGCCTATGTTCGAGCCCGCAGTTTACTTCGACATATAACACCTACGCAAAAACACCAACTGTTCTATATTATATCTTTCTCTCTGATTCACCTTCATTTACACAAAATCTGCATATAAACGCGAATGCGTCTCAATTTATCAAATTTTTGAATATTATTTTGTCAATATTTATAATTTTTATAAGAAAAATTTCTCTTTATCAAAATGATTAAAAAATTTTATTGTTCAACTTTTTCTAATTTTTATAGTTTTGTACAATAAATCAGAGCTTGAAATTTTTTTAGGGAACTCATATTTTTTGCTTATAAATTATTTTTTTTTGTTTCAGATGACAATGGACATTAAATAGGATATAAGAAAAAGTGATGCAGTTTAAAAAAAAGGTTTGTTTTATATTAATGATGAATAATAAATAACATTAACGACTTGGTCTACCTAGCATTGGTATTTTTAAAAATTCGATAAATGACAGAACACATTAAAACTCCACCTTCTCACTGAAAGCAAGGTTTTCCCTTTGTCCACTTTTTAGGGATTTATGGCCCAGGCCCGAAAGCCTTACAGTTTCGCATGATTGCTATGGTAACGGTTACTATGTAATCATTTCCATGACAACCGTTACCATGGTAGAAAACATTACGGATATGATTGTGGTTTAATGAATCATTATTATTATTAGGTGGTAAAGGAATAATGTATAAACATGTTGTTAAAAGAATATTTGTAACCATATTTATAGAGATGAAGAGATAAAGAGATTAAATAGGGAAGAATAAGATATATAGTCGATGAATTACATGAAGCGAAACATAACACGCTTCCAAGCGTAAATATGGCCATGATCTTTTAGACTCGCATCGCAAACTTTATTGACTCCATAAACGTTTATATACACACAATGCTTATCGACTTGCTTCAAAATGCTCAAACATATATATTGTATATATGGTATACATATACGCAGCATAACCCTCATTTTCTCTTCGCTTTCAACAATATTTGTTAGTTCAAGAAAATACCATGTTTATTGAAAACACAATTTCCTTCACTAAAAATACATAATTTTGAAACTGCTTCAATAGCTTTTACCCTTCACTTTCAAGTTTAACATTGAAAAAGATTTACAAAAAAATAAATAAATTAAAGTTTATTAAAATTCTTAATTACTAAAATGTAAAAATAATTATACAATTTTTATTTTTTTTATATAACTCTGATTTCTATTTTATATTTTTATATAATTATAATTTCTCTTATATGTATAATAAGTTATACAATTATTAAGTTATTTAAAACGAAAAGAAAGATTTCAATTAAAAAATTGTTCCAAAAGTAAACAAAGACAATTTTGTTCTGTAAGAATAATTAGAGTAGAGAAAATAATTATTTGCAAACACGAAGAAAATGATAAAAAAATTTCATGAAGGTAAAAAAATATACACACAAACCGTGGCTATTTATTAAGAATTAGGTAAATATCTGGTGAAGTAAAAAATGATTGTTTAAAGACGAAGAGAATAAAAAGAGAGAGAGAGAGAGACAGAGAGAGAAAGATTTATGAGAAGAAAAGTACTACACAAGAGAATGGAAAAAAAGGAACAAGATTCAAACAGACGGATTTGGAGACGCTTGGCTTATCAACCGCGACCTTACTCCAGGATCTCTACCCATAATGCAATGACGTCATTTCCTGTGTCTTTAAGACGACCTCTTTCGACAGGAACTTTACTTGTTCATATATTTTTTTTAAAGGTGTGGTCTTAAAAATAAAACTCATCATGTTGACGAAAATTCGAAATAAAAAAAAATAATAACAAATCTTTATCAAAACTGAACGTAACAGAAACTGACTTAACCAATAGTAATAATAATAATAGAAATATAAGAATTACCTGAAGCATTTCGAGTCGACTCGATGACGCCTGGGGGGCGGCCATCTTCTTTCCCCGGGACACTTATTTTGACCAATCAGAGTATGGCTTTTTCGAGGTGTAAAACTGAAATCAGAGAAGAGAGTGAGAGGACTAATTACAAACGTAAACGAAAACAGTCGTTGCAAACTGCAACGTGTACAGTAATTGCAAAGCAAGTCAGCGTGGTTTAGTGTGGGATGCGGTCACCACGAGTAAGCATTACACTCAATCGTATACCCTACAGAATACCCTTTATACTAGTTCATATCGTTTTACGATCACGTTACTCTATCAGATCTGCAATCAGATATATGTATATATCTACGATACCTATACGTTTTCATAGGTTCCATTTTCCCCTTTTAAAAAAAAAGAAATAAAAAAAATATTTTTATTTACAAATTAAAATGTATATACTATTTCCAAAAACAATCGTAATGGTTTTATACATAATATGTATTCTAGCAGAAATTTTATTTTATTTTAATTTTTTGTTTTAAAAATATAAAAAAATTGTTTTTTTTTTAATTTGGAAGTAATTTTAAAGCAAATTTCAGTTTACTTTTCTATTTCTGATAAATTTTTATTGTTCACGAAAGAGTCTACTTTATCTAAAAAGAAATATAGAGTAAAAAGACTTCGCTTTTTTTTTATTTCAACCATAAGGTGGAAATGCGGGTCCGAGTGACATTGAAATAAGAGAAAATAACATGTTAACTGATACATTCGGGAAGTGGTAAGAAAGAAAGCAAGCAAGCCGCGTTCTCTTGGGTAAATACAACCCTTTCGGTAAGATTACTCGTTTTACAGAAAACCCGTGGTATGGTCTGCTGAGTTCAGACACTTGAATAGAACATGAAATGGGTATTTGAAAGCAAAAAATAAAAATAGAAACAAATTTACAAGAATTAAAGAAATTTCTGAGGTTGTTTAAATTTTTTTCTGGGAACACTGGGACAAACGGACACCGTATTAATATAATTACTTTATTGAGGAATATAAATTATAAATGATAGAATTTTTTTTACTTATAAATTGGTTTTTTGTTTCAGATGATAATAGACACGAAAGAGGATATAAGAAGAAGTATAAAAAAGGTTTGTTTTATATTAATGATGAATAATAAATAACATTAAAAAACAATACTTATGGAACATAATCCAAAAAAAACATAATCGAACATAATCTTCAACAAAATAGTTGAAGATGACAGTTAGTTGCAAATCCCCCATATTCAGACTTGTATCTCTATTAAATATTTATTTATTTAAAAAAAATTTTATTACTAAATTTTAATGAAATAATAATAGTCAAATAAAAATTTGTATTAATTTTCAATATTTGCATATTTGCTTCATATAAAATTTTTTAAAAATTTAATTTAGATTTTTCAAATAGTAGTATAAACATTTTAAATTTTTTAAAAAAGACGAACTTAATTTTTCTTTGTTTAATGTATATTTATTACATAAAAATATATACTCAAATTTAATTTCTCAGGAAGTAAAAGATCTTAGCCTTGAAATTTTGTTGTTTCCTTGACAGAAAAAAGTCTTTGAAAATGAAAATTTTTGTCCTTAGAGGAATTCAGAGAAGTGACTCATTGAAAAATATGACGTAAGCGGTTCACGCGACGCTTATGGTCAAGACCTAAAATACACGACCTGCATATACATATAAGAGATTCGAAAAAACTTCCTTTCAAAGTGTAGATCGAATTCAAGACATATAATATTTGTGATGCGCGGAATTAAAAAAGTACAAATAATAATAATAAATAAATTTTTTTTAAATGAATAATAAAATATTATCAGTTCTCATTTCCATTTACGATGGAATCATATTGATTTACATTTTCTAATCGACTTTCTGATAAAATTGCAAAATGCAACATTCTTCTTTTAATGAATTATGTTATGTATAGGTTTTTAGCGCGTTATCAATATATACAATATTCTCTGTGCCAACTGATGTTATTCACCGAGAAACACGTGGGTCGAAACATTCAAATAGTGTTTTTCATTAAAAAATTTTTTTTATTTATCATAAAATTTTCACACTTTAAAAAAACTTGCGTGAATTGTTTAATTTAATTTTATCAATTGAAACTTTCTTTATTTATAAATTTATATAATATTACAGCAAAAGTAAAAAAAAAGAAGTTGAAAAAGCAAGACAAGACTAAATATTATTAAATAATTTAAAATTTGCTAGTAATAGTTAATTAATTAATAAATTAAATAATTAACTGGTAATTATTTATTTATTTAAATAATAATTGAAGTTCATAGAGCTAAAAAGCTCTCCGAGAAACAATTACATATATTTATACATATTTGAATAATTATAACAATATAATAAAATTCTGAATGAAAACTTAGAAATTACCGAGTAAAAATATTAAATATAACTTTGAAAATAAATTTGTGAATTAAATAAAAAATAAAATAATATTAATAACCAAAAAGCAGACTTTTGTCGCAAACAGCAAGTAAAACAATATAGTTGAATTGTAAGTGAATAAGAATAATTAATTAATATTAACATCTAATTGAGATATATAAATAAAAAGTTAATTTGTACTTGGCTTACATTGAATTATTTTTATAATTATTAATGTCAACGTCACTTGATTTATTGATAAAGTTACTTTCAGTTTTTTTTAAACATATTTAATTACAATATTGAATATATTTATATTCATTAAGCATATCACTCTTAAATAATAATTAGAAATTATTATTATTTCACTAAAAAACTGTTTTAATTTAACTTTTTTTGTAACTTATTGAATTTTTTAACTAAACAATTCACTAAGTAAATTAACAAAAAAATTTAATAATTCAAAATATGATTTAAAATATCTAATTTGATTCACAAATCATAAAATTTTTTTTATTAATTTAATTAATAAATAATTTTATAAATTTCTTTTTAAAAATTTTGAAGTAATAATAATTTAGTTATTTTTACTTTAATTTTCAATTATTTTAATCAATGTGTTATAAATATAACACTATTAAATCAATTAAATATTTTCTTAGATTTTATTTTTAATATCGTTATTTATCTATCAAATTTTTTTAAACAATATTTGTTAATTTACTTACGTCTATATTCTAATCCAACAAATATATTGTTAATAAAAATTATGGTCCACGTATTTTGATCACTAAATTATGTAATTAATGATAATAATTTAATAACAATTTTTTTTATAAGGAATTTCAAAAAAATTGTTTCTCACATAAAAGTTGAAAATTTTTTAAACTCACCTAAATCAATGGAAGCTCTTTGCGGATGATAAGAAAAAAAAATGAGAGTAAACGAAGGACGTCCTCACATAAAGAGAACCGGTGTTCTACTGACAAGTAAACAGCTGTGACCCTTTCTCTTCGCGGTTCCTTAAGCCATTCTTCGTGGCATGCATCTTTGATTATTATTATTTTAGCCGGTTATATAGTTCTTTTTTGATGTTTTTAAAAATAATCTTAATTTTTCAAATTAATTAATAATAATTAGTAATTAATTAATAATTAGTATTTAAACTAATAATTAACCTTTTTTTTTAAATTTTTTTAAAAATTTTATTAAAAAATGACACGTGTAAAAAAAACTAAATCCTTGAAATAATTCCGATAAGTAAAAAAAAAAATGACTGCCACATAAAAAAAATAATAACATTTTTTTTTTTTTTGATAAAGTCGCAAACATTGAAAAATTCAAGTATTAGATTAGCTTTCATTGCTTCGTTTCTCTTCTCTACAGAAGTTTGAGTTGTTATTTTAAGAGCTACTTGCGATTATTATTTACTTCTTGTAAGTAAAATACTTAATTATATATATATAGTAAATCATTTTAAATATAAAAAGACTACCCCTAAAAGTAAATTCTGTAAAATGCATCAATTACAAAAGTTTTTTTTAAGTGTAATTAATAATAATTAGAAATTAAATTAATAATTAGTCATTCTTTTCAATTCTATAAAAAGAAAAAAAATTACATTGTCAAACTGTAAGGTTGCAAAATTTGACAATTTAATAAATTAAAATATTACACATGTAAAAAAATAAATATTGAAATAAATCTAAAAAGAAAATTATCAACAAAAATGACTACAACATAAAAAAAATGAATAAAAAAATTTTTTTTTTGATAAAGTCGCAAACAATGAAAAATTTATGTATCAACATTTCATTGCTATATTTTTAAAAATGCATCAATTTTAAAAGTTTTTTTTTATGTAAAAAATATGTGTTTTAAAAAGTACTTTAGAAATAAAAAAAAATCCAAAAAACTTTGCCGCACGATATTACTATCAAATTTTTAGCTATTAAAGATAAAAAGTAATTTTTCTCAATTGACCGTAATGATCCAATTTTTTCAATATGTTTGTAAAAAAAAAAATTAATAATACATTTTTTATAACCTATTAATTTTTTGAATTGTCACTATGATTTTCGTAATCAGCGTACAAAAATACATAAATAAAGTTTAAATAGTAAAATAGATGTCGTCATGTCGGTAATGTCAATTACTTTAATTTTTTTTGATAAAAAAAATTAAATTTTCAGGTTCACGGATAAGATATCAGAAATTCTAAGAGTACACAGAGATATAATAACGAAACTAGAAAAAACAAACAATATTAAACAAATCGACTCACAATGGAAAATACAACAAATTTGCACTTTCTTTCTGTTTGTCACTACATAACTTATTTTGGTATTTTCTTTTACAACAATCACTTAATAACACTTGAAGAACGATATCAAACTGTTAGCATATTAAATAATTTCTTTGAATATCTCAATAATTCCAATAATAATGAATCGGAGTTGAAACTGAAATTTCTACAAAATGCATTGAAAGAAAGTAATTCTTATGGCGGAAGGGGCAAAAATTATTATAAACTGCTTGACGCAAAACACGTAAATGAAATATATCAGAACATTATTGGCACGACTCTATTTTTTCACTATGGCAATGTTAATGGATATTTAGCTCAATTAAAAAATGGAAATGATAAGAACATAACAATATTTAAAGAAAATGTGTATCAACATCTGTTGCATAATTACACGAGTAGGGATTATTGTTTTTCATCATTGAGAAATCAAAGTATTAAACTTACTTTACTTGCAATTAAAAAAATTTTTCAACACAACATTTTGCCACTGTTTTCTCATCTAGAGGAAAATGTGAATTTGGATTATAAAAGAAAAAAGCGCGAAACATCAGATGATGATGATGATCATATTAAGGAAATCCCAAAAAAGATTCCTAAATTATCTCATGCACAAGAGGGAAGTGAAATGCATAAAGAAATGTTAGATCTTCTGCGTGATTTTAAGAAAGAGGGAATTTCTTTTAGTATGAGAAACAGTTATTTCAAACAGAAATTATATGATTTAGCTGTAATTCAAAGTAAATCTCATAAAGACCCAATCGGTGATTTATGGTGTGTTCAAACTACAAATTCAGAATCAATTGCTAATTTTTTGTTCGGTTTAAAAGGAAAATTGTTCTATTTTAATGATGTAACTCTTTTGCAAAGAGAAATTCCAACATCATCATTATCATCATCATCATCATCAGTTGACAATAATAACGAATTGGAGCAATTTTCTTCATCGAAAACAATAGAAATTCGTTATCATTTAAAAATTGATAAAAACAGTGGTATTATAGATTTACATTCATTTTCTCAGTCTAACGAATTCCAAGACGAGTATATTACATTTAATGATAGACTATTTTTTGTAAAAAATACTTTCTTTACTAATCATAGAAAAATTTTAAATATTGAATTAAAAAATTTTGGTCAATGGTCAAAATCAATGCAAGACGAAATTAATTATCTCGACAATTCTAAAAGTATTTGGATTAATGAAAGAATGAAAAAAGTGAAAACAGTTGCAAATTTTTTTACACAAAATATACCATTCTTTACGATAATGGAAGCAGAAAACCTTCTGATGAATTTCATTTTAAGAATTAATACCATGGGTGATGTGCCAAGTTATGATCAGTTTGCGAAGGATTATTATGATAACTTAGAGATTTTGCCTTCTTATAAAAATTTCGAAATAAAAAAAAATAAGTTTCACATTAAGGATGTAATATTTTATGATAAATTAGATTACATTTATACATTGGAGGAAGCAAACAAAAAAATTAAAGATTTATATGGTTCTCATCATATACCGAATGTCAAGGAGATATTTGAAAATTATAAATTATTATCCCTTGATTGGACTCTGCGATTTGAAGATTATTATACATTGTATTTTGTGATTAAAATAAAGGCACAATTACTCATTCATTTTTTCAGATATGAAGCTGCAGTTTATAGATTAGGTCTTCGACAATGTTCTAAAAGTGAGGCGCAAAATCCAATTAGACTTTATAAACTTTATATATTTGAGGAGAAAGATTTAGAATCTTTTGAGTCAGTAAAAAATAAAAATAGATATTTTAAATTAAAATCGTTTACAAGGTTTTATGAAAATTTTTTTGTTGCTATAACACAACATACGAATTTGGCATTAGATAATTCTGAAAAAAAGCGAGTTATTTTAGAAATTACATTAAAAAATCAAGCGGCTATTGTGAATATCAATTTTGGTGGTTTATATTCTACAAATCCATTTTATATTGTAACATCTTGCCTATTCCTTAAGGTTGCGGATATACATAAAGGAACAACTGTTACTGGAGAAGAAGAATGGTTTATAAAATTGCATGACAATGATATGTCAGAAGAAAAGAGAATGGTTTGTATGGCGAAAAAACTTGAGGAATTATTTTCAAATGATGTATAATATTTTTCAGATTAATAAGTGCAATAATTGAAATTGAATAATTATTATATTTACTGTTATATTCTAATGTAAAAAAATTATTTTAAAGAAATATATAAAAATATTATAATACAGTTAAACATTGTTAAAATATATTTGAAGCACACATCTATACACAAATTCCAATGTCTGATGAGCTGTGTCCGCAGCTAAAATGCATTTGACATTGAAATAAATTAATAAATTAATTAATTTCTACAGTAAAATTGACTTGAAAATACTTCTTATTTAAAATTAATAATAAACCTTATAAACTATATAGAATTTACATTAGATTTTAATTTCTTCGGTTTTTTCCTTATTCTACGTTCAAATCCAATTAGTGACTTAATACGTAAGTATTCTCGTAAGTTTGATCTAAAAGATTTTTTATACCAATAAGTTTCCGTCTGATAGAGGCTCAACTATATGTTACAAAAATTTTAATTCTCAATTGAAAAAAATTAATAAAATAGACAATATATAATAATTAAAAAAAAATTGTTTCAAAAAAAATAAAACAAGATAAATTGCTAAAAAAAGAATTGATTTTTTGCTTCCTGGTGGAGGAAGCTTTGTAATCCTTTCGTTTATAAAACTTTTCAAAGTGGCGGAAACAAATTTTTTTCTTTATAGAAACATGTTATATGAGATCCTGATCAATTGTCCGGATGTATGTATGTGTGTGTGTGTGTGTGGATCCCTTTTTTGTTTAGCAGATAACTTTAACAGGTTTTAATGGATTTAGATAAAATTTAGTAGGCTCATTTATCATATTAATATCTCAAATCTGACTAAAGGATTTTGAAAAATTCCTAAAAAAAAAAAATTTTATGGTCTTTTTTCCAAAAATTTTTTTGAATCGAAAAAATTTTTAAATAGAAAAATTTAAGGTTATATATAATAAAATCGTATTCTTTACGTCAAGACGAATCGGTCGATATATATATAAAGTATTCATTTTAGGTAAATTTAAAGAATTAATGAAAGTTAAAAATCAAAAATTCACATTTTGTCAATAAAATTTTGCTTTCTCCACGAGAAAGCAAATTTTTTTGCTGATCGTAAAGAGGAAGCAAAATGTTCATGTAATGAACATCTGAATTTACAACTTGTTTTTCTAATTATACAATAATAAAATGCTTGGTCTGTCCTTCTGTCCTAACTTGAAGTTGGCCTTTTCTGATTTCACGTGTTTTTTTGAATAGTAATCTTATGACGTGTCAAACTTTGACAATTTTTTTTCTCATTTTTGCCAAAGTTGTATAATTGTGTTTCCAAATTTCAGAATAAGTTTCTTTAAAATTCCAAATTCGAAAATTGAATTCACGAAGCAGAAGTACACAACGTTTACCAACGAAATTTTTTTTAAAGATGTATATTGATTCAAAAATTGTATACAAATACAAAAAATTTATGATGAGAAAAAAGATGCGCCAGGAAATTTCGTACAAGATAGTAATTTGAAAAAAATTTATTTTTAAAAATTAATTTTTAAGGTACCAGGGGCCAACGAATACCTATTAAATATTAATTATAAAAACACAGGCCTCGAATCAACTTAAAGACACAAAAAAGTCGTTTTAGTCGATTTA